TTCTCTATTGCTAGGTAGGTAGGTATGGACCGTATGGTGGGTAACGTATGTATGTATGTGGTATAAACATATGTATATGCCTTTCCCATGGTGATATTAATGAAACGTAAACAAGGCCGGCCGGGCCCTATGTATTGTATTGTACATACATATCTATTATAATAGCCCTGAGAATGGAATGTTTACCTACATACCACTCATTCGTTGAATTGTCCGTGCCCAGGGTGTATGTGTGTATGTGCCTACATACCTAGGCAAGTTTTGTGGTAGTATTCCGATAACCTATTTTTTCTTTTCTTTTCTTTTTTAAATAAAGTACCAACCTGCCTTACCTAGGTAGGTAGGTATGTATTGTACATGTAGGTAGGGTATTATCAGGGTATTGCACATACATAACTATCTAACCTAGGATCTGGGGAAAAGGTTCTGAAATGCCGGGCCATCAACCGAGGTGATGCGAGCAGCAACCACCTAAGTAACTTACCTATGTATTGTACATACATACTGGCGAGCGAATGAATGCATGTCTCACAGCGAACCACCACCACCACCACCACCACCCACCCCATTTTCGGCCCGTGAAAGGGTATGTACGGTACGGTTGGTGTTGGACAAAAGAAGGTATGTACTTTCGGGAGCTGTCTTGCCTTTTGAGCTTTTGAGCTTCGAGTCACCGCAGCTCGCTTGCTCTCTTGCTTGCTTGTTCCCACTTACATACCTACCATACTCAGTCACTCAACTTCCTCTAAAGCGGTAGGGTTTTTATGGATTAAAACAGTAAAAAAATCGGGATAGTAGTGGCGGGAACAGCCGAAGCGTCACAATCCGCCAGTCTTACGACATATGTATGTATGTATGTATGTATGAATTTTTTTTTATTTAAGCGGCCGCTTATGCTTGACAGAAAAGCACAGGTAGGTGTAACCAACCGAGCTTTGATTTTTTGGGGGGGTTTTTTTTTGGCCCTCCTATCATCCTAGTTAGCTCGATGCAAAGTACATATGTAGTAGACCCTGCTATGTATGTCGTGTGTAGGTATTGTACTGAGGTAGTGTATCTGCAGTGTGCGTGAAGATGAAGAGTGCTAGTGAAGGCGAGCTGAGCAATAGCTTACCTAGTTAACCTGGGTGGTTAGTCAACCCCTACCTACATATATCATATCCATGGATATCAGACATCTAGTTATCCCCTCGTAGGTATATGGCGGGAAGAGACGAGGAAGAACCCAAATCGCGGTTGATCGGATTGGGGCACTAGATCGCGTTTCCGTTATACATATGTATCTATCTACCTACCTACATCGATAGTTACCAAGGCGCACGGATTTTCGAGTATAATACATCCATCATCCATGTGTTCGTTAGGTCGTTCGTTAGTTAGTAGTGTATGTATGTAAGTAAGTAGTGTATGTACGCACACACACATACATACACGCGCTCGGGTCGAGCATCCGAGTTCCGGGCAGGCAAGGTAAATGTGGAGAAGAAAGCGCCAAATGTTCGAAAGAACAGAAACTATTACACTAAATACCTACGTACATTGCCCTAACCAACTCGGCCCAATCCCGTCAAATCAAGGAGTCAAAGCTCAAAGGACGGGATGATTGAATTTCTTTCGTTGAGAGTGAGGAAGCCCCTTGATAGGTAGGTAGGTAGGTAGGTAGGTAGGTAAAGCTGGCTAGTTGGCTGGCTTAAGAGAATGATAGCTATGATAGGTATACATACATACCTATCTCCTTCCCCCTTCTCCCTCTCCATCTATTACTAGTAGCTATATCAGACGAATCGATTTCAACGTTGAAATAGAGCCCCGCTGTTTGAAGAAAAAGAAAAAAAAAGGTTATATAGTGGTCTGAGGTAAGATCTTATATAATAAGTGGTGTTAATTATGTTAGTATCCAATGCTAGTCGTTCGTATGGTTGGATATGCTGGCTAAGTTAACAAAGGAAACTGGAGAAAACTCTCGGCTATCGCTGGTCCTTGGTAGCGAGTGGTGGATATTCAGTTCGGTTCGAGTACGTAGTAAGGATGAAAAAAAAAGGATCACAATGGCGAAGAGGGGCAGAATATTAAAACAAGAAAAAAAAAACCAAAAAAAAAGAAAGGGTTAGGCAGAGACAGGCAGTTTTATGTGAATTTTTATTATATGGATGGCTGTTAGTCTGGAGTTGCGATTGATACCAGCATTATGCCGGAAAAGTTCCTGCGTGTGGTGTTCCACTCAAGTAGGTAGTTAGTTGTAGGGGGTTCATGTTTAGTAGTATACTGCATTATGTAGGTACCTAACTTATTTACATACTACCTACCTACATACATACATCGTACCTAGTAGTACTATGTAGGTAAGCAGGTAACTATGTACATACATATATCCCTTACCCTGGAAAGGGAAGCATGTGTAAATACACGGCTTTATATAGAAATTTCTATATAAAGAGAAGTACATCTTCGCCATGAGCCAAAAACTCCAAGCGGCCTCTTCTGCGGCCTTGACGTATCGAGATGTTTGTACATATGCAAGTACCGACAGGAGACACACATACACACACACATACCTACATATCTAGTACATACCTACCCACATCTTGATTGGACGGAGGTGATCGTGTAATAGAGCAAGCATATAAAGTATGTATGTAGCTGCTAGCAGCGTACGCAATGTATTGTACATTACATATTATTAGTTCATCTTGTGAAAACAGGCAACGTCCCTAGACTCCTAAAGTAGGTACCTAGGACCTAGGTAGGCAAGTAGTGTAGGGCAGGGCTGGCAGGGTAGGGCCGGGGAAGATGGAATATAATATACAATAACCCTTAGGTAAGTTTTAGGGCCATAACTACATAGTATTAATATTCAATAGTCGCATGCAACAAGAACGGCCGGAAGGGATGTAACCACATCTCTCTCTATATATGAATTACCACCCTATAATAACCTCAAGCTCGTCGGATGTCGTCATATTGGAATCCCATCCATTTTAGACCATGTTACATACCTGCCTACCTATGTGCTGTGTACTGTAAGGTATGGCATGGTAATGGTATATGTATGCCTAGGCAATTACCTAGGTTAGGTAGGTGGTTAAATATAAGTTATGTAATTCCAGGTAACAAAAAACACCACAAGGAGTTCAAGGAGCTAGGGAGCGTTTACGCCGTGGGTGTTGCTGTCAAGCTCCAGACAACGAACCTTGGTCCCAAACAGACAGGTTTAGGTTTAATATGTTACCGGGTATGTATGAAGAAAGATCAAAAAAAAAAAAAAAAGGGCTACTTTGCCACGAGGTGAGGTCCAGGAATTCGCATTAGTGATTGGCTTGCACGGAAATAAATATCCGTAGCTCGATCCGCCGTGGTGGTTTCCCCTGTCCTGTAAGGGCTTTGCTTTTGCTTTACCTTGTTTATTTTGTTCCGGGCGGGACAGGTAGGTAGTAATAATAACGACAATCCCACACTGCTGAGCATCTATATTATCAACCTAGTATAATGTTCAAGTCTAAAATGTTATTATTATAACTAATACTTATGGGATGTACAATACCATAGGTGCCTACATACAATATGTACAATACACAGGAATATAGGTAGGGCCTGCTTAGAAGGGAACCTTGGATCAGGGCCCTCGCGATTATTACCGTACCAAAGACAGCCCCTGAAGGTAGATCATTGTTTGTTAAACACCTAACTACAAGGAGCATACTTTTTAGTGTCCTTTTTTTTTTATGAGGGAAAAAAAAAATTAAAGAATATTAAAACATAATAGTAAGAGAAGGCACATATCCACAACGCTTGCGACGTTCGAGTGATGGTCTGTTTTAAGAATGGTCTAGACGCTTTGATTGGCGACATGGGAAGGACTACAATTCTCTTCTCTGTTAAGAGCTAGGGATATTCCTATTACTATTAAATTATGCAGACTACCGATCTAGTTACCTAGGTGTGTAGTTATACTGATATATTTCACATGATAAGGGTAAAGGGATGGAGTCTTCTTCTACCCAAACCTGCTTGTGTCCCTCACTTGATATATTCTCGTGTAGAAACTAGGTACGAAGCAAGCTCATCATGTTCGATAGGTTGACAGGTTATTTATCATATTTCATCACAACCCTCATACCACCGTGATGGGTCTCCGAACACACAAGCCCCCCCCCCTGTGGAGACGACGGATTACTATAGTATGGGTCAACTTGGCCTGGACCCCCCGGTCCGGTTCCCGCGCAACGCCTTAGCGCACCTTGGTAGTTTTCCATGTGTTTCGAAGGATTGGTAGGTAGGCGCTGATAATGTCGAACTGTCCCAATCCTAAGGCTGCTGCTCGTCTGCCTTGCGATGTACGTAGTAGGGGGAGGAAGGATGATGAATAAGGACAACACCAAATGTTTCGCCAAGAACTACCAAATTGTATCATAAACAAGGGACAATATACGTGGAGATGTACCTGAATTAAGCAAGTCAGCTATATGATCGGTGATATGTAGCACGGTGACGGTTGATATGAAGTCAAGTAGATTGTTTTAATTCACTGAGCACATTGTAAGCTCTCTAGTTAGTTTTGAGTAATAGTGATAGTTCGCTCTTTTTTTTTTCTCCCCCTTTGACTCGGGGTAAGACCTCCGAATAACCCCAAGGGCCTCAAGCCATCACATCGCAGCGCGATTCTCCTTTTGCGACATTTACGAACGACCATCCGGTCAACACAATATCCAATGAATATCCAATGACAATGTGGATTGTCTTCGAAAGGGGCGTCTAAGACTAGACTGACGAAACTCGTTGACCCGAGAGTAAGGCACGTCCCGAGACTCCTGAACACCGTCATAGCCGCCAGTCCGTCTTGCCCACAAAACACATCTTCGTCCCTACGCAAGGAAACCAAGATACTTGCGCCCAATAATGCCGCTTTTTATTTCGTACGCCATTCGCCGATTCGAAAGCTAGTAGATGTATAGAGTGCAGTGTAAGATGTAGCATATAATAAACCCTCCAGAAGGTATGAACAAAGTAGCGTCATTTGCGTTAAGGTCTAGTGTTGCCACCCTCTTGCGTTGGTAGATGGCTTAGTATATCCAGAATTGCGCCCCGGGCACCAACTAATACCGAAACAGTCTCTGCTGTCGTATTGGAAGCCGGCCAGGAACGCAAGGGCGCTTATGTAACGGTGAGGATGCGATGCGATCTATAATATAACGCACCGTCCACCGTTCCCTCCCCCACCGCGGCGGTTCCTCCTATACCGATCATTAGGTTCTCGGTGGGCAGCTTCTCCATTTTGTGGTCGTGGGCCGCGACCACCTTGTGCCAAGGGCCGGGCTGCTTGTTGTCGTTGTCTGCGCAAGATCCTAACCACGTCATAGAAAGCCTTCTCCACGTTTATGCAATTTTTTGCTGATGCTTCGACAAATTCGCACCCTAATTCCCGCGCCAAAGCATGACCCTCTTGGGTGGAAACTTCTCTTTCTGTCACCCGATCGCTCTTGTTACCGACCAGCATTATGGGCACGGCACTTGGGGGCGTTGACGCGGATATGGGTGAGCCAGGATAGGTGGGTGATGCCGAGCAGGATTCTTTGACCCGTTGAATCTGGTGATGGAATCTCTTAATTCGCGAAAACGACGATCGGGACGAGATGCTGTACACTAGTACGAAACCTTCGCCATCCCTTATCCACTGATCTCGTAGAGCGGTATATTCTTCTTGGCCGGCCGTGTCCAAGACTTCCAACATACACGCTTGACCATCTATGACGACTTGTTTTCGATACGAATCCTCAATCGTCGGGTCATACTATCCGACACAATTAGCGATTGTCCTTAGGGATCTAGCCGCGCGCGAAAAACCAGATACGGTACCGCGTGGCAATGGCGAATATTGCCATGGTTTTTGAGGCCATACTTACAGTTTCGACGAAATGTTGTAGACATAACTGGATTGTAAGAGCTGTTTTACCGACACCACCGTCGCCGAGCACCACTAGTTTGTACAGCACCATTTTTCCCGCCATCTTGAATTAGGAGGGGCCTCAAAGGACCAAATTGTATTATTTCTTTTTATGTATTCGAGATATTCGAATGAGTGGAATGAATGAATGGAAATAGATAATAAAATTAAATCGATGATAGATAGATTAGGTAGGTAGATAGGTAGGTAGTTAAGTTGTTCGGACTCAGCACGGATAGTGGGCGAAGTGGCTAAGTTCGTCGGGCCGCAGAGCTATTCGGCTATGTAGGGATAGGAGCGTAGCTAATTCGAACGGGAGGCGGGCAAGTTGATAATGAGCAGCACTGGGTATGTATGGTAGGTAGAAAGGTAGAAGGGTAGAAGGGTAGAAAGGTAGGTAAGGTATAGGTTAAGGCAGATAGAATAAATATACCTAATAGGTATAGATTGGTGCCAGGTATGTTAAAGTGAGAGAGAGAGAGCACTTTGAGAAGTAATAAAATAAAAAAATGCCAATCAATTCGTATATAGTACGTAAGTAAAGTAATAGTAACCTTCAGTTTAATTTTGTTGATTGAAGCACTCGAGATTGGATCATTGGAATAGGCTGGAGGTAATAATAGATAGGTAATAGGTACAACAGGTATAATAGGTATCAATATGATAACCTTGGAATGATAATAGCTTAGGTATCAAGTGTAAGTGAGGAGAAGAAGGGGAGGGACCTCTATGTATTGATCGCAGCAGCGTCCGTACCCTTTTTAGCTTTAAAGCAAGCAAGCAAGCCAGCAAGCACGATGAGAAAATGGAGGAGGAGCCGGGAGCAAGGAGCAAGGTGCAAGGAGCAAGGAGGTAAGTGAAAAGATACTACCTATGTAGAAAGAGAGGAGAGGAAACAGCAACCTAGGACCTTGACTGTGGATTGTGGAGAATTGAGATTTTTGGCGGCCTAAGCTCTGGAAAATTAAGCGTAGGGTAGAACTGGGTAAGTGTATTAGTAGCGCATGAGATAGGGAGATTCCAGATTTCCCAGGGCAGCCGATAACATTGAACCTACATATACATATACCTAAGTACCTAAGTAATCTACATATATGTATATGTATCTACAATTTACATTTTACATCCATGAATATGTACATAATGAATGTTATGTAGGTATCTAGTGGTATTTGCATATTGGAGTTCAATCTTGACAGTTTTTGGAGAATGTGCATTGAAATGTAGACATGATGTCTACATATGTATGTATGTATGAATGGATACATGTACATACCTAGGTTAGTAGGTTATGTACAATACGATACCTAGCACGCTACATAAGGAAACGCTGGGAAACGCTGCAAAACGCTGCAAAACGCTGGGACACTGGAAAGTACATGCTAGGTAGACAAGACCAAGACTGGGATTCGGGATGGTTTGGTACCAGTATTGATGTACGTACATTATGTATGTATCAAATGTTAGAATAGACAGGGTTACGGTACGGGTGAAAAGTCAGGGTAAGGTGTCGTAGCAAAGTAGTACCGTGGTACACGTACCTACCTAGGTGAGAGTGACATAGCTATGTTGACGCGGTAGGTTCCGGCACGGTACGGGATGTATGGTACGGTACATACTTGATTGTATGTGCAAGTGCATGTGTACATGGATAGATGACATCTACATAGCACTAGTACTATTGCCCAGTGATGTACATTAGCTAATGTACATACATACCAATACATGCATATATGCATGTGTAGTACATATATGTAGCAGACTAGGGTGCATAGTAACAATAACTACATTATAACTACATCAGTACCTGGGAAGGTACCTGGTTGTAGGCTTCCTTGCTAGCCGGAGGTGCGGTACAGTACCCGTGGCCGGGATGATTTTTTGAATGGCGAAGGCGGAGGTGGGGAGAAAGAGGGACCCAAAGCCACTGTTTTCCTGGCGGGCAAGAAGAAGGAAAAAAAAAAAAAAAAAAAAAAAAAGAGACAAGTTAAGTTTGAACCAATTAAGTTTTATTTCCAGCGCAATAACACAAGTGGCGCTGGGAAAAGACCACTGTCATAAAGCCGGAACAAGAAGTCTTTGGGTAGCTCTTGTGGGGTTAATAGGTTTTAATGTTAATACTCATTGATCAATCATAGTACTTTTACTTACTACTGGGTACTAATATTATATATCAATTCTATTGCATTGTGCATACATATATATATACCTTAGCAGCCCCGATAACCAACTACCCTAGGTATTGTAGGTATTGTAGGTATTGTATGTATTGTATGTATTGCATGTATTGCATGTATTGCATGTATTGCATGTATTGCATGTATTGTACATACGTATCCAATGGCTGTTCTGAATAGCTTCATTCAATATTGCCCAATCACCACACTAGAATCCTAAGGGAAGAGCCCGTGATCTGTAACCTACATGTAACTAGTTATTGTAGTGCATGTATTGCACATGTGGATAGCTCCAGATGTCAGTGACTCTGTCATTTGATGCACCCAGGTATGTTAGTAATCTTCCTGGCCAACATTTGAATATTGAACTCCTTTTAACTCCAGATGATGATATCCTTAACTCCTCCTCCGGGTAGATAGCTGATAGGTAGATGCTTTTATTTTGTCAATTCCCACTTCTGACTCTTCTCCGTGTCTTGCGTTGTGATACGATAATACAAGTATGGAGCTCTCTCACGGGCGGCCTCTAGGTAGGTAGTCTAGACTGTCTACATGTAGCCCGGGTTGAGCCGAGTTCCACCTGCGATTTGCAACTTGCAACTTGCAATGCGAGTTGCGATGCGACTTGTAACTTAATTGGTAAATTGTATCGTATTTGAGATCGGGTAGGTAGCGCAAAGGAAAGAGAAAGAAGTAAAAAAGAGGCAACCAGCGTAAAGGAGCACGGGAAGCAAGTAGGTATGTAGGTACTCTAGGTACTGTCCAGATATGTCAGATGCAGCTGTAGTGTTGCCAGAGACGGGCGTAAATGCGGGACTTGTAAAGTTCAATGTTGTCAACAATCGGCAAACCAGGTCTGTCTACCTACCTACCTACATACCTACATACCTACATACCTACCTACATACATACATACCTACCTACCTACCTACCTACATACATATGTATGTACATACACACACATACATGTACATATATGTGTCACGTCCAATGTTGTATTCTGTATGCTGACTAACTTATATAAAGCTTAGGATCACTGAGGACCGTCATGCGTTGTACGTTTATTGATCTGATTTGGGATAGGTTCGTATGTTGTGTGAGCGACATAGGTCGTATGTACAGACACTTACAGACACATGCAGACAACTTACATATGTAAGGTAGGTATTTATCCACGCTTCATATCAACGACTACTACACGCCAGCCCGAAACAAGAGGGGGGCGAGGAAAGCAATAGAGTTGAATGGCATATACCATAATTATAATGGCAAATCCACAAACTTATCTAAGGTTAATTAATTGCCTACCTTACATATATATACCGAGATGAGTATGTATCTCCCCACGACTACACGAAAAAAAAAAACAAAATGTGTAAGTTCCAGTTGCGACAAGCTACTGTATGTCGGAGTTTGGAGGGTTTCTCTACTATCCAGTCTTTTTTCTCGCTTCCTTTTTTTTTTCTCCTCCCCCTCCTTACTTGTTAGAAGTTTCTGTTTCCGATACGATCCATCCACCAAGATCTTCGCTGAACCTCTTTCGGTTGCGTGCCGGGCGGATGGCTTAATGCTGCTCCCTAGCAAGGAGATCCCTTCCGTAACAAGAGTTCTAAGGTTAGTAACTTTGGGTCTCTTTAGCTCTGTATCGTTAGAGCTGCTGAGGCTCAACGCCAATATATGTATGTGCTAGCACGGCATCCGATTATCGCTACATATATGTATGTCGATGTAGGTCGAGGAGGGGTGGCTAAAGACAACCTTGCATCTGCTACCACGTACGCAAACGTATGTATGTCGGCGTCCTTCAAGTATGTATGTAGGTAGGTAGGTAGGTAGGTAAGTAGGTAGTGTAGGTAGGTAGGTATGGATACCATCCGATACGAATTGTCGAATTGTGGAGGTTTATCAAGGGCATTTATGGATAAGACAACAACGGAGCTTTGTCTCTCGAGATCCACAGGTAGGTTAGGTGGTTGAGCAAATAGGTAAGGTTAGGTATCGGACTCCTACTTAGAGTAACATGGCGTGCGTTTATCGTGGAGACAATTACTCAATTCAAGGTCTTGAAGTCCTGATATAACTATGAAAACAATTACAATTGCAATCACAATTCCCTTACTTAGACACTTCCACTTCCACTTCCCCTTTCCCTTCTATCCTTTCCACAGTTGTAAATTGTCGCATTTGGTCAACAACTCCTAAATGAACAATATAATGAATCCTGCAGTTGAAACTTCTTTCCGTATCACGGCACTGCTACCATACCTACAGATGCCTACAGATCATTGAACAGAAGCGACGAATAGGGCTTGGCCGCATACCTGGGTAGGTATGTATTGACTGCAACTGGTACGCACTTCGGTTAGGATGCGTTGCCCTATCGATCGTCCAAAGTCGCACCTCATCACCATTTTCATTGGTCCGCTTAAGAGATGAAGTCTGCGCGTGCGACATAAGTCAACTCGATGTTGACCATCACGCCCGTTGATGGGAAGCCTTCCCAATCAACCAACTCGATTACGTTTCACAGGAAGCAAGCGCTTTTTCGCCTTGGCAGTGTGTGTCTTTCGTCTTTCTCCTTCTCTACCCCCCCCCCCCCCTTTTTTTTTTCTTTGATGTTGGGGGTTACGCTTTGTCCAAAATCTTCTACGGTTTTACCTACATACCTACCTGCCTACAATTATTACTATGTACTTACTTACACTTACCTACGCGTACAAGTAACTTAGCGGCGCTTAAAAATGCAATGCCGCATTCGGTGGCTTGCGCGGCGCTGCGACGGAATTGGTGCCGTAGTTCATTCCTACCGAAACGTACCTTAAGAAAGCAAAGTGGGCGTGACGAAGATGCAGCCCAGCAAACTTTTCCCACCTCCCGATTCACCCCTTTTGAACACGTCCTGTTGGATCGTTCACGGGGCCATGAATTAAATCCCCCCTTCAGGATTTTTTTTTGTTTATGCTCATCTAATGCTTACCAAGCCTTCTTGAAAAATTGTGCTTAGATGAGATAAATTGTATCTTTTACTACTTCTAACAACAAGAAAGAGGGTGACGAGTCAAGTCACCCCCCTTTCATCGGTTTCCGACTTTTCGGTCCAATTGCCCAGTTCAGATCACCGCCAACGCCATCCCGGTCGGACTACTAGGGTTGTACAACACCAAGTCAGAAGGAGATTATTTGAATAACTACCTACCTAAGAAAGCTGCTTGTTTTTTTTCTTTTTTTCTTTTTTTTTCTGACTATGGTTATTCTTGGGGTAGTGCTTCTCCAAAGGGTGAGATCCTCGGAGGGGCAACCGCCGTGTGTCTATCACATGCCAACTCGTTGGAAGTGCGATTAAGTTATCGTCATACCTCACCTGGGCAAGTAACGGGTGTAACGGGTTGTACTATTATATCCATGGATCTTAAGCTTTTCAGGATGCTTTGCTTCTCAGCAACTCAATTAAAGAACCAAAAGTGTATTACATACATGACTCCACGGCATTCAATGTCATGACGAATGATATTGACAGTGCTACTACAATATGTATGTATGTAGATGATGACCACCCAATACGGCATCCCAAACCTGCCCCTTTCTTCGTGGGGAACACGCCAATACATACATACCTACTTAGATACCTACAGATTATCACAAAAAAAAGCACGACTTCACGAAGGTAGCACAACAGCTTATGTTCCACTTGAAAGGATACGATAAATGCACGTGGCAGCCATGACCTTTCGGATCCACCCGAATATTCGATTTTCGAGCATCTGCCTTACTTAGGTACATACCTCTACCTAAGGTAAGGGATCGTGAAAGAGGTTTAAGGTGAACAAGCATCACCGCTATTTTCTCGGGGTTTCATATATCGACACGTAACAATCGCTATCAATTTATAAGCAACTCACGATTCACTTGCCTCCCTAACCATAGAGGCACATACCAAGTTTTGGCGGTGGAGTTTTCTGGTAACCGAAACGCGGAAGTCTCGCAAAAACCCTCGAATAGCATCAATCCATCACTTGTCATTCGAGCCGAAAAAAAAGAAAAGAAAAGCTACTCGTCACCAACACATATGTCTACCTAACCTAGGCAGTCCCAAAAAGCGCAGGGTTTCCTTCTTCCGCGAATCCCTATAGGTTCCCTCGTCTAACAACAACAACAACAACAACTCAATCAAGAAAAGGCTGTCGTCTTTTGCCCCCTTTCCTCCCCTCCCCTCCCCCCCCCTCTTCCCACCTCGCGCGTTTAAGAAAGGGCGCGCCTTTTTCACTCCGGAATGCCGAGCCTCCTCGCCACCTCCTCAAAGCCCCCCTCCCCCTCAGCAACCCACAGATCGACCCATTCCTCGCGCGCCTCGCGATACCGACCTTCCCGCGGCCCCCACTGCTCCTCCCCGGGCCTCTCCACATAGATCGTCCTGAAGCCGAGCTCCCTGGCCGCGGCCAGATCCCCCAGATGCGCCGCCACCATGGCGACCTCGTCGGGCCGAGCCCCCAGCGCCGCCGCCGCGCCCAGATACGTGGACGGGTGCGGCTTGTACGCGCCAAAGTCGGCCGTCGAGATGATACGGCGGAACCCGAGGCCGCCGTGCGCGTCGAGGTCCCGCAGCAGCGACTGGTTCCCGTTCGACAGCGTCGCCGTCTGCAGCCGCGTCCCCAGCCGCCGGATCCCCGCCGCCGAGTCCGCCCACGGGCGGAGCCTGTGCCACACCAGGCTTAGCGACCGCACTTCCTCTCCCCCCTCGTCATCGTCATCGTCTGCGGAGGAGGGGAGGAATATATCAGCGAGCCCCCAGGCGCGCAGCAGCACGCGCAGCGAATCCAGGTGGTGCGCGTCGATGTCCTTCCACGCCGTCTCCCCCGGCACAAAGGTGCTCGTGAAGACGTGGTATGACGCGCGCCACTCCTGCGCGAACCGCGCCCAGTCGTCGGCCGTCAGCGCCTCGAGGCGCGCGCGCGACGCCGCGGGGAGCGACGCGTAGGTCGGCGAGGCGACCTTGGCTTGTGCGACCTCGGCTAGCGCGTCTTCTACCGTCGAGCGCCAGTCTACGACCGTCCCGAATACGTCGAAGGTTAGGGCTTTGATGTTGCGGAGGGCGGGGGGGACCACGGGGTCGGTCATTTTGGTGTAGGTGTGTATTGCGTTGTCTACCTATGTGTGTGTATGCGTATATATATCTATATGTATATTATGATATTGTGTGTATGTTTGTAAGTATACCTAGGTAGGTCTAGTCGTTCGCTGTCTACATGTGATCCGACTGATGTCGTGGTAACCAGCAAGCACCCCTTCTCCTCGTAAGGCGGAACTGTACTATGCAGAGCTAGGTAAGCAATAGGTTAACGTGATCCGGCTATTAAAAGAAAAGGGTGGGGCAGCGGCTGCTAAATGCCGAGAATTGATAGCGAGGCGTACCTTAAGCTTGTACTGTTTCTGTCTATACCCCTAATTATTTCCGACTTTGTGTGGTGGATCTTGAGTGGCTTTTTGCTGGGGAATAGGGAATAGGGAATATCACGGCAGCCAATCCTTTGTCGTTGATCTGAGGGGTAGTATAAATACCGGAGTTGAGTTGTAGAGGTAGGTTAGTAACCTCTTGTTATACTTGATTAGATACTTGATGTCTTTACTGTTTTCTGTTCGATTTCCCTTATACCTTCAAATACACGTTGGTAGTGCCATAGGGGTAGTGAGGAGATGAAGAGAAGGGTTACAGTGGCGTTACCTATGGCATAAGAAAGGCGTCTATGATATCGTATACTGCTGCATACCTAGGCTGGTCCTTATACTACAATTACCAACATGTACTTCCCAGGCCGCCAATTATAATCTTACAATATGTCGCTACTGCGGCTTATAACTTGAATACATACCTAGGTTAGGTAGGTACATTGTTACTGCTACCTATTATATTGGTTGATAGTTACACCTACATTGCCCATTGCAGGACTGGACAACTCCACCCAATTCATAGGTACATTTCAAACATCATAGCTTCCTTACTTGTCCTGCAAGCAAGCTTCCCTCGTGTCTCTATCCCGGAGGATGGCCTTTTCCTCGACCTATGGAAGGCATTTATTTAGCTTTGTATGATAGTCGCCAAAAAAAGGGGGCTGAGAGGTTCATATTTCCTTCGACTCTAATCCGGGATGCCTTATAGTAAGTAATCAACAGCCCATCACCAGAAGTCTTTGCTTCGGCGATATAGCCTCCTTTCCCTTTATGACTTCTAAGAGTAATAGATAATACGTCTAATAACTCCCTCAGTACTGGGCTCATTGCTTATAAAGCCTCGCACAGTTTGCCCCTGAAAAGGATTTGCCGTAGAAGCTTCGATGGGCAGTTCGTGGCGGGATAGAAGGTAGTGTAAGAGCAGAAGTGATAGACCCCTGACTACGCTTCTGGTCCATCATAGCCTCGTGTATGTATGTCTAAGCCATACTGACGCCTCATCTGTGTACCTAGGTTAGGTAGGTACGTATACAGTGTTGAACTTACATGTAGGTGTAACTATCAACTCCGCAGTTCTCTTCGCAACAATGAGTTTGTGTCTGGTCTGCCTTCATGATAATTCTGTCTTCTCTTTTCAGTGGTAGAATCAAGACCTGGCATCCCTCTAGCTCTAGTCACAGTCTTCAACGTGATGAGGGTTAATCATGTATGCAGTGGCTATAGGGAGTAAATATACTACCTCAGCAAGTGCCGTGGACGTGCGTGTACAAACCGAGAAAGCCGCCTATCCTTCTGCACGGCAAGCTGGCTAGCCATCTCTAGGCTGAGGAGGTGCTCAACAGGCAGTAAGAGTGATAGAAGCCCGGAGAAGTATCACGAAATACGGCGGAAGAAGGACATCAGATACCAACGGGTTGCTTCATGATTTGTATAGCTTGTGCGTGATACATGTACCTCTTGTCCGCTCATGTCATTGACCTAGACGCGTTTATACCAGCTAAACTCCTAAGGTCCGTCTCGACGTAGTTCGCTGATAGGTAGCCCTTGGTGCTTCATACCATTAGGCAACCTTTAGGTGAGCAAGAAAACCGGCATAGTACTTCGTGTCTATGCAGAAGCTAGTACCTTTGATAGATAGTCGACTTGCCAGCTCTAGTTTGTACCCTGTTCATGTAATGTTGGTAGTTTATACTCATCAGGAACTTCCGTAGTGGCGTATGGGGCATGAGGGTAGATTCAGAAGCAGAACGGAGTCATAGAGTGAGACGAGCAGTAAGTATCAAGAAGTATCTGGGGGAGAAGCCAAGTTTGTATACGCGTGCCATATCTAACATACCAACCTTGGAAATATTGCGTCTTAATACCGGGCCGATAGGGGGTCAGCTCCTAAAAAGAAGGGTAGATGTATTAGCAAAGTTCTATCTGATAACTGTTAAGGCTCATAACGCATCGAAGTCTAGATGCTATTTCTGCCAACTCCGGTTCATACTGATACGCACATATTCTGTGAAGTGTGTATACCAACGCCTACGACAAAGGTTTGTTCGAGCACTGACGAAACAATTCACAAGATTACATGATATGTCGAAACTAGGTCGCACTCACCAGTGTGTGAACTCTACTTCAACTCTACTTCATCCACATTTCACCGACATGACAGTTACTGATCTAATACACTTAGCTGCCTTCAAATTTCCTTTAACGAAGCCTGTACATATTACTTATCAACCAAGGTAGTTAGCTGAAGATGTCCACATACTGCCCAAGTACGTCAGGACTGTCACGCAGTTGTGACCATTGCTACCTAGGGGGCTTCAGTCTTGGCCGTGATATCATGAGCCAACCTGCATCTAGAGTCGTCGTGTTGTTCATATATGTGCATAAATACATTAGAAGGAGGACAAACGAGTTCTATTATTTGGACTTTGTGTATCAGATACCCAGCGATTATCTCCTGATATGCAAGCGAGTTGATGTCCTCTGGATTATGACATAAATATGGTGTAATATATGAAGATTATGTACGTCTCGTCTCATATGACCTTGACCCAAATCTACGGTACTGGGCACCCAGATTAACAACCTGTACCAAGGTACATCGGTATGTATGATGTGCACCATGATGCCTCTGTTCACGAAACAGCAAGGCTGATGCTGCTCTGCCACACAACTGATAGACAATATTGCCCATATAACCCAAGCTACGGTCCATCTACAGCGTACCACGAGCGTAGGCCAAGAAATACTTTTACTACTCAATATCGCCCCCCTCAACCTTACAATACAAAGGGAAGCTGTAGCCTAGGTAGGTAGCCCTAAGATACATTTCGAAGGTTGCAATTTGTAATGGCGCTGGAGACAACCAGACAACTCTTAACGATGGGAGACACGCGACACCCATGTTCTGCTTCTTCCCTACCGGCGCCTATTTCATATGATCTAGGCGTTTGGGCACCTACTAATTAAGTAATTATGTAGCCCTGGAGGTATCTTTTTCAAGTAGGTTAGTATTAATAGGCAGCCGGTATATGGGGCCGCGTAATGATACCCGCGCCCCGTTGGTCTGGGTCCAATTCCAACTCTTGATGGCCTATGTTAGTTATGAACAAAAAAGGAATAAAAAAAAAAGATCTTCGATCGAAACTTATCGATGAGAGGGGGGAAGGGGAAGAGTGATATTAGACTCATTTGAATAAGTTAACTTGGCAAACAGGCAGCTCCACGCGAGGCTTAGCCCAGGTAAAAACTACATAACCTCTGTTGATCATGTCGCCACGTTTGATTTGATATTTAGCTACCTAGGTAGTGTAATAGAGGCCTCTCACGTACGCACACATTGGGTCTCGTCGCAAAAGTGTTACTTAGCAGCTAGTTAGTGGTGTGAGTTTACGACATCGAATGTTTGCAAACGCATCATCAGAGATGATATATGAGCGAGTGACTGACTGCTGATTAACGCCGTAGGATGATCCTTTTCTTACCTCCATGATGGGAATCTGGTTGGTTGGTTGCTCTGTAGCAAACATCGCGATGGAATATTTGACCGAAGCCCGCCGCGTCGGTATATTTCGGATTGATCCCTCTCCCCAGCCTTGAAATTGGGGTCTGGAGTGCCGAGGCCCGTATCGACGAGGTATACTACATACATATTTCGAACGGAAGATTTGACAATTGCGAGAAATTATCTGGATACCTAACTAGGTACCTAGAAATAAGACCAATCGAGGCCAGATAGAAAGCAGGGACCCCCCACCCTACGAGAATCTGGAATTGCCTCTCCCAACAATTAGACTTGACAGGTGAGCCGTACAAACTGGTAGGCTGGTTCTCACCGATCCCGCGTAAGGGGGCCGGTACGATTCCCGAACTACCTAGATCACGCTGGACATAGTAAGACAAAAGACTCCACGCAAGGGAACGCTGAGGCTCAGTCATCTCCACATCTCACATCTCAAAAGGAAAAGTGGCTTGGTCCTTGCTCTCATGCTAATAAACATGAGTTTTGGCGCGCCCTTTCAACTGGGTCATGCACAGGTCAGTAGACCTCTTAACTAGGCACGTAGTATGTTGACTCGGGTGTTTCATCTTCTTGAACGTTCCGCTGCGGGCCATTCGCTACGGCCGACGATGAGGTAACGCTCCGGCGTACCGACGCGAGTTCGGACACCCGAATAGCCCGCGCGGGTCCTGCAAAGATAAGGGGCTTTGTGACTACCCGGAGCGGCATATGTACCTACATAAGATACCTACATGTGAAGTGTATGCATATATGTAGGTAGGTAATGTACAATACGTAAGCTGCATGTACCAAGTATAAATCAAGGCACTTACCCCGGGTAGGCCACCCAGTATAAGACATAGGCAGGCAGGTAGGTTGTAAATAACGTACATAAACGTTGCATGCCCACCCGTCCCGCGGACAGGGAAGCGCCCTATTAAGATAGCCAATGCAATTCATCCAACTACGAAGAACACAGCCCTTTACGTTACAGTGGTGTGAGTTGGGATGGCACGTAATACCGGATATGTGATCGGTCAATTGCAAATTCGGGATGAGGTTGTTATGCAAGAGCGGTTGAAATCGATGCAAGCCCCGAAGTGTGATTCTCCTTGCATTGAACGAGTCGATCGCTACAAATGGTACCTAGATAAATGGGGAGAGGGCAACGGAACCAGGGGTCCAAAGGTTCCTGTAGATTGGTAGGCTGTCAGATTATGTTGGATGTGAAAAGGAATTTTAACCGGATGGCTTATGTTAGTTATTATTTCTTCTTTTCTTTCCGTCACACAAATCGATGATGCTTAGGACGAAATTGAAAACGCCTCATCGAATCAGCTCACTGCGTTGGCTTTCGCTGCCGTGTGGACGAGTAAGACGGGCCAGGTTCCCCAGGTGCTCGTACCAGACTCCGCTGGGATATGGATGAAAGAAACGGGCCGCGTGTTGAAGGGAACCACTTCATAATATCTAGCGTACGCCTTCTTGGTCCTTGGTTTTATTATCTTTTCTGTTGCTATTCTGGCTAGCGTAATTCCACTACACGTCAACCTTCTTACATAGCACTATGATAGCAGTTAGCTACCGATGAGGTAGGTAGACATGCTTTGGGGCAAATATTGTTGGTGGCAACTTGGTGCAGATATTGGAGGGTTCATATGCAGGTAACAAGATCGATAGTTTCGCTACTCATACTTGCTTTGGTTAGAGGCCTTGAACTGCCGGGACGCTCTCTAAAATCCGAAATCCTCCAAATAATCTCTAGTGCTGTGATAAGAATTTACTTCCACTCCTCGAGTAGGTAGTTTCAGGAGATCCTAGCGGGAGTTACCCGGCTCGCCCGTTTTCCCGATTCAGTTATGTGGCGGACGTAATAGGTAAGGCATCCATCCGATTTAGCAAGGAGGTGCCTAGTAAATATCGAGCTCGAGAAGGTTTGTGGTGTTCTAGCTCAGGCCACTTTTGCTCCTTTGCAGCTTTGCTACATAGCACACTGGGCACTGCCCAGTGGGCAGAGGGACATAATAGTACGACTTTAGTCTATAATAGATCTTGGAATACGCCGCGATCTTGTTCCGCTACTATGTACTATTATGGCTTTAGCTTGGCACCCGATGTGTCGGAGACGCGATGTTGCGTCCTCGGTCGGTCAACGAAAACTGCAAGATATGCGGAGGTTGCAATAGAACTGGTTGGTCAGCAGCATCCTTCATAGATGCATTCAAAACCTGCGGAAAGCTCTTCTGCCTGACCTACCTACTATGAAAATTATGTTGATAATTGGTTATGAGTTTACGACGGAAGTTATACGCGATTCGTACATAGTACTGTACTGTAGTTGTGTACAGTAGAAGACTAGAAGCTGTGATGGAGGGGCGGAAGGGTATCTTACGTTTACGCCACTTCGATCTGAAATGTTACCACAAGCCGTTTCCTGGAGTGTACTGTTCAGCCGCATCAGCATTGTTTTATGGTAATTATCGTTTTGTGAGCCTCACGAACTGTCGAGCATCTTCGGGCAAGAAGATCAAACGTTCCAAAGTTAGAAGAAACCCGTTTCTCCCTAACCCTATTCGCATCCAAGCAACTTGCTAGCAGGCATAAAAACACGTGCTTCGCTTTTTTATCCCAAGGGGGAGGGGCGCAGGCAGCCCAGACAGCCAAAGTCGAGCTGTTCTGGTAGATCGTAGAGTCTAGACAGGGGGGGTTGGGTCGCAGGACCATTGCATCAATCACAGTCGCAATTCGGTTGTTAATGAGAGGGTGATTCCGTCAAGTTTTCTGCCTCGATTGCGCCCGCGTCCAAGTGGCCATTGGAACATGTGATATCGAAGCCGATAGGGCTAGCATCTTCGCTAGTTGAGCAACGATACGTTCAGACAACAATTGGAACCCTGAGCCTGTAATTCGTATATTGCCCCAAATACCAACTGCCCTTTTAGACGAATGTGGCCAATGCACGCGTGAACTCGCTGGAAGCGTGGAAGCGAGCGAGATTCACTTTTTCAGGTTTGATAGGCTGGCCCCTAATGCCGGAAGGTTCAGGGATTTTGCAAGCCCCCATTGTGAGGCCTACTGAGGGAATTATGATTGTGATAGTTGACAAAGACCCTTGGAAACCCTTGGAGAAGCAGGGGGATACGGCTTCCAGGTTATATTTAATTTTAGTGAGGAGCATAGGGATGCTGCCAACGGCGTCTTCCGGGGGACCTTGTAAGCTGTCAACGCATCGGCTACCTACTATGTATATCTTGCGCTATGCATCACATACATATTATGCTAAAGCATGTACGATGATGGAGGACATCAAGGTGAGCTGTCAGAGATTGATTGTCGTTGTATTTTCAAGAATTAGCAATATCTGATCTGAGTTGATTCTCATGATTTTCATGATTACCATGATTGTCTGTGCGACACCTCTTATAGATTAGTAATATTTGATCCGCAAGGGAGGACCAATATGTGATTAGTGACATACATATTCTGACGATATGTAGAATAAACGACACATCTTAAGAGTTGTAACCTCTTCTCAATATGGGCAGCAAATCATAGCATGATGCGTTTGCCATCATTATTTTCTAAACGGTTGGACCGTCTCGTGCCTGTCCATGCGGCTGTGCCTTGCATATGTAGCCGAAGTGACACTTGGGCACAATCGTGTTTCGAAGGGTGGCCATTGGAGACATGCTTTGATAACAACGAAGGCCCAACTTCGTCTGTCTATTCTAGGGTTATTGTACCTATGTAGGTACTATGTAGGTGTGCAATGGCAAAGCTCGGTAACTTATTGTGCACACTACTAGGCACACTACTAGGTAGTAGTAGAAGATCTGTATGTATGCCAAGTACTCTTCACTGGGCCCGGAGTGAATAGATGGATGTAACGGTTATCTCTTCGGTGGTTGTAATTATCATGCTAATAGCTGGGTTGAAGACAAGAGATCAGCATCTGAAATATTATAGCTGGAACTTCCTATTGGTCAATGTGTGTTCGAGGTATTTGCTAACTTAGGTAGTAGAGCCGAATAGAATCTCCTCGGGACTTGAACTCTACCGCTACTGTGTAGTATGCATCGTTCTATCATCTAACAATGTGCTATGTAGATAGTGTCTTTGTTAGCAATATTATGACATGTAGGTATACCCGATAGTAGGGGACGTAATGGGTGATGATGTGCGCCTCACTTGGAGCTGTCAAGTAAGCTCTCTATTAACCTAACTAATTAGTTATGTAGGTTAGACAGCTAAAGGAGCTCAGGGCCTAAGTAGTAAGGTGAATAGAAAGGTCCACCTTTTGTAGTTCGTCTGCTTAGCGTTAGTGTAGTTATCATGTTAATCCATGAATGGATTCCGAGAGAGCGGGTTCCATATGTATGCTATTGGTCTATTCTAAGTACTATGTAGGTATACCTGCTGAAGTTAGCTTCAATTTTTGTACACATGTGCAGTACAAAGTCCTATGCAGTACGTACGTACTTGAAGTTACAATACGTTGTATAATACAACATATGTACATGTCTCACCCTTCCTGCCAAGGTAATTGGATGATGGTTCCATATTAGCCTTTCAAGGGACTATCCTTGTCTAATGCTAGGTACCTGCCTTTAGCTGCATCTTTTGGCTCTGGCACCTGCTTTTTCCACGGCTTCGGAACCGTTTGGGTAATATTCCATCCCTGCCAATTTTTTCTCAAGTCATCAAGCTTTGCCTATCGTGACTTAGCTCATAACTTCACACATGGCAAGAATGCCTGTCTTTCAGCGTCTGGTAGATTGCACTGGCAGATTGCACACAATGCCTAACGCTTGGATTGCTTGGATTGCTTGGGTTTCGCCGACCACGAGTATGTATGTATCGTATCGTATTGTACATACTACCTACACTAATTATCGAGTACGCGTAGGGGAACATTGAGCTTCAAGTTGAAGCTTGCACAGCTTACACATAACTACCTACCATCTAGGTTACACTGATTCTACAGTCCTACATACCTACTCAGGTACAGAATATCCTTGGATTCCTTCAATGTTCTCTTGCATACGTACTCCACATAATGCAGAAGGGGTTGATGCAGTAGCACAGTTACATGCATCCCGCGTCTTTCTCTGGATTCTCCGCGTTCGCTCATGTATGGATGGCTATCCCATCCCATGTCTGCAACTCCAAGAGGTGTATGTATGTACCTCCTAGGTTAGGTGGTTGTCTACATGTATCCTGGCGTCACGGTCTGGCCCTGACATCCCATGTCAAGTGGGTAATCATTACGGAGCACATCGCAAATCGCACATCGCACATACGACATCTGTAACTTGGTTGGTTGTAGGCTCTCTGTTTCTTTTTTTCTTTGCTTCTGGCATCTTGTTCGGCTTGTTTTACGACATGACACCACGTCTAAGTCTACCTGACCTTCGTCCTTTTGCTTTCCCTTCTTCGCGCGTCTCAGCTATAACGACAAATCTAGAACAGCCGTTAGACTTTTTTTATTTTTATTTTTATTTTTTGACTCGTCATTCTAATCTTCTACCCACTCCGTCTATTCTTGCGTCAGTGTTCTCTGGGGAAAACCCATCAATTACCCCGAATCTAATGCATATTCGACCGAGCGTCTCGTGCATCCAAGATAGCACAACACTTGCCGGCCCCGACTGTTAATTGATACACTAACAAGAGCGCGGACCTCTTGGATTCAAGTTGACATCCTGCCCATCACTTCTTTTCCCTTTTCAATTTTCTGTTTCGCGTTAGAATGTTCGCCAGTTCCGTGTCCAGGTAACGAGGTTGAGCTCTGTTTCTAACCTCCTGAATGGTAAGGCACCTACCTAGGTCAGGTATTTTCATACTCTTTTGAGCCAACTGTTTTGGGCCGATGGCTAATAACGAATGAGTTATAGAATTAAATTCATGGATAACTCGTACCTGTGCTTGGTATAGATATTCATATTTGTAGCATCGGTGCTTTCTAAATATTCTTGATATTCTTGTACACTATTATCAGTCTTCAGTTCACACCATCTCCAAAGATTCCCCTATTTTATCCCACAGCTGAGGTTAGTTCATTTTACTATTATACCATTTCATAATGTAATTCCTAGAGTCGGCTATACTCATATTTATCTTGAATATCTCTCAGTATGCCTGATGCCTGACACTAACAGAATTAGACCACCATTTCGTTTCCATTAGCAGTACAAGCTATCATTTCATCGTACATAGTACTTGGTATGTTCGGAATCATCCAAGCTCATGTCCAATCCCTGGTTTTCTAAATCTCAAGATAGGTTAGTGCTAATTGTGGAGTTAGTTGTATTAATGCAAATCCCATTCATTCACGTACATCGTCACTCTCTCGTACGCAGGTCAATCACCCCACTGCCAACAAGGGTATACATAGTGGAGCTGAGCGTTTGGACCCTTTCCTAAGATTGAACAAAAGACTGCAAATCCGGAGTCAATGCGAGCTTGTCTGCTCTGCTCTGTGTGTCTCATAGAAGCCAACCGCATCATATTCAACCGGGAAACCGGGCTGGATAGTGAACGACAGCAACACTAACCGGCAGCAATCATGGCTGTATGGGAAACCGAGGATGAGTTGGGCAGCGCTGCAGCAGCTTCATTGCCCACTCCAACCAATACGCCCTACCGGACTCCTTCACAACGATCAAAACGATCATCACGATCGCAACGATCGCGCCGCTCCGCCACACCTCCAGGTATCGCTTCCTCGCCTCCGCCGCCGCTACCAAGGGAAAACCTCGAGAAAAGTTCCAAAAGGTCTTCCAAAAGGTCTTCCAAAGATGTCACCATGGACGAATCCATCAGCATCTTAGACCCTCGCCGTTTTACACCTACCCTCCATGCAAACCTCGTGTCTGAAATATTGGCCCTGCGACGAGATCAGGAAGAGAAGCTTAAAATCATTGAAAGCCTTGAAACTTCACTGCATACTACCCGACAGGAACATGAGTCTCTGCAATCCAACTTGGCTAACACGACAAAAGAGGGTAGATCCCTGAAGCGGCAGCTAGCTCTTCTTGAAGGAGGAACTTCGTCAGCCTTAGGCGAATTAGCACGAGAACGTGACGAAGCAGTTGATTCGATAACCGAGACTAAGAGACGACTTGAGGTGGCACAGAAAAAGGTCCGAACCCAGGAGGAAGATTCACAAAGGGTCCATGACCTTTGGGCTAAGGACAAGGATGATTGGAACGAAGAAAGACGAAAATATGAGCGAAAACTACATGTAGCCGAAAGCCGGCTCAGGGTTGTACTCGAAGAAGTTGCTAATCTGCAAGCATCTCAGGTGAACGGGATCAACAATGGACCCGAGAGTGATGGTGAGGAAGGGGGGAAGGAGAATGATGGTGCTAGTGTACGGACAATGAGCCTGACTAACAGCAACCGATTCTCGATGATGAGCGGCCCAGGCATGGGCAAGATCAATGGCCATTGCCTTGCTGATGAGCTCAACTTCGATGACACGGATTACGAGACTGATCCTGATGGTCGCCAAAGTATCATCTCCCCCCCGAGACACAAGCGAAACCAGAGCCGGGATAGTATGATGTCGCGATCTCACCGGCGTAACCAAAGTAACGATGGTCCGGCACGTCCCGGCAGCATTATACGGAGCAGGATGTTCATGAACCAGACCGTGCTTGACAGGCTGGAGGGCGGAATTCGCGAAGACGACGAGTACCCTGTAGCATCTGAAAAGGTACAGTACACCGATACAGGTGTCCAATTCACTCCACCGTCGTCTCCAAAATTACCTCCTGCAAAGCCATCAACTCCAGAGCCTGTTTCAAGGAGCGAGAAGTCGATGGGGCTGGAGAGTCCTCGAACCGAGGGTGAAATCGAAGCAAACCAGAGTCGTAAGAGGGTGCAGCTCAACAGACCAGTACCAATAGAGCCCCAGAAGCCAGCAAAACCAATGGTATCAGCCGCATCTCAAACATTAGAGAATGTACCGCTACTGGTAACGTCTGCACCAATAATCGTGGAAACAAAGCCTCCTGTCGCCATCGTCTCCAGGTCGATTGCTATTCAGACTGATCCTACCCCCACAGCGAGGCAACTTACCCCGGAACCGCGCGCGATACCCAGCATTAGTATAATCCCGCCCACAAGTCGACCGTCAACACCACGCGAGCATCGCCTACCTCAGTATGTTAAAGATTTCGGATGCCAGGTTTCACTTTTGGAGTGGAAGCCTACAAACGAGGCTTCAGTTCAGACGGATGAGATCCGGATTGATAAGAGACTAGACAGATTGCCGCGCCATCTTCATCCATCTGCCATTTCATCACGGCCTTCATCCCCCACTGCTGCTTCATCGCTTGATGAGAACAAAATCTTTACTCCCGTTCCTGGACATGTCCCTCCACGAAACCCACGTCGTTTGGAAGGCAGACGAAGCTTCTCAGCTGATTTGCCGTCATCACCGCCAGATTCTCCCACGGCAACAGATGGGCTGGGTACACGAGATGCGTACCCTGGCAATAATGATGACGGTCCATTGTCGAATACTAAAGCACCAGTGAGGCGGCCACATCGTATTAGTAGCTTATTTGCCGGATTTGATGCCCAAAGCTCGGACGAGGTTGACGAATTCGATGGCGACCAGAGCGACTCGGAGTACCGCACAGCACTTGCCCCAAGACCTAAAACAGGGCCTGGTAAATCTGTCAAGCGTGTGTCTGCGAGCGCAGTCCCAGTCCCACACCTCACAGCGCCGGAGCAGACTAAAGCTACCCGGCATTCAACGAGCGCTATGAGCAGAGCCGGAGGTCCGGAGGTTCATAGCTCTTACCGCTTAGCTGATGCCCCAGAAGGTTTAGCAAAACCGTCGCTCAAATTAGCTACTCGAACATCGGATAGGACAGCTGCATATAGCACAGGCTCCCGAGCCAGCGTTATGCGGAAGTCAGCAATGATCCAGAGTGGCATTGCTTCACATCAGGGCCGTCCGCGAAGCCCCAGTATACCCGAAACGCGGGATCCGCCATTCCCTATCCCTACTAGGGCAAGTTCAAGAAAGCCACCTTTCAGCATCAGCGCTCCGAGTGACGGTCAACGTAGTCCGACGCGTAACGGCGAGGCCTCAAACCGTCGCGGTATGAGAAGCAGTACATATAGGACCAGTAGTATTCGCAAGGTTCGGTCTGCTGTCGTCTTGCCTCGAAACCAAAGGCACAGAAGGCAGAGCAGCCGCTCGCCGCCACCACTATCGCCATCAGAGGAGGGTCCTGAGAGCCCGCGCCTCCCCCCGCTTCCATCTAACGATATTACAACTCCTCGTCGTGATTATGGTCGAAATCGTGGCCACATGTCTCAACCCTCAACGAATACCGCCAATACTGAGAATACGAATATGGGTTCTGTTGGAAGCAACCAACAAACGTCGACGGTAGTAGATGCTATTGCGCAGACGATGGTCGGAGAATGGATGTTCAAGTATGTCAGGAGGCGTAAATCTTTTGGCGTAGCCGATGGTGGAGGACGTGGCGAGGAAAATAGCAATGACCGTCATAAGCGATGGGTATGGCTCGCGCCTTACGAGCGTGCAATCATGTGGAGTAGTAAGCAACCGGCGTCGGGCAATGCATTGATGGGCAAACCCGGCCGGAAATGTAAGCGATCTCGTAAACCCCCTACCCGGAACAAACGTCACTAACTCCTTCAGCAGTAATCATACAATCCGTGTTGGATGTCAAGGATGACAACCCTCCACCAAAGGGGGCTAGTCAAGTTTTCAACCGATCAATTCTAATCTTGACACCCGAGAGAGCATTGAAATTTACCGCGGCGACGGCCGAGCGACACTATCTCTGGCTGACATCGCTATCATTCCTTGCGCACTCACAACAGGAGGTTCCTGAGATCATCCCAGCAGTAAATCCGCCAAATATCGGACCAGCGCCGGGATTCGAGATGCCGCCTATCAAAACCAAAAGACCTGGTATCCGTGACTCGATAAGACTGACGAAGGGAAAGAACCCTGCCTTGGCGGGTCGCCATAATGGTGCTGCAAACAACAGACATATTGAGGAATCGCTAGCCTCGTTAAGAGAAGAGGCGCTTCCTCCATTACCAACCCACCAGCGGGAATTATCGCGCGATGTAGCAGAGCCACCTATGATCCCCCGATTCCATGACAGGTCAAATGATCGAGTACATGAACGGGCTAACCAAGTCGTTCTTCATGGGCGTAAGAGGAGTAATACGGGCGGCCATATTCCTCCACCCCTCTCATTCCGTGGCTTCTCTGGACCGGCAAGTCATAGTACTTCTTACCATGCCTCTACCAACAGCACGGCGGGTAATAGTGTGGGCACCGCTGGCTCATCGGATATATATCAATCACAAGGCTCCACCAATATGACCTGGGGCATGAGCACAGCTGGTTCCCAGCGGACGTCGGAAGCATCATCACGCCAGACAGGCAATTTCTTCGAGGCTATTGGTACCGTGCGGATGGAGGCTTTCATTAGTCCGTTGACGTTTCCCAAATTCGAAGAACATCCAGATGAAGAAGAGGAGTGGCGATACAGAGCGCGCAGACGAAGTAAGGATGCTCGTCGGCGCCGTAGCCGCAGTAGACATCGGGATAGCTATGTTTCCCGTGGTACGCGCGGTACAGATTCCTATTACGCTGGAAGTAGGGCAGGGGAAGAGGACTACTTCCGAGACGACCCTTTCAAGGGATTCTAAGTGCTTAGTATCCTTTCTACTGATTTGCCTACATATTCATCATTGGTATTTGAATATGCAGATACCCTAAAATTCACTATGTCGGTTGGGCAAGCGGGACCACTGGGTAGGGAAACAACCTTGGAAGGAAGTAAGGAAGGGAATCGGATTGTATCTATATTTGTCCATCGGAGTTATTGGAGTTCTGCGTGTCCAATTCACCTACAAAATCTTTGCCGAAAAGATCGGTGTACGAGTACGACACTTGCCATTCACTTTCACTTGGTCATCTTTTTATGTCACATTTATATACCAGAAAACCCTTGTGAGCACTCGCAATTCTGTTTAGCGAATGCATTCTTGTATTATAAACTTACCTGTCACCCTTCTGGACCATTCTATCTTCTTTCTCTTTTTTTTGAATTTTCCTTTTCTTCTCTTCTCTTTTTCTTTTTTCTCTTCGGGGTCTGGAAAGGGAGGGAACTGAAACCTTGAGGATGGGATTTGAAGAAGGTAAAACAGGCCTGGAAGGCGGTAGGATAAGCCTGTGTTATCAAGTGAAGGCTTACATACATATGTAGGAAGCAAGGAGGCAAGGAAGTAAAACTAGAGAAGCATCCGGCTTGGGTCTCAGGGCCAATTTTTGAGGAGATGGCGAAGGGAAATCTTGAGACATTCTGTGTGAACAGATTCTAGCCTTGATGTATACATACATACTTGGGTACCTAAGTTAGTAGCTAGAAAGAAGAAGAACAAAGATATCCTCAGAAATGAGCCCATTTATATGCATATGCATACGTGCTCTTACAATAGTAGTAAGTTGTATCTCATAGTTGTATACCTGCTAAGTACGGGTCTGGTGTTATTACGTAATCTGACCAATGGCTACTAACCTTAGTCACTTCCAGCCTCAAGAGATAGATTCCTTACTTTTTAATATAGAATAAAAGCAACTAGATTACCAGTCATTGTGATCTATGTATATGATATGGGCGTCCTAAATCACAGTGTTGGCAACTGGGGAACCTGGTAAGACATTTTGGCCATTGCCACGATTCGCGCAATAAAACGGTATATAACGTTATTGATGAGCCTTAATCATCCTTATCAGCCCCTCAAAATTTATGTATGTATTCAAGTTGTACATATATATGTACATGTCAACGGTGCAAACATACTAGGTACTAGGTACCTTCGCGGTTCAAATTCAATTGTTGCCTGAGCTTGCCATCGATGGATTTAATTATCATCCGCTCCACGGCACGAGACATCATTGCTCTTTCTTATAACTTATAGCTTTTGACCCGCGATATACATATAACTTGACTTATGCAACCGACCTGGGCAGTAAATCGTATATCCCATATTCTAATCTCGCATTCTCCAGCGATTATCATTCAAGTTTATTCTTGATTGTTACCCTTCCTTTTCTTACTCGACCACCAACAACGCCGAACTCCGAATCTAGTTACTCACCCGCCTGACTTGATATAACCTCACAGCGAGCCATCCTCCCAAACACAAACGCTGTATTTGCGTTATAGCTGCCAATATGTTAAAGCTTTGGTCTATGGTACTTCTAATTCCCTAGTACTGTCTCATTATACCACATGTTCTAATAGCATCCTCGCAGAAATCAGCCCAACAAAAGGCGGAAAATGCTGATGGTGCAGCCGGCAAGAAAAAGAAGGTTACCTCAGCCCAACTGCGGGTACAAAAAGGTAAGCACTCATCTTCAACTTGACCACTGAAAATATCTACAAGAATTCGGCCTACTCACTATCGTTTCATTCTCCCCGGCGCACAGATCTCTCCGAACTCTCCCTAGGCACAACCATGAAGACGATATTTCCCGACCCCGACGACATCCTCCACTTCATACTCGAGATCACGCCAGACGAGGGAATCTACTTGGGGGGCAAGTTCACATTTACGTTCACCATGGGCCCCAACTATCCACACGAGCCTCCGAAGGTCCTCTGCCAGGAGAAGATTTACCACCCTAACATCGACCTTGAAGGCAAGGTTTGCCTGAACATCTTACGAGAGGACTGGAAACCGGTCCTGAACTTGAATGCCGTTATTGTCGGCTTACAGTTCTTGTTCCTCGAGCCCAACGCCTCGGACCCGTTGAACAAAGAAGCAGCAGATGATTTGCGCCTAAGTCGCGATACCTTTCGTCGGAACGTACGCTCTTCTATGGGTGGAGGTACAATACGCGGGGTTACTTATGACGTGGTCGCAGTCAATCGAATCTAGCAGAACCCAGACTATATGGCTTGACAACAAACTATGTTGTCACTGCAACAATCGTATCTACATCTACTTCGACCGTATGGGCCTGGGTACAAACAACCTGGCAATAGTAAAAGCTTCGTGCAGGGTAACCGGGACCGGTGGAAGGGAATATCGTGGCACTCAGGCTAGTGCTGCCCTGAGTGCATTACAGCGCGCACCCGAGAGGATAGAGAGGAGGTTTTCTTAGATGAAGACTTCGAGGAAGACTGCTACCCTTATCTCAGTATCTCATAGCCCTGAGATGATACACAGCACACGACACACGACATATGACAGACTCGGATAATTACCTGGTAGGCAGGGCACCGGATAAGGGACGCATTGCGAGGTACCACAGCAAGGTATTAAGTAAATAGATACCCTGGCTAGCAAGCATCAAACATGGAGAGATTTATAACATTATAACACGCATGGATTCTGTCCATAATTGTCAATGTTTTTGGGAGAGTAGGCATATATATTCGTGAGTTATCGTTACATATGTCCATCAATGATATGGATAGTTATATCCATGGATGTATGGATGTACCTAATGTTCTGAAGTATGTACATAACTACATATGTACATCTAGGTAGGTACATTGGTACAGATCAAGTGTTTCGCCATATATGCACCCCAGGCCCACTCTTCAACTTGCCCGGGCCGGGTTTTGCCCCACCATTCATGGCGGGCAAAGGTTTTGATTCGACTCATCGCCGAAGTCGCAGGTTAAGGTGTAGCTTCCCAGACCCTGGAAAGAAAAAAAAATTCAGTTGAAAGTAAAAAAAATAAAAAATAAAAAATAAAAAAAAATCTTTAACTGAAAAAGCCAAGCGCAAATTGTAGCCTCTCAAATAAGATCTACCCATTGAGTGTCTTCTCCCCCATCATTCAAATCCATTTTCCCTCTATATTCTTTTTCTTCATCCCACGATGGCTTCTAGAGGTTTTTCTAAGGCTCTTCGTAGCCAATTGGCCCGTCGTGTGGCCTCGCCTGCTGTTCAGAGACGCTCTTTCGTCGTGGCGTCTAACCTCACCAGAGCTACCCCCACCGCCCGTGCTGCTCTCAACGGTTTGCAACAACAGGTCCGTGGTGTCAAGACCATTGACTTCGCTGGAACACCTGAGGAGGTCTATGGTAAGTTGAATTGGTAATCTGTGGTCTATATAAACCACTGCTAAGGCTGTTTTGCAGAGCGTGCCGACTGGCCCAAGGAGAAGCTCTTGGTAAGTACTCGAATATTAAACCACCAACATATCTTTATGCCTACATATTAGGAAGGTAGATATCTGGTCGCTAACACCTTTGAAAAGGACTACTTCAAGAACGACACCCTCGCACTCATCGGCTACGGCTCCCAGGGTCACGGCCAGGGTCTTAACCTCCGTGACAACGGCCTGAACGTCATCATCGGTGTGCGAAAGAATGGTCAATCGTGGAAGGATGCTCAACAGGACGGCTGGGTTCCCGGCAAGAACCTTTTCGAGGTTGACGAGGCCATCTCCAAGGGTACCATCGTCATGAACCTACTCAGCGACGCTGCCCAGAGCGAGACATGGCCCGCCATCAAGCCCCAGCTGACCAAGGGCAAGGTGAGCGAGTTATGAGTCATCTATACTATAAAACAAGCATTGACATTTGGCAGACCCTATATTTCTCCCATGGTTTCTCCCCCGTCTTCAAGGACGTTACCAAGGTCGATGTCCCCAAGGACATTGATGTCATCCTCGTTGCCCCCAAGGGCTCTGGCCGAACCGTTCGATCGCTCTTCCGTGAGGGTCGTGGTATCAACTCTTCCTACGCCGTTTTCCAGGATGTCACCGGTAAGGCCGAGGAGAAGGCTCAGGCCCTAGGTGTTGCTGTTGGCAGTGGTTATCTCTACAAGACCACCTTCGAGAAGGAGGTCTACTCCGACTTGTACGGTGAGCGTGGCTGCCTGATGGGTGGTATCCACGGTATGTTCTTGGCCCAATACGAGGTACTCCGAGAACGTGGCCACTCTCCCAGCGAGGCCTTCAACGAGACCGTTGAGGAGGCCACCCAGAGCTTGTACCCTCTGATCGGCGCCAATGGTATGGATTGGATGTACGAGGCCTGCTCTACCACTGCCCGACGTGGTGCCATCGACTGGACCCCCAAGTTCAAGGATGCCCTGAAGCCCGTCTTCAACTCTCTATACGACTCCGTTCGTGACGGTTCCGAGACCAAGCGATCGCTCGAGTACAACAGCCAGAAGGATTACCGACAAAAGTTTGAGGCGGAGATGGAGGAGATCCGCGGTATGGAGATCTGGAGGGCCGGCAAGGCTGTTAGGTAAGCATTGACATGTTCAGGAGTTACCTTGTTGTTGTACCAAATTACTAACCTTTTTACTTTGAAGATCTCTCCGACCTGAGAACCAAAAATAAGCTGGATCTGGTGTCTAAATAAAGGGAAACCAAAAAAAGGGTAGTATATCGGAACGGTCAATATAAAATGGCGACGGCATATTCCCCGGGGTAAAAGGAAAGAGTCATTGTAACTTGTATTCAGGATTCGCCGAAGGTTTATCACTCTCTTACGAGGATCTTTCGGGACGCAGATCTAATAGTTCAGGGCTTCGTAGTTGCAGTGCATTTTATTGAAGTTTGTTCCAAATGAATCATCATCGTTTTGTCCTTTCCTGTCCTATATTGTCCTGCGCTCTTCCTATGGGTGCTACCTAGTACTTACTATCCGTATCCTACATGCTAAAATGAATTAATCGTTCTTTTTCTCCGTTATCGGACTCGGATAATAAATTGTATCATTTTGACTGGTTCGAGAATCATCTTGCAAGTCTTCGTCTTGCGCACTAGAACACTTTCTCTTTTTATTTGACTACTCTTTACTATTTAAACCCTTAAGTACATACCTAGTATCAACCTAAAATAGAAGAAGAATATCGGAAAAAGGAAAGACAAGAAAAGAAGAGAAGAAAAAGAAGAAGAAAAAAGAAGAAACGAAATGGCAGACCCCTCAACAAGCCCGCCCCTAACCCGGGCATCGGTGCAGGAGGCGCGCGAGCTCATCCGGCCCTTCGTGCACCAGACGCCCGTGATGACCAGCTCTTCGCTGTCGGCGCTGGTGTCGGAGAGGATAACAGGCGGAGGAGGTGGCGGAGGAAAGGGAGGGGAAGGGGGGACGAAGAAGAAGAGGCCGAAGGTGCGGCTCTGGTTCAAGTGCGAGAACTTCCAAAAGGTGGGCGCGTTCAAGGCGCGAGGCGCGTTCCATGCGATCGAGAGGCTTAAGAAGGAGCCGGGGTGGTGGGGGGAAGGGGGGAAGTGGGAGAGGGGCGTTGTTACGCATAGTTCTGGTTTGTGCTGGTTTCTTTTTTTCTTTTTTTTCTACTTTTGTTCCCCTTCTTTTTTTTTATTACCCTTTTCTTGAGAGGTTTGGGCTTTGGAAGCTGTGATGGAAGGGGGATAGGGGAGGGGAGGCGGGGGAAGGTAGCGAATACTTGGTTGCATACGGATTACCTGCACGTGCTGTGAAGAAAAGAGAGTGAGCATACGATGAGGGAAGCGTTAACAGCGGGATCCAGAAAGGCGGGAGCAGAAGGGGTATATGTGAGAAGAATCATCCATTCAGCAGACTAAGCCTAGATACCCAGAACCTCTCTCTCTCTCTCTCTCTCGCTACACACAAGAAGAACACAGAGCTAACAGCTTCCAAAAAAGGCAACCACGCCCAAGCCCTCGCGCTCGCCGCCCGCGCCAACAACATACCCGCGCACATCGTCATGCCCTCCATCTCGGCGGCCCCCAAGATCGCCGCGACCAAGGGCTACGGCGCGCGCGTCGTCTTCAGCGGCAGCACGAGCGTCGAGCGCGAGGCCGTCACCGCGCAGGTCGTGCGGGACACGGGCGCGCGCCTCGTGCCGCCGTACGATCATCCGGACATCATTCTGGGGCAGGGGACGCTCGGGCTGGAGTTCCAGGAGCAGGTTGAGGGTATGATGCGGGAGGGGGGTGCGTATGGGTTTGGGGGAGGAGGGAGGAAGGGGAAGAAGAAGAGGAATAAGGGCTTGGATGTTATTCTGGCGCCGTGTGGTGGTGGTGGGAGTAAGTTCTCTCTTTTTTTTTCTTTTTCTTTTTCTTTTTCATCTTTTCCCTTTCCGTTCCCCTTTTCACTTTTGTCAGATTGTTTTCTTTTTTCTTTTTTCGTTTTCTACGCCATTTCGGTTTTCTAGCGTTCGCGCCGCCACCAAAAAAAAAAGTTTCGATTCACCTATGGTAAGTAAGCCCAGCCGCACCATAATACAAGAACTAGTTTAGCAGTGGATTCTAGCATCAATTGCCCATTGGCCCAGTGGTAAAGGCGTCTGACTGTTAGTTACAGCAAAGCAGCTAAATCAGAAGATCCCTGGTTCGACCCCAGGATGGGCAGTTATCTTTTTAGCTTTTTTTGTTCTTTTTTCACTTTTTATCATTTTACTTTTTGTGCTTTTTTGCTTTGCGATCTTCATCCAACCCATTCATTCATTCATTCATTCATCCAAGCCTCTTTCTTTCTTACCTTCCGTCCTCCACGCACTCACTTCAAACAAACTAACCCCCTCCCCCCCTCCAAACCCAGTGCTCTCCGGCGTAGCCCTCTCCTGCGCCGACACCGGCATCCTCGTCTTCGGCACCGAGCCCTCCTTCCAAGGCGCCGACGACGCCAAGCGCGCCTACCAGTCCCCCGAGGGCGCCCGGATCCCCGCCGTCTCCTCGCTGACCATCGCCGACGGCCTGCGCACGCCCGTCGGCGCCCACCCGTGGTCCGTCATCTACGAGCGCCGCCTCGTCGCCGGCTTCTACAGCGTGACCGACGCGCAGATACGGCGCGCGCTGCGGCTCGTCTACGAGAGGATGAAGATCGTCGTGGAGCCGAGCGCGGCCGTGCCGTTGGCGGTCGCGCTGTACGATGGGGAGTTTGGGGAGTGGTTGGAGAGGGAGGTGGGTGGTGATGATGAGGAGGAGGGGGATGGGGAGGGGGAGGGTTTGGATGTGGGCATCGTGTTTAGTGGTGGGAATGTTAGTTTGGAGGCTTTGGGGAAGTTGTTTGCTGAGGAGGAGGAGGAGGAGGAGGGTTCTTAGTAGGTATCTAGATGTAGGGTAGATAGGTACGTAGGTATGTAGGTACTCATGCGCATTCAAAGGTTGGCATCCAAACCTCGACTGTGGTTCAAGGGGAAAAGCTGCATTGGGACGCTTCTTAGACCTCTATCTAGCATTTACGTACAGGCCCGGGAAATAAAAGTAACTAACACGCTATGCTACCTAACCATCTACCCGCTGAACGCTGTAAAGATACTCAGCCAAGATGGAAATATCTCATAATTCATTACCTAGGTAGGTACCCAAGTAGACACCAAGCCGGTGTACATCGTGAATAGGAGCAGAGCTTTAGCCAAGCTCCATTAGATTTTAAATAGGTATATTTCATTCATTGACTGAGAGCCTTATCCATCTGCTCCCTCCACTTGCGACTGTTCTTCCTCAAGAACCACAGACACGCGTTCCCGCTTATCCAAGCGATCAACCCCACCGCCGTCATCAGCCATCCTATGCCTATAGCGTCGATGAGAGGCTGTCCTATTATACCACCGGTGCAGCTGAAGATGTTCCTCACAAAGTTGTTGAGTGCAACGCCGCTGCTGCTGCGCCGCGGCATGAATTCGGTGAGCATGGTGGTGACGGCACTGAAGACGAGCATACTGCCCACGCCGAAAAAGAAGTGAGCCACCGACGGCGCTGTCCAGTGGATGCCGTATTGGAGCGTCCAGCCAGACCATATTAATGCCCCGGGATACAGCGTAGCAGATATCCAGGTATTTTCGCGCATGCGGTCTTCCGGGAGAAAAATGAGCTTCCCGTTGGCATCGTATCGTTGCGCTTTCTCCGCTGCTCGAACCATGATCCGGTCGGTCCATCGCCCGCCTACGATAGACGCTACAAAGTAACCCGACGAGCCAGGTATGTATAAAAGCCCTATAGTGATCGCTGGGAAGTTGTAAGGCGGCTGCGAGAAGGCGGATTGGATCGCAATATTAAGTACGTATAATGACCCGAAAGTGATAGCAGCGAAGTAGACAGTTATGGCTACAGCAGGAAACCGCAAGTACGTAATTATCTCAAGCGGGTCGAGGAAACATCGTTTCAGCCATATGGCTGCTTTCTTAGTGTGCACCTGCACGGAGCGTGTGGTAGAAACCCGCGTTAGGCCATCCGAGTTGGACGGTTCGATGGCAGCCGCAGGTTTACGCTTGGCCAGAGTCTCCGGTATGCAAAATAGAACGAGGATAAAGACGAGTGCTCCGTATGCTGTTAGAAACCACACGGTACTCCTCCAGCCGAAAGCTTCTGTGAGGGCTCCGCCGCAGATGGGTGCTAAAAGCGGTCCCATTAATGGTCCGAGGTAGAAGAAGCCCATGGCACGGCCACGCTCCCGAGATTCCCATATGTCGGCGATGGTCCCCGCCCCCACGGCCTGTACGGAAGCGGCGGCCCCACCCGACAAGACACGGAACACAATGAGCATGCTGATATTAGTACTTAAGCCGCTCAGTAGAGAGAAAACAACATTCAAGAAGAATGATGAGAGATAGATGCTACGACGGCCGAGAGTTTCGGAGAACGAAGACCACCAGAGCGGGAAGATGGACATGGCTAGCATGTACAACGCTACCGTCAGGTTCACTATCGTTGGCGATGCGTTGAGGTCCTTCGACATTTCCGGCAAGGCAGCTAATAGGATCTCGGTAAGCCGCCTAATATTTATTGGCCAAAGGAGCTGCTATAATATAGCGGGAGGTATCTAGGTGCTTACGATAGAAGATGGCAGAGCCCATCGGAGCGGCGCACGCTGCCAATGCTACAAAGACAGTTATTGTCCATTTGATCCTGTTTGGGTAGTCGTAAGGGTGCTCGACCTCCGGGACAAAGGTCAACTGCGCAAGGAGACCTCGTCGTTCCAATCTTGGCACTATAGACAGCGGCCTAGACCGAGCAGATGACGCTCTAGATGCGGCCCGTTCCTTCGGCGCAGCAGCGGCGGCCTCCTCATCTGCTGGGACTCCATTCGGGGTCAGGAGCTGCTCCGGGATAATATCTATAGATCTAGATCTATGTTCCAAATTACGGTCTGTGGTGGTTATAGACGACGCAGTCTCCTCATCTTCTGGGCGTGCCCCATCCCCACGCAATTGGGTGTTATTGGTGCTGTCGTCTATCTTTTCCGACTTGAAAGTCATATTCGACAACTTCTATGGTGCCAAGCAGTGAGGACCAGACAAGATTGAACGAGCCCGCTGAGCTGGGCGTAGTAAACCGATATCGGTGAAGTAGAACAAGAAGGTCTATGATCGAATATTACGACATAGACTTCGGCGGGGTGTCTTGTAGTGCGCTGTAGTGGGCGATCCTAAGAATATTATATCCAATTGCCGAGGCGGTAAGATTCCAAGATCCCTAAAGTCCCAAAACTTGTAGGTAGACGGGAATAGTGAATAGGTAAGATGTGAATATGGGCAAGTGAGTAGAGAGAATGATACGATGGGGTTGCCAAGGGGATGAATGGTAATTTTACATGTACTATTTTACCCAAATACCTACCTAATAACTATCGAGTTTGCCATCTACCACTCAGATAGACGGGGAGCCTAGAATTGCTATAATGAGAAGAACAAAAGCTTGTTTGTCCAAAAAAGCTGGGCGATTTCACTACTTGAGCTTGGGTGGGGAACAATGGAATGGTTGCAGATTCAAGCAGAAATGAGCAAGACCGAGCATCGCTCCTGTGTGTGTGTAAGCCCGAAGACCCGAGATGATGAGCGCAGGTCAGTGATTCTAGGAAATCTGTTCGGCTAGAAACTCCGACACGACAAGTTCTTAGCCGGCAGCAGAAGCGACTCACACGTTGGCCTATGAAGCCGCATTATCGCAGTGATTTTTGGCATGGTGACATCGATACGGATGCATGTTAGCATTGGTTGGTCCTGCAAACTTATTATCCATGTCTGTGCTGAATTTTTGACCGGCAGAAATTTCCTAACGGCACATATTTGCATAACCGTTTCCGAAGATGTCTTAACCTACTCACCTACCTACTACGCCTCCATCGCCGCTATATTGAGGCTATGTTCCTTGCCGCAGGGTTATGAAACATAGACTATTCTGTATTAATTACCTAACACCTATCTATAGCGTGTGTAGCTCTTCGGAAACGGGTTCCCGGACGGCCAGGCGGATGGGTAGAAAGAGGAATGGAACAAGAAGAACGGGCTCCGCGGCGGGCGTGAAAGGCGTTGTGGGTATTTGGGTAAGAACCTATCTAGGTATGTAGTATATTGAATAGAACGAACGAAGAGTGATAGAGACAGTATTGGAATTTTAAGTATAAGAAATGGTTGACTATAATAGCGAGGTATGTCAGATTAAAGAATCCAAGTTCAACATTGAATGTTAAAGATCGGATGTTGAAAATTGAAGATTAAAGATTGAAGATTGAATTAATGATATATTACAGTTTAACTTCGTACATGTACAAAAGTGTGGAACTTTGAACTTTCAATTGTCCGAACCGTAACTGCAGGTGCCCTGTAAATGGATCAAACCAAGCTTTGGAGGCTGAAACTCCACTGTAGATACTAAGGTACCTGCTAGAAGCCGTATCTGTGGCTTGCCTTTTTAAAACGGGCCCCTATGTAGGTCAGGCTTCTCCCGCAACTTGAAATCTTTGAATTTAAACTGCTGTGGCAGTCACTAGACTCACTACTACATGGTACGCTACTACACTACCCTAGGTATTACATACACTGCCTGGCACTATACTGCATAATCTTGATACCATACCCAATACCTAAAGTACATATAGGAGTCAGTACTACTGGTGGCGCCCAATATAGTACATTCTAATCCATGTCCACTGTGAATAGTACCTACATATAGGTACTAGGTAGTTCGGCAATGTCCCTGACAAACGCATCTCCTTCCGATGCTGCTAAGGCGGCCAAAGAAGCATCCCATGTTCTTGCTACCCTGTCTGAGGATGCAAGGAATGATGCCTTGACTGCCATTCATGCTGGCTTGGCTGCAGCTAGAGATGAGATCCTCGCTGCAAACGCCCGTGATCTGGAAGTCGCCCGCTCAGCCGCAGCACATGGCCAGTTGAGCCCCAGTTTGGTTTCTAGATTAGATCTTGGAAAGAAGGGGAAATGGGAGGATATGCTAAAGGGGATATTGGATGTGCGAGACCTTGAGGATCCCGGTGAGTCAACATTTTTTTCCACTTTGATACTAAGTACTAGATGCTATGCACTCATATAACTTACTAATACCATCAAAGTTGGCAAGATCACCTTAAGGACCAAACTTGATGATGGGCTCGAGTTGACACGGGTCACCTGTCCCATCGGTGTTCTCTTAATCATCTTTGAGGCACGGCCAGAAGTCATTGCGAACATCGCCTCCCTTGCAGTCAAGTCAGGAAATTCTGCTATTTTGAAAGGTGGCAAGGAGTCGACCGAGTCCTTCGTGGCGATCTCCAAAGTCATCTCTGCCGCACTTGATCAGACAAAGGTTCCCAATGGCGCAATCCAGCTCGTCACCACAAGAGATGTAATCCCTCAGTTATTGGACCTAGACCAGTATATCGATCTTGTCATCCCCCGGGGTTCTAATGAACTTGTTCGGTATATCAAATCCAACACCAAAATCCCGGTTCTCGGCCATGCTGATGGCCTATGCTCCATATTCCTCGAACAATCGGCAGATGCAAAGATGGCAGCAGATGTAATTGTCGATTCCAAGACTAGCTACCCGGCCGCCTGCAACAGTCTAGAGACATTACTGGTTCAGGAGTCTGCTCTGAGCACAATCCTCCCCCAGGTAGCCGCAGCCCTGATTGAGAAGGACGTCGTTCTGCGCTGTGACCCCAAGACCAAAGCATCGCTTTTTAACAAACTACCTCCTAATCTTGTTGAAAAGCTTGAAGACGCCCAAGAGGTTGACTTCGACACCGAGTTCCTTAGCCTTACGCTTGCAATTAAAGCGGTGGCAGATGTACACGAGGCAATCTCTCACATCAACACCCACGGCTCCAAGCACACAGACGTGATCTTAACCAGTTCCGACGAACTGGCTGAGCAGTTCATGTCCAGCATAGATGCTGCGGGCGTGTACTGGAATGCCTCTACTCGCTTTGCCGATGGCATGAGGTATGGCTTCGGCACAGAAGTTGGTATCAGCACAAACAAGATCCACTCCCGGGGCCCCGTAGGTTTGGAGGGGTTAATGATCTACAAATACAAAATCCGGGGGCAAGGTCACACGACAGCAGCGTACGGTGAAGGAGAAGGGAAGAAGAGTTACAAGCATGAGAAGCTTCCTTTGTAAAGGGTTGTGTTCAATGGCTGATATATTAAAAGGTATCATGGAGTCTAAAAGTATAGTATGTCGGTGAACGAATAGGGAGGGTCGTTGAAAATAAAACCCCTTGTGAGGAAAGAGTAGCAATCTAACTTACACCATACCTACCGAATTTTCGGCTCTTCTTTACCATGCTACAATACATCACAAACTGCGAACAAAATCACCATAAGTCCCATATCTTTTCTTGGGTACTAAGCAAATGCTGAAGGCAAATGACAGAATAGTAGGTAGCGTAGGCTAAGCTTCCATTGTTTAGTAGCTCAGTAAAGAGCATATGATATAATAGATCATAACATTACCTAGCTTCTCTAAAATACGCTCTGAAATTCCCTCTATACCCATCGCCATAACCCTAAAGAGTGGCCTCTAACTCGTATACTAGGTAGGCAAGTATAAAGCAGTGAGCGCCTGCATTGACAAAGGTTTCTTCGTAAACAGTATAATGGCTACCTAGGCACTTTACATCCGTTCACACAAATTGAGTAGCAGATGACGTTCTACTCACTTGGGCAGGTAAGTATAGATTAGACATATAGCTAGCTACCTTGATAAATTTGGGACTGTTCTAATAAATAATATCTTCAAGATGGAACAACGAACTCGAATGGTTGTATGAGCGTCACATGACATTAGTATAATCACCACACGGAATCAAGAGGCTAGATATCATTGGTAAGTTTCTCCCTGCTTGTAATTATTGGATACCTAGTATGAATACCTAGGTACCCTAACGTTGAATGGGAAGGCGATCCAAAGCACGTTGTTAATTAATAGCCTTTCAGAGCAACTAGAGGTTCCAGTAACTTCCAAGAGACTCCCACCTTTGATACCAACGAGAATGAGTGGCATGGAAGCTCAATGCACCTCTCCGGATTAAGAGGTTTCCCCGCGTTGCACATTCTATAGCGTTGAGGCTATTCATACCGATGGCATAGCGGGATTGTCGCTCAAACCCTGCCTTAGGAAGGTATCACAGTCGAATCAAGTGCCTTACAGCAGACCGAGTCGGCTACTGCGGCAATAGACATAATCAACTATGCTATGGCGTACACATACCGGTACTAGATTCTACCTTGGGTTTTAAAGGTATGCTTCGCAGCCCGATGACATACACGACGAACCCGATCTTAGCCGTCTAAAACATTCACGACACCCTCCCAATACACATTTCGAGGCCAACATTCATCAAGATTTTGTATATACCATCTGGCTTCGTGAGATCCGGCTCAAGTTCATCGATGGCGTGTTTGGCTGCGCCATTTTTCTCTGATCTGGCCCTAAAAGCGATGGAAGCTTGGCCTGCAGAACTAACATAGAAGAAAGACCACTGATGGACTTCTACAACAGACCCACTCATGTTTTTTGACAGCACTCACCCGTTCATCATTTACTCTGGGCTAGAAGACCCATTGGCTAGCACGCCTTCGAGGTCAGGTCTTCCATTCTTCGACGTCGGCATCGCAATGACCGAGGGGGACAAAAATGAGGAATGGCAGAATTAAGAGAAAGAAAAAAAAAGGAGATCACCAGTCCCCTACTTGACTTCGTACATAATGGTGACCTTCACTTGGTAATGAATGATGCTCCACTAAGATTGGAATCCTCTTATCATACGACATGAGTCATTGGGACGAAGCCCTTCCACTACTCTCAAAACAACCTTTCCCCGCTGTCAAAGCCGTGCTGAATGGATGAAGGTGGCAGACAACTAAGTATGCAAGCCGTCACTTGAACGTATTCGTTGGCGGTATATATACTTACTTTCGAGAACACTAACTACCAAGGCAGGCAGGTAGTCAGTGAAGCTTCCGGTATTGGAAGCGTCACTGTCCGATTGCCAGACAATCAATCCCAGTGGCAATTCTGGTATAGCTCACAAACTACTAACGTAGCCCAGGGCTGTCGAGGAAAGCTAACCAGGTCAGTGATCATGATGCCAAAGCCGATGGCATGAACCTATTCGTGAGATACATACGTAGACGGGCTAGCATCGTGTTGCATACGAGGCCTTCCACAACCTCGGGATTTAGACTAGTCCACGTCGATTCCGACGGCAAGCCTCTTTTTTTCTTGTTGGCAGGACAGCATACGAGTGACCATTTGCAACATTATTCAATACCTACCTACATACATACATATCTCGACATTTGAATCACTAACACGACCCTCAGAGTGGCGTTATGAGATCTCATCGAAGATGGGTATACCTTCAGGCCAGATTTACATACTTCAACAATCGGCATTGGACGAAATCCATCTGACGATGCCTATATATATATACATACATATTTCATGCTCGTGTTAGATTTACCAATCATCGGAAGGTGATGATTCTATTCGGAGCCTGTCCTGGACGCATCTTGGGTATTCATTTCGAGTCATGTCTAGAATCCGATGCCATCGCGAATGGCTCCATGTCAACTTGCATCGATATACCTACATACACATTACCTTTTCTAGGAAGGTAAGGTGCACAGATGGTCATATACCAGGAACCAAGTGGCCGATCAGGGACCAAAAGATGGGCGAATTCCAGCTAAGCTGAGAAACTCGAGACTTACCAATTGTAGGATTTTTGTTGCGCCCCAAAAAGACTACACTACTGTTGCTGATTGACACGTCCCCCGCGGCCGAGAAAATCCGTAATCAAAATTTGTCGTGTGCATGTATGTATGCGCCGATATTCATGACAGCTCCAGAAACTACTGGAGGAGAAAGCACAATGATGCAATTCTGGGATGTTTGCCATTATCCACAAGGCACCACACACAGTGACCACACATGGCGAATGGAAAGCATAGACTTTTTTCTTTTTTTCTTTTTTTGTTATGGGACCGGAATCCCCTATGCAAAGATTCCGATCCCTCCAGGAATAGATTCGTAACCGTTTAATAGGCTTGACCACGTCGCTGGAGTCCCGGATCCGAGATCACGGGGAGAGAAGATGGGGGTACGAGTGGTAGAGTAATGAGGTGACCCGTCGGGGCTGGGGGGAACAAATTGCCATCATCAACGATCGGCCGTCCCCGTTCAGCATCCACAATCCACATTCTCTATTATTACTCTCACTCTCACTCTCACTGTACCCTCCTCATCCCCTTCGCCGCGCCGATACCGTCCACGGCCCAGAATTAATTTTGACGTCAGGGTACCACGAGCGCGGATTTCCCATGCTCCAATGCCTCGCATCAATCGGCATCTTCTAGCGACGAACGATCCATCATTTTTCTATGGAGAGGTGACTATGTAGGGTTAACCGGTAATGCAATAAGAAGGGTAGGTATATATATAAATTCAAAATAAGGGGACCTTTTTTTGGACTCCGCAGCGGGCCGGCATACAGAGAGGAGTGCATCTCGACATATGCCTTCGAATCGTAAAACGACGACGGGTATGCGGGTTGCGATGACGGAGAAATTTGTTCTATAACTAAAGCTAAGAAGGAAAGGGAAAGAGAAGGGGAAACCGGAAGGGGATGAGGGAAGGGGAGGGGTGTCTGTGTTTGTGTGTGGTGTGAGAAAAAGAAAATAGAGAAAAAAAAAACATACAAAAGAAAGAAAAAGAAGAAGAAAAAAGGACACTAATCGGTTTTCGCTCGCTTGGAGGAAGTAAGTGAAATTGGTTTATCTCTCAGACATGTTTGGAGTTGGTGGGCGCCAAATGGCGGTGACGATGTGGTCAACTTTCGCTGGACAGCTGAATGGTCCAACGATCCACTTTGCCGCCTCATCCCGGGTGGCCGTGTCCCCGCCGTACACCCCTCCCCTCCCCTCCCCCCCCTTGTGTTCTGGGCTGACAACTGGACCGTTCCTAACTAGCCCTAGAGGATGTCGGCGGGCGGTGGAGCCTCAACTATCCCTTGTCAGCCATTGACAACAACAGAAGAATACTAGGAAATGGCTAAGAGACTGGAAGAATGCTAGGAGATGCATACGGGAGTGGAGTGAATGGAGTTGGGCAGCATCACCGACTAAAGCATTCGACCATTGATAAAGGGGGAATTTGGCATGGTATAATAGAAAGTGCATACATATCCATATGAATGGATACTATACATACATACACGCCTCACCTCATCTACCATACCGTCTCAACATTAGTTACATACCTTACATTTTCCATACAGTAGTTGATACCTACACAGTAGTTTCCGTAGTTTCCTACCTATTTACCTACCTTACCTATACCTAGTAATAGTATTATTAAATCATGTATACCAACACGTGCTAACCTAGGCAAAAAGTCTTGAAAGACCTTTTTTTTTTTTACGAACCTACTAGAGCAAAAAAGCAAATATTCTCATCCCATCCCATATCCCATAATCCCATATCCCTCCCTTTTCCCCTTCCTTCCCTTGCCCTTGTATTCCCTGATCCCCCCCGGTTCGTTCGTTCGCTCGTTCATACATACATGTGTAGTACATTCGTTCATTCCTTACCTTTTACCTTGCTTACATACCTCTCACTCTACATACATACATACATACATACATACCTACGTACATACCCTACCTCTATCTATCTATCTATCTATCTATCTATCTTAGTAACTATTATCTATCCTGCCTCTACCCTCCTTTACCCTACCCTACCTTACCTTGTAGTCCCCCCCCCTTCCTTCTTCCCAACTATAATTCCGAAACGAACTCGGCCTTTCCCTCTTAATGCCCCCTTCTCTCTTTTCCTCCCTTTCTCCTAGTTTCTCTTCTCTCTCGTCAGAGATGGGACTACGCGATCAAGCTACAATTAGAAGTGACTCAGGTTATGGGGACGATGCGTCCGAAGTGCCGCAGGACGGATCCGATGCTCATCCTTTAAGTAAGTTTTTATCCTGATTCGCCACGTATCTGCCTACCTACCTACACACCTACCTAGTGCTTGATTTCTTTTATTTTTCCTCCTCCTTCGCGTGGCATACACCGTGACCCTCTCCCTGCTACTACTGCCGTTGTTCGAATCCACCTCGTTGGGTCGTTACGCATAAACGCATCTCTACGCATCCATCACACTACTACCATTCTTAAGAAAAAATACATATATATATATATATATTATGGCAACTGCTGACGTCCGCCCTGCAGCGCTCAAGGGATACGAGATCGGACCGGCGTCGAAATTGCAAGTTGGCGACGTGAGTCTTTCCCTCTCTCTCTCTGTCTCTCCCAAAAGCCGCACCATAGGTTTGGAAGAAAAGGCTAAAAAAATGAATCGAATTGGGACGTTTAGGTATTCGAGTTTCTCTGGGCCGACGCTCCAGAGTTTGAGTGGGAGTGGAAATGTCTGGGGTACTCGCGGTTTATCGTCTTGCGACATAGCGATACGTTCCCTCATCATTGCGCTTGCATGTAAGTGAAATGTCCTCGATTCCCTACCTAGTCTTTCTTCCATTGGTGTTTTTTTTCTTCTTTGGTTTTCTTTTTTTGCGTTCCCGTGCATCAAATTATACCAGCGCTGTAATTCGGTCTTTTTTTTCTTCCCTTTTTTGCCTTTTTTCCTTGTGAACAATCCAATCGAGTATTCAATTAGAAACACGATAATAAAGAACGAGCGTATCAATTTTTCCCATGGAGGGGAAGCTCGAGCTCGTCATCAATATAGGCTGACCATGGTTCAAAACATTCCAGACCCGTATCCATAGGCGGTAAGCACGAGTTCGCCAAGCCCGGCATAGACCACTTCCAGCAAGGGTTCATCTTCGCGAATGGCGATCCGAATCCGGGCAACGACAACGGCCGGCTGCCGTACTCGCCCGTGGGCATCGAGCTGCGCCCCGGGAAGCTCCGCGTGAAGGAGGACTCGCGGGCCAACTACGCCGACATCGTCGAGGTCGACCACGACGCCCAGGTCATGGTCGTCGGCGACGTCGTGCGGTACTTCGACCGGGTCCGGAGAAACGTCAACAAGGCCTTCATGCGGCAGATCCTGAGAAGGGCGCTGGAAGAGTACAAGGCCATCAAGGCAGGCGAGCGAGCGGAGAGCAACCAGAACAACAATGGCAGCAGCAGCAATAGCAACAGCCAGTACCCGAAAGCCTCGCAGCTAGGATCAGACGCCGACGACACCCAGCTCAGCGCCGCGGAGAGCACGGAAACGGCGAGCATGATCGGGGACCGGAAGCACGACCGGGAGCACAGGCGACACCGAAGAAACGGCTCGACCTCGTCCCGCAGGCGTCGAAACGGTCCGCAGGACAGCCGAGCCGACATCGACTACGACGTGAGATCGATGCACAACGTCGCTCTGGCCGGCTTGAAATGAATGAACAAAAACCCCCACCCAACCCAACCCAAAAAACTGGGAAGCCAAAAAAAAAAAGAAAGAAATCAATTAAAACAAAAGAAAGAAAGAAGGACTTGGGGAAATTTTTTTTTTCTTTTACATTTATTGACATGACCTATATATGATGACCATTACTTAGTTTTTGAATTTTTAATTCTTGCAAACGATAGCGGGATGGAGGAGGAGGAGGATTGGAACGTAAACCCCCCCCCCTCCCTTCCGCTTCCCCCTTTTGCATGGAATCGGGCGTACGGCAAGCAAAGGATATATACACACACACAAACACAACATACCCGGGCATACACATACACATACGCAACTGAAACGACGACGACAATACTTAAACCCAACCTAACTATTACGACGACGACGACCAAACGACCACAGCACCCAACTACTCAGGACAGGACAAACGAGGGGGGGGAAATTCGAGGCATGCCTTTTTTTTTTCTCTTTCCACCCCCCAAAACTGCAGATAGAACAGGCTTTAACAACCCCCACCGCCCCCAAACCAAAAAGAACCGTGTATATTATGATTCTACGACTTCCTTGCGAAGAGAAGAGGTCGGGTTATGTTAGACGACGAAGCACAAAAACAAAACAAAGCCTTTTATGACGATTTATGCCCCCAAAAATAAATAATAGCCATCGGAGCTACGCTTGCACTGGTTGATTGATTGATTGATCGTGTTCGCGTGCTGTTGTTGTTCTTGTTGCTTGACGTGTTGGATATAACTGATGTGGTCTTGTGACGTACTGTAGTAATTTTGGCTTGCACTGGCGACTGCTATTTATATCATGATCAATGAATCTCTGAGCGACCTCATAACTACCTCTATATGCTTACCTAGTAGTTAGTTAGGTAAGTACTTGGTCTGAGACGTTGCCTTGATAACGTGTTGGGTTCCTAGCGCAAGGGCTGGCCATCCACTCGGCGATTTAAATCTATATTAAACCCCAAGGTGGAAAGGCAACCCTATATTAACATACATACATACCTTGACTACCTACCTAACCTAGGTAGATTCCCATCAAGTACCTAGGTATTGATTGAGCGCTTCGGTCTCCAACGGAAAGCATCTACATAAATACCTATGCCAGACCTCGGTAGCCAGTCGTAACTAGATAATTGCTCGAGCTCGAGTTCCGACGAAAAACGGCCCTTTTTTTTCCCTCTTTCCAAACTAAAAAAAAAAGAATTGGCAGTAAACTTTCCTTGAAAACCGAATTCCTTATTCTTCCGAGTCATGAAATGAGCACCTGTCTATTTGGGTGGAAGCATCAACAGATTATAAACGGGCCGATCTACCGGGTGTGGTCAGAAAGCAGTACCACCACCGGATATGGCTCTATTGGCTCGGTGCGATTTCAGCGTACTGGCGCAAGCAATTGCTCCCAAGTGCCGATCCCCTTTCGTCATCGGTGTAACTGGAATGGCTCCCTTTTTTATCCTATGCTCTTCCAACTTACCTACTTACACCATGAATGCCCAATATCCCAGTGCCAGGTAGCTTGGAGGCGGATGTAATGGATGGGTTGGATGGGTGGATGGGTGCAATCTGTTTGATTGCTTAGCTGGAGTTGGCTGTCGATCTTCGCCTAGGGGTAAGATGCCGACATTTCTGATGTGTTTTTTTTCCTTCTTTTATATATATATCTTAATGCCGCGAGGCCAATGAACATTATGGGAAATATTGCAAGCTTCGCTGTTGGTGGGTACTATGTACTGTCAAGCCGTGAGTTCAGTTCCGTGACATATATTATGATGGCATCCATCTCCTAGACCGAGGCGAGGAGGATTCCCTTTCTTTGCGCATCTTTAAGTGAATTGATACCGAAAGGGGAAGGGGGAAAGAAGCCACCACCGACTGATTCGTCGCCAGGCTATTCTCGCTGCCATGGTCCCGGTAGTGGTAGTAGCGGGTTTCTGGGGGAAGCTTCCCCTGGAGCTGATCGAGCGGATCTTGGATTTGTTGATCGACGACTACGACCAGGACCCTGCATATCAATGGACCACGTTACGGCACATGGCCAGGCGGCAGATGCGCCGCATCGAACGCCACTTCTATCGCCAGTGGGTACCGAAGCTCACCATCACGCTGTACTCTGGGTCCCGGTGCCAGATGGACTACACGGTGGCCGATCGTGATAGAGAGGGTGTTAATTTCGAGAGTGGACGGGTTCGGTTCCAGACGTCGGCAGCCAGCCCCTCAGATTCCCTGAACAAGGACCATATCCGGACGCTGTGGGACCAGTACAGTTTCGAGAACCGGGTTGCACACCTAAGGTTGGGCGAGGGGGTCTTATGCCGTGGCATGACCGGTGGGTACATCGTCAATGACACAGACATCGTCGATCTGAAAGTGGAAAGCGAGGGGCTTGGCATCACCTTCGATTGGCGGCGGACGTTCGACGCGCTACTCCGGGAGGAGATCATGATGCGTAAGCTCCAGGCGGAGATGGTACGTGACTTTCGCAATCTTCTATTATCGTATAACTACCTACCTACCCCGAAAAACTTTCCCAGAGCACCCGCTTAACATTAAAAATAAATCTTGCCAAGCAGACCTTGGACAGAAGGGCCCAGCTGGCAGCTGAGAGGCGGTGGCCAACTTCTCCCCGGATCCAGAGACTGGCGCTGGTCAAGCACTTCGTGTTGGATGTGCAGATGGCGAAGCGAGTCGCGGTACAGCAGCACCGTCGGAGGCGCTACGATCCATCTGGCCAGGCCAAAATAGGGAGCTTGACCCACGAGTCGCAACACCTACACAAGCAGCCCTTGCCTACGCTATCGCCTGCTCCAGAGCCGCGAAGGAGATGCTGTGTCATCTGCTCTCGCCGCACGAGTCCTTCGATCTTCGAGGTCGTTAGCTGTGAAGAGAGCGTGGTATTGAGTCTGGAAGGCTGGGAGCAACTTGGAAAGGACGAGTTGCTTGACTTGTATGCTGAGGCATATGGCTGGAATTGCTACAGGTGTCTGGGACAGGAGAATAACATGGACTGGCAGCAGATAAGTAAGAACGACTGGCTTACCGTATACGATAGTGGTGCTGAGAAGCTACACAACACGCGAAGGTGGAATCCTTGGTTCTAGCTACCTGGATGGCAGTTGCCTATAGATGTTGTGTTGGTTTCTAATGTATATCATGTGGTGCTCTGTAAACCTTAGATAGTGATGACATCAGCTACCTGCTCGTCTGTCGTCTTGTGATCAGTCAAATGAGCAAGTTTTCTACTAAGATCATGAGATTTGTCGGCCCGGAAGGATATAAGCTGCTCACATCAATATCATAAGGGCTAAGTAAGCTAGTATTGATGTATCTATCATGAATTTTGGGTTCAGTTTGACATGTCTGTCTTTTGTCATACTTCTACAAAGCCAAGTCCAGTGCCCAAATTTGGATCACTTCATATTCGAGCAACAATTGATCCCTGGGAGACTCACACATCACTAATTATCCAAGTGCCTAGATGAATACAAATATCCAACTTCCTTTGCAATAAGGATCACCAAATACCCTACATATCATCATCTTCTCATCCACCACCATGTCTTCAAAGCGTATTGCCGGAGGAGGAGGATCATCAGGCGGCCCAAATCCAGAGAAGGAGAGCGAAGAGAATTCCTACGTCTCAGATTCGGAAGATGAAAGCGATATCGAGGAATACTTCAACGTCCACACCTCGCCCAGCCTGAACATACGCGAGAGTCGTGTCACGCCGTGGAAATGCAAGCAGGATGCAAAGAGACTCATCCAAAACATCGAGCGACTTTGAATATACCTATGGCTTCAACAAAAAACTTGCCTCCACTCCCCTGAATCAGCGGCTCGAGGTATGCACATCCACGGATGACATTATTGTGGGAAAGTATACAGGTTGCTTGAGGTCAGACTTTGAGTTACAATATACTTTTAGAGCACCTGCCTGCCTTCCTATGTATCGTGAATATCTATTCGTAAATTATCACAGGCTAAGAGATCGGTGACAAAAGCTGAAAGTTAGAACGGCGGTTCCTTTAAAGGAGATACCTACTTAGCAGCTTATGGCCTATACTTCTACAATGGGCTATTCACGTTGAAAGAATTGTTGATAAGTGATAATATATAGAGAAAAGGTACCCCGTCACGAAGCATTATTCATGAAGAGACATTTCCTTACATCCCATTACCGGATTAGTAAGAATGTTCCTGAAAGAGCCCCTTATAGCCCCTTAACTCAAAGTCCCTCCTAAACCCGGAAGCCTACACTCCTCAGCAAACCTGCCCACTTCACAGCAACGGGCCAACCAAACCATCCACGAATTATTGCAGCTCACATCCATGGCATGTCATATTTTAAGGCGCAATGTCAGCCTGCATCCTCCCGGTGTACCTTTCACAAGAGAGGAACCGTGGTATATGAGATACTGTTTGATGTGTTATACACTGAGTAGCTACCTAAGGTTAACTACGAGAAAGTTGGCATTAGATGACCATAGAATTGCATCGTGTGTTAACGTAAGTATAAGATTATGTTCTACGTCGCGTGGGTTGCGCGACTCAAATTCGAGGAGTGGGATCAGGGCAGGAAGAGGGTGGTTATAGTACTTGACTTACCCTTTCCTATGCCGACTTCCTTTGACGCATGTCCCGTTCGGCGTCTGCATCTAGGTAACCAGCATAACCAGCGAGCATCATATGAACCTGAAGCCTTTTTTTAACTGGGATATTTCCATCTCTAAGGATCCCTTAGTATATACACGAAACGGCAATTTCAAAGTTGAATGACGGTATTGCTAGCAGCATGTACATTCTAACAGGAGCTTAACCTGCCTGTCATTGCTCAGCTGCCTTCCGAACCCCAACATCTCCGGAATATCCTATCGCGATGCTCGACCAGATTTTGGAAGTCTCCCACGATATCCGAGAGTCTCCGCTCACCCCACGCCAGCCCGTCGTCGAGTAGGAGATGTGTGTAAGCGAACACCGCAGCGTCGAACAGACTCGGCTCCGACGTCCCGAAGAACCAGTCCTCTGCGCCGAGTACGGTAGATAGGGCCTCGAACGCCTCCTTCGCACCATCGTACAGCGCTCTCGGATCCACCCTCGGCGAGCCCATCGACCTCAGGATCTCGGCCTCGGCCGCGTGGCGCAGTTGGTATAGCACCGTCGTCCTCACGATCTTCGACTGAGAAACCGGCGCAACGTAGAGGCGGGACAGGAGCGCGGAGTTTGGCCGAGACAGGTACAGCGAGTAGAGCCAGGCGTTTCGTATGCGGTGGTCGAGGAGCGATTCGTAGGCTTCTAGCTTAAGGCTGAGGGTGCCGGGGACTTTCGATATGCTCTTTTCGTCGGGGTACTGTTCAAGCTTGCTTGAGGGGATAGGTCGGGGGGAATGTGTGGTGGGGTTCTGAGGACTGAATGGAGGGATGAGGAATGGTAGTGCGCCAGTGGGGGAGGCATGGTTGTTGGAAGAGACGAGTTGAAAGTCAACCCCAGCTAGCTTGAGAAAGGTCTAAGTTGGCTGTGAGCTTGCGAATCCTCAAGAAGAGATATTAGGGTTGCGACATACTTGCCATTTAAGGCATGAAGGGTTGTAGCTGGGTAGTCCTTTCAGCGCATCTGGTTCTGATATGAAAACGTATAGGGTCGCGACATCTCTGCTACTCGGCGCACGGATAGGTAGTTCGTTGGGAGGATAAGTTAAGAGCGGGAACTTCTTGAACAGTCGAGCTAGCGGGGCTGGTATAGTCAACCAGCCAGATGTGTTGGACGGCCTCAGCCTTGTTGTCGCATTGGTTGTCTCTGAAGCCATGGTAAAATAATGTGCGTAACTAGATACGTAATCACATATAAGTTACCATAAATGGAAAGAATCTTGACGTTCTTGAATCTTAAGCTGTGAACTAATGTTGGTGATTTCATCTTATCGATAGTAGATAAGATCTGAGATATTGTGACAGAGGTACGTAACTAGTACTTCGTACATGCCAATTCATTGAATTCAACCTTGAACCTTGACCCGAGACCTTCCGATAAATTTACGTCCATAAAGCCAAGACATGCACTTACGTATCTGCGCTAAGCCCCGCTAGGTAGCTTTAATGTTTGGAGAATTTATGGCGCTTCCATAAATTTCAGGGTCCTCGGTCGTCATCAGTACCGAGGTACTTAGTATTGCACCTTTTCAAACAGGCCCGATCTTGAACGGTCCAGACTCGAACCCAAGTCGTATGTACTTTCAGATGTCATGTTCAGTGACGCGACAGTCAATATTGTCGAATTTTACATGTGATTTAAAGGCACGGCATCAGTCGATTGAACTAAATATTGAACGCCCTCATTTTGTTTTCTTTTGTGTTTTCGAGGCACTAAAATAGGTACCTGCAGATAACTTGCGTAGAAGCCTTGAAGGATTCACAGTGCCCTTATGTAGGTAGCCTTCACCCCCTCCCAAAGTCTGGGGCATTGTGGGGGTAAAGAGGGGTGGAAGAGGGGTGGTCTTACTTCATCTATGGGGTCCATTTTGTTCACATTTTCTTACTTTAAACTTCCAAAGTCTTTCACATTTATTCATATCTATCCAGCGTCGATGCCTTCACATTCTGATTTAACCTGATGGATGGAAAACCTGTAGATCGATATATATGTCCAAATATAGTGCTCATTTCCAATACGAACACCAAGCCACCATGCCGAACAGCTTCGCAACGTATCGGTAATCCTCCAGCAATGCCGCGTATAGAGTCCCTTTATCTATGCTGCCAAGATAAGACCTCGAATCGGACCATGGAATGCATAGAACAGGGAAGAGCTAGAACAACTCGTCTCCTCTCCTCCTCGCCTATGATATATGTTCCCGGATTCTAAAATAAAAATTTCTTCTTTAACTTGATCGGTGCGCGCGCCGCTCATCCGTGCCGAAGTTGACTACCGACAAACACTAGCTGACCTGGAGTAAATGAAGCAAAAGTGACCTTGATAGTTTCTTCAAGGAGATCTACCTACTAACGTTGCTTATCTACATCACAGTACCACACGAGAGTGAAATAAAGCGGAAGAAAGATTTTATAAGTACTGTTTTGGGGTGTAGTTGACGATTGACGAAAAATTTATCCCGCTCTTATATACAGCTCAGATGTACGATGATGTAGGTTCCTAACTAATGGGATCTGAGATCAGTGAGGGGGATCGAAGCCTCGGAACCTGCCCGTTTACCTGCCTACCTAGGTACCTAGGTAGGAGGTAGGTACAAAGGCAACGGTCCAACCCAACGCCAGGGTTGCATTTGCGATCTACCTACCTAGCCTCGTGGCATTCATGCCACGATGCTTGGTGGTATGGATGCACTGCTCTCCTTTGCCATGACATGCCGTTGACAGACAACTCATTCACCGAATGAATGCCATAGTAAGTAAAAGTAAGCAATGCAGCGGCATTGAAACCAGAAGCCCGGTAGAAATGTTATAGGCCGGGGGCTGTTCCCGGAGTTGGCTACATTCCCTAATTTTGGTGAAATCCATAGGCCGGAACAAGGAACACGGGGCCTGGGTAGTATCGGGGGATTATCAATAATTTCGCCGTCGACCCATCCGGCTTTGGAACTTGGGCCTCTCTTTGTCCGTTTCCATCCCTCTTCACCTAGGTAGGTAACTAGACTTACCTGATAAGGAGTCGGTAGCCGTTTTAACGTTTCCAAGTAGCCAGAGATCCTTCCAACTCCTTGTTCCCTTGATTTTGGGCCCTCGATCTCAGTATCTGGTTGGTGCGACTGAAGTTGAATGCAGCCGTACCTACCTAGTTTAGATTCTCTCCACCGAGTCACGATATCTCGTCATGATAGACACATAACGCGTACAAGCTTGGCTGTCATCTTCAAATCTACCTAGGCATTTCTCGTAGGCGTTTTATCCCGTTCGGATTTCGCCTGGTTGCTGCGCTATATGCTATAGTGTTCCCCCATTCCTCACTCTTGATTAATTGCCTAACCTAGGTATATTACATACTACATGGGTTTATGTGTCTGTTGCATTCCGACTTCAACTCAGATCTAGCCTAGTCGACAATCTGCACGCACTCTCTCGGTTGACACCATTACATTAAGGCTGGTCAGAGAACCCTGCGTTTTGACCGTATTGATCTGGAAGTTGGGGGTCAATACAGTAATGACCCTTAATTCTTAATTACTATCAGCCGATTGGAAATTGACTGATCACGAGATTACGATACTGTTATACAATCCTAAAAAAAAAAAAAAAAAAAAAAAGCATTCAATGTTCAAATGTTATTCTTTCTTTCCATATATTAGGTAGTGCCAAGTACCTAGGTTACTACATATAGCCTTGAGGTATACGACATTGAACATACTTCAAAGTTTGCACTATTTTCTATTCTTCAAGGGACAAGGGTGCTTACCTAGGTAAATAGCTCTTTCTTTCTTTCTCCCAACTTCATCCCACTTTCATCCTCTAACCGCAAGGGGAATTACGATACTTGAAATAAGCCTTCATTCCCACTGATTTCGTCACCTACTGCCGAGGTGGTTATCTAGGGGAAGAACACCCTTGGACAAACTAGTCCATAAAAATATAAGGCTTGCGACATACCCACCCAAATTAAAAGACTCGTTCTTTTCTTCCCTCTAACCTACACCATTACTATCTCACTATCTCACCATTTCTCTCCAATACATTGATCTCTTCAATACTTCTCAAATCTTGAAACCTTTCAAGAAGACAGAGAGGCAGAAAGAGGGACTACATAGCCAACTGGAACAACTCACGAATCCATCATCATCACCTCATAGACTCAACTCGTTTATTAAAGAATCAACTTGTCACACGACAGACATCATACAATCTTTGTACGCATTTTCTCTGCATACCAAGTACCTATCCTGCGGGTCGCCGACGGTGGAATCATCGTCTACGTACCTACATATCGACATACATATAGGTGCATACGAACCGACAGCTTCGAGGTTGCCCTTAGAAGCCAAGCAAACCTGTATCCGTATCCATTTCACTACGAGGACTTAAGAAGACCAACTCCACGCAAACCGCTTTACACTCTACACACGCTCAACCAAAATGGATGCACCAATCTCTTCACCTAGCGTGGCGCACCACAAACGTGCTGGCACCACCACAGCTACGACGTCAACAGCGTCAACGCAAAGCTATGCGCCGCCCCCGCCAGCATCACAGAAGCCACCGAGCACTGACGCATTCATTCGGGACCTGAACCTCGTTGCGGAGGCTGCGAAGCGCGCGCAGATGGCGGTGCTGATGCGGGATCTGGAGGGCATTGGCATCTAAGCAGCGACCTGTCTAGGGTAGACACCTACCCACTAATCTACTTGCTTCCCCATATACGTCAATGTATTGCCTTCACCTTTATTTTGACTACCGCTCTACCATCGGCCGGACGTTTACCTATTTACGAGAAGCGGTGCGCGAATACCAATATCATCAAACTACCTAACTTGTCTTCTCGTCTTTATCCGACCTCTCAGGGACTTGAAAGTAGTCCCTGTTCGATACTGGAGCCTGCCTGCCTGCTGCCCGTTGCTTCAGTGCGCCGTTGGTTTCCATCCTGTGGTTTTCGGTTGGTTGGCGGGGTCCTACCCCTTCTCCCTTCCTATGTAACCTATATATCCGGGATGATGGATACTTCTTAGGTGGCAGGCACTGGGCAGATGTCTACGTAGGGTCGTACTGGTGCAACCGAGTCTTACTTTACTATTACTTGTCGACTGTACGGATTTGGCACCTGGCATCATTATTGGCAATTTGGGGGGGTCACGATCAATGAATGGCATGATGACGTTAGGGCATTTAATTTTTTTCTTCCTCTTCCTTTCTCTGCATCTGCACCTCCTCGCCCCCCTCCCCTCTTCTTCTAGTCATGTTTACCCCCACTAAACAATATTACCACACGGGAAGAGAGATGTACGGAGGGTAGAAAAAAAGAAAAAATTTACAAAAACCAAAAACTTTGGAAACAGGATCCCTATTTTTCAGCCTGATCAGCAAGTCATGGAAACGCAACTCACTCTATTGTATGGGACCTTGTTGTGTGGTGGCATACGCTATGCTATGGATAGTAGAAGTACTACCATGGTCAAGGCGCACAAATGCCTAGTACCTAACCTGCATAATAGGAGGGGGGATTGGAGGAGGGGAAAGGAAAAGAAAGGGATTCCCTGCAGCGCTTAACACCTGCAGCATTCATCTAAATTCTGCGGCTAGAAGGGAAGGCTAGTTTAAAGGGACATCAGGGAAATTCGATTCGAAACCAACCTTGAAAGTGTTAGCTGCGTGTCTGTTCTGTTTGTTAGTTGGCTTATGGGTACGGCTGCAACCAGGGGGGGAAGGAATACGGAGCCGCGCTATTCGCGACTGACTTTGAAGATGCTAATGCAGACGCAGATGCAAATGCCATGCCATGCCATGCATTCGGTCCCGTTGCCAATGCTGCAGCACGCACATCATGCAGTCGGTAGACCGAAAACAAAGCGAACAAATTTGTTGGATGGATATGTGTGCCTGCCTGTCTGCCTGTCTGCCTGTCTGTCTGTATGAGTGTGCGTGTGTGCTTGTGTGTTACAGCGATCGCATTTTTTCTCTTCTTCGTAAACTCCTCCTCCCCCCTTTCTTTCTTTGATATGTATCTCTTCACGCACTCTCACATCTATACCTACCTACCTATGTATTCTTATATATTATATCCCCCCTCTCTGGCGTTCAACGAAATGCATGCATATGGACCAGGCTCTTGCTTTTTCTGGCTTTTAGGCTTTTGACTTTTACTTTTCATCATCACATCGCTTTCATCGTGCTTTCCGGATAGAACGGGAATCGGGATTTGCTTGTTTGGGCGAGGGTGGTTTGATTGACACTTTGGTGGTTAGGTTAAGGGTTAGGCGAAATCTTCATTTTCATACCTTAGGTAGATAGATGTACAGAACAAGAGGAAAGGGAAGTGATTTTCAATAATAAATCAACGATGGATATATATATAGGTACTGTACCTATCCACGTGGTATACCTATGCCCAGACATATATACTTATTTCTATCTTAAAAAGTCTGCCTGTGAATCTCTAGATGATAGGTAGGTACTTAGTTAGTTAGGTAAAACGACCCCATAAAGAAAAGAAAATTGGGAGACCTGAATGCTAGCTAGTTATGTATGTCCAGCATAAAAGGAAAAAAGGGACTAACTAACTAACTACCTAACAGTTTTTTGTTTACTGTGACTGGCATGTAACTAGATAGAATACCTAAGTCAAAAAAATCCTCATCCTCATGTTAAGGCTTTCCTTTCCCTGCCGTCTTGGCTCTTCACTCGGCCTGTTGATTTTTTACTGCGGTGTTATATATATACCTAACTACAGGTAAGTTATGTAGTAAGTGCATGCATGCGTGCCATGGCAAGCTTCCACTATATGTATGTAGGTATGTATTGTACATACCACCTACCTACCTACCTACCTACCTACCTACCTACCTACCTACCTAACCTTAGTACATACTACATATAGCCTTGAAGGTTTTGGGGAAATGCCAGTCGAGTCTTATGCCTACCTACCTAGGTAGGTAGGTAAACAAATAGATCTGATCTAATCTAATCTAATCTACATATATAGCGGCTCCTATGCTACGTATGTAAATACATACATACACACACACATAATGCATGCACATATGTAGGTACGTAGGTGCCTAAGGGGGTATGTAACCTAGGTAGGAGTAAGTCTAGCTAAGTACGTAGAGTAACGGGGAGCATCAATCGATTTAGATAACCTACCTAGGTACCTAGGCATGAAAGTGTATCCTATATATAACCCTATGCACACACATGTATTGATAGTAGCAGGTCTCTAAAGCGTCTACTCGCCTAGGGTACCTACCTAGGGAAGGTACATTTTCATCTCAAGGGGCATGTTAAGAAGAGGCTGGCAGGTACATAGTAGTAGGAAGGCAGTGCCATATACGAACAAGCAGTACGTGTGAGTTGAGAATGGCCTCATGTATTCATTTTATCTATGCATCTGATCCGTTGTCAACTGTCTACTCCTACTGCATGTATAATGTAGGCTGAAGACCGATTTGCTTGCTACATTGAAGTCTATTCGTTTTATCAACAACCACAAAGCCAGTCGCATGCGATTTGTACATCCAACCATCACCATTACCATCACCATCATCATCGTCACTGCCCCTTCCCTTTAAGCTACTCAGTAGTTCACAAGTGACTCCTATGTAAACCTACCCATACAAAGTACTACGTAGGTGGTACGAGTGTGGGTAGATAGACGACTGCTGATAATGCTCCTGCTTTGAAGAAACCCTTCCCTTGCCCGTTTGCTCTCAAGGCCGCCAAGAGCCACAGCTTGTGATTCGAGAGGTGAGATGTTGATTGATATGTATTTATGAGGAAAGGGGTCCATGTAGGGGTCGGAAGAAGAAGATACAGGGGAGGATAGACAGGTGCAACGAATGGAAGACAAGGGCCAAACAAATGCCGGCGGCCCTTGTACCACCCACTTCCGTGATGCCATCAATGATACAGTCTAAGTTTAAATGGGCTCTTTCCATCTAAGGAGACTGAACTGTGGTGGAGAAAAGGTATGTTGACACCAGGTGTGTATTGCAAAAGGCCCACGGTTAGTATGCTTGACATTCATCTACTGGGCTTCCACGATGGAAGGAGACGGTATGAAGCTCGAATAAGACCACGACAGTATCGGATTATAAGCCAACTCGAGAAAAGAGACAAGCATCCAAACAATACCTAGTTGGCCTATTGTAGGATAGGAAACTTCTCTCTTAACACGATTGTATGAATGATAGATGGGTTATTCGTTGTTTGAGGCGCGGGACCTCTTAGCTTCATGAGAGGACCCCAATGGCTTTAAAGAATTCGTTCACCTGTTAGGGATCCAGCTTCATTTGAAATGAAAAGTCCCCTAACTAAAAGGGCTGCATCTTGGGTATTTCGTCGATGACAGATTGTATAGTAACAAGTGAACCGGGTCCACCATCCTCGCGTAGGTAGTCCAACAATACGCTCGTTTGCCCGTAGAGGTTCTCTAAAGCTGACCGAGATGACTTGCCTAAAGACGCTGTCAAACAGAGAAAAAGGGGGGGAAAAAGTTAGCCACCATATACACAGTCACTTGAATGAACAACTAGACTTACAGAGAATTGCTGAATTGAGTTCTTCAGCCACAGCCACCCTGCCTTTCCGCTCAAGTAAATGCGCAACCTCCTTGACTTGAAGTGGCTCAGAATAAGCGAGAAGTGAGAAGACCTCGTCGAGCGTCTTAGTAATTTCGCGCCTTGGGTCCTCCTTAAACTCAGCCTGTAGGCCCTGACCATACTCGATAGTTTTCGCCAGCAAGGTCTCTTGGTCGATTTGAGATCCTAATCCGTCTTCTTCCATCTGATCAGAGAAGCCATTCTCATCGACGTCCATCTTGTTAGGAATGTCATCAAAGGAATGGCCATTGCCCCTCTTTGCATTGGGATCGCCTAATTCAGCAGATTTTCGGACCATCTCAATAAAAGTTCGACAACGTAGCTTAAAGTATACGTCGTAATTCTGCTTTAACACGTCGGGGTAGAAAACTCTGGTATACTTAACAGCCTTTTCGATCTCGCCCTCGAGGATAGCTCTTCGTATGCCTAGTACGGTTAGTACAGAGAAAATTATGGATGCAACTTATACCTACGTTGCCTATTATGAGCATCTTCGTCATCCTTAATGTTGATGCCTGGTACTGGAGTTCGTGGGTCGATTTGAATGGCTTGTTTTTCAGAACGGATCTCCTCAGCAAACGCCCGAGCTGTCTCAACATAGCCGTCGTGTTGAAGAAATTGCAAGACCTATATTTATCGTCAGTCTGAGAAACAATGGGTAGATAATGCACAACTCACAAGCTGCTGAATTAAATCCGTCTCGCCCATAGGAGGTGAAACTAGTTTCTCGATGCTACAATGCAACTATTAGTTCCCAGGTATTACCTAGAGCTATGCTAATCGATCTTCTTACCTTGTTTTGCTGATTGCTGCCTTGACCTTTGCCTGTTCTCTCTGTGTAGCCATAATTGTCAGTTATGCGTATTTCGTAGAGAATAGGATCCTAACTTACCTTCATCATGCTATCGATGTCGTAGACGAATTGTGTTTGGCCAAAATTAACACGGATGTGCTCGCCTGCTTTCTTCATACCGACGGTAGGATAAAGATCACCCTTTACGTCTTTGAATGCGGTCTCTGTGGAGCGTTAATGAGCAGCTGTATATGGCAGCAGGGCTACATGAAAAAAAAAAATCAATACGTACTATATTCCTTGCCATTCTTGGTGAAGAATGCTTCCCGCGTTCGAAAGTTAACTCCACATCCAATAGTGTCCTGTGGCCCAAAGGCCTGGCCGTCGTAGGCCTTGCCAACATTATGTCCCGAGTAAATATCGCCATCGTCACCATGATAACCCCATGAGTCAGGTTCCCAGCCCGGTGGTCGTGACAGGGGAACATTCTTATTCGAGAAGCCAATGCATACTGTGGTCCTACGTTTATTCAAGTTAGATGAAATAGAGAAGAACAAGGTTGACCTTTTGAACGTACTCATCCCTTCTTCTAGATAGAAGAGTAACCTCAAAATAGTATATACCAGCCTGCCATGGCATAGGGTGGTCTGCACGGATAGCGCAACTTTCGTGGTCTGACTCTCTCGAACTACGACTAGCCGCGTATTTGACCTCTTGCCCGGCCCCTATTACTTCGAGTGCCCCATGCTTGTCATCATTGTTCCATCTTGAAGGTAAAGGCGCTATTGGACTATCATCCTCAATGGCCGGCGTCCGCTCGATCAAATCATACGTCATTACCCCCAAATGAGATGCTGGGGGTTTGTTCGACAAGGAGGCGGTTGTCGCAATACCTGCTGGTAAAGTAATTCCAGGTGACTGCTGGGTTTCTTTCTGCGCCAACTTTGCTTTGTGTGCTTCCTCGAGTTTCTGGATATAATTTGAGCCGCTTAGGTATGATGGCGTGAAGAAGCCATTCTTTCTGTATACGTTTTTCCGTAATAGCACCGTAACATCATTATCCAACCACCTTTCAAACGTTCGCGAATATAACGGCAATTGTGGGGTATGGCTCTGCGATCCCGAAGCAACTCCATCGGCGCCGCTACCGCTGCCGCTCATGTCCATGTCAGCGTTCTGAGTTTGGGCCCGGTTCGCAGCGTAGAGGTCTGACGATGATTCGTACGAGGGGTTGAGGAGGTATGAGAGGCGGTTGAGCGGCGAATGCGACGCAGGCGTAAGAGGGGCACCGGATCCTGCTATAGTAGAGGGATATGGAGAATTCCTGTACCGGGGAAGAAAGCTTGTAAGTGATACATCTGGATTAAAACCAGAAGAATCATGCTGAAATGGGTTTGCCATAGTAGAACCGAATTCACTCTGGGCCGTAATAAAAGGAACCTAGTCTTGGGTCGGAGCTCCTCTAAAGTGCTGGTGCCCTCTTGACTCACTGGTTGAGTGATGTAGGGCAAGCGGTACCTATAAAGACGTGAATGCGGTAATAACTTAATAGCAAGCTCGAGCAGAAAACAAGAGGCGTGTCCGTATTGCCGTACAGGGCAAATAGAGAATAGGGTTTTCGAACAAATAGACGAACGTCCCTTTATCGAAGGAAAAGATGCTCCGATTTCCTCGTTCCTATTTGGTTACGTCTATGTATGTAGGTAGGTACCAATCACTTTGTAGTTTGTACCTTGGAATCGTCAGAGTAAGTACTACTAGATATGTAGCTTGATGTCGTTGATATGTTCAATGTTCCTTAACTCCAAACCGTGCGTTCAGCAACATTGAATGGGCAGCAATGATGCTGAGGCAGGTGTTGTACACTGAGTGATGATAGGCTGTTGCGGAGAATGGTAAAAAGGTTTGTAACATTGAAAGGTCAAAAGGTACAAGAGCAGAACATTGAAGACCAAAAAAAGAGATCAATCAATCAATTGTGCAGGCAATCACGAGGTCACGGACGTTGTTGCTGAACATGGCCCGACCTTCCAGGTAATACATAATCGGTATCACTTATCAAATACTAAGGTACTAATCGATATGAGCGGGTCCGAGTTACATCATAACTACTAATCTTGATATGACTTTATCACCAAATTTTAGGTCACTTTTAGGTCTCTTTCCGCTTCCGTTTTATGTATGTACTTGTACCTAGATCAGCCGTCCCTATAGGCTACATACCTTCATATACTATGTATGTGCATACCACATGGCACAGTGGCCAAATGCCTTGGGATATTTTTTGAATTTTATTATAGCATATTATAAGTTACGCCTCAAAATGTTATTGAAAATACATTATACCTACATAAGCTAAATGATGTGAAGATTACTTTACATTGCATCTTTCATTTAGTACGTACTAATAGTAGTATGCAAGTGCAACCTAAGCTCATTCAATGTGTTATGTTGATGTTAACTATTCACCTAGGCAATGTTCCATTAATAGTTTGATAGAGTGGAGCTAAGCTTAGTAAGGCTAGCCTACCCATATAGTACATAGTACATGCAACCTTGAACTCCATTCAGATGCCACCATCAACATTGAATGCTAACCTAGAATATTAATGCAAGTTTAATTATGGTGCAAAAAGGAGGTTGACTGACTGTTATCGCCAACAAATCCAAGCAAGATTCCTAGGGTAGTCTTACCTACCTAGGTACGTACATACATAGATAATAACTATCCTTCATTCAATAGTTATGTGTACGTAGAACATTGGCCACGAAGCCCATATGATATGTAATACGTAGATATTAGGTATCCTGAGTACGAGCAACTACTCATTAGCTTCAATGTTTGTATGCCTACTAGGTAGAGTTGGCCGTAGGACCTTGCTACGTGGCTCTCATCTAAAATACAACCTTGGGATGATCTAATTTCATAAATGGAGATTCATTAGGGAACGTCTTTTCTACGATTTCAATACCAAAAATATGCTGACTACAGACCAAGATAGACCATCGTGCCATCGTCACAGCCGTATGAGACTAGGTCAGGCCTCTCCTAAAGCACTAATTACATGTCCAGCGAGTCCAAAGCCATGGTCTTCGCAACATAGGTGCCTTAGCGAGTGATAGCTACAGGTAGGCAATAGCAACATGGCAGAAGAAATCATGAATCTCATCATACTTCAACGCCATTTGCAATACAGGATTATGCATTTGCTACAAAACCGATCTCTATCGACCATGCCAGACTTTTGTCTCAACGCCAACCGTCAACTTGCGAATTATAATGTACATTAACTCCTCTCCATTTCCGTGACGCCAAACTTTCAAGTAGCTCAAGTGGCTATGTTGACCGATACACCTTACCATTTCCAGACAGCCTCAGGAATGCCTCTCGACCTGGCAGTAAAATCAATAGCCCTTAGTTGCGTATCGTAACAGCGAAAACCCATAACGCCATATTTTCCTCAGCCTAAACCCGTGAATGCGCATCAAACGTACAAGACCATTGTCAAAGGTCGCTGAAAAGAAGAGACGTTGAAGCGAAGCTTACGAGGCAGTAATGATCGGAGTAGGAGCTGGCGAACTAGCATTGATGCTCGGAGGCATGCTGCTTTGCTGCTCTCCATCGGCATGGCTGTTAGCAGCCTCACTTTTCATCTGACTGCCCTCTTTATTTTCCTTGTTGCTGCTCTCTGTCGAGGGAGCTGGCTCTTCGGGCGTAACCTGGGGTTTGGGCTTGGGCGGTGCGGTCCATCGGGGAACTTCCCAGGTAATACCAGTAAAGCTCTTCACCCGAAAGCCACCTCTGTTCCATTTTCGACAGGGTGTGCCAGATCGATCAAGTGCGCGAAGCCCGGCGTTGATAGCGCCCTGGTTCGCCTTCGGTCCCAGTTTGTGATATGTACCACCGTTGGCTCGGCCGTTGGAATCAATAGTACCATCGTCCCTAGAAATAAGTTAGTAGGGGAACAGGAACATGATATCGATTGACAATATAAGCAAAAGATAAGTTGGTAATGGCATGTAGGGAAAATGGGGACGCGCAAGGAGTAGCAGTGGACAAAAAAAAAAGGTTGATGTACATACAGTCTAGGCTTTTTCTTTGGGCCAGGCTTACCCTTGGCCTTTGACGATGGGTCGGAACCATTCGCGCCGGCAGCGCTTCTCTTCACACCCTTCTTCTTAGGTGCTTCGGTCGGCGGTCCCATAGGCAATTGAGAAGGTGTTCCTACAGGCGCAGGAGTGCCTGGGTTTGACGCAGAAGCAATCTCGCCATTTGAAATGACTGGCAAAGAGTCATTGGGAAGTTGCTCGTTAGGAAGGGTCGTCGGCGGGGCCGGAGACTCTTTGATGGGCGACTCTTCTTTGATGGAGGCTGGATCGATAATCTTGCGAAGGCTGATGGACTTGACGCGCAAAGTAGCCATTAGGGAAGGCTTTGCGGTAGACTTTCGCCGATCCTTTTCCTTGTTAGAAGCGGATGTCTTGCTAGGTGTAGGCATGGCAAGCAAATTATTTGATGGGTTATGGTTTAGCAAATTGTAGTGCGAGGTGTGAATGTGGTGGTGATGGTAAACGATATGGTGGATGAAAGAAGGTGGAAAAGAGTGATGGTTAGAAGGGAAGGTGGTAAGATTCTTCTTTTGATGAAAAAGAAAAATAAAACGCCTTGGTGCGATTGTGCACTTTGTATTAGTTTAGGTTGGGTCAGGTCATCAACCTGGCAACCTGGCAACCTGGCAAAAGTATGAAATGTGATCCACCGGATTCCCTTCTCCCAAACCGTTGTCCGCCTACTAAGCAAGGTAAAGAAACCGCGTTGCTACTGTGTAAAGACTCTAATCGGCTTCGGCGATAGGCGTCCCAACCCGGAAGGTTATGGTGTACTATCTTTCGCTGCGGTGCGCTGCGGTGCGCTACGGCGGTGATGATGATAGTAAGGCAGGGTGATATCTGGGTTTGGTGGTGTTCTTTTTATACGATGTACAGATTGAAGTTTTAGTTATTGAATGGGGGGTGAGAATGAGAATGGGTTGTGTGTTGAAGGTGCTGAATAAATTATGGGGGAAGCCATGGTTGTTGCCCTTGATTTGGAGCATCCGTCTCATTCATTTTTGGCTGGCTCAAATAATACGGTACGGTAGCAGGTATCTCGTCTGTCAAGATTTGTCTTTCTCGCGAGAGCACCTAGGTTGGCTTGGTTTGTGCGTTCCGGCCTACGGTAAAAGGGGGCGTAACGCTAAGGAATTGATACATATTACCTAGTACATACATACCCATGTGTCCTTGTACTGGGGCACTTATTACATATGTACATATTACTGTGTTATCCAGCAAGAAAATTGAAGAAATACATATGTAGGTACCTGCCGATGTTATACCTTGTACATGCATTCGAAACTACTATTAATCTTTATCCTCCCTTCAATCTTCAATGTTGGGGAACCAACGACTCCGTTTGCGAAGTGGAAGTGCCATGACGCTGTTCTAGTACAATTTTGGTTTTCTCTATTGGTAGTACCTTCCCAGTTCTAGTTATTACTAGGAAAAAAAGAGATTTTATCCTTTAATATGCATTCTTCTTTCTTCTTTTATGTTCTCACTATCTTCAAGTTAAGATTTTCAACTTATTGCTCAGCCCCAACCCCTCCTCCCCTCCTTCCGCTCTCTTTACTTCACACACCCAACATACTACTACCATGTGAGGGTCCAAGAGGAAGGTTCACTAGGATAACTAACTAGCGACTCGCACTTACTCAGGTTAACTTTTCCAGATACATAGGGTTCAATGTTTTTTTTCCAATGTTCCTTCCAATGTTCCTTCCAATACGTACTGGTTAATTATCCCCAGCACTGTACATTTTCTCTCTAGTGCCGTATGCAATCGTCAAAGTTCCCTACATAATCACTTGCGACCAAGTGCTTAATCAAGAGAATATTACTAGGTGCCTAATGGTTATCAGGTAGGAACAACCGACAGGACTGTGAAAGGATGGGGGCGCTTCAAATGTCGCAAGGGGTTGCTTCGAAATTCGATAATCACCCGCAAATATACACATTCTTACTCCTTCCACTACACTCTGCGACACAAGGCTTAGCTTAATGCCAATCACCACCTACATTTTACCCCCTTTTCCTGTTGCTTAACGTAAAGCGATAAAACCTTCGACTGTCTTGGATCTTTACAAACTGTATATGCACTCGAGCTAAAAATGCCCAAGTGGAACATCTGGTTCAGCAGCTACAACTTCACCTCAAAGCCAGGGCCACTATGTGTATTCACGGGGTCAAAAATGCATCCATCCATCTATGGCACAGGTATGTAGCCATGAATAAACAGTATGGCTCAATCTTGTGGAGGCCTAAGATGTGTTGCCGATTGATTTCCAGACCCCAGCCTTGGGCTTACAGGTGTGCAAAAATGATATTCGCAACCCTTGTCAAGTACGGAGTCGCATTTCGTAGGAGACTAGGCTTTCTTGACAACATTGAACCTCGAAGCTTGTCGTTTTCATCTACTAATTTTTATCTGCCAAGGTGGGAGGTACCTAGGTTAGGTAGGTATGTATACTCAAAATCTAGTAGCAACAACATGCTGGTTCATTGCTCACAGGACAGCAATCGGGTATCTGACGAACGCGAGAAAGATATAGAAAGCCGTAGGCAATTACCATCCATCAAGTAACGCAATATACTAGTTAGCCGTTTGCCTGTCAACATCAGACCAAGGAGTCATGGCTGGAGCTGTAGAGTTTGACGAGCTTGTCCTAGTACCTATTTGGGCACTGACAGGATTTTGGTTGAAAAAGGTTCTCGTCCATCATGAATACCATTATGTGATACGACAAACATTGAATGGAACTGATCTTACATTAGGCCATCCCAAACTTCAAAGGGCACGAAGAGTCCGGTAGTAACCCTACATGCCTCCAAACCAGTTTTGAAGTACCTACTACGTATATCGAGGTAGGCAAGACATCATAATCCACATGTATCAAGTTCGATGTTCCAATTACTACTACCTAACCTCAACTAGTGGTATCTGACCTGGCACATAGGTAGCAATCCTTCCCCACGTAAAGCTTTACGGAAATCCCCTCCCTGGGCAATGCGGATACCTGCCAGATATCCAGCTGCGGCATCGGGTAGAAAAGTATCGTGGTGCATGGTGGCCTGGCCACCTTGACCCCCACGATAGAATGTATGCATGTGGAGTATTGCACGAGAGATGTCAGGAGCTGGCGACTTTAGATAGGTAAGTGGACTTCTGCTGCCTATCTGATTAACATAGTCATGGCTATCGCTAGAACTATTTCATATCCTCTTTCTCTCCGAGTTTTAAGGAAAACTCTCAGGAGAAGGTGCCTCACATTGACCAAACCTTACACTTCACCTCATATTTCCCAAGGCCATCCCTAGTAGCCTCTTAGGACGTTATACTATACACCCGTTGGCTATAGTGATATAAACACAGTCTCTGGCAAAACGAGATTCGATACAAAACTGCATACCACAGATCATGGGTTCCATCAATGTCCCATCTATCATTAACCCGTTACATCCCTCAATAGTCGAGAGAGTCGATCCGGTCTTTGCCGATATCTACATGCGCTATCAAGGTATGAGACGAACCGAAACACTTGGATTGCCTATTCATGGTCACTTACAAGCAATTATATAGCACCCAAGCTTCGTGCAGACCAGGTTCCATACGAGGTTTACAACCGTGATCGAAGTAAATATACCTTTCCGACGGCTAAGGTCTCTGGACCTCTCTTAGACGTAGCCAGCAACAATATTCATAAGGTCTCCGTCCCGGACCCCTCTGGCGAGATAGATGTACAGGTATATGTACCTACGCAAGACGCCATCGCTAGCGGTGGACTTGAACGTGATGGTTTACTCCCTGCGCTCGTAAATTTTCACGGGGGTGGTTTTGTCATTGGTGGATTGGACTCGGACGAATCCTTATGTCGAAGTCTCTGCCAAAGAGTTGGCTGCATCGTACTGAATGTTGGCTATCGACTTGCCCCGGAATATCCACATCCAGTTTCCGTCACGGATAGTTGGGAGGCGCTGAAGTGGACGTTCGAAAACGCGAAGACGTTAAAGATAGACCCCTCGCGTGTAGCAGTCTCCGGACTCTCGGCCGGGGCATGCATCGCTGCCGCTCTAGCACTGATGGCCCGGGATGAGCCGAGTTTACCACGTTTAGCCCTGCAGCTACTCATCGTCCCGGTAGTCGACGCAAGATTTGTCCCGACGGAGGGCTCATGCGACCCTACAAAAACACCATACGAGAGTTACATCACGTGCGAATTCGCACCTATGCTTCCTCTCAACCGCCTCATCTGGTTCTATAACCTGTGGCTAGGCACGGGCGAAGATCGCGCCGAAAAGGCCAACGATTTCCGCGCTTCCCCGATTCTTGCGGACTCCCATGCGAATCTCGCGCCGGCTATCATCCGCTGTGCCGAAATTGACCCCCTCGTCTCCGAGGGCACTGCGTACCACGAGAAACTGCTGGAAGCTGGCACCCCGAGCAAACTCAAGGTCTACAAGGGGCAAGGACATCCTTTTGGTCAGTGGGACGGAGTAAGTCCTACGGCCATGGAGTTCGTCAGCGACTGTGTAAGTGAGCTGAAAGACGCGTTTTCTAAATAGAATTAGAATAGAATAGGAGGTGCTGCATTTTTCTCTTGGGTGCATATTAGACTGTATTGCGAGGAGATCAATACCTATGCTCGGGTGCATACTGGGAAGGTAGATTTCCAAGGTTAGCTGCCGACGATAGCACTCCGGCAAAGCCGATCAAGTAGAGATTCTATAGATTTATATCGGCTGTTCAATTATAAACCCCAGGCTGTCAGATTATCAGAGTGAACGACGTCTATAAGCACTAGAACACTACTAACCTGCGTATTTTGGATTTATTTCAGTGTAACTTAAACTACCTACTATGTATAAGCGATGGCTTCGAAGTGTTGGGGTTTCATTGTGCCTTGTCATTCTATAGGCACTTTCATGTGCATCTAGGTACCTAGGTGGACTGAACTCTTTAGTCAAGTCCTCTAACTCCAGGCGAGAAAGAGCGGTAGTTAGTAGATAACATCATGTTTCATTGATTGAAGCACTGTTTGAACACGATCCTTGCAATAATCGAAAACTTCCAAGGTTAGGTATGGTCTGTTTGTAGGTACCTAGGTATCTGGCACCTCCCCTTTATTGGCATCGCCGTGATCGATCCACAACGAAATGGACCTGCCCCTTTCTTTATTTAGGTAACAGACTCCGATGAAACAGCCAACTCTGCCTACCTATCTAGTAGATACCTACCCGGGTACTTATCTCGTAGTAGTAACATCGTCACAACTTTCAGTCAGTTGCTACCATACCTGGATATTGGTCTTGGGACGATCAGGCTAGTAACTATGTTAATGCTTGAGTTTGGTGAAAAAGAATATATCAAACACTGAGTACCATGAGGCCCGGGCGATTCATCTAGCGCAGTAGAATAACGGGGGGTGTGATGGATATTCACGTAGTAGCAAAGGTACCTACCTAGTACTGGCATAGGAGCAATGGGGGGAGTCAAAGGATTGTTGGAAATTTCGGGGTTCTAAGGCTATGGCAGTAGAGTAGATTGTGGTATCGTTTGGTAGCCACGAAATTTACTCGGGCAGTTCAAGTCCTTTCCCCCTTTCTACTCACCTACCTAGTACGTACGTATTAGGTAGGTTTGGTAGTAAGTAAGTACCTATTATGAAGCGTCTTGTTACACTGGAAGTTAGGGTTAGGGTTAGCCCCTGAATATGATTTCTTTGTAGTATACACGTATGTAGATCTTATTAGTTACCTAGTAGGTAGGTGGCACCTCAAGTTTAGGTAGTACAATTGTAATGTGCCTCTTTGCGTTATGACTTCCTAAGAAAGTGATATATGTTCGTGTCTCGCGTGTCTCACTCACGTACTACCTAGGTACTCCATGAATATACCTACTAGGTACATATTACGTGGCTGAGGAACAATATGGCCCCCACTGTACCTAGGCTTACAGTCCCGTGTAGCAACAACGAAGCTGTTGGCATGGATTCTGGTTTGGTCATATGGCATGTGGTAAGCCCCGAACACACCGCCTCGCATCCTCCCGTGCTACACGGCTTTTCAAACCGTTATCGGAGTAATCGGTCATGAAACAATACAATTCTTCGGCACACTTTGCATATATTACATCGTGATCATCAGGGTTTCTGGACCTTTCCATCCCCAAGCCTTACATCAAGTCCTCCGTGTTCCTCCTAACACTCTCCTCCAAGCTCGTCCACCCGCTCTGCCCCATCCCCCGTAACAGCGCCTCGGCCCGCTTCCGGAGCACAATGTCGCTCAGATCCCTCTCGCTCTGGAAATCGGCAGGGAAAGTGCGGTCCGGGTAAAGCTTGCGCAGGACAGCCAGAATCCCGTCGCCGTTGACGGGCGCTGCAAAGGCGAAGATGCGCTCGGACTGGACATCGGGGTCGATGGCGGCCGCGACATGGAGGAGAGCGCAGTCCTCGATGTCGACGAAGTTTTCTATAAAAACAATATAAAAAAAGGATTTCAGCTCAGATCTCGTCTCATCCTGCTTCGACGAGGGTAGGTAGGTATCAAAGAAATTGGGACTCAAAACGTACGGGCAGGCAGGCTAGCCAGCGGCGTCGGGTTCCCCCTGAACAGCTCGGCCAGCATGCCGGACGTCGACGCGTGGCCCTGGCTGACCGAGTCGAGGCTGGCGCCCAGGGTGAGGTTAGGCAGGACGGTGTTGAGCACGAACGCCGGCCTCTTCTCGCGCATGAACTTCCACGCCTCCTTCTCGGCCAGCGTCTTGCTAGCAGCGTAGACGTAGTAGCCCCGCTCGGGCTCGTAAGGCGGTGCGCGGAACGCGGCTGCGACGCTCTCGTCGTTCCATGTCTCAGCCGAAACTTCCAGGGGGTTGTTCGGCTTCGGGATCAGTGCCGCGGCCGAGGACGACGTCAGCACGACGCGCTTTACGGTTGGCTCGGCGGCGGCTGCAGAGAGGGCATTTAGGGTCCCGGCTACGGTTTCGGTGACCATGTGATGCGGGTTCGGGTTCATTTTGACGTTGGTTGCCGTGTGGATGATGGCAGAGACGCCTATTTTTGCAAAGGGGCGTGCTAATTAGCTTGCTACACTTACAGTGAAGATGGGTAGGTACATAGAGCCTAGGTAGCTATCGCATAGTTAATACACATATACAAACACACCTTTCGCAGCTTGATCATATGCGCCGTCCAACTTCATGTCTTCCACAACCACAAATTCGAAATTCCCAGGTCCATACTTGCGATCGAACAGATTGAGGAGCCACGCATTCCTCTGAGGGTTTCGTGTGGTGCCGCGTACCTTGTATCCGAGCTTGAGGAATTGGTCTGCGATATTGGATGCTATGAAGCCGTTGGCGGCCGTGACCAGCACCGTAGAGCCTTTGGGGATGACGGGGTGGTCAATAGTGGACATGGTAACGAAGGTATGTTATATATAGGTGCTAGGTACATAAGCTAACAAGAGGTATGGAGGTTAATAAATAAAATTAAATGATGCCTACCTTATTTACTGGGGTATATTAGAACGCCAGCGTGACGTCGATGGTTGATATGGCTATCTACCTAACCTAGGTACCTCCGAAACGTCCGAACCTCGGAACTCCGTGTGCGGCCACACCCACTACCGCTTCCAATCACCCTCCGGTACCCCAATTGTTGCATTACTTATTAAGAAAGACGACAGAGTTGATTAGAACAGTGAAGTTTACCATATAATTGGCAAGATTTAATAGGCACTTATGTCACTCAGGTTACGTACCTTGGTAGGCACTGGGTAGCTGGAGTAGCCAAAATGTACGTATCTATTAGCCAGCTCCCCGCTGGTCGTCTCGCCACGATATTCTACAGGGCAAGTCGAAAACATCTCTTATCAGGGGCAAGCAAGGTAGGTGATATAACAACTTTGAGAAAGATAGGTTGTTTACTGATGTCCTTCCGCCGCTGCATGGGCAACAGCAAGATGTGCATCCACCAAGCCAGAAAGTGCGTAAAGCGCTCCAAATGGTGGCGTGTCTCCTGCAGCCTCATGGCGTGCCCGACAAGACAAAGAAAAGTGCGGCCACGTCGAAGATTTCATTCGCCAGCTACCTACCCAGAGACAAAGATATCGCAGGCGCCATGATTGGCGTGCCCAGGGTGGTATGCATCTATAGCAGAGACGAGCTGTCCGCCCAGCCAGATATCCTGCTCCTCGGCGAACATACCTCAGGTCTCGGCTCAAGCTTGCACATTCGGGTCTGACCTTGTGCTATGCACGATTCACCTACCCTCCGCCGAGCTAAGCGAGCTTTTCGACCACCAAGTACTGCTATTCCCAGGCGGCCGCCTTGCGCACGACGGTCCACTAAGCGATAAGTGCTGAACGGCGCTTGGGTATGTCGCCAACTTTAGTTCCAGCTTTCGCTGTGGGATAGACGAGAATCTAGCTGAGTATCCCATGCAGCATGTATACATACATCATTGCATAGGTAGCTAGTCGCTAAAGAGCAGTTGGTCACATATCCCTTATAGCGCCTAAATTATGACGGTTTTCATATCAGTACTACCTAGGTAAGTAGATACTTGGTATATGTCAAGGATATAAAGGAGGGAGAAAGTTCTTAGTCTTCCACCCACCAATATTTGAAGAACGTTAGGAGAGAGGAATGCCGTGTATTGATCACATGAGAGTATGCTATTCTTCCTGTAATCAAAAGTGCAGCTTGCGTGGTTATATGGAGCTATAGCCCCTATTTCCTTTGCTCCTAGAACCTAGGTCACGTAGGTAGAGAGATCGCTTTGAATCTCCAGATCCACTGGAATTCATCTTCCCATCATTAAATTTTACCTAATAACAGAAAATGAATAAAGGGACGGGCCGATATCTGATCTGTTAAAAGGGGTATGAGCATGAGCTGGGACTTATATCCAATATACGAGATTTGGAATATATGTCTGCCTGCCTACCGAGCCCCTACCTAGGTACCTAGGTGCCTAGGTAGTAGGTAAGTAGATACGAATATTAACTGCTTGCAATTTATCCGGAAAATATACTCCCCTTGGATAGGAATGTCGAGCCAGGCTAGGTTAGCCACCATTTTCACTGCCGAGGCCATATAACATGAGAACCCGACCGAATGCCAGGATGTCCATATATCCAGGGCCAGATCCATACGCACCTGGGCATGTTTCTGTCATCTGGCAATCGGTTGACAATGCGAAATATCCTCCTTAAGCCACCTAGTCAAGCCAGAAAAGGCTTCTTTACTTTCCCACTAAGCCTTCCAAAGCCTCGTCTGGGTTACTGCTTTTTTTTTATATTATCATGGTAGATAATCCGCATATTTCCGCTATGAGCAACAGTCTATGGCTTGTTAGGGTGACGCCGACGCTCGTGGCTATATCGTAGGACCCTGAAGTTCATTGGTTACCTAGCTTATCCCACGATATGATCTCACGGGCTGCTATGAACTGCATCGAACTATCATAGCGGCAATGTCCATATTGATAATACTTCCATGAAATGTGGAACATGTGATTTCCGCTCGTCTATTTTAATACAAGAGAAATATCAATCTGACTTCTATTCGTGGTTTTCCAGTCTCGTGGGGAGCAGGACCGGGGTTGTTGATCTCGGCTATATTCGCGATATTAACCGTAGGTCAACCATACGACAATAAACTTAAAATAGACAGAAACAACATGCACAATTGATGATCGAAGATAGGTTGCCGGGGTAGGCATCTGGGGTAACGAGCGTTCAGCCGAGTATGGGTTTAAATAGAGGATGAGTCCGCATCAGTGTTGGGGGGTACAGCAAACGCCACCCACCTTCACGACTTTCCCCCGCTTAGCAGGATGCAGCTCACACTGAACTTGGTCGCCACGGGCCTAGGGCTTCTCGCGCCCGGCGCTGAAGCGCTTCTTCGTTTCTCGTGTTCTCAGCTCGTAGTCGAGCGTCTAGACCCGCTCGTGAACCCCGGCGTAGTAGGAACGCCACATGTCCACCAGATCATCGGCGGCAATGCCCTCAACGCATCCATGGAGTATCCCCGAGTGGATATCCCTAGCGAGGCGACCTGCACGACCTGCACCTTCGCCGAGGACACATCGAATTACTGGACCGCAGTCCTTTATTTCCGTGCGCGTAATGGAACTTTCAAGAGGGTCCCGCAGATGCCCAACGCAGGCTTCGAGAGCGCCAAGGGGGGCATGACTGTCTACTACACGCCGTCCTACTCCGGGGGCAAGGTTACCGCTTTCCAACCTGTGAGTTTAAAACCTCCATCGCTATAAGCCACTCACCAAAAAGGAAGAAAAAAAAGGAGGGGGGAACGCCTAGCTGACCGTATCAGGGCTTCCGCATGATCGTCGGAAACCCGACATACCGAACAGAGGAACAGGCTAAGAAGTTCCGTCAACTCACTTACACTTGCTTGGATAACATCATGACGCGATCGGGCGAGACGCTGTACTTACCGAAGAAGGTCTGCAAGGCCGGCATCATGGCCAACATTCGCTTCCCGACGTAAGCACCTATCCAATTCCCTACTCTTAAATACTGGATACTGAGGATCTGCTATACCTTCCCTCCCCTATTTCATTCCCCACTCCTCTTTTCCAAAGTTCACATCCACCAGCTAATACCCCCTCACAGTTGCTGGGACGGCAAGAACCTCGACACAGCCGACCACTCCTCTCATGTCGCGTACCCCTCTAGCGGTACGTTCGAGAACGGAGGGCCTTGCCCGTCGACGCACCCAGTCAAGATCCCGCAACTCTTCTACGAGGTTATCTGGGACACGCGGGCCTTCAACAACCCGGCCGACTGGCCCGAGGACGGCTCGCAGCCCTTCGTCTGGAGTTACGGCGACCCGACCGGATACGGCAACCACGGCGATTATGTTTTCGGCTGGAAAGGTACTGTTTGCCTGCTTCATTCATCCCTACTAATTAGCTTTTTAAAAGAAGAGAAAGAAAAAGAAAAATCGTCTCCTGTCAGAGAGTATAAGCTAACGCGGGATATCTTGACACCACGTATCAGGTGACGCGCTCCAGAAAGCGATGGACTCGAACTGCAATATCAACTGCCCCCAACTCAAGACCCAGTCTATCCAGCAGGCCAACCAATGCACCAAGCAGACCGTCGTCAACGAGGACATCGATGGCTGTAAGTTGGCCCTCTCCCAGCCCGTCTTGTATACACAAGGCCTACTGGGTACCTAGTCACGGGACATTTCTAACATATACGCTCTAGGGCTGACGGAACTCCCTGGCGGGATGCCAGTTACCGATGCAACTGGAAAAGTCATTGGTTAAGGGGCTGGTTTGTAAAGGTTGTTGATACAACAGGGGGGATGAAACTAATAGAGATGGTGGTAGTTTCAGTGATCTGATTATTAGCGTATAGACAAAGGAGTCGAGCTTGTCTTCGAGTTTATTCGCAATGCCAGTTAAACGCCTTTGTAGATAGGCGTCTTTGTTGGAGGAAGCTCTGATCAAAATCCCTGATCCCTAAGAATCCACAGATCGTATTGTCCCTAGCCACGGCCTCCTATGTCACAGGGAATTCTTTGGTAAATAAACCAATGTATCTGGCTTCGTGAACAGATTATGTCTACTTCTTAGGTCAATGAATAATAAAATGTGGAGGTCGTAATTTCAATAACTTATTCAACCAGCCCCTTTTGCTCAAAGGTCAAGGCACCTACAATGCCTAGAGTCATTGTGATCCTCTTGACCTCGCTCATTACCTAACAACCCCAGAATCTCTCATGATTCAGTTCTTGTCATGTTTTGTTTAATAAAACCTGTGCGTAGATTGGCGTCACTCAGACAGAGACGGTCATATAGAAATACTCGTTCGAATGGCTTCTTTTAGAGCATTCGCTACCGTAGGTGCTTCAAGATGACACTCTCGCATAACTGTGCAACTAGAACTAGGGTGATTTATGTAGATGGTACTAGGCACAGAAACTATGAGCAGTGCTGGTAGCCGAATAATTGGAATAATGACAAGCGAGACGGCAAGGATGGTTTCTCGTGGTCTGTGATCTGTGGTCTGTGATTTGTGTATACAGCAGCAACGGCGACAGCGCTAAACATTACAAACGAAAGGGTGCACAGAATAAGGTATGTATTGTACATACGACGGCAATTCGCGAATGTTGGGAGAGAAGGTGCAGATTATTTATGATGCTAAGATTGAATGGATGCAGGATAAATGTAGGAGGATTGAATGGTAGGATGGATGTGCGAGAAAAAGGATCTTGAAGAAGTAGCATGCATGCAATGATTGCGACTTCCAGTTCCTGCTTGAAATGTCTCAAACAAGTTCCAACATTGAAGCTTATTTTTGCTTCATGTCGCACCAGACTAATTCTAATTTGCGCCAACAAATGTACAATATTTACATCAAATGCATACCTAGTAGTACCCTATCATTGCCCTATCATTGATGTACCAATACTTGTTCAATCTCCGCAATTAGTCAAATAGCTTCAACTATAAACCGCCCCCTCAGTGCCCTCGCAAGTACACTACATATAATATGCCCGGTTTGTACACTACATATAATATGCCCGGTTTGTACAACCTCGCATTCAATGCTCGTCTAAAGAGTCGCATCGTTGCCGAGACTGCCGTGCGCTACATTAGTATGTACTGTACTGTACTGTACTGTACTGTACTGTACTAGCCTATCAATGTATATGATGATGCAACTCCGTACATGTAGAACAACATTATGTTGGAAGTCTTGGTTGTGTGAGTCCGAAGAGCGGAACAACCAACATTTGAACATTTCCAACTTACATACATTTCATAAAGCTGTCTCACTCACAATCCCACCCCAACTTACTAGCGATCCTACCACTACCACAAACGAGGACCTCGGCTTTCTACCCTACCACCGCAGCCTTATACGTTTTCTCCTCAGTACAGCACCCCAGTCACCCTCAAGGTTGTATTTTTCCAGCTCAGGAGAGACATAATTCGTGGAGATGGCGTCGCAAAAACCACCATACTACAAAGGGGGTGGGATTTTCTTTTCTTATTCGTCTCTTTACTCATCCCTTCAATAGGCCCTACATGCTTTACTCCGTATAGCCAATGGTAGAGCTCCCATAGCGAAAGAAGAGGAATCTTGGCTGAGCTACAAACAACGGCACTGGACCGGGGTGGGAGAGGGCCTCGGCTCGTGCACCTCCAGCTCTGACGAGCTATTCATTCGAGTTATTCTTTAAATATCCATATTCGATCATTGTTTTGAAACTTTCCCATCCCTAATTACCTACCTAGCATACCTAGGTACCCAATTAAGAAGAAGGATTCTAAGTATCCGAAGGATCAACAGCCAACGTCGTTTATAGAGAAGGGGCTTTTCTACCTGTTCGGCTTCCCATCATTTGCAGTTATATCTTATATAGGTGTATTTCTGCTCTTATTGCCCCCAACTTCTCTCTAACCATGGTGATCACTTCGAGATGGACAGCTCCTATACCAAAATGCTCCTTACAACAATGGGTGTTCGAATCCTCATTCGGGGCTCTCTCGAACGAACCTCAATTTATAGATCCTGATCGTCCAGAAACACACTTTATCACCAAATCAGATTTTCGCTTATGGTCGAAACGCTTTGCCTTGGGATTGGTGCGAGCAGGCTTGAAGCCCGGTGATCGTGTTCTACTATTCTCTGGCAACTCCCTCTTCTTCCCGGTAGTGTTCATGGGTATTCTGATGGCTGGCGGAATATTTTCCGGCGCGAACCCTAGCTTTGTTCCTCGGGAACTAGCATATCAATTGAAAGACACAGGTGCTTTGTTCATGATAGCAGCTGACGCTAGCATGGAGATCGCAGTAGAAGCTGCTGCCGAAGCTGGTTTGCCGAGGAGCCAGATATTTAGTTTCGACGCGACACCGCTCGATACACAGCCGGGCAAGGCGCGACTTGGAACACGACACTGGACATCTCTCCTCGCCCCCGAGGCCGAAGGTGCCAAGTTTGATTGGGTTGAGCCGGCCGATGCGACGACGGCGATATGTGCTCTCAACTATAGCTCAGGCACAACTGGTGTGCCAAAGGGCGTCGAGATTACCCATTATTCGTATGTGGCAAACGGGGTGGGTGTCACTTATGTCGACCAGGTGGACTCCGATTATGAAGAGAAGAGGAAGCGAGCCCGTCGTCTAGGCTTCTTGCCAATGTACCATGCTTATGGTCAGACATACCTTATTTGCAATTTCCCCAAGGAAGACATTCCAGTCTATATCATGCCCTCGTTCAATTTCGAGAAGATGCTGCAGTACATTGAGAAATATCGCATCGACCTTCTCACTGGTGTACCACCTATCCTAGTCATGCTCGCCAAGAGTCCACTGAGTCGCAAGTATGACCTTAGCAGCATCGAAGTTATTGGTAGCGGTGCTGCACCACTTGGTGCCGAAGTTTGCGATGAAGTGGCTAAGCTTTGGCCGCCGGGTGCGCTGAGAGTTCGCCAGGGATGGGGCATGACCGAGTTAACGTGTACCTGTACGGTGTGGGATCCGTACGCAACCGGCCAGTCGTCAGCTGTTGGGGAGTTGATGGTGAATTGCAAGGCTCGCATCATGAAGACCGACGGCTCCGGCGAGATCACCAAGGCAAACGAGAATGGAGAGATATGGATCTCGGCCCCGACCCTTCTCAAAGGTTACTGGGGCAAACCCGAAGCCACAGCCTCAACACTTCACATAGATCCAGACGGTACCCGTTGGCTGAAAACCGGAGATGTTGCGTTCGTGGATAAGTATGAGCAAGGCGCGCTCATCCATATTGTCGATCGAATGAAAGAGCTCATCAAAGTGAAGGCCAATCAAGTGGCTCCAGCTGAGCTCGAGGCCCTGCTTCTGGATAACAGGGGTGTCAATGACGCCGCCGTCGTAGGTGTGGTGATCAACGGCGAAGAGGCACCGCGTGCGTACATTGTGCCGAACCCTGAAAAAAAGCAGACGGAAAAAGAAATCGCCAAGTGGTTGGAGTCAAGGGTCGTGTACTACAAAAGACTAACGGGCGGGGTGAAGTTCGTGGATGCTATTCCCAAGAATCCGGTAAGCTCAACGGCTCCTGTCATTTCAGAATGTATAACTAACAATATGCTAGTCCGGCAAAATTCTTCGCAACATACTCAGACAACAGGCAGCCAAGGAAGTGGGCGACAGAAAACCAACAGCGTCGAAGTTGTCGTAAGGTCGGAGTTACTTGGAGAGCTACGAGTGACATCGCCCTACCCCTATATGGGGCAGTTTTTCCTAGGGTCTCAAATCCCGAGATTTTGGAATGAGCATATACTCTTACTTAGGTATATATTGAAGTCTTTTTAAGAAGACATGTGTATACGTTTCGGTTCATGTAGCGCGTATGGAGTATACCTTGATGGATGTTTTGTTGGTATAGACTGAGTTGTGGCTGGATAGCGCCTACTACGTAGGTATATTTTACATGCAATTTACACTAGATGGCTCGCTATGGATGTACTGACTACCTAGGTAGGTAGTGCTTAATAATGAACTAAGTGCCAAAGTGAGGGCCGAAGACTACCTAGGTTTCTAGGCCAATCGACCTTCACTTGGGGGTGATACCATCGACTAAGAGACGAACGTAGAAGGAAAAGGGGAAGCGAGATAAGGCAGTCTTGGTCACATTCTCGATACACTACACACCTACATGCCTACGGGCGCCCACACATAACGAACCTCACAATGGAATAATCTTAGATGGTACGGTATTCGGGTATCTATCTATCTGGTCCCATTATACTCTATGTCCTTCGTGAAGCCAAGGTCTCCATTAGTGGCAATAATACCTAGGTTGACGACTTCTACCACATCCTCTCCACATTCGCATGCACCCGCAGCCAAGAACCACCACAGCCCCCAGCCTGGGCCTGGGCCTTTATCTGGTTGCCACCCTCAGCGTAGGCGCGTAGGTAGAGGGGATGGAAACCCATCGATCATGTGTTTGGTGCAGACAGGTAAGTAGCAGGCACAATTGTGATGCCAACACAACAGCCTCAAGATTGAAAGGCTTCCCATTCCTCTTGTCTACGCGCGGTGTGGTAAGTACCTGGTGGCTTCTCTGACTATCGCCACCAGTACATCGCCCTTGAGATCTTTCCCATACCTACCTAGGAGTTGGGTGTTCTGCCTACGTAGTCTTCTGTCTGTCCTGGGTGCTGTCTGTCGGTTGGCCCCAGTACACGGTGGCGCGAATCTTGCATCGTACTGTGTAAGTACTAGGTATACGCGAGAAACAATAATTCTAGACCTTAATTCAATGAATCTCATCGATCTCATCGAGGCATGAAGCAATGATTGCTCTTCGCTGAACAGAGCCAGTCATTAATCCTGTCCATCTTGTACTCGGAATCGTCTCGTGGGAAGTGAGAATCATTTTCTGGCACCCAGTAGCTTACCTGGGTTGGATTTGACCGTTGATTGGCTAGTTGGCCCGAAAAAGAAAAGAAAAATAAGAGGAGGGCAGAGGAGGTCAGGCAGATGGGTGATACAGCCTGGTGAAGGAAGGGGCTTCAGCTCTAGCTTTCTCATGATAACTATGCGCACCACGTGATCGCCTTATGCGTGTGAAATGCGTAGCAGGGCCTTGATATGTTGCAGTACACCTGCAACCAAGAAGAAGAAGGAGGAAAGGAAGAAAGCTTGCTTTATTCCCAACTACGGATGGCGGAGTGCCAATATATGGCCATAAGGGCCATATGGAGCCTAAGGGTGCCTGAGGCACCTGCAACATGATATTTTCGCACTGAGGGCAGTTCTGCTCTGTTCCATGTGTGTACCTTTGTGGGCGGTCGTGAATCCTTCTCGTGCCTCCAGCTTGCGGAGGGCCTTATGTATGGCTGCGCGGCATGATCAAGAGACGAGGGTAGACGGGTAGGTGCACGGTGTAAGGTAGAAATAAACACCCGAGCATGTGGCTGGTGGGTAGGTGTGCACGACGAAGTCCTACGCTGCTGATGAGGAACGAAGAAAGAAGAGGGTTTGGTGAGAGGTTAGGTTATCTATATATGTAGGTACCTACTTATATATGGTATGTAAAAGGCGGAGAAAAGTTGAGATGGCTTCTCTTAGGTGATGTTGCTGGCTGCTGAAGTACCGGCACCTAATATAGTAACGCCTAGATGGCTTTAGTAGATATACACTAGTGAAGCTCTGAATTAGGAGCTATGCAAAGGCAGCAGAGGCAAAGTTAGGAGTATAGTCTATTCGATTGGGAATAATAGGAGGTATAACAGCTGGTATATATATATAAGCACCTACCTGATAGGCAGACAGATACTGTGTACCCGCAAGCGCATACACATGGGAACAGCTGGATGTCAATTTATACCAAGCTGCCAACCTAGACTCAATTGCTCAGCTCAACAAACAAGCTTCTTTGCCCGGATGACTACCTCCCTACTTACATAAATATCATCCATACAAATAGAAACTGAATGCTACCTCCAAATAATAGAGTATAAATTAGTCATACCTACCTTTCTCCCACTCCTCCTTCAGTGCTACACACAACTGCCGTGCGCTATCTACAGTACCTAACTACATAGGTATCCAGTCTGGCGCTTGAGTCTTTTACCGCTCACAATGTGCGCATACTGTACATATACACCGTGTAGTCATGCCAGCTGCATACATACATACACACATACGTGGCCAGCGACTTCGCTTACTATGTAGTAATCATCATATACATTACCTCCCTATATTATGTAGACGAAGTGAGGCGCGCTAGACAGCCAGCCAGCCAGCCATTGAACCCGAGAAGAAGAAGAAACTAGGTATTACCTACCTTACATACATAGTACCTGGCTATTGTCTCAGGCAATGCCATCTAGTTATGACTTGGATTCACATGCATGTCTAAGTCAACAGACCCAGCCTCACCAACTTCCAAGTTCTAGAATAAGGAGTACGGAGTTTGTATGTATGATAGTAGTTAACTACGTAGGTACATCAATTAGGTGTCCAGTTATGGGTATGCACGCAATACAATACCTAACCTAACCCCTTACATAAGCAGCCCAACCCGCACGCAACCCGCGCAGGATCATTAACATTGGCATCTCAAGCTAGTATATGTACCTATAAGGGGGGGGGGCGGCGGTAGGCAATTCGTACATACAGTACATCCATTAATACAAAGTGACCTACCTAGCTAGGCATGCGATTGATACGTCGGACACCTGCATGGCGCATGTAGGGGAGGGGGGGGGAATCCGATTTGCATCAACGATTAGCATCGAGACAGATAAAAGTTCTAATTCGCTAAGGTTACATAGTACGATCGATCGAATAATAGGTACAAAAAGTAGTAGTAACATGCGACCGGTGATGGGATTGGGATGGAAATTGGAGATTCAAGTGAGATTGGGTTTGCTGCGATTCTACGCAACGATCCGTCATCTACTTTTTCAGCCCACCGATTTTTCTTATTTGTAAATTTTTTTTTTCTTGTAACCCCCTTATTATTTTCGTCTTATAAGACTTCAGGCCTGTTTTTTTGGGGGGGGCCTATAACTAGTGTAGTACATAGCATAAAGCCTAAAAAAGGAGGCTGGGCCAGTGATAATGTGGGGTTACACCGTATAACCCAGCCTCCCCGTACCATACAAGTAACACGCCATCAAAATACGAACAATTGCGGTCTCTCTGTCCTCCGTCACATATCCTTTACATAAAATACCGTTCCAAAAGAAAATAAAAGAATACAATTGAAATCTAGTTTTCTCCAATTTTCTCAAAACGATAAACATAACATTCCTTTGTTCGGCTTTTTTCTCTTCTCATCTATCCTTCTCCGACCAAACCTTGGGTTTCGGTTACACGCCTCACACGACATCATCCCTTTTCCCGTGTGCACCCGCGCCCGCGCCCACACACACGCAAGGGAAAAGAAAAGAAAAGAAAAAAAACAAAGATAAAACACACCCCTTAGTACATACAATTAGCATACATATATCCCGCCCGTTATTATGAACTCGCCTTCCAGACCGCGCCCACGTCAGGCTCAACCATCACGTGACCGTGACCGCGACTACGACGACGGAGTATCTGCAGCCGTGTACCACCACACTGGAGGAGTGGTAGGAAAACCCGGCCCTAGCGGTAATACTAGTAACGGCGGTGGCACTAGTGCTGGTGGCGGTAGTGGTAGTGGTAGTGGTGCCCCGCGCTTCGACAGTCACGACGATTTTTACGACTTCCTCGACAGCAACCGAGGCCCAGGAGGATTCTCGAACCCTGCTACCAACGCAAACGTCAACGCCGTGTTGCAGCAGACACAGCCGCTACAAATGGCCCAGCAGCAGCAACGCTATCCTCAACCACAGCAGCAGCAGGGCGGCGGCCCACCCATTAACCACAATATGAACAACAGCCCCACCGCCCACGGCAGCAGGCCCCCACTCACTAACTCGTTCCCCTCCCAGGGCGAGGCGCCGCCTCCTGCTAGTCGAAACCGGGCGCCCTCTTACTCGGGCAGCAGCCGTTCCGAGGAGATGCTCGTGGCGGGCGACCGCGACCGCGACCGCGGCAGCGTCGACAGCAGCCGCGTACAGCGCCAGAATGGCCGTCGCGGAGGCGCCGGAAAGCCCATCCCTGGCCCGCGCCCACCGACCAGCAGCTCGGGGGGGTCGTCTCCGCCGCGCAACTCTGCAAGCTACAACCCGCAGATCCAGCAAGCGCAAGCGCAGAGCAAGTCATCCGCATCGGCATCGGACCCGAGCCTCGCGGTCCCAGGGAATGGGGGCTTGAATCCTGCGAGCGCAGGAGCATCGATCCAACGGCTCAAGAGTCCGAGCGTGCTGGACTGCGTGCTGCAGCCGCTAGACGCGAAGGTGCGGGAGTACCATGAATTCATGCAGCAGGAGCAGAATGAGATGGACGCACTGGACGCGGAGCTGCGGGCGCTGCAGGAGCGGCGCGCCGACGCCGAGACCCGCTTCCTCGAGGCCAAGAGCAAGCACGACGACTATAAGCGCCAGTACCTCGACGTCGAGCGCGCAATGCGCGGCGACCCCATCCCTCCGCCCACCCCCAGGGAGCACCAAGTGCCGCTTGCGCGACAGCAGACGCGGCCCATGAGTTTGCAGGAAGACGACCCATACGACGATGATGAGCTCATGCCCCCGCCGTCATCGCACCGACGCATCAACTCGCAGCAGTCCTTCGGGCGATCCTCGCACAAGTTGAAGTCCGGGGGTCGTTTTCGGTTCAGTTTATTCGGCGAAAAGTAAAAAAAAAAAAACGGCTGGCTGGCTGCTGAGTAACGTGGAAAAACTCACTATGGGCAAATGAACAAAAACGCCAGGTAATGGGAATGAATGGGTGGGCTTAACGACTTACGCTAACGGTTTTCTACTTCTTCCATGTATAATGATAGGGATAACATTGAATGAAATGGCAATTATAGCATGTAGATGGTTAGCATGGAAAATGGGAGTCGGGTCTAATTGGAACTATATCTTCAGTCTGTTATAGGACCATCAACTACATGCTGTAACCCTTGGAGATGGAAGCTGTTATTGAAGTTTAGGTCGGGTGTTGAGGAAGGCGAACCGAGCTACATGTTACTGTATCATAGTCGTCGCTGATGGCGACTTGAAATGAGTTGAGCCCGTTGAGCTCATGCCGAAGCTAGGTGTCCTCGAAACATTTCACCCATCAAACAAAAAACATGCTAGAACATCATTTAGCCATGAAGACGTGAAGCCCTAAAGCATTCCGGATTAGTCACCATTCTGCACCCAAAATACAGAGTCTTTCCAGCTCTGAAGACCAACCGAAAGTCAACGTGACGTGACTGTAAAGCATGGAATCCTCAATATCTTTCAGCGAAATCCTGTCAAGAGCAGTGAGGTCCTCCCACGACTGCTCAATTAAATTGGCCTCGGAGCCGTCTTCGAATTGCGGCCCCTTTTCCGTGCCCCCGAAGAAGAGTTGGGTCCAGGCGTCATCGTGCCACACAAGCTTACTAGCCGCTACCGTACCGCTTTCATCAATTAACGACCCGATAATTCGCGGGTTAAGTGAAAGGTCTCTATGCGACCCGCAGTTCTTACAGGTTGCAACAGGCTTGTTGGAGTAGAGCGGGATCCCACAACTAGATAGCACTTAGATTGGTGAGGTACACGACCAAACATCTGTGGCACTCACCATTCAACGCAGCACGTGTTGTTTTTATACCAAAGCTCCATGATTTTCATCTCCACGATCATGACATGCAACTTTCCAGTAAAGTTTACGGCAGTGTCAGGAAACCGGACTTGTTCTTCAATCTCGGCAATAGTAAACAGGGTTCGGCCCGGCCCGTGAATGGCGAGATCGATGTTCCAGGTTTCTGTAGGGAAAGGGAGGCAGATACTTTGCCGCTTGGTTATATTCTTCAGCTTACTTCTGAGCCAATCAACTTCAGGAAATTCAGGATCGACATCAATAATTGAGTTGTGTGCAATGCCTAGATGCACCGGCATTTGGCCGGCTCGGCAGGTTGGTTTAGAGATGAGTAACATGGTCTGGCTCGGGGCCCAAGTCTTGGCCGAAGCAATCTTATCCTCCCATAGCTTTAGGGTACAAGTTGCCGTATCGTCGAATACACCCACCTCTACCATGTTAAGTGACTTCTGGTTTTTCTTCGAATGGATCGTTCTACGCTGTCCAACGCTTCGCACACAGACAAGTATTTTGCTTCCTGTCATATCGTGCCCAGTAGATAGGAAGGCTTTCAGTGTCATGAGCCCGGGAAGATAGTCATAATTCTCCAGGTCACAGTCCAAGGGGCAGCGCAAAATGCGATATGCGTCTGAGCCAGGGGAGTCGTTATGGAAGATTATATGGGTTGATACATTGCGACCAGGAAGGATGGTCGTTACTGACATACAGAAGGGTATACTGCGGTATTGAAGGTTGGTAGCGTTGGAAATAAAGGTCGTCCATATTGTAACTCTTTGCCCAAGAAGCACTTCCTGGTAGTCCGACACACTTAGATAGTAAACCTTGACCTACAACTCTTAGTCAATATGGAACTGCCAGTTTCAGATGTCTATAGTAGGTACATTGGTACGTACTGCAATAACTCCTGTCCCATCACTAACGATGAAAAGATGATGGCCTTGAACATCGATTCTGAAATTCACAACTCGTCCGGAGATTTCATAGTTGTGCGGACCGGTTTCAAGGAAAGATATATCACATCTCTCATACGCTCGTTGGGGCTTCCACTCACAGGAGAGTGGATTGAGTGCTGCGTTCACTTCAGAGTCTGTGAAGCCATCCCCTGGCTTACGTATGATTGAAGACTCATCATTATTGTTTTGTGAGTTTGACAGCACTTCTCTAGAAAAGAAGGACTGGATAGAAGGGAAGGAAGCCTCCATAATGACTTTGTTTTTGCATAGAAACGTAGGATGATAAGGCTAGACAGTGGCCAGGTAGGTGTTGACGACTAAGGCGAGGTGGACATGATTCATACAGTGGCAGATGTCCTGCAAGCAATAACAGGTGGGCATTATGTAGGATCATAATTTATAACTTGAAGTAGACCTGTCTGTCTTTGGAAAAGAGGGGCTGGCAAGTGAATCTCGGTACAGGTTCATCGCAGCTTCCTCGTACTTTGGATACGTGTCTTCAAACTTTCCTATAATATATGACAGGAGTACCTTCCCCCTGAGCTGTGGAGGCACTCGGTAGGCGTTCTCAATGGGGCGCACACAGCTGGCCCTTCCATTTTACCAGAAGGTACGTACGTACATCTATTAGAAGGCAAGTGGGATCTACCAGAAAGGGGCTAGATCCACCATGAATTAGGTACCTAACCTAGGTACTAGGTATATAAGAGGCGCGCAGTTCCCTTGTAGGAGAGTAGGTAGATTAACTCTTTGTATGACATCCATCATGCCCAGGTGGGAATCAACTCACTGACGCCATCTTTGTCAAAGGTCTACCTAGGAGCACATGGAGGTTCACATGGAACAAAGACGACTTACGTGTATATGTACCTAGGTAGCTTCCATAGTCTCCGGGAGATGTTAGAGATCCCCGCGCAATAACGATGTTGTTCTGCATCTTCTAGGTCCCGCCTCGTGACAATCTTATTTCTTCATTCCTACCAAGTCTGTACGAGCTATACCAGAAAGAAATCAGACAAACTAGTCTTATTAAGCTTAAATAAGGTGATTGATGGCATAAGTAGCTACCTATCGGTCTTTATTGATGCTGTGATTTTGAAGGAGGATTGTAGAGATGGGGTGGCGCAATGAGATGATGGATTTTGAGAGTCCGTGGGCAACAGCACGTAACCCCTATAATAAATATCTACCCGGCATTGAGTTCTCGAAAAAGCATACTATCTCGCTTTTAGAAACATGTCGCATTCTAAGACAATGTTCCAAAGGTGCTGTCCTGTCTGAAGGGAATGTATGGCTGATGGCCACCTTCCTAATATAGCAGCTGCAGAGTCTCATGTCACATTGCATTGATGCTACAGTTTAAATCAACGACCGTCGTCCAGGAACCATTGCGGAAAAATTAGTGTTCAGCCTAACGTCAAGTGCCCTTTGACCAAGGTATAAAATAGCTTCATACCTACTGTGAAGCCCTTAAGACTAGTAGCTGTCACGTAATGAGGGCGTAGTTCCAAGATGTTATCAAAACGCTGACTATGTACTATGCAGCCACACAGCCCGATCACTTGAAAAAATATACTACTTACTATCAAGTGTATTGATACGCCGTTGAGTATTCCAAAATGAAAATCTACTATCTGGAAATATATTGGAAGGCGGGTGGGATTTTCTCAATATTATCAATCGGCTTAAAACCACAAGCCCCTTTTTCTGTAAATCATTTTTGATACCCTGGCACAATCCAGGAGGCAATTGCCTACCTAGTATACTCAACTTCGTTCAGAAAAATTATGATGCACCAAGACAATGGTCAGGTTTATCCTAGGTACATAAATTAAAAAGTTTAACTATGGCTTCTATAAAACCGACCTCACGATTTATATTTCAGCCTCTCAGCAGTACCTAAATACGGATGCATGTGGACCTCAATGCCTTTAAGCTTATCTGATGGCAGGGATTTAAGAAAAGCTCAAGCAAAATTGCCTTGATAATATTGATGGAGTCACAGACTCACAGTTCAATAGATTACTTCAAACGTTTCTTACTACCTACCGTATATTTTCGGCATTATGGTCCTCTTGTTAGCTCCACTTATTTGTGCGCCTTGCCCAATGTAGTTAGTTCAGTGCTGAGGCTCTAGTACTAGTGTTATCAAAATCCACGTGATCATAATTCTACCTATCTTATTTCTGTGTTTTTTCAATAAGGATAGGTTTAAAGTGTTATGCATTAATTAAGAAGCTTTAAATATCCATACATCTACCAAGAAATAGCAGATAAACGTAGATATGGGAGAGCAGGTATCACGTGTTGACACGTGACATTGCGTGCTAATATTGTTGGAATCGGATAAGAATCCCTCCGAAATGAGGTGTAGTTGAATAAACCTTGGGGTAAATCACCCTAATTAGGTAAAGCGCACGAATAAGTGGAGCTAACAAGAGGACCATAATGCCGAAAATATACGGTAGTACATATGTAGGTACCTAGGCACCTATAACAGCTGTGCCGTTTTCGATCCCTTCCCCACATCGATGTCGAGGCCTACATAGTACATACATGTAGAGCACACAGAACTACAAGGTTGCTAGGCACTCGGTATGTAGGTAGTACATCGGGATATGAGATAACGTGTTATTCAATTATAGGGCCATCCATCGAAATACCAATACACGTGTAATTGACATTTGAACTTTTTCATTTTTGGGATTTTGTTTTGGGAATTTTCGTACTTCGGATTACCTAGTACGAGGTTGGGACTCAACTTGGGAGTTTTTCCTAGTTTGCCCCTAGTTTGTGGCACTAAAGTCAAGGGGACCTCCGTTATGTCGCGACGAAACTAGCCCTAATACTGCTTCCCGAGAAGCGAGCGAATGATAATTATCAAGTACCTATGCAGAGTTCATTTTCCAAGTAACATCTGAGAATCATAATCCGATATCGTGGGTGTTGGGTGTGGGTGGGTGGACGTTTTCAGATTGATAACCAAACGCACAGAATGAAATAGACGCATGTACAATTCCAGCCAATCAACATAAGCGGAATAGTAATACCAGGTATTCTATGTTACATACTGTTGTGACAGTTGTGTAGGTAGGTAAGTACATGGCTATCTAGTATGTAGTTTGATACGAGAACTGCGTTGTTTTTTCACGAAGCGTTTCACCTACATACATCTACATAGGTATGTAGCACACACTCGATGTTTGCGTAGGTGCCTAGTAGGTACCTACTATGTACATACCTAGTGCACATGTGACATGTGTATACTGGGCGCTACCTAGTATACAGCATATACTGGGAATGTTGGCAAGGGAGTCCTCACTCATGCACGCAATAATACCTTACGTACCTAAGAAGAGCCTAACCTAACCTAGCATGTATTGTACTGCTGGAGCTCAAGTTATTCAGCTCTTTTGAACAAGTGTAGATCTATGTAGGTTAGGTACATATGTACCTAGGTTAGTACATAGGTACCTATGTAGGTATGTCAGGATCGGGAATTTCCACAGCTGGATAACATTGAACTTCCAAGGTTATAGACCGAGGTACTACATAGGTAAGTAGTCAGTTAGGTAATACATATATGTAGACCTCTGAATGACTTTACCGAAACTAAAAGGCATCCCATCTTACCGGGACCCTGATGAGACTAAGACATTTATTTCAATGTTCTCGTCTAAAAGCGACCCAATCAATAAGACACCGTTAAAGAAAATGTAACGGCAATCCGGGGCCAATCCGGGGTAAAATAGGCGTGCTAAATTGTGGGGTAGACTTGGATTGTTCAAACTTCAATGTTGCTACCCCTGTCGAATCCTAGCTGTATCAACGTCATCTGGCGGAAACCAAGAAGATCCACCATTTGCTCCAAAGCAGCCGAACTATTACCTAGCGAGAACAAGGACAACTGGAACTTGTTCAAAGTCTCCATCTAACAAATTTTTTTGCCAAATCTTTTTTTTTATTTGCCATTGCCATTACCATTGAGGTGCATCGGTTTCATCCAGCCATCCAGCCATTCATCCATCCACCCATCTCTCTAATCTGCTTATGTTATAGGCTTGATTATCAGCATTAAACGTATATCGTACTACTGGTTAGCGTCTACGTATTTGTAGGCTCTAAGAAGGAAAAAACCACTCATTCCTTAGTATTTTCCAGGACTACCTGGCTAGTATCAAGTAGGCAGTCCACGGCTACCAGATATTCATTGTCATCCATACCTATTACCTATCTAGTACATACTTAAGATACATTAATATTTAGATGGCTAGTAATAGCAAACAACAGGGAAGTGTCGAACCAAAGAAAAGGCGGTATCTGCGGCCTTTCTGATTTGACCTTTCAATGATTTCCAAGTTGTTTCTTTGAGTCTTTCTCATCGTACATCCCGCCTACACATCTGTGTACTATCCAAGTACCAGACATACCCATTACCTACGCAATATACACGCGCACAAATAATCCTTTGTGTGTCGAATCACTTTCCCATTGCCTTCATTGCCTTTCCTCTATTGCCTCGGCCCCTGTCATTGCCAATTCACATATGGCGGTCGCGGGGTAGGCGGTCTTGTCTGCCTCGCTACAATACTGTAGCTCTCTCCTCTCCTCTCCTCACCGCCCCAAAGGATCGATCTTATCCTTCCTTTTGCCTCTCTTTCGTCGCTCTTAATTCCTCTTCTAATTCGATGTGTCCTGTTTTGCATACATATTGCCCTGCTTGATCTTGGCTACGCTACTAACTCTACCATTCGAAACACGACATTGGTCTCTTTTTTTTCCCTCTTTTTTTTTTCTCTCATCCCCTGCCGACGAACTCGACGAACAATCCGCTTTCAAACTCCTCCGGGCTGCATATATATGGGCACCTTAGCTGATACGAGCTAGTGCCACATGTCCGCACTCACTTACTGCTTCCACGTATAATAATAACTAAGCATTATCACCTAGACGAGACCATCTCGTCGAATTTACTTGCCACTGCCTACGTCCGCGCAAAAGCTTCTCCTTCGAGGAGTTCATGAGTTCTAATGGCCTGGCTTGAGGATATCAGTCGCACAACGGCATCACACTGGCGAATATGTCGTCAACCAATTACCCTGATCGTGGTCCTGCTGTCTTCGCTGTAACCATCGGAACTCTTGTCCTGGCTAGTTGCATTGTCGCTGCCCGATTGTTTTGCCGAATTCGAATTGTGCGATGCGTTACTTGGGATGACTATTCCATTATAGCCGCCTGGGTTCTTGCTTTTGGTCTCAGCTTCTCTATTGATTACGGTGCTAGCAAGGGTCTTGGTCGACACGACGAAAACATTGCTGATAGTGATTGGGGCCCTCTACGCCGTTGCGAATATGTCTTCTCGATACTATATGTACGTTGCTACCACATCTCTGGTCAATATCTTGGCATTGAGCCTAACCACCACGCAGAATCCGGCTTTGATGGCCACCAAGACTTCTGTGTTGATATTCTACCTTCGCTTGTCTAAAAATACACAGAAAGTACTACGACTAGCATCGTGGGGTGTCTTGGTCATTGTGAATCTAGCCGGCACTGTACTAACCGTGATGAACATTTTCCAATGCCGTCCCGTCGAAGCAGCATGGGATCCACATGCCGAGTTGGAAGCATACTGCATTCCTTTGCTCACGGAGTTCATATGTTCAGCACCTGTCAACATCATTACCGATCTCGCGATATTGGCATTGCCATTACCTGTACTTACCAGCATGAGATTGCCACGAAGACAGAAAATCATCTTAATTTTCACCTTTGCCCTGGGCATTTTCGTCGCCGTAGTCGATGTCGTCCGAATTTACTACCTCGAACAGGCCATTACGCAACCCCCTTCAACACTCGCAGGCAACGCGGAAGCAACTTTCGGACTTTCACCCCAATTTGCTTGGAACGCTTCATTCTCACTTATGTGGTCTGCTGTCGAGGTAAATGTCGGCATCATTTGTGCATGCATTCCGACTTTGAAACCTTTAATTCGCCGCATCCTACCTGCCATGTTATTTGACCCTAATGCGACCCGAACATATGAAAAGGAACAATCTACAGACGGAAATGGTAGCTCTAGCAACGGTCGACCCCCTACATCATCCTTTTTCGTTGGCGGATATATTACACCACCATCCCGAACACACGGCGGGGATGTGCAGGATAGTCAGGTATCTGCCCACGATTTCCTCACGACACCGAATATGACTTCGATCACTCCGAATCCGAACCCGAGTCCTCCGGATCCCCTCGACAGGTCATCTACCGCCCTAACAAGTGCTACGGGAACATACTCATTGTCCGAAAACTCGGTTTATTTTGGCTTTGTAAACATGCGCCGACCTAAGAGCATGATCAGGACCTCAGTCCGTGATTCTCTCAAGTATTGCACCGTGGTCACAATCCTGTTTCTGCTCTGGGGATTTTCATATGGCCTACTAAACCAACTCAACAATGCAGTCGCCTCAGTGTCGGGAATGTCTGCAGCCGAAACAATTGGTCTCTCCTCGATCTACTTTGGGGGAGGATATTTCATTGGCCCCTTACTTATTGGAGAATGGATGTTACGACATGATGAACATTCTAGGTCAAAGAGAGAGAGAAATGGGCCAGATCAAATCGGCGGCTATCGGGCAACGTTCATCGTCGGACTCTGCTTTTATGGCGTTGGGACAATTATGTTTTGGCCTAGTGCTGTACTCACCTCGTTCGCCGGATTTATGGTCTGCAATTTTGTTGTTGGGTTCGGCCTAGCAGTTATCGAAACCGGAGCCAATCCATTTCTTGTCTTTTGCGGTCCCATGGATTATGCCGAAATGAGGCTTTGCCTAGCCCAGGGGGTTCAGGCCGTTGCCACCGTCTTAAGTGGACTTTTGGCCCAGAGAGTTTTCTTCACCACTATTGACTCTCCTGACAACGCAAAATCCTTGGCACTGCTAGACGTCCAATGGACTTATCTAGCCATCACACTTCTATGTGTTATACTGGCGCTCTTCTTCTATTACATGCCATTGCCAGAGGTTACCGACACCGAAATGGAAAATTCTACAAGGTATCTTCCCATTGATCCAAAAAAGCGTGGTTTCGGTGGGCTAGAGCTGCGTACTTGGACCTTGACATTGGCTGTTCTAGCGCAATGGACTTATGTTGCCAGCCAGGAGATCATGAGCATCTTCTTCCGTGACATCCTAACGCCACCTACATCCACTCAGCCATCCATAGGCATGGATGCCTCTAAAAACATGACAGTAGCGGAAAGTTTACGGCCTCCGCCGGGTCTCATCCTTTCCATACCAAACTTCCTTCTCATCGCGCACACCGTCTTTGCCCTCTCCAGATTTTTGGCTGCATACCTCGCTTACTTATCTCCAACCCATCCTAAGATCCCTCAACCGCGTACAGTCTTAAGCATTACTACCGGATTAAGCATTCTCTGTGCTTCTCTAGTGGTGGCTTACCGGCCAAGCAACCCAAATCTCCTGGCTATTCCAGTAACCCTTTTCTTCTTTTTCGAGGGTCCTATGTGGCCTCTCATCTTCGCACTGGGACTTCGTGGGCAAGGAAAACGCACAAAGCGAGCTGCGGCATTAATTACGATGGGTGCTTCTGGGCCAGCATTCTGGCCGTATGTGGTCTATGCGATCCATGAGAGAGGCGGTAGTTACCAGACAGCATTTAGTCTAGTTCCTGCACTACTGTTTGTCTCGGCAATCTTCTCTCTCTTTTTAGATCTAAAGCGGGATGCCAGGGCCCTGGTTGATGCTCGTGTTGGCGCCGAGGATCAGTCCAGGATACAGGACCACGCTAATCGGGACCTAGACCTCGATGCTATCCTCGCAGCGCGGCGTAGGGCATCGGTGAACGGGTTGGCAATTGATGAGGAGAAAAATTGCTTTTTCAAAAGATTCCCGATCGCTTTGAGTAGAGGGAACACTGTACTCTCGGGGCGGAGAAGTTCTGACCAGGCAGCCTCGGAGCACCGTGAGGCAGATGCTGGTTGAGATACGGAGCCGATGGCAGCCATCGCACAGTCAACCATACTTTAGCTCGATGGATGATTTGCTCTCCCCAAGTCGATTCTATGCAGTCTTAATCGTCAACCTTGAGCTGCTTGAGTACCAGTCACATAGGTGGCTTCCATTCTTCCCCGATCGTTCCTTGTCTTCGGACAACTATGGATAGAAGTCCATGAAAGCAAAGGAAAAAGTTGAAGAGTTTTGGAGTGATCGGACATGATAAAACTCGGGGAGGGTTACCGGGTTTAAATGCATTTTAGGCATTCATGCATGGAAGCAATTATCACGTCTTGGCTAAAGAATTGCGCGCCATTCAATTCAATGGTCTTACAACCAAGACGTCTTCTAAGTTCTTACGAACGAAAGACAAGCGCAACGAAACGAACTGGGCATTTATCTAGAAGCATAGCACAGCTGTAGTTGTGTTATGTATTGCTCATGATACTTTTTTATATATATTTAAAGATACCTAGTTAACTCTTGAATGATACCCCTTTTACCCTTTTTAACTACTTAATAACCCAAGTAACCTAGGTTACCTACTTCAAGTTACATGTACTATGTAGTAATTACCTAGTTACATAGGTAGGCACCTATATATGACCGTTCCGGAATGAAGATCGGAAGTGTCGGCTCATTAGAGAACTGACCCACCAAAACCATCGTTGAACACTCAGCGTTCAAACTTAAGATTTGAAATAATGCTCATTATACTACTGCCATGGTGTAGATACATAGATATGTAGTTAAACCATGCTACTTCGAGATGGCTCAGTTCACAGAAACTTAATGGCATGCATTTAAGGACTTATATGCGCTAATACGGCGCTCATTTTCCAGCTTACCAATCAGTGTTAATGGTCATGATGTCTTCCATTAATAAAGTTAGGTGCTAGGTTACATAGGCTACGTACCCTGGGAAACTTTATACATTCATCAATACATACCTTAGTACATAATAGCAGATGCTACATTCTTTGAAATATTTTTTCTCTTTATCCTCTTTATTGTACATATGTATATACCAATAGCCTGAAGCATACAGAGTAGATACTTTGATTAGTTTCCTTCTTTCTTTAAAGTCTATCATCTCTTCACATACTAGACATCAATCCTTGTGTATTACTTGAGCCCCTATATGAGACCGAGGGATTTGGTTCTCATTCCAAAGCCGCCTACTTAGTTATGACATCTCAATTCGAATCTTCTACCGGGCCTCCCTCCAAGAACAATGCAAGAGAGCATGTTCACCCCCGGGATCTTTCTTCAGCGGATGATACCGCGACGGAAGACACCCCTCTCCTGCAATCCGACTCTAGCTCTCATATAACGAATAGTGGGTCATCAGCGACCTCTCAAGATGAAGCTTCCGACGACTTGGATACACCCAACCAAAGGGTTAGCCGGGGACGAGGTATAGCAATTATCTTGAGTACCTATCTACTAATCTTCCTGATCTGTAAGTCTCGCCTAGATTGCCACCAAAATTTCCATATACGCTAATGGAAGGATGTTAATTCTCGCTTGTGGATAGCAAGCAACATGTCAGGCATCACCATGGCCCAGTCGACCATAGCCGCCGACTTAGACGCGTATGAGAACGCAATGTGGTTTACTACATCGTTCCTCGTGGCGACGTCCTCATCGACACCTCTGGTCGGGAAGCTGGCTTCCATATTCTCACCTCGTTCTATCGTGCTCGTTGCATCCACACTCTTCGCCGCTGGGAGCTTTATCACATCGCAGGCCCACTCATTTGAGGTCTTCATTTTAGGGCGAGTCATCACGGGGTTAGGGGCTGGAGGTACCACGGTCTTGGCACTTGTCTTAATTCTCGAGTTAACGACGAAGCGGCAGCGAGGCTTATATGTTGGTCTGCTGTAAGTTAATGCATGGGAGTCACGTGACCCCCTTTTCTTGATGCAAGCTACCATACTAATGTAGTTAATCAGGAATACCGGTTTTACTACTGGAATTTCTTTAGGAGCCGTTTTCTTTGGCGGGCTTATATCTGTCACTGGATGGGTAAGACCGATCATCTCTTCAGATTCGTAGTGTATCAGCTCACAATATTATCCAGAGAGCCCTCTTTTGGGTGCAGGTCCCACCCAGCTTGTTTGCCGGAGTGTCCATCTATTTCAGTATCCCTAGCTCGTTCTCGTCAGGCAAAGGTTCTAAAGGTTCGGTGGTTGAGAAATTAAAGCGGCTTGACTACCCCGGTGCTTTGTTCTTGGTAAGCTACTAACTTGTGTGTCTATACGCCTTAAGCCCGCTAATTTTCTGTAGAGCGGTACTGTCGTGCTGTTTCTATTTGGACTCTCCGGTACCATCCAAGTTATTCCTCTCATTGCTTCTCTGGCGAGTCTAGTTACCTTCGTCTTAATTGAGCGTTATGTCGCTATCGATCCTATCATCCCCCTCGCCGTCATTCAAAACCGAGGTGCCTTGCTGTCTTGTGTTGCCCAGCTTGGAGTAATGGCCTCACGGTGGACAGTGCTATTCTACACCCCGATTACCGCTCTAGCAGTACGCGGGTTCACTCCTGCAACTAGCGGAAGTATCCTCATTCCGACGAATATCGGATTTGGCCTCGGTGGACTTCTTGTTGGTGTAAGCTCTTACTTTCTCGTATCATATTATTCCTCGTAATCGGATTGGCCAGTAAAGGGGCTTTCTTGGTTTGTGAAGACTACTGACAAGCGCTCCAGGGGTTCCATGTCCGCCGCACCGGAAGTTTTTGGTTGTCCTGTCTCGTCTCCCTTGTTCTCTTTGCCACAAGTCTGTTCTTGCTCTCCCTGGCTTCCACGCCGGATGTTCCGATTGCTCTATATATCGTGATTGTGTTCTTCAATGGCCTTTTCACCGGCGCAGCACTGAATTACACCCTCGCACACGTACTGCACTTGACTTTGCCGGACACCCACTACGTAGCCACCAGCTTACTCGGCACATTCAGGGGATTTGCCGGCAGCTTTGGCAGCGCAATCGGTGGTGGTATATTTGCCAGGACACTACGGGAGTCTCTAGAGAACGGTTTCAAGGCAATCGATGGTCCTGACGGTCCTGGTCGCAGCGAGCTAATCAGGAAACTTATTGGCAGTCCCGCTTTGGTATATAATGGTGGTCTCGCAGGCGAGGAACGACAGGTCGCAGTGCAAGGCTACGTAGATGCGCTGAGAGTCTTGTTCCAGGCTGCTGTTGTCTTATCCATCTTTGTGACATTTGTCCAAGCGGCTACCGGATGGAAAGGTCCCTCCGACAAGGTCAAAGATCAAGAAACTAATGGCAGCGATGTTCGAAGCGATGAGTAGGATAGGGACCGGCAGTAGTTTACTTTGATTAGTGTTATGTGGTTCGTTATATTGTTTGTAGACATATAGATTCCTTTTCAGTTGGCCACCAATTACCTGCTTGCTGCTACGAAAGCGATAACAGTACCTAGGTAACCTTGTACATGCTCTTTTACCCTACTATCTGAAAAGCTGTTTCGTCTACCTACCCTTTGCCCCCCCCCCCATTTTTTTCTTCTTAATTTATGCACAGTTATTTCTATTACTCGGGAACAGTTTCCACCGAATTTGCCATTATGAAGCATCTCCACCTCATGGGCATGTGAAAAGATAAGATGAATATTTACCTACCTAGGCATACATACCCAAACCATCACTCTGCAGGTCACTTAGTAGAACCTAACCTCCTGCTTCTTTCGTCAACAAGAGCAACCTCCTTCCCCCTGAGAAGGCCCTGAGGATATATCAAGGGGGGAAGGGGAGTGACGGTCTAATACCGGCTATCGGTAGAGTAGACTCGGGATTCGTAGGGCCTGTGTAGGTATGTAGGTAGATAATCTCTAATGCCTCGAATTATTAGATCCCTACATACAAATCTACATGTCTATCTACCTACCTATGCAGGTAATAATCGGCTTATCCTGTGTCCATCAGCCTCGATAAGGCCTCGCGATCCTCCACATCCAGGCAGGCAGACATGTTGTTCATCAAGGTACCAACCAACCAGCAATACATACCAGGTACCTATATAGGTAATGTAGAGCTCAACGTAACGCGGATGCGCCGCTATAATACCTAGAGTAGTACTGGAATTAACAAAATTGTGCTGGTACCTTGCAGAAACCGCCCTGGGGAGAAAACCGCCCTGTTAGCAATCAAGCAAGTAAGGCAGATCCTACCCCGGAATAGAGACCGGGAGCCGGGAATCTCATCCAACCATCCAACCATTCTGGGAAACTGCTCCTCATAACAGGCTGAAACGTTCAACAACCACCTTTTTTTCTTTTTTCTTTCTTTTTTTTTCGGCATCAGTACATTGTCGCCAATGATATCTTATGCCGGGTAAATTTAAGAAAAGAAAAAGGAGATCAGCAGTGTGGTTTATCCTGACGTACAGTGCGGCTATACCCGCATTGTATGTCCCCGGGGAGATCACGTTGTGAGAAGAGGCGAAAAAGCTATGTTGCATACCTACCTAGGCAGGCAGGCAGGCAGGCAGGCAAGGTAGGTGCTGTATATATGTAGGTAGGGAGGTATATATATATATATATATATATATATATATGGCGTGCCATGATCTCGACATTGATGATTCTCGAAGTAATCGCCAGGCCAAACAAGCCCTTGCCTGACTACCTACCTACCACCGAGACACCAACCCCATCTCAACAGCCCAACCAAAACAATGGCCAACTCCATCCTCGCCCTCCTCCCCCTCGCCATCTCCCTAGCCTCAGCATCCGCGGCCCTCCCCCGAGCCGCCCCGTGCTGGACCGGCGGGATCCACTCGGCCTGCAATGGAGCGGCGACGGGGTGTACTCCCGACGGCATCCTGGTATGTTCCAAGTTTTCTGTAACCCGCGACCTACCTGCGTACATATCATTACCACTTAGGCACTCCTAAGTTCGAGCTAACGGACGTTTATTTACTTAGGTGAAATGCCAAGAATCGACGGGCGCGATGATCTGGGCTTCCATGTGCGAGGAGCCTGGACAGGACCAGCGGACTTGCTCGTACGACGCCGATTGTAACGCGAGCTGTGCTGCGTGAAGTTTTCTTTGTCGAGGCAAAGAAGGGATGTTAATCAAACACTGGACTGAAGATGCTAACCTAGGTTAGGGTATTCATTTTCTCTGGTGCTTTGATGGAGCGTTGTTATAAAAGGATCTCGATTTCGCGGAGAATACTCCAACGACCTTGGTGTTAATTGTTGTAAATCACTACTTCTTTGAAAATATTAAGCCCCTTTATCTCGAGAGAGATGTCGTATGGAGTCGTTAGAAAATACTTCCTAACAGAGTAGGCTGGTCTATCTCGGAGTATTGAGAATAGAAAACCCAGTCTTGTAATTCGTGAATGTAACCCATCAAGTCTTCGCGAACCAATGAAGCAAAGAATTAGAATGTACTCTAATTAAGCTGCCTGTACACGACTCGGTCAGGGACGTACATACCATAGCAGTGATGGCGACCAGAGATATGTACCTAACCCCTAGGCAGGTTAGGTACTACTAGTAGTACGTATGCCATTTTGGGGGGCTGTGGAGGAACTGGGCTCTTAATTGGGAGCATTCGACATTTCAGCCCTAAATCAATCAATCAATTATGTAAACACCCATGTGTATGAGTAGGTACCTAACCTTTTTTTGCGAAATGAAGATTCGATATTAATAAATATACCTTAGGCGCATCACACCCTTTACACAGCGGTATACATGGCGATTCGCGAAGGCAATCCCCTTGGGCCCATCGTCAGCACCAACTTGGCCCAGCGTCCATCTCAGAACGTCAGATTAGTAGGGCAATACGTCACGATAGTCAAGCTCTCGGCTCGACACGCAGATGCCTTCTACCCACAAATATCGGGACCGGAAAACGCTCATCTATGGGACTACATGTTTGATGGGCCATACGATGACCCTGAAGTGTTCCGTGCCAGGCTCGGGGCCAACGAGATCAGCCACGACCCGGTGTTCTACGCCATCGTGCTGAACGGCAATGACGACGACATTGTCGGCATCGCCAGCTACCTACGGATCGAGCCTACGCACCGGAGCATCGAGGTCGGCAACCTCATGTACTCGGCACAGCTGCAGCGCACCCCCGGTGCCACCGAGGCCATGTACCTGATGGCGCGGTACGCCTTCGAGGACCTGGGCTACAGGCGATACGAGTGGAAGTGCAATGCGCTCAATGCGCCGAGCAGGAGAGCGGCTCTGCGGCTCGGTTTCACGTTCGAGGGGATTTTCAGAAAGCATTTGGTCGTCAAGGGCCGCAACAGAGACACTTCTTGGTACTCGATGGTGGACGAGGAATGGCCTGCCATCAAGCGAGCGCTGGAGGCTTGGTTAGATCCTACTAATTTTAACGGCGAGGGCAGACAGCAGAAAAGGTTGGAAGAGTTTAGATAGACTTAGATATCCTAGAAATAAACAAGAACTATTTTATGTCCGTTTGAAATATAAAGAACTGGGAGGTTTGATAGAGATTGCAAGGAAAAGAACAGAAATAAATCATGTTAATTGATACATAGTACATACATAACCTTGATTGTAACGGCTTTAAAGTGATGTGGGGCTGGCAATTCACAGGCTTGCACCTGGCAACTTATTTATCTTAAACTTGACGCCCCGGTCCCCTGCATAAGTGATCGCCAGCCCCCTGGTCATGGCCGCCAATCTTCTGCAACGAATTTGCAACCTCAGCGACTACATCTCACAATAGCCTCCATTAGCCGCTAAAAACGAAAAGAAAACAAAAAAAAAGAAAAAAGGAAAAATCGATAATGATAATCACAGAGATGAAATAACTCTCACCATTCTCTTCCAACCCCAAATTCTAACCTGGCTTGGTTCCTTTATGGATGCCATCCATATAGGTATCCAAGCATCTTAATGTGCAGGCAGTTGCAGCACTGCACTGTACACTCAAGATGTTGCGCACCCAGCTGAAAAGAGTTTCACTGACGACACCTCGCATTCATCATGGCCCTTGTCGTAACCGCCTAGGCACTAGAACCGCAAAGCGCACAATTAGTAACATTAACTTTTCTGACTCTGCCATTCGTGTCCCACTGCTCAGACCCACGTTATGGGCTCTGGCAGCGACGACCACCATCTATCTCGGGTGCGCCGCCTTTGATGTATACCGTGACGTGAGGCGTGCGAAGAAGCGCGGCATTCTCAGGGAAGGTGGAAGGGTCGGCTCCTACGACGAGTTCGAATATGACAAGCGCCATGGGCGGCCCCGGCACTCGCCGCAATCTGAACCAGCAGCTGCATCGCATCACTCGCCCTTGCCGTCTTTGCTCTTGCTGGATCAGCTGAGGGTGATGCTCGCGGGCCACACTGACGCGGAGAAAGTGATCATGGGCTGCTTGGCTGTCAATATCAGTGCGCTGGGAGCGACCTACCTTGCCGGCGGGGCCGCGCTGCAGCCCTTCATTCGCTTTCCCATGTCCAGCCCTCCTTTCACTTTACTCACTAATGTGTTCTGTCACTCGAGCGCCTTGGATGCGTGTCTCACTGGCTTATTGAGTAAGTAACCTCTCCTCCCTTTGCTTCTGGCCTTTTTCGGCCTCTAGTCCTTAAGGGGGTTTTGTTTGGGCAACCTTTTTTTGTTTTTCCTAGATATCATTCAAGCATCTCGCTTACTTTTATTATCGCAGTATTACAACCCACCGGTGATATCGCACAGTCTCACATATTCCAAGGGAACGGCAGCCACATGACCGCCTTCTACTTCTCGACTGCCATTCTGTCGACTCTCGGGGATCAGTTTGCAACCGTGCTGCCGTCTAGGACATATCGATTCAACCGCTTCTTGCCGATTTCGGGATCCGGTGGCATGGCTATGGCTAGTAAGTTTAAAACTCCTTAGACTAATCCTCGCCTTTCTCTTTTCAGTTAAACTTCCCTCACCCTCTCTTCCCAATACCTTCTGTACAGTGGCTTACCCTTGACCGTAGTGCTGGGGGCGTGGGCCACACTGCAGCCGGAGTCGAAAGTCGGCATGATGTTCATACCAGGATTATCATTTTCAATTAAGGATATCATGGCAGCTCTTGCGGTGTATAACACAGTCGGTATCTTCGTCGGAATGCCCTTCGTAACGGCCCATCATGGCGCGCATCTCTGTGGACTGGCACTCGGATCTGGGTATGTATACTTCGGGGGGGAGAAACGCATATGGCGGCCCACACGCAAAGTCGCATTTTATTCCATGAAGGCGTTGCGTATAATATAAGGGGCAAGCTTAACCTTAGATACTTATCAGGTACTTAGGTATCTAGGGAGGTAAGGAGCCGGAGGTTAACACTCAATGGTCGAAGGTTCGGCGTATTAGCAATGTTGAGGCTTGCTATAGCCAACATGATGCGACATCCGTATTCCTGTACTTGATATTTCCAACAAACCAACAAGAAGTCTATATTTGTTGATGGTCTAGGATGGCGATGAAAGAAAGGGGCTGAGTAAGCGACATAGGGGAATGAGCGTTACATTTAAAGGGGGTCATTTTGGATATGATGGCCCGAAAGATACTTCTTAGACGGATTATTCTAGATAGGCATTTATGGAGTTTTATATCCGTGATGATAAGATATATAGATGATTTAGAAGATCGGAATCTATGATGACTTATGACTTCCAGACTTGAGTGAATGTATCATGTGTACTACCTATGTAGTACCTATGTACCTAAGTTAAGAAGGATAGTATTCATAATTCTGTGCAATCAGCTGTCAACAGCTGTCCAATCTCATTACTCGTAGTGGGGTTTATTGCATCACGGAAGATATTCGGCAGTGGATTAGCTTGGACCAATCATATCGAAGCATTTTTTGATTAGTGAAGCGGCAAAAAAGTAGCTCGTTTGTTTAAGGTTCAATTAAATAAAGGAAGGCAAGACTAATCCGCGTAGATGCAGTCGAGGCAATCGATGGATTGATCGATATCAAGAAGGCGCCGTTGCTCGTTCTACCTCTTTTCAGACCCTCCCCACTCAACTCATACAACCTTCATCTATCACCTATTCACACCCACAGGCATTTCCTAAGAATTGCTACTCCTACGATGAGATCAATACTGACTTCCTCGGGAAGAGCAGCCACCTTGGCTCTGAGAGGTTTGTTGCCCATATCTCTCCGCCAACGCCTTATCGCCCCTGATATATACTAAACGTCTACTATCTAGCGAAGCCGACTCCTCGTATCGTTCCTTTTCAATCCATCGCCGCTATATCCACGACCCCGAAGAAGCATGCCGCATCGGTGACACCTCACACCTCGAGCAGCCCCGCGCGCCGTGAACGAAGAGAAGTCGTTCTTCCCAGCCAAGAACCCAAGAAGGGCGTTGTTCAATATGCCTTGTACGTCATCGATTTCACTTCGTCATATTAGTCAACATGTCACAGATCACCTATAGAGCAAGAATACTGCGATGCCACGAGAGATTAACAGGCTAACCGCTATCTGTAATAGAACTACTCTAGATCAAATGGCCAATTGGGCCCGACAGTCCTCGTTATGGCCCATGACGTTTGGACTGGCGTGTTGCGCCGTAGAGATGATGCACCTTTCCACACCACGATACGACCAGGACAGATTCGGTATCATTTTCCGAGCGTCGCCGCGACAGTCGGATGTGATGATCGTGGCCGGCACGCTCACCAACAAGATGGCGCCGGCCTTGCGACAAGTATACGATCAGATGCCCGACCCTCGGTGGGTCGTCAGCATGGGTAGCTGCGCCAATGGCGGCGGCTACTACCACTACAGCTACAGTGTCGTCCGTGGGTGCGACCGCATTGTTCCCGTCGACATATACGTCCCCGGATGCCCGCCAACTAGCGAAGCCCTCATGTACGGCATCTTCCAGCTCCAGCGCAAGATGAGGCAGACCAGGATTACGAGAATGTGGTACAGGAAGTAGAGGAGATTGCACGATGATGAGGGAAGTATGGGCGATAGGAAAGTGTGGGCGACGATCCTGCACCAAGTCCGGCGGACCCGCGATAGACGCTCTATTTTGTCTTGTGGCCGAGGATTGATGTACATAAGATACGGGACACTGCATGCATACAATACGGTTTTTTTGTTCATCGCAGCTCTCATCCGTGTGACTAATTCGAACTAACTCAAACTATCTCGAAAATACCTACCAAGATACATATCTGCGATTCACATTTGTTCTACGGAATAAGTTTGGTGATGGATTTGACGTATCAACTTGACAGCCGGAGTATACCCGACAGAAAAATGCTTTGAGATACGAATTTAAACTTGATCATATCGAGAGTATTACACGCATTAAGATTCTTTAATAACCTTTTCTCGATACTTCTTCAGTTATACTGACATAGGTATGATACGAAGTATGAGTGATTATACCCCCCTACTTGGTGAGTTCATCTTATTTCCTCAACATACCCTAAGACTTCGGTATTTACCTACTATCTGTCAATGACGTAAGAGCCTCAGTTGCTGTAAGTCGCATATCAACTCCCAAATATAGCGAATATTTAGAGTGATTTAAGAAGCAATAGTTTTGTTTCGGAGAAATATTAGAACCTTATGGAACTGCGGAAAACCAACAAAACTAAACAGATCAAGATGATGACGGCGACGACTCGAGCCCCCAACCACAACGGGGATCCGTGGACAGCAGCAGCAGCAAATGGCAATTCCGCTACCGCCGCGCCCGAACCGCGACATCGCGCTTCGTGAACTCGCGCACCAAGCACTGGCTCATCCTCGTCCTCGTCGTCCTCGACGTCGCGGGCATCCTGAGCGACATATTCATCGCCCTCATCACGTGCCAGCTGGGCGTCGAAGACGAGCCGTGGGTGGCGCCGACGAGGAGTGCGCTGACGGTCTTCTCGCTGGCTCTGAGCTGCGTGTTTCTGGTCGAGCTGGGGTTGTCGGTTTTCGCGGATGGGTTGGCGTACGTTCCAACCCGCCTATTTTCCCCAGATCTTTTCCCCTTCATTAGGTATCTATCAGCTTACGTGTTAATATATGTATGTACAGGTACCTATCAAGCTGGTTCCACCGCTTCGACGCGGCCGTCATCGTCATCAGCTTCGGCATCGACGTGCTGGAGCACCACAGCACGGCCGAGGAGATCGCCTCGCTTATTGTTATTTTCAGGCTGTGGCGCGTCGTCAAGATGGTCGACGAGTTCTCTGTCGAGGCCTCCGAGCAGGCGGAGGAGCTGACGGGGGACCTGAGGAAGAGGATACGGGACCTCGAGACGCGCAATGCGGCGCTGGAGGCGCAGGTTGGGTCGCAGCAGCGGTAGAGTAATACACTGCTAGACTGCTAACGTTTCGGTTCATCTAAGTATGTATAGCATAACACCTTTGGAAAGGCGAGAGGGTCGTCGGTTTCTACTTCGGACCGTCGGTTATAGTTGTACTAGTTGAGTGCCTACCTAGGTAGGTACCTAAGGTAGAGAAATAGGTTATGGAGTTGGTGTTTGGAAAACCTTATATGGTCTGGGTGAAAATTGGCATCAACGGTGGACAACCACTTTCTGAGGAACTTAGTCATCTAATAATTCCAGTCATCCGGTCTTAGCCAGACTTTGCTGATGTACGTATATATTAGGAGTTATACACTAGGAATTGGTTTCATCTACGAATAAGAGAAGAAGCTACGATAGACGTTGTGGCAGGTACGTCAGGTTAAAAGTACGACGCATTGTAGCATGTGTTTCAAGTTACTTTTAAGTTTTGGTAGCTCTCCATTCCTTTTAATCCAACTTTTGTAGGCTTTACACCATTCTTCTTCTTCTATGGCCTTTAGACTAATAAGGCGATTTTATCCCCTTTTAATCAGGACATGTCCCTTTCGGTTGTCTTGCCTGAAGAGTTAACCCATCCTTTTTTCAGGGGAGCCCTCGGCGTTCTATATCGGGTTTACTGCAGCCCGAAAGGTAAAAGGGGTCGGTGTCTCGTCGCTTTGTTTAGTCAACAAATCTGTTCAGACCCTTAAATCTTCAGATGATATCCCATGTGAAAAAAGGGGTTCTATGCTCAACCTCAACTCAACTCAACTTTCTACTCATCTGAACATCCGACATTATGGATATACATGGGATTTAATCTTACCCTCGGCTGTCACGTCGCAACCACAAAGTATCCTACAATCCCCTGGACCTCCTCCCCAGCCTACCTAATCAAATAGCTTCAGAGTTGCTTTCTCATGCGCGAATCTCCCGATCCGGTAGTCCGATGGGGTCTCTTTCGACAGAATACATAATCTACGGTGGTCATATCCATATGGATTTATCAACTCTTAGATAAAAGGGGGCAAGATGGCATGCAAAAGCGAACTATCTCCCCTCTTCGGACGCGTCAACTGATGAATGGCCTCTCCTGCAAAAGTTATTTGAGGCCCGAAGGAGGACACCTTATAGCTGTCACGTAGGTTAGACCTCCCCTTTTTTCCTTTTCTTTTTTTCCCACTTTCACATTCATTCCCTCATACCAATCTTCGCAAGGTCCGCTATCCTGATCAACCCTCTCCTCACAAGCATACACACGCTCGCTCTCATTTCTGTTATACACCGAGTGTCTATACTTAATTTCTTCTCTTATTCCTACCTCATCCATAGACAGACTATCTTAATAGGCCATCATGAAGACCTTCGTGTTCCGAATCGCGTTCTGGGCTGCCGCCGCCGTCGCCACGGTAAATGCAGACGATTCCACGACGAGCTCGGTGGCCTGCGCCGCCCAAAACATCCTCGACACCTGTCTCGCGACCACAGAAAGCTATGTCAGCCTCTGCGCGACCACCGACTATATGTGTCTCTGTGACAAATACGTGGCGATTATGACGTACGAAAAATAGCCCCTATATATCCTATAGCCCTCTAACAAAATCATATCTGCCTAAATCGCTAACCCCTTATATCTGTCTTACAGCTGTTTCAACAACTGCCCCAACGACAGCCGAGGCCCGAGCTACCAACAACAGAAGGATCTCTACTGGTGAGTATAATAACAATAACCATATCTACATATCTCATTATGCCTACCTGCCAGCCTACCTGAACATTACAACAAGCGACTAACCCACCCCCCTTTTTGAAAAACAAAAGCATGAACGCAAGTTTATACGCCACCACCTCGGGCAACCGCACCGTTAGCCGCAGCTACACGCCGTCCACGTCCTCGGCGACCACGACGACGTCCTCCGACGCCTCCGCCAAGTCCGGCGACGCGACCACCGGTGAGAGCAGCGCGGGTCCCGAACAGACTAAGAGCGGTAATGGCGCCGAAGACCAGCGCGTTGGCAATGCCGGCGGTATGGTTGCTGCTCTTGCTGGTCTGATTGCCGCGCTTCTATAGGTGTAGCGGACGTGGATGATGGATTGTGGGAAGCAAGTACGCTGCTTTTGTGGATGTGGACGGAGCTTTATCATTATTTTTACTCAAAGACAAAATGCCTGCTCATGGTGAGGCATCAATCCAAAAAGGGGATGAGATGTTCCGATACATACCCACACACATCCACGAATATGTCCAGCACTTCGTTTCCGTTTCCGTTCTTTCAATTTGCGTCTTTAGTTTCGGTTCGGGTTTGGGGTTCGGATATTCTTGCGCTTAGGCATATGCATACATACACACACACATACCTACCTACTACCTACCTACTATCTTGAAAAGTCATCTACCTACCTACCCTAGTATCTACTTAATACCTACTTCCTCAGGTACTCGGCTTTTAAACACATGACCTATGTACGTCCTGTCCTTTGTAATGTCTAATTCACACAAAAAAGGGTTTCTACATCTATCTGAGTACCCAGAATATCGATTGTAAACGAGTGAGCAAATCTTGCAATATGTACATACTACCTATGTTTGAGACGACGATTAAGTAGGTAGGTACCAAAAGGGGTTGTATAAATCACGAGATACATATGTATATTCTTCTCCGTTTAAAAAAGGGGCTAGTTAGCTACCAACTTTCCCCCTTTTCTCCTTCCCCTACCAACCCATCCCTAATCTCCCCAAACACCGCAACCCCCTTCCTCCCCAGCGCCGTCCCCACCCCCACCGCCACGGCCCCCACGCTACGCATCCGCCGGTACCCAGCAGCGTCGCCCACGCCACCGACGCCAATAATCTGCACGTGCCGCGTCTTCTCGCTCGCGTCCAGCCTCCGCCGCAGGGACGCGACGTTCCCCAGAGCCAAGGGGTGCAGCGGCGGGCCGGCCATGCCGCCAAGGCCGTGCGTGGAGCTTGGTAGCTTCGGTGGATTATTGCTACCCTTTTCTCCTCCCTCAGTGGTGGTGGTAACCATATCCTCCAACACCAGACACGAGCCCAGCGTATTCGTCGCCGTGACAAAGCTCACGGGGCACACCTCGCCCTCGGGCGTCGCCGTCGCCGCGGCCGCGCGCAGCAGCGCCTCGATCACCACGTCGAACTGCGCGGGCGTCGTGTACGGCGGGGTTTTGATGCCCCAGGGGATTCTTTTTCTTTTCGCTTCCGCCGACGCCGCCTCCGACAGCTTCTCCAGGTACGCGCTGAGCGCGCGGGCGTCGTAGGCGGGCGGCGGCGCGCCGGGGATGTTGGGGCAGCTGAGGTTGACCTCGAGCGCGAGAGGGTTGGCGACCCGGTGAGCGAGCTGCGCGACGAGCGAGTAGGCTTGCGCTGTGGCGTCGGGGGTTCCTGTCACGGAGACGATGAAGAGTTTTTTGTCGGTCTTGTCCGAGGTTGAGGTGGTGGTGGTGGTGGTGGTGGTGGACAGCGTCTCGATGAACTCGAGATAGGTGGCTAGCGGCAGCGGGCTGTAGCCCATGTTGTTCAGGCTCGCGGCGTCGTCGTTGCCGTGACTGTTGCTGCTCCCGTCGGGGGTGAAGAAGGTGTACTGTCCCGAGATTCATTCATTCATTCATTAGAACCAGTGCTTGATTTGCGGCCACACCACACACCCACACACACACACACCTACCTACATACTCCCCTACAGCGTAGGTTTGATCACATCCAAGTATATAAGTAGGATAGAGGTTTCACCTTACCTGATGAACAGCATCATCATGCGGGAACCCCTCCAGCGTCGCCGTGCGCGTGGTCACGGCGCCCGTGTCCTCGCACTCGAGCAAGGCCTTCAGATCCTCGAGCGTCGTCGCCCACGGGTTCGCCGAGTTGAGCAGCGGCGGGTCGATGTGGAGGGCCGGCGGCAACGGCTGCGGCTGCTGCTGCGGCTCCATTGGTGGTGATATGTATAGGTAGGTAGGTAGGTATCAAAATCAATCCGACTAACCTAGGTACCTAGTAGATTATAGATGCATGTGAATGAATAGATCAATAAGTAGGTACCTAACCTAATTATAAATAAACGTAATTCGCCCCCTTTTATATATACCTAGGTAACCTTAGGTATGTATGTATGTAGGTAGGTAGGTAGGTAGGTAGGTTAGGTAGTTCACCTCGATAGCTTCTTAAAGGTTTGTATGCCCAAGCTTTACATACCTCGGCATTCAATACTTACCTAGGTAGCTACCTACAGTAGTGCGGGATACTAAGATATATAAATATCCAGTTTACCCATATAGATTAGGAGCACCTTCCTAACCTACTGAGGTACGTAGCTATGACAGTGGCGTCCCAGAAGCTCATGTCACCTTTTCATCGTATGACAGTAGCGGGGTACAAGTTATATGCCTGCCTAGGTACCTAGAAGGGACGATAAGATAAGCCATTCTTTGCCTACCCCCTTTTGATATCGTATACTTCGATTTATAACATGCTACCAGGCACAACTTATACGTGACCTTGGAATGCATGTATGATATAGTATTTGTCAAGATACCTATTTGCTCTGGAGCATCTTGCGTTTGTTGTGGACTAGGTCAAGTCTAGGTATATTAGACAGCTTCTCTGTGTCCTTATCTGAAGTCTGCCAACATGACTATCATCTCAGCTCTCTATATCTCCCGGCTCGTTCCTTCGAGTCGCATCCGAGGCAGAATTCCATAATAGCATTCAATAAACGCCAAACAAGACACCCCTTTCCCCGTGGTCCCATTGACAAAATAAGAGGCGATCAAAACTTTACGTAGTTGAGTATCATGACCAAACTGCGCCAAATTCAAACGTCAGCCCCCGCGGCGACTACCGGTGCTCATAAGAGTAATCTTCTGTTTTTGCTTTTTCTTCTTCTTGCCGCCCAAAGCTCCCGGCTTATTGCTCGGCCCACCGCCATTGTCGTCGAGACCAAACGCCTCCATCTCAGCAGCGATGAAAACCTCTTCTTCGTTTACCCATCCATCGTTCACTTCGCGCTCTAGTACGGGAGCCAACTCGGGGGATACTGGGATCACGGGAGTTCCCCAAACAGTCTTTGATGTCGATGGACTAGTCGATAAATCTGAAAGGTGGTTAAACCCTGGTCGAGGATTTGGCGGGCTCGTGCCTTCAACGGCACCAAGCGGCTGGAAGTCCTCCGAGTTCATCGAAGGGGTCTGCTCGAATTTATCTTCGTTCGTCTGATCAAAGTGTCGTCTGGCGCTACGTCCGATAGCTGACGCTTCCATACGTTCAGCTTGTAGTCTTTCACGTTCTTCCTGTGCTGCCTTATCCCGGTGTAACTTGCGCCGGCGCTCCAAATCTCCCGAGTATTGCTCGAGCGTATCTGCAGGAACTATATCTGTCCAATCGCACTCCAGGAAGCTTATAACACAACCCTGGGGAAGGTGTCCCAGATATTTGGCCCGCTTCCTCTGTGCGTCGTCCACAACGTGACCAGTAGAGATATGCTCGACTCGAGGGAGCAGGGTAGAAGGAAAGTTGGAAAAATCGCCAAACTTGGTTTTCAGAATACGTATATCTAGGGGTGATAGATATAGGTGCGGAGGTGCCGTATAGAAATGGAACTTTGGACTCGCCGGTTGCTTCGCCTTCAAGGAGCTGGTTGGTAGTGGTAGCGTAGCCTCTTCTTTGCTTTGCTGTTCATGGACCTTATCCTTCGCCATATTGATAGCTCTGATAGCCCGCAGCGTCCAATCTCCCTCCTCTGCTCCAAACTGAAACTCGTCTTCCTCTGCTTGATGTCGTAATTCGTTAATCTCTTTGTCGTACTGCTCCACTACGTAGTCGTTCGTCCCTTTCATCACTCTAGCATAATCCATAACATTTGCTGCGAAATGCCATGGGACGTCCTCACCCGCATTGACGGCATCCTGCCATCCTTCGTTGGGTAGGGCTAATGTAGAGTTTGTGTCGCGCATCATCAGCCTCAATACTACGTCTTCTCCTGGTCTCGGCAGGGGATTCTCCTGACCGGCATAAAAGCGCACTGGCTTAACTTCGGAGAGTCGGAACGAGTCTTCGCATATGGGGCACTTCTTCCAGCGAGCTTCTTTTCGTGTGCTTGGTTCATCGTCATTCGTTGAGTTCATAAATCGCAGGAGGCAGGGCAAGCAGAATATGTGACCGCAGCGTGCCATGCGAGGAGCCACAGGGTCGGATAAACAAATGGGGCATGAGGTGCTTTGCGATTCGGTAGAGGCTATGATTTGAAGGATATCGGACCATTCGAAATACTTGTCAGCGTCTCCGGCTTGGGAAGAGTAGTCTCCTGTTGGCGACACCACGAAGCGATAATTGGCATGAACAAATCTTTATCAAAACATCATTAGTCAATAAACCCCAGCTTGGATCATTCATTCCACGGAATCAACGCACCTAGCCTTGTCAGCTGCGTGGTATCCGGAGCCAGGGCCCCATGTAGGATGTCGGCGATTCGATCTTTGGTAGCCAAGAGTGTGGCGCGTTGGGACTGAGTAGTCCAAAAGGTGGGTGATAGAGGTCTGGCCTCGACGGCTCGAGGCGTTTCTTACAGCTCGCTGTTTCGATAGTTCAGTTATTTGTCTAGTCTCATTAAGCTCCTCGAGACCTGGTGTCGGCTTACAAGCTCTGCCATCGCATCATCCCGATCCGGATTTCCGGGTTCTTTCAATGGTCTTCGCTGATTCCGGTGCTGCTTCCTAGACCCCTGTCCTTTTCTCGGGGTTGTGTTCGGGAACAATGGACTCGACAGCGCCGAACGGCGAGAATTCGACTCGAAGCTTGGGGCGGGTACCGAGATAGGTTGGGAGCTTAGAGTAAAAGGCAGGGGGGAAGATAGGGATTTGCCTCCCGGATTAGATGGGCCAGAGCTCATGATGTTTATTGAGGTCACTCTCGTTTCGTTAATGGGCAGGATTGCAAACGTGAAAGTTCGACGTCCAGAGACGTCATAAACGTTTGTGTCACCAGCGCCGAATATAAGAAGGGAAAAGATGCTAAGAAATGGGTACGATTCAATGTTTAATTGCCAAATGATGGGTTGTGATCAGGTAATTCCTAAAGTTAAATGGATTAGCTAGCCTGAGGTTGTCGGCCGAGTAACAACTTGGACAACAACTTGGATAACAACTTCAACGTTCGAGGGGTCCAGGACTGGACGGACCCCGGAGGTTTAAGGAAGAAGGAAAGATTAGATTGAAGAGTCACACGGCGGGGCGGGACCTGCTCACAATGCACCGATGTAGGTTACATCAATTACACAATGTATGGTTATTTAATGGGTATGTAGGTGCATATGCATATAACAGGGTTATGTCTATAGTGGAAACCTCGGAACATTCAAGTGCATGTCATTAACGATGGATTTGCAACATGTAGTTAATAAGCAACAACACATTGAAAGGTGCGAAAAGGGGCCAACTTTTGTATACTACTAGGTCCTAAGCTAGGTGCGAAAGAGAGAATTGCTTCCAAAGACTACTACTTGTCTATTAAGCCATTTTTCAACGTCCGCCTGATACTGCCAACCAGTCTCAGCTTCAGAAGACAAATCAATCCTGCATTTCCAACCCTGCCTCCTACGTCTCAGAGTCTCAGAGTCTCAGAGTCTCAGAGTCTCACAACCATCATTAGACCTTCCTTTTGCCTTATCATCATCATTTTCCCCCATCAATAACCTTCCCCTATCCCTTTGGCCATCCTGCATTATCATCAAGCACAGACCGTCGAGACGTAACTCATTAATCTTGCAGAGCAAGCACCAACAACACCTACCCAAGGTAGATTACATCCTTGGGTACCCGGCGAAGAAACGCAGGAAGAGGTAGGAAAACACATGGCCTCCAACTTAAGCGCAATTCATCAGAATACACCTAGAACCACTAGCAGAGCCGAATTGAGTCGCAAAATGAAAAAGAACATAAAAGGTCAACCACTTGTACCGTCCCAAGCAACATCATCTCCTTTCACAACCCCAGAGGCTAGACTTTCTTCGTAGGTTGGTGGGATCGGGGAATGCCGTGCAAAATGAGTATTATGTACATAAAATGCCTTGACCGGGGAACATCGTTTCATTGGCATCAGCCGTAGTGAGTTGACGCGAAATGGGGAATCATAAAGCTCGGAAGAAAGAAAGAAAGAGAAAAGAACCGGACAATGGTGCCCATTTTAAGAACCAATGCGAGTAACAAGTATCTAGCTCTTATTGCCAGTTAGCTTGCTTCTCACTTTGCCAAGCATAGCACTGAGCCTGTTCTTCTTCTTCTTCTCTGTTGGCGAGGCACCGTTCGTCGCCTTCGTGCTTAAGTCCGAGGCAACAGCGTCGGATGGCGTGCCCGAAGCTGACTGAGTAGGCTTAACTTCGATAGGTTTAGGTTCAGCCTCGACCACCTTGGCGGGTTCCGAAGCTCCGTTTGTCGCGGTCGAGTCGGCGGCTGGTGGGATTTGGATCGCGGAAGGCTCGCCAGTGGCACCAGTGGCCTCGGTCAACTTGTCCTTCAGCTCGGTAGTTTTGCTCTTTGACGCCTCGTTATCGGCTTCCACGGGCTTGACCTCGTTCAACAGTTCAGCTTCGACAGCCTTCTTCTCTTCAACTGCTTCCGTGTTTGCTGCAGCCTCTGGCGCCTTGCCAGCTGCAGCGATAGACTCCTTGACTTCAGTAGGCACCTCAGGAGAAACTTCCTCGCGGGTTTCCTCTTTTACTGTGCCTCCAATCGCTTCCTGAACTGACTCTGGAAGCTGCTCCTTGACTGACTCGGGCAAGCTTGCCGCTGCTTCAACGGTAGAAGCCTGCGCAGTCGTGGCGGCTTCGGTAGCCTTCTCCACGGCAAGATCCTTAGCGGCGACTGCACCCGCAAGCGCAGCACCACCAACTGCCGTAACTGCAGCAATAACAGAGGCAGCAGCCTCGCCGGGAGTAACGGCTTTCTCCGTCTTCTCAGTGCCTTCACCCGCAGTACCTTCGGAAGTGGAGGGTGCTTCTTTCACCTTCTGAAGAAGCTCGGTCTCGACGGCGGCCTTCTCCCTTACTTCCTCGGGAACACCGCTAGCCTCGGGCTCAAAGTGTGCCTTCTCCTGGCTTTCCTTCACGACCTCGGGCACCTCGACCTTGGTCTCGATAGGTGCGCTAGCCGCCAAAGCAGCAGTTGTGGATTCCGGTGCAGCAGAGGACAAGATAACGGGTGCGTCGCCTGAGATTACGGTCCGGTTAGTGTGTACTTTTTCTTACTATGCGAAACAAACATAAAGTAAAGCTTACCTGGAAGGGTGTCGCTCTTCTCGTACGACTCGGGATCTAGCTTAACTTGGCTCGTGGTGCTCTCGGCAGCGAGACCCTCGGGGATCTTCTCACCCGGCGCAAGTGTGATTGGGTTGAGAGCGCCGGGAGCAGCTGGCAAAGGGTTCACTTTAAATTCGCCAGCCTTGTCGAGTTCCGTGGCGGGCGTCTCAGGAAATGCGCCTGGCAACTCCTCATCCTTCTTCTCCAAGGGGACATTTGCGGCCAAGGCAGCAGTGGTAGAGTCGGGGGTAACAGAGCTCATGATTGCGGTAGTTGCAGGTGCTTCAGTAATGATACGGTCGGGAGTTAGGATGTTGTTCTCGTTGCTACTCTCGTCGATTTCTTTTGGTGCGGTGTGATCGGTGACCCAATTACCATCGACAACAAACTGTAAGCGAAGGGTGAATGGTTAGCTACAAGGATGAAATATATCAAGGTAGGACGGGGCTAAAACGGGGTTTCGCGGGGTGTTCCAGATTCAATGGGAAGAGCGGGGGGGTTGGAAGGGAGAAGAAGATTAAGAGAGTTGCCGAGGAGGTTGGATGTCAACGTTGTGGTGGTCAAGCATTGAAGAATCTGTCTGGCTAATGCAAGCTGCCGCAAGACCCGAAGTAATGTAGACAGACTAAAGCCCTAGAAGGTACGAGAAGAGTACGAGGGTACCAAGGCTGCCTTGGTCTTGCTCTGGTCTTGCTTTGGTCCTGTGGTGACTAAAAATGGCTTGCGGCGGCTTTTGCGATGCGTCAGGGACAGGGCTCTTTCCAACCAGCAAACAAAGACCAGTCAGGGCATGACAGGTCAGGTTCAGGATCATCTTCAGAGGTCAGGTTCAGTTCAGGTCCGGTCTGGTCAGATATGACAGTGTCCAGGTCCACCAATGCACGTCGCCTGTTCATGCACTTGCACCCCTTCGGAAGTATTTTAGGGCTTGAAGCAGTTATGGCCGTTATATTTTCTGTGTAGTCCAGATCTTGGTGCAAGTCTTGGTGTGAGATCTTTGCCCAAGTTGAACATAGCAAACGAATGCCTGTAATCCCTCAGACTCCAATGTCACTCCCTAACTCCATCTAGACCCTATAGAGTAGGTACCAGACAGGGAGTGGACTAAGGTTAGGCGAAATCTGTGATAGTAGTATGTTACCCCCGAAGCAATTGACCTATTAGCATCACAGCCCACACCGCTTCGGAGGATCTGTGGTTCGCCCCGCGCGTCATAACGCAAAAGGTCGGGCAGTTCACGGAGTTATGTTTTGCATTCGGGGGAGGCACAGGTGACCAACGCTTTGAGACAGCATCAGCACCGAGGCCGATGCTGTTCATAAATAGGCCCGTGTAACTAAAAGTAGCAGAATGCATGGACACACATCCTGTAGGCATCAAACATTGTGCGAGGTTGACCATACCTACATATATATCCGTGGATGTATACCTAGGTATGTAGTATCGATTCCAAAGGTTCCTAACTTCATCAAGGATCCATAATTCCAAGTTGGAAGAGAGAACGCCTTGCGCTCTGCCGGGCCGACAACCGATCCGAACCATGTGGCACTCAGATAGAATCAAAGACCCTTGGAAGAAAGAAGGGAAAGTTTGGGGATAGGCAAGGCTGATGAATGGGCAAGCATAGTTAATGCGACAAGGGAATCAAATCAATGCTGGAACGAACCTTATAGTAGATCTTGCTGGAGGCATCTGGTAGGGTCACCGCCTTCTCGAAGTGGTTGCCAACCTTCTCAAGCTTCTCCGTCTTCTTCCAGTCGTCGAAGGTGCCAGTCACATAGACCTCGGAGGCAGGGTGGTCCCTATTGTTAGAAAGAAAAATACAGGGTTAGCGAAGCTCTACATGATTGCCGATTTGATGTCATTTGAGTGAGCGGGTGAGTGCAAAGCAAATGCGATCCGGTGGCAGCGACAGCATGACAAGGTGAAGGTAGGTAGAGGTGATGGCGATAACTGTCGGCGGGCAATCTGCAACAGACAAGAGTTTGCCAAGTTTCATATGCTCATTTGTTTACTTACCACTTGAACACAAAAGTTCCCATTGTCAATGACGTTAAAGAATTCACTGTAGGGTTAGGTTCGATGAAGAGGGTGGGATGGATAAATGAATTAAGTGGGAAGAATACTTGAAGTACTCGAGGATTTGAAGGCAGGAAGCAGAAATTCTGCTATCTCGGACGCTTCGCAAAGAGATTAGAAAAGAAAAGTAGAAGCGGCAGCAGCGTACCACCTACAGCGACCGGCAAGCTCCAGCCAGGTACATTGTATGTATGTATCAGTGATCAGTGTGCAATTATTTGCTAGCTCGCAAGCTTACAGTGGCTCCGGTGGCTGTAGGTGATTGTTAGCGTTGCCTAATTCAGTTAGTCTGACTCTGATACCATCATTGATGGTAAGTCCGATCTATCGATCGCTTGGGCCCCACTCTTAACTCACCGCATATCGTTTGGTCGTTCGCATTGATAGCGTCAACGTACCCGATACGTTCATATTGCGTTATTATCACGGGCCCTGGTAGCATCCTAGCAGCTGCCTAGTAATACCAAACTGTCACTTTTACATCTGTTTTTAAGGACGTTAACAGTAGTAAATATGTACCTATACATAGTACGTTACTTTATTAATATCATATATCATAATATGTGCACATATCCATATTTTCATCTACCGGATTCTGTGTGAATTCAATGTTCAAACGAACTTGAATGAACGTGGCATGTGGTATATCAAATTCTTGATCATCTGAAGACAGAAAAAAATAAAATGTACAAATGTACCAAAGTACCTAATGAGCTGCAGCATCCAGATGTCTTTGTTTCCGCATCCGGAACTAAACTGTTTAGTCCCAAGTTTCAATTCCACTGGGCACAATCCATTCGTCAATTCAGCCTCTCCAATTTACCACGTAAGATTTGGTACAAGAACTTGCAGCAGAAGTGTCCAGTTCACGGATCCGCCCAAATCACATGTGAACCAGGAGAATAAAGCACGTAATATTATCAATTGGCTATTTACGTTGTTATCTACATATCAAAAAAAGATCACGACTTCTTCACCCAAGTCAACTGACAGCGGTGAAACAAAGAAATGAATGAATTCACCTGCTATTATTGACAAGATAGATACATGTATGTTACAGGAAACAGTCAAAGGCTACTAGGTAATGTTCTGAAATATGTATTAACACAAACACCGTTTAGCTTACTACGTTAGTACCTAGCCTAGGCAATATGCACCTAGCCACTCAAAGCTAATCAAAGCCTGAATAAGTGCTATGTAGGCACCCATGTTCCGGATAGAGCCGAGAAACACGCTAGGTATTCACTCAAGCATTGCAGTTTATTCAACGGCTTCAAACTTTAAGCACAGGGAGGTATAATAGTACTACGCCGTACAGGTCTGGGCACCCGGCACCTAGGGCTAGTAGTACACTATATCACATACCTACATAATATCATACGGATCCAATATATGTATGTGGGTAGTTAGATATAAGGTCACTAGCACCATCATGAATCAGACTCAATTGTCCAAATAGCCTTTTATTCATTCATTTACGTATTCTTATTATCCCTCGTGACACTCATCGCACACCATATACCATCCCATCTAAAAAATACAACTCGTTTCCCATCGTTGCCTCATTACCCAGTCGTCCTGTACATCTTGGTGGTCTTGAAAAGGAGACAATGGCAGTAAGAAAACACCAAAAAGAAAAAGGGGAAAAAGGGAAAAAAGGGGTGAAACCACCTGCTTACTGGATGAGAGAATGAACATAAAGCAATACCATCCTCCTAGAACGCCTTAACGGTGGGTGGCTGCTTTTTTTTGCCGCCAGGCGACCATGCCTCCCCGTCGTCTCCTTTTTGATCCCCCCCTTTTCTCCTGCCAATGCGGATTTTAGTAGTACAAGTGTATCGCAAAGTGTATCGTCCCCTGCTTTCCACCAAACAATTTCTATAGTATACACGCGAGAGACTGGGGAGAAATCAAGCATACAGAAGAAGAAAAGAGTAAGAAAGATCAAGGTGACAGGTAGAGACAGACATCATGTTCGTATAGAAATAGAGAGAAATTCCTAAGGAGAGGATTGTTAGGAAAATATAAGAAGAGAAATTAGAAATACAAGATTGAAGAAGATAATGATGATGAAAAAAATAAAATAAAAAATAAAAGAGGTGAAAGAAAAAAGGGGATTAAGGAAATGCATCATTGTCCACTCATCTCATATAACCTTGTTGCCTGGTCCAACGCCTCCCCTCCCTTTTTCGAGGCTCGGAATCATTAGAACCACTTGGGATTGACGCGTTCCTCGAGTTTCTTGAGCGTACCCATGGCATCGACGAGTAATTTGTTCTTGCCGCCGACAGCCTCGTCCTCGAGTCTTCTCCTAACGATACTGACAACACCCATCATCTCCCTCCGGCCACGCATGTTAAGTACCTCTTCTGCGCGCAAGCTAGCAATCTTTTTCAGCCAATTTATGGTTTCTCGCTCTCCTTTCTCCCCAGCATTAGTATTAGAATGACGTCCAGGGTGACGAGAAGAAGCTGTATCAGACCCAGGACCAGAGCCAGTACCGCCTCCCCTACGATGACCTAGCGCCCAGCAGATGAGTGCACAGACGTACATGGCCCAGTAGTCCGACATATCCGACATATCCGATAGGTTCCATCCCTTTCCACGGTTTTGGTCGTCATCCTCCTCAGCATCTAGCGAATGAATTGTTGCGTTTAAAGGTGAATTACTATTACTGTGGTCGATCTGGCCAAAGAAAGCCAAAAGAGCTTTAGCGGCAAACCCAGTGGCAACACCGATGTGGAGGCTATTACACCAGAGCTGTAGTCGTCTCTTATGCTCTTGAAATACCTGCGGTGACGCCAATTTCCTGGAGAAGAGCCAAGTTTCGCCGCTAACAGCGAGTAGATCGTGAAGTGGTGTGTAATACAATGCCAAATAGGCGTTTCCAACGGCGGATCCCGAGAATAACTTTCTTATTCTCTCAGTAGACGTCTCATCGACCTCTACCGCAAGGTCCAGTATTGATGGCGTGGATCGCCTAGGTAGTCGGAGATATTCCGACGCTAAAAATACAGTATAATCGATGGGTGGTGAGCTAGCTATCTGTTCCGCTGAAAAAGGAACTTGGCCGGATAGGCTAGTAAGTTCTGTGTTGATTGGTTTCCTGTCGAAGAGAATCTCCCAGTTTTCTGGCGATTGGGCGGCCCAGAGATCCTCGGTATTCTTAATTAGGGGGGTCGGAGGCGCCGACATAGGGAAGTGTTGTTGATAGTACACAGATGTATGAACATCAAAAATAAAACAAGCAGCCAAGAGTCTACGTTGTGACTCAATATCAATCCATTCCTTCCAGCGTCCATCTAACGTTGAGGCAGTAGGAGTAAAGTTGTCCGGTATTGGGTGACGGACCATCTGTGAGGGAAAAGACGTTGAGCAAAGATTCCATTGGCCATTAGGAGAAAAAGAACAAAACTAAAGAGACAAGCCTGAAATGTAGAATATATAAGAGAATCAACAAGATTAGGAGATGAATGAGAACTCACCCGAGAGTATAACGACTGGAAGGGCTCCGACGGGCCTCTCTGTACACTTCGTCCACGGAACCGTGCATAAAGTTCACAAAGAAAGATCGCCTGCATGATTTGGAGGTTCCATTGAGGGCACTGTATCTGTTAGTTGAGCAATTATTCTCGTAAAAACATCAAATAGTTCCACTTACAAGCTTGGCCTCCTTCCGGGCAAATTCATGCAGCTCGTTGCCTTTGTTGCGATCTTCCTTGCCTTGGAGAAACTGCGTGCCCACGGCAGCCATGGCGCAATGCAGAATCTCGTCGGCCACGGTTTTGGGATTTTTGCGGTGGACCAGTGGAAAGAGTGCGTCGAAGCGCTTCCAGTATATGCCGAGGTATGTCGGGATGGCATTCCGGACCTGCGGCGACAGGGTCCCCGCGGTTAGAAGGGCTGTTCTCCCGAGTGTTCCCAGGAAAGTTGTCGAGCCCTTCTGGGGACGTCCCATCGACGCTGTGTCGGGAAGTGATGGGACTGCAAGGGTGACTAAATTTTCAGTCGATTGAGCGGATAGTGAGATAGTCGGTGGGGTCGGACTACGAACTGAAGAATAATGATATGGCTGCGGGTGCTCGACGAAGTATCGGTGGTTATCTGGTAATTGAATTGGCAAATTCATATGATCAACCGGGGAAAACGTAGTCCCAAACATATGCGTCGAGGTAGTCATGGTTTCGAGACCATCACCCAAGCCTTGCAATGCTTGCGAGGCGCCAGACGAGTACATACTGGGCCCTGTCCAGTCTGATGTTGGTGAATCGTAACGGAGACCGTGTCTCCTATGACTGAGTTCTGAATGTGCAGAGTAATTACTATCTGAATGGGGCGATGACCAAGGAGAGCCCTCATGGCCAGGAATGAGACCTGGAGGAATATTGTTGTCAGGTATTGTCAAGGAAAGTGGATTCGGGGTTAACATCGGTCCCTCCGCGTACACGGAAAAGGGAGATAGAGACGAGGTACGAGGCCGGGGGTAGTAATCAATCCCAAAATCAATACCTATGTCTGGGGAGCCCCCAATGCTGTTAGGCTGTCTTCCATACAGGCCATATTCTTCATGAGGAGCACCAGAGGAAGTCGGGTAGCTCTCATGTTGACCGGGACGCTGTTGAGGAGACATTGGGGCTTGTCCCGTGTTGCTACCCTGGCTCCCGGTTGAGTGATAAGAAGGAAGGCCAGGATAGGGGGTAACCGAAGACATATCGGGTGGACTTGACATTACCACTTGGGTGCTTGGAGGATGAGACATGTAGTCTATTCTAGAGGACCCTCCTTCATACGATGCAGCTGACGCAGGTCGGCTATCGTCGCCGCCCGTGCTTTTCTTATCGTCATGATCGCTACTCTCAAGTCAGTCATTTGACGTGGGTCGTACCCTGATACAACTGCTGCCCACTTACTGTCTTTGGACATGACGTGTAAGTAAGTCGGCCCTATGAAATGTTTTTTCACAGCCTGGAAATGTACATGGAAAACCAGGGTTCCCGTGGCCGAGTTGATGGCGTCTAGAAATCAACTTTTAGCAACGCACGACAGTAGGTACTCACTCGTCACCGGAATCTCTCACCTGAGATGTTCCGCCCTCGTAAATGTCTAACCATCGTTAGGATCCATATCCATAGCTTCCAATCTTGAGTTTGGGGAACTGCTCACCTTCGGCGGGTTACATGTCTCGCATGTATGAACAGGCATGCCCTTCTTTGCTCTGCTCACACGACGGGTCACGGGGGTTAGCTTGACTGGGACGCTCCCTTCTCCCGGAGAGGCACCCATTGGCCTCGTAGGTATGTTAGACGCCGGTATACCTCCTCTGGATGATGAGCCTTGGACGTGACTTCCGTATCCACTGGGATCCATCGATTCAGAACTTGTAGTACTCCGTCTACTAACAGTCGTCGGCCTGGCTGGAGATGCTGACGGGGACAACGCGGTAGCTGCAGGTTTTGATGAACGACTTGATAGGCCACGCCGTCTACTGGGTGTTATGGTTAGTCTGTCGTCTCTGTCTTTAAGCTTCTCATTGCTCGACGTTGCCGCACGGGAAGGATCGTGACTATGACTATGAGATGGGCCGGGTGGGATGGAGTCTCCCTCGTTCTTATTTATCTGAGGGGCTTGAGGGGCGTCCCCCTCTGTGTCCATGTCCATGATGAACTCAAGGCTTGTCATGGCTGCAAAGGCTCAAAATGGAAATCACACAGCCCTGCAGTCTGGATAAATAAAGAGTATAGTAGATGGAAATAGTCACTCGAGAGAGAGAGGGTGGGGTGGATCTGTAAAAGAAGGCCAAGGCTAGAAAGATCTCAGCCTTCTAAGTGGTTGTAGTATTCAAGTTGGTATGAGAGATGTATCTGGTGTATAGCATCTCCGTCTGCGATGAAACGGAAAATTCCAACAGCTGCATTGCTATATTGAGATACTAAAGGGCCGAAAGGGCAAGTGTAGGCTGGAGGACAAATAGCATAGAGAGGAAAAGTCAAGTCAACGAGAAGTAGTCGGCCATGTCTAGGCAGGCTCCCATCCGCCTAACCATGTACCTCACACCCCTGTTGTCAGCTGGATCAAGGGTTAGATACATGGATCCTCGAGATGGGTGAGATATGCAAGGTACATACATGGTACCGTTCCTCTTGGATGCTATTTACGGGGTACGCCCATCTACACTTGTACCTGGGAATATTGCTGCATGAGACTTTTTGGGGAGCAGCTATTCATGAGGTAATGTATTGTGCCTAGGTAAGTAAGTAGTGTAGCTCTGAGCTCAAGACGGCATTCTGTATACCTACATAGTGAATGTATACCTACTAGGTACTATACCCGGTAGACTGGGTGAGGAATGCCATATTTAGAGACCCCGGGCGTCAGGGCGAAGCATGGTGTGGTATCGTATTATTCGATGCTCTTGTACAATACTACACGCGCACGAAGAGTAACACAGGACGCAAATATTTGTCAAACCATAGTTACCATCCAAGGTGAATAAGGAGACGATCTCGCTGGATAGCCTTTCGCAGAAAGGGATTCGGGTTTGAATGTAGATACCAAAGCATGTAAGCCTTTGCTGTTTGCCTATGCTGTTATGTCAAGTTTGTCAGCTTCAATTTCGTCGTGATTTTCTGGGGAATCTTCAACTCGGCCACTGTTAGCCATTTCTTGCTTAGCTAGCCAAGTGCCTAGAATGGATGGCACCTGGGATGGATGGACGGAGTGTCTGTAGGTAAGTACCTAGGTATGGTTCCAGTTAAATCTGACAGGCAGCAACTTAAACAAAGGGGGCGCAGCTAACGCATGCAAAGCCTCGCGAAAACTACCTAGATACAACACCATACATTAGTAGGTTAGTATTTACTACCACCATGCATACATACCTACCAGACATACCTACCAGACATACCTACATAGTATTATGTATGTACTTATGTATTGTACGTACGTACTAGTATAACCTGGAAGTCAGTTGGTACCTTAAGGGCTACATACTCAGGCCGGTATACTAGGTAAAAACGTTCTTACAGCAGAGCCAGTGCTATTGAGCCAATTACGGTCTCGTTGGGTCGCACTGGTTGTACAGCAGATAGTAACGTGCTCGACACGTTCTTACCATCCATCGTACACCCCTGAGACAAAAGTCCTATTCTTAAACACAGGTTAAACATACCTAGGAAAACCCACCTGGGCAGTATGGTGAACTCATGGAAATTGGAAAGTAGGCGGGGTCAGATGAGGATTCTCAGTACCGGCCAGTAAGCTAATAGTTAGAGCCATTGTAAACTCCAATGCATCGGAAAGAGTTCCGGATTGTAGAAAGCATTATATTTCCCACATTTTCTGGTAAATCCACGGGGATTCCGGGCTCTAAACCCCAAGAGCACTTTTAGTTAGTTAACAGGTAGTTACTCTCCCATAATATTCTGTCTCTTGTTTCAAGCTTGCAATGTGCCCAGGTGGTTGAGGAAGGATGCAGACACCACAGGGAGCACCAAGCTTTTGCAGAGCACGGCCCGCCGTAAAACAAGGGATCGCATGCGGGTCGAATCCTTCAGGGCTGGGCATTGGCAGTGTCATTGGATGTCTACTTCCAGCTCGACCTGTGGTGTGCCAGGATCAATGGGCTTAGACGCGGTCTAATTGGACGTCAATCGTGGGACAACCCGCTTTGCCCTACGACACAAAGTACCAACAGATTCTATTAATAACCAACAAACGTCAGTGGCAGTCAGGAATTAGTACATACATAGTGTATGTATCATGTATGTACATAGCATGTCCGGCTTGAGTAAGCGGCGTCTGCGGAGCAGGATACTACCTAGTACTATGTACATGTAGGTATTAGTAGGTATGGAGGAGGTACGTACCATGTAACTAATTATTAAATTGTAACTAATAGAGCAGATGGCCTGACAGATGCAGGATATGGGCCAAAAAAGAGGACAGCAACCAAGTGTTTCTGTTTCTTTAGCGATATATCACCCCGATAGATACGTACGTGCCTTCGAGATAATTAGTGTAGATACGTAAGGCATGTTATGTACCTGGGTATGTTTCATAATCGCGTGTAGTTCAGATGTGGCGGCTATTTACGTAGACACCATCTACCGGCAGCGATCCGAGGAAGACTATAAGATGTAGATGGGGTCCGAACCCATGGTAACGGTCTCTGCTTGGGTTCAGGGGATAGAGAAAAGCAAGCAAGCGCGGTATCCGTCTAACTTTGGGGTCCGGGACGAATTATCGATGCGATGATTGCCGACAGGATGACATGCATAGAAGCGCGTGAAGAAGGCTTCTGTCTCTTCGGCTAATCGAGCTTCCGTCTGCGCAAATACGTCAAGACGAAATTGTTAGGTAATCAACCAAAAGTGCTTTTGGATCATCTCGAACGCATACCTACATGTATCTTCTCCAATATTTCAACACTTGTGGTAGGTACTAGGTAGCCTTGGACATTGAAGGCCGTAGCCTATAGGGTGTTCCGGAATGTGTTGCCTAGTATTTCTTGTCTACGGCGTATAGTAGTTATAGACTTATAGTGAATGTTAGAAAATAGAATGCAGATGGGTCCATAGATTTACAGGGAGTCAGGGACCTGTAACTAAAAAGAATCAAGTTCATGTGTCTCTGCTATTTCCCCGCGTGTCCGTTGGTTTCAAATTGGGCAAGGAACATTGAAGGTAATACCTTACTACCTTCAATGTTCACATGTGCAATGTAAGGTTCAAGTTAGTACATAGTACCTACCTTCGCCAAGGATCACGCCTGCATAACATGTAACCTTCAACCTTACTAACATCTATAAAAGATATCAATTGCAGTGATGTACAGTAGAATACCTACCTAGGCCCTAGGTATGTATAAGCCACTAACCTCGGCGCTTAAGCAGTAATATACTAACCTACATATATATGTATTTTGCTTTTATTTATAGTCCCACACTCATGTATGCTGACTGACAGTCACTGACTGACTTCTACCTATCTCTCTCTTTCCATCTCCCCACCCGACATCTAGAATCAAGTCTACATTACAGTATCATGTGCAGTGCATGCATACCTACCAACATACCTACCAACATACATACTACACTTACATAACATGTTCGTCTATATTACCAATATTAGGTATTTCAGCAACCAGAACTTCAATGTCTCGTATCTATATGGATCTTGGCATCGCTGCATTCCCGCATCGGGTCATATCTACCCATGAACAGCCACACTTGCGCGAGTTCCCGTTGACTAAAATGGATTGTCCTTCTGCAAGTATTATAATAACGTATGTCTTATATCGGCTGCGCAAGCGCCTTGGCCTTGTGCTGCAGGAATCCCACACACTCGCGTGGCACCCACGGAGGCTCTCGTGCTAGCCCTAAACGTCATACCTATATGGTTCATCTATCTATGCATCTTTTATCTTTCCATCTTCCTCGGAACGCACTTCTTAGATTCGTTTCCTATAGGCCAGGCCGAAAACATGAGATCACCGATCGGGTCGGTAGTTTACTCACCTATTCTAATTATGTACAATATCTCATGGCTGTGAGTCCAGAAGGGAAAAAATAGAAGAAACAAAAAGAAAAAGGGAAGGGGATCATCGATGCGTGCCAAGCCTATTGCTGTCTACCAACTCCATCGTGCTATACTTGGCTTTCCTGTTCGTCCACTATAATGAGATAAACTTAGCTTTGTTTTTTATAGAAAGAAACCACTTTTAGACTTTGCATACATACTAATTTGTCCTATAGTCTCTCCATCGACCCTATCAAGGCCAATCATGCCTACTAGGTACCTATACGTGATAGTAGCTAGCCTAGGCACGGCCATGCCTACCCCCTCCAACGTCCCCCTTTCTTCAAAGAGAGCATATGTTGAGAGGTACCGCCTCGCAAGCGTTACACTCCCCCCGGAGTTGGCTCCATTTCTAGGTCTGGAAAAAGTCTGAGATATAGTGATTCTCTCTCTGTCCGTCTTACTGCCTCGGCTTTCATGACGACTAGGCTCATGTCCACAGGCTCGCTTATGTCTGTAGCCATATATCTAGACATTCTCGACAAGGATGATCGACACTACGCACACGCCGGTGAATATATCGAAGAGAATGTACCTAGAAGACGACCCAGGCGCTGTGGGGAGATGGCGTTCCTCGGGATTCTTCGGGACGCCATCCGAAACCCCTTGGTAGTTCTCCAGGAGAGTCCAGCCCCCGACTCTAGACGCGGCCCCCTCAAAACTTAGCTCTTTCTTCACTTCAAGAGTGCCCACGTCGATCTCGTGTGTAACATGGACCCATTCTTCAGCAGGAGAGGGTACTGCCGCCATCCTGAAACAGCACGGCAACCCTGGTGATTTTGCCGCGGTTAGGACACGGTGTACAACCTTGAGAGCACGACTGGGGTAGAGCAAGTCCTTCAGCCCTGTAGGGCTAGGGAGTCTAGTCCAACGTACCAACCCACGGCTCAGTTCTGTACTACTATTCATGTAACAGTAAGCCTCGGTTTCCCAGACAAGAAAGACTAGGAGGACTAGGCAAGTTAACGCGAGACACTTGGATACAATAGGAAATCAGGTAATATGAACCCCCACGATCTAACAGACGTTTCTAGCCACTTGAAACTTTCTAGGCTGATCACCAAAGGGAGTAGACGTTATCCCCTATGGCCACAGTGGGGATGGGTGCAGGCCTTTTTTGATTATTCTATCATGTTTCGAAACAAAGGGGCTTGGGATAAGACGTTATATCTCTACCTAGTATTTAATATAAACTTACCGTAGTGTTGCTCAGGAAATGCAAGCAGCCCCTGATTCCTGCAGCTGTCGTGCAGTAGTTAGCACGACACATGTTATACTGTACCAACTTGAGAGCTGTGTCTCACCACAGGGATAGAAAATATCCGAGTATACATGAGTGTTTGAAGTTGATGCCCTTCAACGTTATAGGGCTGCGTTTTCGTAAATTTCGCCATCGGGGGAAAGAGAGGAAGGATACTTGTCCGCTGCTGTGTTACCACTCCTCCTTATCATCGTCAAAGAGTTGTCTTGGACGGCCATCCCAAGCTCACATATATCCACTCATCTTACAGTATCGCTATAGAATCCTTTACGCACGAATACCACCCAAGCATTGGGTGTCCCTTCGGTCATCCCCCCAGATTACCATTCTTCATCCTCCGTAACTCACATAAAGGATCTCCAACGTCATTATCATCCCATCTCCTCTCCGTAACAAGAAAAAAATGACCCCTATTTGAGCCTATGGGCCCCCCCTTTTCACTTAGCACTTTTTTAAAAAAAGCCCGGCCAGCGACCTGCTTTTGCCACCTCTTTACCTGTTTTACCAGCATAACTGAAAATCTGCTTGATGAGAGCAGTAGCATTGAGTAGGTTGGATGTGGCACAGTGTGGCATCCCGTGGGTAGATTACCTACCTAGGTATATAAGCCTGGCCACGCAAAGCAGGACCCTTTGTGTAACTCCCTAACTGCCCAAGGTAGGTAGGTATCTACATAGTCCTAGATCTTTGTCACCCCCGAGACTTGATACTGGACCTCTTCTTCATGTAGTCAGCATGTGGTGAAGATACCCTGGGCAAAGATTGAACGTGCCGCTTGGTACATACATACCTAGCAACCAATGCCATATGAGAACCCCCGAGATATGTTTCATTTGACGATGACTTTCGCCACTATTTGGCCGCGGTGATGAGTGTAGCAATGCTTGACGCTTGCCGCTCAAGACGTGTAACGAAACCTTGCAAAGCATATACTCTAGCGCAAGGCAGAAGACTTCCAAGGTTGCTAATAGTAGCTTGCCCCCTGGTTGAAGGGGGTATCACTAACAGACAAGCACCACGAGAATGCCCAGCGCCCAATGTATCATCTTGCGTGATGCTATATCTTTCGGAGTCGCGAGAGGTTCCTTTCTATAGCAGAGTTAATCTACACGTTACCCGAAGAGTTAGGAGTGCGTAAGCGCCAATGATACCTTACCCAACTATAATCTACCTTATCGACGTCAAAGCCCGTTGAATATGAACGTGCCTCTAGGTAATGTATTAGGCGAGGCAGATGGCACATCCTTCCAAGAAAAAAAAGGGCCATCATATCTCTTGTACTAGCTTAACTATGGCCGGAGTTGAAGTCCGGTTATCAAAGCCTATCGCCAGCCACCGCCACCACTGGAGAGGCCTTCTAAGAAATGAACAGACGCAGGAGAGAGAGAGGATATTCTATCAATGTGAACGTCTAGCCAAGCTAACACCATCCTCGCCTCTAGCTTCATACACGGATACCCAACATCTCATACGATCAGAACAATACTTGATCGCCTAGGTACTCTACTCTACTTTGCCTACCTCTGTCATCCTCCGCCTTGCGTAGCTAACCAATCATATAGCTACATCATGCCCACAATCTCCGCCTCATGCCTATACCGGGCCAGGCTCTGGCACATCTCTACGGTAAGCCCCCGCTAACCTACTGCCCCTTTTCTTTTCTTTTATTTTTTTTAAAAAAAATGACATGTCGCTTTATACTCATCCCACACGGCACGTTACCGAGCGGCGATCTGCATGGCTTACCTACCCGCTACCTGCCGTAGACCGAGAGATACCTAGTATACCGAGTGTCTACCTACCGAGTATTTTGCCTACCTACTACCTGCCTACCTGCCTACACAGACGAGAACTAGCCTTGGAAACCACCACATACACCGAGGTAGATAGATGTAAAAGAAGCAGTGGAAATAACTACGGGCCTAGGTAGGATCACAGTCAAACGAAAAGAAACAAAACGCCACCAGGCTCTAGCAGAGCCTAGGTACATGCGCCTGCCTCAGCATGGTTCCACCAACTTCCATCAAGAAACCCTACCTACCTACCTACTCATACACTTAAGAGAAGTCGACATCATTCCATCCTACTCTAGATAATTAATAATTACGGAATAAACTGCATACTATGTATGTACATTAAGATAACATAAAGCCTAAGAAAAAGAAAGAGAGAAAACGACCCTAAGCCATACATTAGGTAGATACCGAGGAGATCAAACCCCCTATTCCTGGGTCACGTGGCCCACCATTACAGGGGAACATTGAATCCTCCAAACCACACATAAGTCCCATGACGACCTAGGTAGCTTCCACGACACCTGGAAAAAAGAAAGAAGAAACGAACAGTCCAAGATTGAAAATATGAGGTAGTTTGGTCATGAACGTTCATGTTGGTGACTAAGTCTATCAAGATGCAATCAATAAACGTACACAAGCAATAAAAGTCGTCTACCTTTTTTTCCATCCACTCACGTCTGACCTCACGGCACAATCTTGTGGTGTTAAGTTGTAATCAACATGCAAAAGCCCATATAACGCCGTTTCGTACTTTTTATGCTTTTGTATATTGCCCCCTATACCCCTTTAATCATCATAATCTGATCTGCTCGCGTCACCCTCATCCTCCGAACCGAACTGGCTATCCCCATCGTAAGGTCTCGTGCCTAGTGTGGAGACGTGAAGGCGGCCCAGTGGTCTCAGTAACTAGCTAGCGGACGCGACTGGTCGCCCACGTTCGTTGGCTTTCTCGTCGCTCTCTGAATCGTCGTCACTTGGCGGCCGGCTGTCACGAAGGTTGCGTCGGTTCTTGGTCATCTGATCGTGTTAGTCTTTTGGTACTAATTGCAGGTCTCTATTATTCTAGGGAGGCAAACTTACCCAAGATCTCACGCCACCAATCAAGCCTAGAGTGTAGCCAGTAATAAATTCGTTGGGAGCAGGCCTCTCGCCCGGTGCGCCCGGTGTGGTAGGGGACTTAGCAGCGGCTGCCATAGTAGCAGCCTCTCGCAGACTGCCTTCGCCGTTCGCACCTGGAGTAGAGGGTATGTTGAAGCGGCCACCCGGAGCTGGGCTCTGGGGTCGACTTGCGGGCCAGTACTGGCGGAGTTCACGACTAAGCTCCTGGCCGGTCGTAGTCCAATTCGATCGGATATTATCACGAAGGTCTTGGACGTGACGCTTCAAGTCGAGCTCGTTCTTCTTGAGCCAGCTCACGTTGAGCTCCTGTCGTGAGGTTCCTCGCTTGAGTTGACGCGCAATGTACTGCTCGTAATCACGGACAATCCTAAGAAGCTCGCAATTAGTATCCACGTTTTGGAATTGTTGCACATGGGGCATTAACTTACTTGGTGATGATACCAGTTGTGCTCACACCCTCAGTTCGTTGTGTGACGAGGAATTTGCCCGCCTTCTTGATAGGGGCATAAATGTCATCACCCTCGGCGGCGCCGTAGGGGATATCATCGTGGGCAACATAGTCGATCTGATGCTTGTCCAAAAATTCGGGCGTCACACACCAGGGGCAGTTCTCAACGACCTCGTCAACCCACTTGCAGTGCCTGACTGTTTCGGCGCGTTCCTTGCCCGAGAGCACGGTAAGACCCTTGCGCTTATGCGTCTCATCGTCACCAGTGACACCAACTATTAAGTGAACATTGTCGAATGCCTTCTTTGCTTGCTCGAGTTGGCGCATATGGCTGTCGAGGAATGTTAGCTGCAGACATGCAAAGGGAAAAATTGGATTCGCCCGAGAAGCAGCACGTACCCAAGATGGAATAAGTCGAAAACACCGTCAGCATATACCCTTATAGTACGGCCAGTAGGTGGGGGGTTTGTTGTGTATCCAACAGGGTGGATAAGACGACCGGTTGGTGGAGGCAGCATAGCGGCTTGCTTCTTCTTTTCTTCTTCATCCTGTATCGTATCCTTGATGGCAGTAGATTTCCTGCTCTTTCTCGTAACGCGATCGGCAATGTCAATGCTCGCTTCGGTGGTATCGCTGGGCTCGCCGAGATCTGCTGCATAGCCGGCTGCCTCGAGGGCGGAGGCGCGATCGGAATTGGCACGTTGACGTTTGGCCGGGTTGGCATTGGAAGTTGAGTCTATTTTGCGGTGCGATAACCTTCCAGACTCTGGTGCTGTCGTATCACCGTCTTCGCCAGATGCATCTCTCGAGGATGGTTGTAATAAAGGATTCTCGTCCATCTTTGAAGAGCTCGCTGTTGCGGGACGTTTGCGCTTTCCGGCGTGGGAGGAATTGGATGGGGAAGACATTTTGTGTCCAATAATAGGTAACAAAAAGGGGAGGTGAGTTGTTAAGATAATAAATAACTAGATACCTTCTATGAATATAATAGGATAGAGCACTGAGAGTAGAAGGTTCCTGCCTCTGTGATGTGCTATGATGCGATGTATAAGATAAGTAGGTAAGACCTGAAAGAGCTTAATGAGCTCAAAACTCAAAGTGATGGGGTACCTATACCTAGATGTAGTAGGCTGTAGCTGCTAACTAATGATAATTTTCCCTAACAGAACAAGTGTACAATTCTCAAAGCAAAAAAAAGCACAGGTAGGTCCGCCCTATTCTTCCCCGTTAAACGGTACCGGACTATGGCGGAGAATAAGGAAAACGGGACGACGGGGTGCCGCAACAAGTAGCACGATTGGTTAAGTGACCACCTACTTAGGTACTTAGTAACCTCATCACTACCTAGGTAGGTATGCTGAAACTTGGAATTCACCCTCCAAAAAAGATTAGTGACGTTTAATGGGGATAGTTTGGTAGTTCAAGTAATTACAGGATAGTACAAGTTGTAAGAGCCAACACGATACTACATACGTATGAATTATGATAATAGAACGTGTACATATTATTATGTAGTGGTGTTCAATATGTATTGGTACATACACTATTTTCATGATAGTGATGGTTTAGTTATGTAGTGATAGTTAGTTATATCAAAGTAGTTATTACGATAAGCATAACATTATCAATATCAATCTGATATGTAGATGTATATGTACCGATAATTAACTCGAAAGAAGTTCAATGTTTAATTTTAATTTCCAACATGAATGTCGAAGGTTACATCCAACATACCTAGTAAGTACTTACAAGCTTCTAGCTTTCCAAATTGCTTCGATTCATTCCTTCCTAGGCTATTCTTTTTTTTGCAAATACACACCCTACCGGGCCTACCCTAGGGAGGTAGTTACTTCGTACACGGTAGTTTATGTACGACTTTTAAATAGTACATAAATTAGTACCTACATAATTTGGTAGGTGACAATCTGTGAATATTAGTGGATAAAGGGGTTTGAATAAGATTGCACAAATACTACATACTTTCTCGTCCCTTCCTTGCCAAGTTATCCAATCCATGAAGAACCAAACTTCCATCATTTTAAAATCATTCGATTCCGTTGAAGACGATTTAAGTGGCGTCATTGATTACCATGATAGGTTACACAGGTTTCTTTTTTTTACCAATTAGCTGAGCCGGGTTCGTCACGTTGGTTGTGGCTGACAAGGGTGTTGACGGCAGTGGCGTTCAAGAACTTCAAGTTTGCATTTGCATTTGCATTTGCGTTTTGCTTTTATTAATAGTTACTACCTAGGGTATGTAGAGCTTAACAAATGGATATCCTGAATTCAATCCCATTTGGAAGCTACGACAATACAAGAATAGAAATAACCTTGAACGTTAAACATTTGCATGAGGGAATTACATACTGAATACTGAATATATAGCATCTATATAACTGAGAATCATGGCACTTGTAACATTGCGTGATATACTTCTTTCCCAAGCTTCTCCAAGGAATAACATCGAATGCCTTCATCATCAGGCATATTGCAATATAATGATTGGAGTTCATATTCATTCAAGCATAGATACCTAGGTAGGTTACCTAATTTCTCGCTTCTCGTTATATATTCCTACATAAGCCAAAAATGATAAACGCCATCCCTTTGACCCAAGGTCTCTGCTATAGAGTGCCCATATATATTCCTTATATTTGCTGGCTTGCCAATACAAAAGCCTCATAACAATTCCATGTACCCAAATCAGCAGTGGTATTTTTTCATCATCAAGCATCAAACAGACGCTTTGTTTATACAACACCGCAAAATGCGGGCTCAACAAGCAATAACCGCTCGGCCAACCTTGTCGGTTTGAACAGGCTTCCTCGAAAGGGCCCCAATGACACGAACTGCTAGTGAGCTTCGTGGCAAAGAAGTTATTCCTTACTCAAAACTCCACAGCCAGTTTCATACCACTACTGGGTATCTTTTGTTCAAGGGGAAAATATCATCTGATATATCAAACCCCACACCAAACCTTTCTTCTTCATAATCTTTCTCGTCTCATGTGAGCCTCACTGCTCTCTGCTGTCTAGTATGTCTTCCGCAACGATGGGGGTGTTTAGGTGAGCTCCTATAGCAGAAGCCTCTAGCATTCTTATGAGCCGCGGGGCCAAACTTCTGCGAGACCTCGCAGTACTCGACACCGTCGCCTACCCATTCACGGATGTGGTTGTGCAGCTCGCAGCGTGCGGTGCGGCATTTGCGGCAGTATACCTGGCCGCGAGGCGATAACGTGGCGAGTGCGTTCTGTTTCCCTGACCCGTTGGCGCCGCCCACAAATGGGCCTGAAATGAAGGCGTTCCGCCACACCCACTCCATATCGTTTGGCCCTTCCCGCCGTGCCGAAAGCGGGACCGTACCGTGCATCCGTCGATGAATGGCGTAGAAATGTGGGCTGGTTAGTCCCAGGCACGTGCTGTCGATCGGGTCTAGAAAGTCGAAAATCGCGTAATGCAGCTCTGGCGGCATGTCCTCCAGTGTTAGGGCTACGCCTGGCTGATGCGTGAACGGCACTGGCTCTACGTCAGTTACCGAGTATGAACGTAGCGGTCCGGGCAAAACTGGGCGCTTGATCGTAGGTGGGCCTGCTAGGCGCAATGAGGATGGGATCGGGGACGCCGCTGGTGGGTTTGGTGGTTGGACGTCGAAGTAAGAATCTGTCTCTGCTACCTCCCGCGGCGTAGCGGCCGGGGTGGGTAGACGTTGCTGTCGCTTTAGGGCCAGGACGGAATTAAGGGTTGCTGGGTGTTCGGCGGAAGTAAATGCGCGACGGGGTGCTCGGGGTGTACTGTTCTGGGATACAGATTCCTTTGTTGGGCTCTTCTGCTGCTGCTGCGATACTACAGTCGACTCTGAGGCTGGACCGAAATCCATAGAATGGAATCGGCTCGACATGTTGTCCATCATATCAGATGAGCTCGACGATAATGTTTGTCCCAGTGAGGGAGCACGCATGATCTCAACCATGGTGGTTGCCAGTGCGTAGGATATATGTTCTCTTAAGTTTATGTTGTGTTCACACACAAGGGTGCTGTACTAAGTCGTGATTGTTGTACACACACAAGGGGCTTGGGACCGGCCAGCAAGTAGTGTGGAAGATAGGTGATTGGGTTGTGATATGAAAATGTAGCTTCGAGCTATAGTAGAGCGAACACGTCGTAGATTTAAGCTGATTGATAAAACTCTTTCGTTTCCTCAGTTCCTCTAGTCACGTTTGTCCGAATAGCACCGATAATATGCGGTGACGATGGGTCCAAGTGGGTAATAGCTTTAGTCAAACAATAGCCGAGGCTGGCGCTTAGTCTAGGCGAAGTGGATGTTTTCTTTTTATTCGTCGTGTTCGTCTATTGCTGTTGATGGTTCGTCGTCTTCTTCTAGATCTTTCTGAAATCTCGAATACAGTTGGTAGAAGCTTTCACTGTTGTTGTGTGGGGGGGATTATGTACGTATATGTATAAAAGTCTTTCGATGGTCTGTTGATTGTAGAATCGTGACGGCGTATCCGGGGACGGGGACGGGGATGGACGGGGGAAGGGGGGGGTTATTAAATCCGCCCATGATGTTAGAGGATGGAGGAGAGCGGTCAGGGGTCCAGCTAATTACCTAGTTCTACTGTAGTATGATATGTATGTACGTATGTAGTAACGGGGTCTACGTAGAGAGGGAGAAACTAGCCACACTACATACGCTACGATTGCGGTAGATCACTTAATGGATTCTGTGGGGAATTTCGATCCACTTTCAGGCAAGTTGGCGAAGAGCGCCGAGCAAAAAGTAGTATGTTGTATTGTAGTTATTATGTGATGTATGTAAAAGTACGTATGTTAATACTGTAGGTACATAACTATTGTCTGCTTGTAGTCTGGAGATCTAGGGTAGGTATCGTGACAAATGGGGAGAGGTGGAGTGGTGGTGCGACCCGCAGCGCAGCGCAGCGCTTCGCTTCGTCTGTCGCCCCCGACCGGAGCAGGGCCAGGGTTTTATTTACACGGAAGCCTTTCTTTCTTTCCCTTTGTTTGGTTTTGTTTTACCATTTTTTTTATATGGCTGTGAACAGGTGCCGGGCCAGAACTAGTTCCTCCGTTCATGATTCGTCTACAAGTCAGCCAGATAGGAATGAGTTGGTTAGAGAGAGTTTTGGCTGAAATCCATATATGATGGATGTATGTACCTAGACTTAGGTAGCTCGGCGCTTTTTGCTTGCTGGAGAATCCCTCTCCTTCTCTCGATCCAGGTGTTACCTAGACCCGATTTATCCTTACTACGTTATGTCATGTATTGTACAGTATTGGCGACGCCGAGCATCCCGGCTAGTTCCTCTGCGATAACGGACTAGCTGGGTAGGGATAGGCAATCATTATACACAACTATGTCATCTCGAAGATATATAACCTAGGTACTAACAATATGTAGGCAGGCTGGGTAGGTCTCGTGCCTGAAATGTCATGTCTAAACCGCTTGCATAGGTACAGTTAGAGCAGGGATCTGTCTTACACATGTAGTTAACAGCATATTGGATCAATACATATGTAATGCTTATTCTTCCGTTTACTTCCTTGGGTATCGTATACAAATGTACAAGTATCATGTGTACATATATACCTGAACAACGGAACAACAATCCATCTTGTTAGCTGTTCATGTTTGTCAAACAACATGCAATGCTGCGCTGACGGATTGTGGGAGGAGAAGCGGCAAGAAGCGCTCGACTCGGCGAGATCCCCAGCCTGTCGGTACTCGATACAGCAGCGATATACAAAACCAGTCAGGTTTCGGCATTCGCAAGATATTATCTGTATCAGTTATATGTTATGTATGTGGGTGTGGGATCTAATCAAGGGAAACAAATCAAATCTATCACCGGCCAATGAGTCTCACTCGATGCTGTTACTCACGAGCAGTATATCAATCAAGATCTATGTTTCCTACGTGTACATGCGTATACATGTACCTCTATATACTTATATACTTAGGAGTCTTAGGTAGGTTAGGTGTGTAATGTTTGTATTCCAGAACAATATGCAAATTGATACCTGTAGTTATTATTCCAGGAACTTTCTGGACGCAGATCGAAGAGAAACCTCCATTCAAAAACATAGCTCCCTCCTTGGCAGTCCAACGCCCTATCCGCGCTTTAAGATCGTTGCGATCGTATCCACAAGCCGTAACTACATAGTAAGTTAGTATGGAGCCGTGACGTCGGCCTGCCGATAATGGAGCCATTTCTTTCTCTAACCTATGTACCGTTGGCCGCTGCGTGGTGAGTTGTGAAGGAAGTTCAAACTGCTTTTAGTTTAAGTTGGTGGGGTAAAAAGGAGGGATTCCGACATTCCTGTAGGTAACAGGGGGAGGGGAGGGTTCATCGTCACTTCGTTTATGGGGTTCATCGCGGGTTACCGAAAGATAGATCGCGTGAGCTTGCTTAGAACCTAGGTACGTACTTAGGTACTGACCTCACTCTCCTGCCAAGGCTCAGATACCTATTGTAGGTAACCTACATGTAGGTGTGAACATGATGATATGTATGTAGGACTTCATAGTCAATCTCTAGAATACTATATGTACGACACGTACAGTGGGCAGGTAAGCAAGTACGAACATATCATTTATCTTGGTTTCACGAACCCGCGTCAACCCGGGAAGAGGCGAGAATGCTCTTCGTGCCTTGATTAGGTACCTCGGCGCATGTGGTGTGTGGTGGTGTTCACCACCCGCATGGCGGCTGTTCGCTGAACTCCGATTCCACGAATATGGTATGTGGGATGGTTTTCCTGATTTTTGACACAGCAAAGCTTGGCATCTTCTCCCAGAAGTCTAGACTTCCGGGTGACAAAAAATTAATGCAACACGACATCATATAGGGCTGGCTCGTGTTAATTAGGCTGTATTATGTACTGGATTCTTTGAGCTATGTAGTATTCAATGATATCCATTTCGAGTTTAGATTTAAGCATTATTTGCTTCATCTTCTGGGTTTAACTATAATCGTATACTTGTAGTAAGGTTAGGTGTTTTCTAAAGGAACCATGGTAGTCATGACTCTCCTCATTAAGTTGCTGCATGTGAGCCATTGGGTAGGACAGTTGCCGGCTCCAAGTACATAGCTTAGATAAGGGGAATTGATCATCATCAGACAATATCTACTCTTTATTGCTGTTCCGAAATACTCTACTTACATATCCAATCAGATGGGTATGAGATGCTACCGTCCTTGGGTATGTTGGTCCTACGTCCATGATATATTACACCTACGATTGGCTTATATTAGGTAGTTTATATTACTTACCTTAGCACCTGTCCAAGAGCTATGATCCTACCCAGGTGACATTGGTGTGGCTATATGCCTAGTCAACACGAAGTCGACGAGGCTGGCCCTATAATCATGAATGACACTGCTACGCCTATGTCGGGCAATATGGATTCCCAGCTAGGACTCGATAGACGAGCGTAGCGCGTAGGCATCCTTAGGCAGATCTGCAAGGGCATCATCTTCGGTTGCGACGTTGTAGGTAGGCAGTAAGTGAAACCACATATTTAGGTACCGTCTATAATTCCCTGTCAGGTCACATATTATAGACGCGCCAAGCTCGAGCACCCCATTCCGAGACCATCAACTCGATGAATAGAGGATTCGTAGATCAGGACGACAATGAAGATAGGGGTATGGGTGTTGTATTTTGCCGTATATTGAACGCAACTATTGGATTAAATCACCCCTATGACCACTAAGATGTTGGTTCAAGGTAGTGCTAGCAACAGCCTTCAAAATATCAGTAAGGGGCTGTGAACAGTTACAGTTTTTGTTTGTTTCTTCCTCATACATCGTACAAGATGCTTTCTATTTTTTACAAGGACGACTGTTGGTAGCGTCGATTGTTGCCCCTCTTCTTTTCCTTATTCTTCAACTATATGCCGACCCAAATGACGCTGATAACGACGTCCATGCCCTTGCTCTCGCCGCCGTCATATTTGAAGCTCCACATACCGTCTGTCTTCTCATTCCAGAATGCTTGGGTGGCGGAGTGCATGCCTCGTCGGCCGACATGTGGCTTTCCGTCCGTAGCGGTGGCATCATTACCGTCACTTGTTGTAATGCGCGGGCTGTCGGCCTTTGCTTCGCTTCCGCCTTTGGGCTTGTTTAGGGCTGAGGTTGGGACGAGGTGTTGGACAATAGTGCTGTTGACTACGTATTTATGAGCTGGCATTTGGGAGCCCGCGGGTGTCGATTCGGATATGACCGCTTTCAGGATAGAGTTCTAGGGTAAGTGTTACGATATTAGCGATAGCACGGACAAACAGAATACGACATAGTTATTTATGATATTCATAAATACCGAATAGGAGGTGGGGAAAATACATACAATGATGGTTCCATTCCAACCTTCGACTCTTGAGTGCTCGTAATACTCTGCACTACCGATAGCGCTTTGGCAAGCCTATAGTAACATGGCAAACGAACTTAGCTGAAAGGACTCTGGGGCTACAGTATTCCCTTTGAAAGAAGCTGAGGCGAACCTACGTCCATCGCAATTTGTTTTAGTCTAGTGGTGCTAATCGGCTACGGATGGTTCTTGTCAGTCTTTTTGGAGGAATATATATGAGACATCAACAGTAACTTACAGTATTGCTCTGTGTCTGTGTTGAAGCCATTTTGAATGGTAACGGCGATAGCTTATGGGTGTCTTATGGGTGTCCACGGACAAGTTACGAATTTGAAGATGTGTTAATAATTGTGAGATAGCAATAACGAAGGAGTTGTCTCTGGCCAATGGATAGATTGAGTAAATAGGAGTCAATATAGATTGTGATATAGCCTTGTGAAACCTTTTTCAGCCTTCTCTTCACTGACGTTGATAAACAAAATGCTTTTCCAATGAATAACTTAAAAGTTAATACACTAAATGCAGGCCTGTTGCAGGGAGATGGGCCGCTATAAGATCCTTGCTCCCTCTTTTGTCTGCACATGTGGGGCTTTCACCCCCGACATGCAGCAAAGCCTTGGATGTACCAAATCAAGTGAAGGTCTGGATTGCTTAGGTAATGCACTGGTACTATCTAATCTTGCGCTGCTTGGTGCGGGGCAAGTGAGCACGTGCAACTTATCCGGCTTTGATGATCGGAACTATTCGACCTGTTACCACCGACTAGCTACCACTGACCTTATTATGTACACCAGCCACTGAAAAGTATGAAATGACCCACGTGCGAAACCCTTTTGTAACCGAAACTCCTACTACCAACCCTGCTAAACCGTGTTTAGATGTTTATGTAGATGCTCTTTTTTTTTTTTACTTTGGTTATCAACAAATAGTTACATGGATTAGATAGCTTGATATTATCGTCATAGCTAGTTAATTCTTTTCATTACTTGCTAGTTTTTTTTTCTTGCTTTTGTCTTTCTGTAACTTTGTAACTATCATCATCCAAAAAACTCAATTCCCATAACCGTTGATATCTATCAGTGGCTGATCTAACGCGACTTCCATATTCCCCTCAACAACCCAATCACAGCAAGCAACAATACGAAGCCATCACGTATCGATTGGCTATCAAACCAAACTTGGAACTCACTTTGTCCAATTATTTGACCCTATTCGACCTTTTTACCCCAGGTTATACTCCATCAAAGCGACTATCGCAAATCCTTCGCCATGTCCAGCCAGCCTCTTTTGCAAACTGCTCCAGGTAAATTAATTAAATTCCTTTCGCCAAGGAACGAGACTCGCCATGTGGCTTGGATTAACATGATTGTATCACCTTAGGCAAACGAATTGCCCTACCTACCCGAGTCGAGCCAAAGGTCTTCTTCGCCAATGAGCGCACGTTTCTATCATGGCTGAACTTCACCGTCATCCTAGGTGCCCTGGCCATTGGCATGCTTAACTTTGGCGACCGTCCCGCCTTTATCTCGGCCTTCCTGTTTACCGGCGTAGCCATGCTCACCATGATATACGCCCTGTTCACCTACCACTGGCGAGCGAAATCGATAAGAGTTAGAGGGCAGGCCGGGTTCGATGACCGATTCGGGCCCTCCGTGTTGGCCATCATCTTGCTTTTGGCCGTCGTTGTTAACTTCGTCCTGCGCATAATATACTCTGGCAGTGAGGGCGGCAGAAACCATTAAATACCTCACTATATTGAGGAGCCACGGATGAAACGAGGCCTTGGATTCACCGAAGGATGATGTTTTGATCGATGAGCATATTTAACTCAAGTGGCAGTCTGGAGAATCATGGCATCTGCACCTATATATGTATGCCAGGGACTGGCCAATGTTTAGTGATGCTTATACCAAAAGTTTGACAGTTATTGGGAGTGAGATGACGAAGAATTTGTACAGCAGATAGCATAGTATTTAGCATGGCATACGGTTTACGTGAATGTCTTTGTATCTTAGCATGGTTTATATCAGGTAACATGATAACATTAGCTTATCACCTACCTACGTGTGTTTTTTTCTTTTTCATAGCGAACCTATAAAAGTAGTCCAGTGCGTGATGATAATTCCCTTGTATGTAAGGTTGTGCTTCCTCTTTACACCTCTTGATGTATGTATATGTAGGTAGAAGAAGAATCGGGTCGTTCTATACCGGATCGGCGTTCGTTTGTTCTCCATATCGCTTCTTCAATTCCTCGATAGAGGTTCGGCATAGAAATAAACTCATGATGGGCACTCCTCTCACTCGTGGTTGGCCTTCAATGGCTCTTTCAAACGGAGTCTTCATGATTTCAAAGTCGTCATCGTCCATCATGCCCAGCTTCGTTTCCTCAATGACGGTATTACCATCGCCTCTCGGTATCTCCTTGAGTTCTTCGCCTAGCGCAATGTATTGAAACCAGATGCGCCCATCTCCCTCCCGTTTCCCTAGCTCGCGCCTCGCGATTTCGGCGATGGAGACGAGCTTGCCCGCGTCCGAGGCTCTGGCGCGCAGAACAGATACTCTGGTTGTTCGGTCCGCCGATGATGAAGTAAGGTGTTGGAGAACAGAGGTAACTTTCTTCTGGATCTTAGATGCTGATATCACCGAGTGGATTTGGACATCGTATTTTGACTCCACGGCTTGCAACACTTTGATGTCTTCGTTCGACGAGACATTGAGGCTGTCTCCGAGTCGGGCTCTCTTGCTGGCAGAATTTGACTTGGTATCGTCACGCTTTCGCTTTACGGATGGATCGCTATCTCGATTGGGTTTTTGGAGACTTTCCGGGGCGGCCATAATGTTGCTACCCAGTAGTGAAATGGGACTGGGAGAGTTTTAATATTGTCAAGCGACCTAGTTACATGATAGGTCGAATAAGATCAGCAAAGACGATGTATGTATGTAGGTACATGTAGGTAGATAGCGATAATGCAAGTTGCCGATAACTAAAAATAGTATCTACCTGCATACATACATATGTACCTACATACTACTACTAGCACCTCATTAAGTACATACATATACATATGTACCCCAGCGCCGGTCACCTTTCCACCGGCTGACGGTGGCAATTCCAACCCCGACGCATTATCGCGTCATATGGCGACTTCAATGTTATCTATCGATAAGCTATATATCATCAGGCTGTCAACTTCAAGTTACATACATACATCTATATATATCATCTATGAATGGATATACTTGCCGGCGTTTCTTGGCGTACGCGCTTGATTTTGAAGTTCAGACACCTTTGAGACATGGCTGGTGCACCACAAAGGAAAGACCTCGTCACCAAGCTCGACTTACGGCTGCTTTGCCTTGGCTTAGGCCTCAGGTAGGCAAGACGCTCCATGTGCTATGTACATACCTAGTAGGCAGGCAGGCTTCCTGTTTGAGCCTCTAGGGACGTTTGCTTTGCTTACACGCCGATGAGGGAAGGGATCTGGAAGATGCGTAGATGCGTATCAGAATATTGCGTAATGTAGTAAGCTAAACTAACCGTACAAAGCCATCTCAGATGGAACGCATGAAACATCCTACGTACCTACTTACTTATAGTTACATACTGAGTCACTCAAGTCTTTCCCATGCTGTACGATTTAAGACACCGGTTGTAGATATCTACCGATGCCTTCGATTAGCACCCATATCATGTCTCGGCTTGCTAACCATACGAATAGGATATATATAGTTGTTGTAGTACCGTATATTTTCGGCATTATGGTCCTCTTGTTAGCTCCACTTATTAATGCGCTTTACCTAATTAGGGTGATTTACCCCAAGGTTTATTCAACTACACCTCATTTCGGAGGGATTCTTATCCGATTCCTACAATATTGGCACGCAATGTCACGTGTCGACACGTGATACCTGCTCTCCAATATCTACGTTTATCTGTTATTCGTTAATAAATATATGGATATTTGAAGCTTCTTAACTGATGCATAACAGTTTAGACCTATCCTTATTGAAAAAACACAAGAATAAGATAGGTAGAATTATGATCACGTGGGTTTTGATAACACTAGTACTAGAGCCTCAGCACTGAGCTAACCACATTGGGCAAGGCGCACAGATAAGTGGAGCTAACAAGAGGACCATAATGCCGAAAATATACGGTAGTCATGCTAATAGGTAGTTAATCACTTACAAGTTAATTAGTATAATACACCATTAGGCCATACCCCGGTTAGATAGGCATCCAGGTGACACACACCTCTTCATCAATCGTCACTAAAATAGGTATCAGTGACCTTTGTCACTTACTTCCGGTTTACACGGTAGGATTCATTGCCACCACCTTACAAAGCTTTCATACTTCTATGCATTAGGTATGCGTTCTATCCATCCCGTCTTAAATATCTTTGAGTCATAGGAGAATTAAGAAAAAAACTGTCACGCACGCACGGTTTGATATACCATCGAGTAAAGTACCTAGGTAGGCAAAGTAAGGGTCTTGAGGCATAATTTGAGATTAGACTATTATAGCGCTTTCATGCATAATTTCATGCGTAAGGAATCCGGACATGGGATATTGTGGAGCATAACCCAAATGGCCTGTCTTTGTACATAACTAACTACCCTGTATGGCAAGTGTGCACACCATCCACCTTTCCATCGGACAATCAATAATAATACAGTAAACCTTGGCCATAACGATTCGGTAGACAACGATATTTTTGTATAACGATATAATTTTGGGAACATTGCAATTTTGTATGGGAAATAACGATATTTTAACCTTAGCGATATATCGTTAATTTTTTGACCGCCACCACCAAGATCGTTATGGACCATGTGTAAAAAACCGTTTATTTTGATAAATTTTTGGTGGAATAAGTGGAATTTTGCGTTTGGTAGCCAATTGGACTGTCCTTTTTTCAGGTAAATCTAATCACCGCCACGATATCTAATCGCCGAAAAATTGGCTTACTGCATAATATCTATTGTACAATATTTTTCATAAAATAGTAAGTACCTTTTCCAATAAAATGGCAGTAAAGGTACAACGGAAGTACACGGACCATGACAGTGGGTCCATCTCTACATAACGATACCTCTCTATAACGAATTAAGAGTGGTGTTTTTTCCATATCGTTATGGCCAAGGTTTACTGTAGTAATTTCACTATTTAAGGTACTTACGTAGGTCGTGTAGGTGTACAGTACTTGCCAACATAGAAATTCCCTTATTTAGAGAAGCTAGCACCCACCCCATCCACCCATGACATGGCAACTTACAACTTGAACTTGAACAGGTACATAACACACATGCATCCAATAAAATAGATACATGTACATACCGTGACAGAATTGCCTCTCCAACTTCCAAGTCGAAGGTCCAGTCGGTCTCGCAGGGAACTCTCAATAGTCTGGCAATTTGAAGTTAGGTAACTTTTAGAACCTTGGAACCTTAGAGACCCTCCAGAAACATCCCTCAAATTCGAGAAACAGCACCTGGACATCTGGGCACTTTGCATATTCGCATTGCGCATTTCGCATGTCGCATCCTCTTTTTACACAATCTCACAATCTCACAATCTCACAATCTCACAATCTCGCAACCTTAACGTCTTAGCACATTTGCACCTCGTAACCTTGCAACATCCCGCCAACCTTTCATTTTCCTGCCCTTTTTTTTTTTCTCCCCTTCCCCCATCTTCCCTCTCTTGCGCACGCCAGTTAATTCGACTTGTCGCAACAACCAACAACAACCAGGGAAAAAAAAGAAGAGTAGAGAGAACGAGCACTTGCATCGAATGATTGGCGCATTCCTTCCAACATTTTCGTTTAGGTCACTTTACGCGTTCCTTTACTGATTGATTTCAATACCCAACTACATACATCTACCTAAACCAACCCGTACCGTACCGTACCTTACGTACCTTACACTAATCATTTCCCCTACCTCAATACGTATCGGGCGCGCCTTGTCTTTTTTCTACTTTTCTTCGTTCCCTTACGCCTTATGTACGCCTTACTTTAACCTTTTTGTTCTTTTTTATCGGAAACCCTTGATGATTATCATACATACCTAAGCTAGGTACTGTCCACGGCAACTGCATTTGATACTGTTTCACCCGCGCTCATTGTCCCCTTTTTTTCTCACATTCGTCTCTTTTCCAACACAAGGATAAGTTTTTATGTTATTGTTGATTTTTTGTTGTCGCTCGGTCGCAACAATCATTCCTTGAGATTTATTAATCCAAATCAACATTACATCCATACATCATACATCTCGCATCCTTACATCTATACTTTTAATTACGCGCAAGCATTTGCAGCCATTCGCATTGCGCCCGCCCTGCGCCGCCCATTTCTTGTTACCGCATTCCTTCTACTACTTTCAACCCTGACTCAGATTGAGTTTCGTTGGGTTTGACGGTGGCCACATCAGCGACAGCCTACTCCTTTTTTGCGCATTATCCAACCCATCAGGAGTCTTATCTCCCTTCCTAATACGTTCACCAATCCTTGGTTCTGTCCTTTGCCTTGGTACTAGCAACAACTAGTTAGCCCAGGTATTGGACCATTCAAATCACTGCGAAGCCAGGCTAAAAAAGGGTCGCATCCGCCTACTGGGCCGATCCCCCGATTTGCACGCTTTCGATTTGCGACCTGCAAGCTGCAGCGCTAGGGAGGAAAACTAGGACAATCCACTTGCTGGAGCGCTGGAGTTGCAACCTATTCGTCTATTCGTCTATTCGTATATTCGTTGTTACGTCAGCCTCGATATTCTCATTCGGCCTTCAGCCGTCACACCTTTAAACAAGACAAGACATTGAAGACGTCCTTTTTTACCCCTTTACAACTTGGAACTCTATATTGTACGTACCTGATTATCGTACGTATCGTGCGTATATTGCGTATCTGCGTATCTGCGTATTTACGTATCTCCGTATTTGCGTATTCGCGTATTTACGTATCGGCCTAACTGTGGTAGACCTGGTCTGTCCGCGCGCTGTGACCACTTACGCCCATCCACATACAACCTCATTCAACACCGCCCCTACCCCCATTTAGTGCCAGTGAATCTCCAAACGCAAAACACTTCAAGTTCTTTCTCACCCTCGTTGGGTATGCTCATGTTTCGTTTTTGGAGTTCGGAATCCAGGGGAAGCGACAAGACTCTACAAGTTGATCAGCCTATGCTTGAATACAGCCGACCGCTACAGCCTTGGGAGCCGTCAGCGTCTCCACTTACTACTGGAACTACTACCGCTTCTGCTGCCACCGCTACTACCATAAGAACAACCATTCCGTCGCCTACGACGCTTAGGCGACACAAGCATAACAACGTCGCGATAGCACCGCAACGCGTTACTCCTTCGTCCGCTCTTAAGCGGCCAAGGGCAGATGATGATTTTGACGATGCTGATCGCCTAAAGGCAAACAAGAAGGTGGCCTTGTCGCCAACGGTAGAGGAGAAGGGTACTTTGCAGTCTACGTCGAGTAAGCCTGACATAAATCGTGCCAGAGATGCTATTGAGGAGCAGTTCAGTCTGGAGATCTTACTGAAACACGACGAGCTACGATTAATAAATCAAGAGCTTGCCAAAAGTCAGGTGGCTTTGGAGCAGTTGCGCAGGTGTCATCTAATACCATATCCACAGAATGTTCCCAAACCGGAACAAATGTTGAATATAATGAACGGTTCAGGCGCCGCCTTACAGCCGAAGATGGGCGAGCCGCTACCACAATGGGCTCCGCCCTTTGGTGTCACCGATGGTCCGTATGCGCGTCATTATGCCAAGTGGCTCATACCTGATCCCAAGTTCGATGGTATTCAACCAAGTGCTCCCGCGCAAGCCGAGACTTCGCGATTTAGAGGTTCGGTAGAAGGTAGATCAACAAGGAATGGTTTCGCTGAGTTAGGTGTATCCCATGGCCGAGGCCGACCCGTAAGGGGCTCAGCGGGTCAGAAACTCCAGGCCCTGTCGAGTGGTTATCCTCCTCCCAAGGAGAAGAGTGGTCCCTGTGTTTTGAAGCGATCTGACGGGAAAACTGTGAAACTTGTTTGCATTGACTGCCATCGCGAGAACTTTTCGAGTACTCAGGGGTTCATTAATCACTGTCGAATAGCGCACAAAAGGGATTTCAAAAGCCATGATGAAGCTGCGATACATTGTGGTCATCCCATCGCGCCTGTGGACGCTGGAGGTGTTGTAGAAGAGAAACCAGTCTGCCAGAGCGTCCCTTCATCTGGACTTGCACACCCGCTTGCGCAAGAGAACGCTTTGTCTTATTCTGAGGCCTGCCATGCTGTCCTTCAGCGGATCAAGCTATCGTTGGAGATGTATCACAGGGGCGAGCTTCCCGGTATTACCTCGATACCCGGCGATCCCGAGAGTTCTCGAAAACCTACGTCGGTGCCTAAGCAACAGCCACATTTCTCCCCTTCAGCTGACACTCCACACCTTTCCCACCTGCTCCAAAGCAAAGGATTCAATGCCAACTTCAGCGAATATGTCAGTGACGCCAAGACTAAGGTAGACCTCAACCAGTTCGACTCCCCCGAGGAGGAGGAACTGGACGAGACTGACACGGCTGGCAATGGTGCCGGGAATATGGCACCATACCAAGCCCCGTCTCTTGTACGAGTACCTGTGAGGGCCACCATGTCGCCCGCCCTTGCTACAACTCGACCAGCTAGCAGTAAAGGCCACCCGCTGATGCCGTATGTTACGCCGTTGCCAACACCTGCCTCGCGAGCCACATCCGGTTCTGACCCGGAGATGGTGGACGATGATATGTTGGATGTAGATCTGAGTCCTCATACGGCTGTTAGTAACAACGCGCCATCCCTCGTTAGTGACGATGGCGAGTACGATGATTCTGAAGCCGACTCGGAGGTTGACTCGGAGGTGAATGATAACATAAGAGCACAATCTATCTCAGACGTGGAAGAAATAGACCTCGAAGATGACCATAGCACTGCGCGGTCTATTCGGCACCATCGTGGTTCAACTGGCGGAGGTCCTGGCACCACGGTTCGCCTGCGTAAGGATGATAGCAAGCATGTTACCTTTGTTAGCCCTATCAAGGAGAACAACGGAAATCACAGACGGGAACGCAGATAAGGTCCTGACAGGCTGAGGCCAGCCGCAACATACAATACTTGCCATCTCCACATGGAACTCTATTGTTGATGAGCCACCAGGATGCACTAGGGTGGCTTTCTTTTTCTATTCTCGAGTTATGCCACTTTGCTTTGGCATCCGCCAGCATCATACATCTTTTATTACACCATTACAATTTCTTTTTCAATGTTCCATATTGGAGCGTACGACTGTTTAGAAGCGAGGTGGCAAGTTTAACGTTTATTAAGTTACGAGGTTGTTTCAAAGGAGTGCCAACACGGAAAGCAAGGACGGCGTCAGGTTGACAGGTCAATTTGAGATTGCTGACAAAGGTTGGCGGAATTTGTGTCGGGGTGGGGGAGGTACCGACAACATGATTTGATACACCATTCTCCAATTTGTGAACCAGCCCGATATTATATTGAGGAGGCTTGCGAGATGCAAGAGGGCTGGTAGGCATTCGGCTAGCGGTTTTTGTATCTATACTGCCGAACACTTGTATAAAGAAACGATCGAAAGCTTTTGCGATCAAGCATAAATTGATATGGGGTCTCCTTTTTGGCAGACCACCTGAAATAAGTTCTTCGATGGAATTCGTGACCCTGCAATCATAATTACTATGGACCCCCTTTTCCTCATCTTATGCTACTGTTGGTACTGCCAACATGAATGCGTCCGTTGACTTCTTAATTGCGTAGAAAGTAAGTGTCCTGTAGGTACGGCCATAATATGTAAACATTCCCCTAGATACCTGTGTAGCCTGTAGAAAACAAGCCAACCAGCATACCTGGGTGCCCATACGTATGTAGGTAGCACGTATCAATAGGCAACGGAGAAGATAATAGGTATCATTTCATCTTGCTCATTTAGCTACGAGGTAGGTGCTTAGTACCTACCTAGGCTAGGTACTTTGTACACCATACACGCATCAAGACACAATACAAGAGCCATCCATAGAAGCCAATGAGTGAGTACACAAGCCACTAAAAGAATAATGAATGGAAAAGCGAGTGGGTGAAGGAATGGATAAGACGAATGACTAGATGAATGAATGAACAAACGAAAGAAGTGCCTTCAGATCGTCCGTCTCCCGGGTCTCATTTTGTATCATTCATTCATTCATTCGTTCGTTCAGCTCTCATGTGTATGTATAAATAAAATACCTCCTATTGAATCCGCATACTCCTTCCTCACACACTCTCTCTCTCACTCCTTCTCCAGGAGTAAAGTAAAGAATACAACAACTCCTGAGAGAGGAAAAATATTCGAGATACAATGATGCCCTAATATACCCCCTTCCCCTTAAATCATCTTAGTAAAAAGCCCCTTGGCTACACACCTAGGTACCTAACCTAGATAGATGCCTAGATTTAAGAAAAGGGCAAAGAAGAGCGATGAAAGACGAGGGGAATTAAGCTCAATGGATCAGCAACCCGAAAAAGATAAAATTAGGAAATGCAGAGTTCCGTCCAATATTTTTAAGTTCAGATACTTTATCGTGGACGAGGCAAAAGCGTCATTCATCGTTTCTATATACAGTAGTAACAGCAATGACGAGAAAGCACCCGAATAGCATGAACCCCCTTACTCCTGTCCGAAGCCCATTGTCTCCTCCACCGCAGTGGTCAACTTGTTCTGCAACTGCTCCAGTGACTTATACGGGGGCAAATCTAAACGGTTGAAGCTGTACGAATGAGTTGTTAGCATATGGTAATAGTGGGTGACTAGGATCATTCCAACATACCAAGTGTGAGCCTTGGGCAGATTGCCGATTTCGCCGGCCTTCTCAATGGTGAATCTTCTTGGACCATCGCTACCTTGAAGATCCTTGAATCCATTGACGGGGATTCGTGAAGTACCCGTCGTAAACTGTAGCAATCTACTCTTCTGCTCTCCATCCCAAGTCCGTACTGTTTGCCAGAAGAATTGTATCACTTCATCACTTTCTGTGTAGCCACGATAGTCTGTGTGCTTCTTCCAGTCGTCCACGTCGATATCGGCAATACCACCAATCAGTAACTCCAATTCGCGTTCGTCAAAGACATTGATTAGGTCTTGGGGAATAAGCTCGTGGAAACCGTCCTTGAAGGCTTGGAATTGTTCCGAGACACGCTTCTCAATACGCCATTTGACCATGAGGTCAACATACTCTTTCTTGTTGTCATTGGTAACATCAATATTACGTCCATCGGGAATGAGATCTTCGACCGTAACCACGCCAAAACGCTCATCTTCAGTGGAAAAGGTTTGCTCGAGTATACCGCCGGAAATATCGTTATCCAACATCCATTGTAAACTTCTATGGAAGTCGGCATCCACACCCTCCATGTCAGCAAGGACCACAGGCTTGCCCAGAATCATCTTGTATAGGGCGCCAATAAAGAAGGCATCGAGGAACCTGCGGTGGAAAATGGCCAGACCTACGACGCGGCCAATGAACTTGAAATAGTTCAAATGCTCGGGGTTGATACCGGAGTGTGGGTTGATCTGAAGGGTATAGTTGTCGTGGGCAGAATATTCGAAGAGGCAATAAAATGGATTAAACATTTCATGGGATAATAAGAAAAAGAACTCCCTGGAAAGACCACCATAATCTAGACCATCTTCTCCTTCGAACTTGATCATGAGGCGCTTCTTTAGATCAGTCGCAGATTGTCGAGAGATTTCGGCGAACGCTTCCTCGAAAATGTGAGACCGTCGCACTTTCATGTGACACTGCCCTGAGAGTATCCGCATAGCGGGCTGCGAGCGGAAATAAATCAGCTTCCTTCGGAAATCTCGCTTGTATTGGGGTACGTTCTGGTCCAAGGATGATGGTAGTCGAGGATCATCCCAGGTCGTCGTCTTCGTATTATGATCCACAAAGTATACGCGGGCTGTGTTAGTGAGTCGCATTTCCCAGCCGCTGGGCAATGGTCCGAGTTGTGAAACGGGCTGCTGTTGAATAGTTCCATTGGCATTATTTTGACCACCATACATCCTAATGTACTGTTGGCGCCGAGGATCAACCCAAGTCGTAGTCCGAGTATTGTGGTCGACAAAGTAAGCCCGGCCTTCTGGTGTCCACCTTTGTTCCCAGCCAGGCGGAAGCTCACCGGTGCCAGGAGTTGTAGCAACACTGGGCATTAAAGCACCTGGACTGTGCGGAGAACCGCCAGACTGCTGTTGCTGTTGCTGCTGTTGCTGTTGCTGCTGCTGCTGTTGAAGCGTGGGGGAACTCGTACCGGTGCGATCCTCGGGCAATGTTCTGTTCTGATGTCTTTGACGCTCGACCTGTGTGGCCGCCTCTCTTTCACCGCGGTTTTCAGCAGAAGTGCCTGCCTGTGTCGGACGAGTCCAACTGGTAGTTCGGGTGTTATGATCGACATAGTAGGTCCTTCCTAGGTTATCCTCGCGCCGTTCCCAGCCAGCGGGTAGGCGGCCTTGCGAATCTTCAAAGGGACTCATCTGGGTCGTAGCTCGAGGTGGCTGTGCGGCGCTTCCATTAGCGGCGGTCGCATTCGCGCCATTTGCCCTGATAGGCAAAGTCATTTGCGCTCCCGGTATGAGACCATTCGGATTCGAGGCTGACGAAGTAGGCCGGTCCGATGCACGATCGGCGTTAGCGGCTGACGTTTGGGGTGCTAGAGATGGCCGGCTAGAACTTGCTGATGCGGGGAGTTGTTGCGTAGGTCGAGCGGGGGTGGAAAGGTTGGTAGAAAGGTTGATGATCAATTTACCGTGCACAACAAGGTTATCTGTAGACTTCTTGAGGTCGCGCGTGAGCATTTGATCTAAGAGAGGCGAGGGTTGTTAGTTTCAAGTTAAGAATGTATATTTGATTTCTAGTAAGGGCTTAGTGAGATAAGAAACTGAGGGCACAAGCCATACCGTCGGCACCATCAGCTAGTTCAATGACATCTCCAGTCCGGATGTTGATTACACCTAAGAAGCCTTGGTCCTTCTTCTTAAACTTCTTTTGGTCGAAAACTTGAACCGCCAAAATGCTATCTTCAGTGGCACGACTGAAGAGTAGTGTCTAAATTAGTATACGTGAAAACCAGCGACAGAGATTGGGGAGGGAGAAGGGGGGGTGTGGATTGGGTGTGTACGTACAAGTCGAAACTTTCATTCCAGTAAGGATTGAGGGTTCTCTTTGATACAGTTGTTGTTTTGGTCTGTTCGCCGTTGATGGTAGCTACAGCGAACGGGTCAGGTAGTCCTAAAAAGTCAATCTGTTAATCTGACATGTCCTGCCTGAGGCATGGCAACAATGCAACGTACGAAAGACATCACGCTTATAGAGGCCATCGGCAGCGATAACTAAAAAGGACACAAGGTTAATAGCTAATAAATATATTGACACTTCTCATCGAAGAGAATCGAACGGAAGTGGTTTAAGGGCTCAAAGGACGCACTCGTGACTCGTAGATTCGGCGGGCTAGAAGACAAACTTGATATCAGCTACTCAACTCGAAATGCCTGAAATGCTTTGATTTCTCCCCCGTCCCTCTCTATTTCCCTCTCTGCAATATGAGATACATGCAGTTTTTCATTCAAGAAGGACAAGAGATAGGTGATGGCTTATAGGAAACTTACGCTGACTGCCCGGGCTCTGAGCGGTTTGCAGTCATATTGATGACGGCGGCGCTTGGTACTGCTGCTTCACCGTTTCGAATGAGGTCAGACCTCTCACAATTTCATCACCTTTTCCTCTCCCCTCGGCGGCCCGTCCTGAGGAGGGGTTCAGACCGTATTCGGGTCAGGGCAGACAAGGTGGGTGAATAAAATGAATAGATAGGGAAAAAATAATGCGATTTTTTCTCTTTGTCCTTTTTCTTTTCTTTTCTCTTTTTGGCCCCTTGCTTAATTATTTTTTTACTATACGTAGGTAAGTTAAAGAAGGACTCCTCAAATCAGGGTGGACGATAGACACTAACAGGTAAGAAAGTTATGTATGAGATTAGGTATGGTAGGTTCAAGTAAAGCAAGTGGGTAGCAATACTAGGTTTGTCTCGTAGTGGCGGTAGCGGTCGATTATGGTTTTAGAATGCAGTACATCACACAGTACTATGCACATAGTATAGGAAAGTACCTACTAGGTACCTAGGTAGTTACCCACTCTGCCACAATTGATGTTCAGCGTCCCCTACTAGGTACCTACATACCCCTAGGCTACCCCTAGGTAGATACAAGCATGCAACCTACATACCTAATGTATTCAGCGCACCTGCTTCTTCCCCTACATGTAGACACAGCCAAAACAAACCCAAATAGCGCTAAATCGAATCGGATCCGGTCCAATGTCCAATGTCGAGGCTGTGTAGACGCTGTGTAGACGCTAACAAGATTGAGATTCATTGAAGCAGGATACATCAGTTACACGAGTTACATGGAACATTGAATCAATGCGATGAATGCATGCACTTTTCTGCGCAAGTAACTAACTACTAGGTATATGCATGTACATATGTAGAGTTCAGGAGGACCAGATATTCGGTACTTTTCCTAAGATATAAGATCAATAGAAGAGGCAAGCACATAACTAATTACATTTTTATCACTTTTGAACTCCAGTCTGTATAAATAATTCATTGTTCTTCTAGGGTGTACATACATACATGCTATTCCAAATGTCAGTACCTAGTTATTCAAGTCTCAGAGACATCATGTCTTGTTCAACTGCCCCTCTATTCACCTCGTCCTCCCTTACGTGATATTGTAATATGATATAATACATACCCAGGATACCCTAGGTAGGTATGTACCCGATAGCAAGTTGTCCCTAATTCTTAAGTAATCAGATTGCTTATTAGAAAGCAAAGGGTATTTGTCAAGAAATACAATGTTATCAACTTATCAAGCACATTCGAAGTTTGGATACATGCCTAACCTACATACATACTTATGGTCCTATGTAGATAAACAAATATGTGTATATATTTACGCGGATTCAAGTACAAAACCTGTTGTAGTATTACGGCGTACATGATACTACTATCATACTACATATGTAGGCTACATATTCATATAGGTAACCTACTGTATAGTGCCATCTTCCAAGGCTCTCTCATGGCCTACAAACATACAAACATACATATGTACAATACAATACATCTAGCAAAGCCCCGTTGCCTACAAACTTGCATACATAGTACTATGTAAGGTGCCCGGTTTGGTGTTTATCATCTCATTCTACCTATGTACATGCATATGTGCCTAGGTATGTAGTAGTATATATAATCCCAAAAGAACCCCGACACTCAGCTCTCCTTAGGTGGCTCGGCCCTTATGTATGGGTAGATACCTAGGTATCCATCAATCTAGTATCATGACGCGTGGATTGGAAGGCTGATAAAGCTCCCATCTTAGCGGCCTCCAACTGTTCTCATTACCACCCTATCTAGTATCTACAACGTCTGAGCCTTAGAACCTCTAGCGTGATACCCTCCATTGGTTTGCTGGGTTGGTACATACTATGTCTGGGTCGTGCCGTTATCCGTAACCTCCAAACCATCCATACTTGGGCAAGTACCTACCTACCTGGGAGGCCACAGGTACATACCTATTCAGCACATCAATGTACATAGGGACACATTTTACTTCAATATTATGTATATATATGTACATCTATTCTTACAAATCACATATTAATACTTATTCCCTTCTCCTATCATGGTGTGGCTGTGACGGAGATAGTCATAATTTGATGAGAGGGCGTACAAATACAGGGGGGGATAAAGTCGAATGCTACCTCCGAGATACGACAGGGCTATTACTTTGATGTGGTGCAGAATGTCAATTTATCTGTCCTTGACTAGCAATCAAGCTCTAGAAGAGCAAAAGTAGAATCATGTGATTCAGTTACCTTGCTTTGACATTCCTCCTTTTGAAATATGTCGAATACCAGAAACAGCGAGGCAACCTCCAAATTTGCATGGCTTCTGCTACCGAGAAATCAAGCAGAGCTGCGGGTAGATCTCATTAGGTTTTTTGTTTTGTTTGCTTTTTTTTCTGGCTGTGAACGTCTATCCGTCACCCATCAACTAGTCTAGAGCAAGGCGCAATGAAGACAAGCTTGTCGCAAACGTCCCAGCTTCGCAACAATCATGCCTGACGAGTAAACAACCAAGATCGAAGAGGCAAAATGTTGCTGCCGCCCATGTACCGATCCTTTTACTACGAGCAGTAAATCTCGCCTGGAAATGCTCCTTGATTTTGGATATAGAGGGAAGAGCGAATATGGAAGAGGGAAGAGCAGTGAAGCAGTGCTGAGACAGCTTCTGGTGCCATCTCAGTCAAGTCGGTGTTGTAATAAAGCCCTGTATGCATTTCACATACCCTGTCGATTCGTCTGCCTGCCCTTGGATAAACCAAAGTCACATCACAGGCCATACCTAATCCCCTGCACTATCAACCATAATTATCCACTAAAGGTGATACTCGAGCCTTTGGCAAGGCTTGGCTAGGGTTCCAAGAGTACGAGTCGGGTGATCCTCAGTAAGGAGTGAAACCGCCACCTCGTGCTCGTCCGCGATAGCCACCACGGTAGAAGCCACCTCGAGGAACGTATCCGCCTCTTCCTCCATATCCTCCACCACGTCCAGGCCCGCCCAATCCTCCACGTCCGCGGCCGCGGCCACGGCTCATTCCGGGGATGTTGGTTCGCTTTGGGGTGACCTTGATGTTACGTCCCTTAAGAACGCTGTCGTTGAGCACCAAGGCTTGGGCAACAAGACTGGGTTCAGTAAACTCAACGTATGCATACCTATTAGTTGAAGAAAAAAAAACATTAGCTAGTCATACTAAGGTATCGATGTTTCAAATCATCTTACCCCTTAGGCTGGCCTGTGAACTTGTCGAGTAAAATGGTAACACGGTTGATGGAACCACAGCTTTGGAAGTGGGCTTGAATCTCCTCGGGAGAGACAGAGTAATCCACATTTCCGACGAAGATACTTCGGCTGTCTATGTCGGATCGCTCCTCGTTGACTTCCTGTCCTCGCTCGTCCAGGGCAGCATGCATCTCTCGTAGCTTAGCCGCTTCTTGCTCCATCTCGGCAACGCGTTTCTTCATGGCGGAAATTTCCTCCTGTGCGCGTCAAGGCCGCGAATTAGTTATGCTTTATATTCGACCGGCATCCCAATGGGAATTAGATATAGGTAACAGGTAAGGGAGGAAGCGCACCTCGTCATTTCCCTCCTCGTTGACGAGGGGATCCTCAGAGGGAACTTCGCGCTCATCGTGATTCGTGTCCGACATATTGACTAAAATAGTAGGTTCTTCTTGAAAAGTGTTAGGGTTAGTATGATGCCATTACAACATGCAACATGTAGAATAGAGGTAATGGTAGTGATGAAAGCAAAGGAATGTGAAAGACTAACCCCTCCAAAATGTGCGGCGTGGCGTGGGCAAGAGTTGGTGTCTGCTGTGAGGCGGGACGAGATTTTGATATTTTGGATACCAAGGAAAACGCCAAGGTCAATCTTGAGAAGATGCAAGATTTCCTTTCCTAAAGAGATAGTGTATCTATCAGAAATGACGCGAAGGAAAGTCGCGAGGCGTAAAGAAGAGTTGAATAAACTCGGAATATTACCTAGACAGGTACTGTGCTATGCAAATGCGCGATGAAACAAAGCAGATGCTTTCGAATCTGAGCTGAGCTTCAAAAAGCTGCAGTGGAGATGATACAGATAATACGATAATACCTAGGTTAATATGCTAGGTTAGGTATGTATGTACCGGGGGTGCGTATCGATTGCTTTAGTAAAGATCCAAGGTTAAAGGTGATTGTTTAAAGGTTATGTACTCCGTACATACAAGGCAATCCTTCCCTTAGGTTGACAAGCCCTGGAACTTTCTTTCAATGCGGCTAGACCTTGAAAAGTTGTGCTCTTTATTAGTTAGACTCAGAGTCAGTGCTGTAGCCTGTGGTGGGAGACGCGTGATGGACCGTGCAAAATTCTTACAACCCTTACATAGGTAGGTTAGGTTTGTATGTAAAGATGGTTGTTTTTCCGATGGTCGAACCTGTTTTTTTCATTTTTAAATTCTCCTTCCTTTGCCAACTGGCACGCAGATGCAAAATTCAAATACAGCAGTTGGCGTGTGGCCAATTAGAAGCAATTAAATATTATACTACATATAGTTATGTTACTAACTACTACTATGTACCTTACTACGTCTACATACCTCAGTGCTACCTACATATGTAGTACCTACCTCTTTGACATACAATGTTCTAGATACATAACTACATACTAAAACATCTACAACTGAATATAAGCATATGTAAGTCTTACAGAACTCCCATTACCCTTTGCCCTTTATTATCCGTAAGCACCTAGAAGCCTCAAGTGGCTGGGCAATAGTATATATCTCCAATATACTGCCAACCGAGCTGGATGTTATGTAGTCGACAATACGGCCAGTCCCACCAATGACTTGATGTCAGAGGAAATTGATTGGCGAAGGATTACAGGCAAGCCGATATCGCCTCTGTGATGACGGTATTGTAGTTGGGTTGGTGGGAGCCGTTCAGTATCACTTTTGTATAGGTAGGTGGGCATGGCATCTCGTCAAGGGACACAAAGGGACAGCCCCTAATCAAAGACTACTACAATCAAATCGCAATGCTGAGTGCCGGGCTTGATGTCTGGTTCGGATGTATACTTACACAGGTAAGTATAGGTTGACTGATTGGCATTAAAAGTGGCATAAGCTTTGCAATATGGATATCGACTATGCCAAAAATAGTTGTGGTTCCTTTCGAAAGTTGGTATGTTACGGCGTTTATAAGACTGGCCCTGTCGTTGTCCCGTTACAAATCTCGAATATGAACGGAATCATGTAAAGTTGGGCAAAAAAATCACTTTTTCCATGAGAACCAGTTACCAACCTAGAGTACAAGATTCCTCATCCATTAATCTATGATGAGAAACCGTTTCGGAGCGTACATATGCAGCAACAGTAATACAAATGCGAGATCTTGCTCGGTCATTACCATAAACCCCATTCCATCACTCCACCACCCCCGATAGCCTAGCACTTGTCTGTTTACTTGGTTCGGCTGCTAGGCTCAATTTTGCCGTAACCTAATTTGTATGCGGTATTCCGTCGGCAGAGGATAACAATTTGTGAGGTGAAAAGCGTGGATACAAGTACAACTTGTTGTCCACCCTTACACCAACGCAGGCTGTTGTATCGAATAGAAGGTAGTCGCGTTTTCAGTGCTGTTCCTCTAGCAACTGACATCGACACTAGCCTTGGAGTTCATAAGGAGAGCGACGATGAGACCGTAGAGACCCAGGACTTCGGCGAAAATGAGGATAAGAATCATGCCGACGAAAAGTCTAGGCTGTTGAGCGGTTCCTCGTACACCTGCATCACCAACGATACCAATGGCGAAACCAGCAGCCAGACCAGCCAGACCCACCGAAAGACCCGCACCGAGTTGAATAAACCCCGTGTAGAGAGGAAGCTGTTGGGTCAACCCGTCGGAGATCAAGACGGAAACGACAAGGCCGTAGATACCAATGATACCAGCCATAATGACGGGGACGATGTCTGGACGAGTTAGCACCAACTTAGTAGAACGTATTGATAATGGCGACGCGTACTCTTCACGATCAAATCAGGTCTCAGAACACCCATGGCGGCGATACCAACACCGGACTTGGCGGTTCCGTAGGAAGCACCTAAGCAGGTGAAGACAATGGCTGCTGTGCATCCCATGGCGCCGAAGAAGGGCTATAGTACGTTAGCTTCGAGTCTTTTGAACTGTCGTCTCCCATCTCGGATGTTTGGGGAGAATTAGGTCGGTCTTGGCTAAGACGAGGGATAGTGAGGATGAGAACTAACCGCGTAGACCGGGCTATATGAAAAAAAGATGTTAGTATATCCATCTTAAGTAAGTTTGAAGCTATAATGGCACGGGCGACACGATACACGAAGCTCATATTGATGAACTAAGGCGATCAAAGGAGCAAAGGAGGCAAAAAATGAATTACGTACCAAGCTTCAGAGTAGGTGGCCATGACGACGGATTTCTAATTTAAAAGGAGAACAGGAATGATAGACTGTTAAGATAATGAAAGTAGAATGAATTGAAGATTGATGATGGAGCTTCAAATTGTGTGGTTGATGGATTGGTGTCTTATAGTGTTATTACGGGAGAGGTTGTATTTCGTTTGGGGGAGACTGGAAACGGGAAATGGGAGATGCAGGTGCTTGGTTTCCAGGTTTACCTTTGGATTTGATTGGGGCCAAAGGATTGGAACTTGGATTGATTTTGCAGCTCCGAGTGAAGCTCCACTCAATTTATGTCAGCGGATTAACCTATTGCCGTCCAAACTTCAAGTCTTGGCGTCTAAAAATTAATCCGCGCCTAGGCAGGCTCCATGTCGATTCGATAAAGCTTTTTTTTGCCTTGATACTTAATTCATCGTCCACCTTTTTTTTTTTTTTTAACTAAACCTTTGACACCGCATTGCGACTTTCGACAAAACTAATCATCTTGCCAACTTCTCTACAGGGCGAGCCAACGCAAGGAACCCTGCACTATCACCATGTCTGCCAACCAGGATCAGAATGCCGGTATGTTTTTGAAGATAGTCAAGTTTCTAAATGAGCATTAATTACTGACATTATTATTCACAGCTTGGCCTATCGCCGACCCGACCCTCACGCAAGAAATCCTTGACCTCGTGCAACAAGCTGGCCGTGAGTCAACCTACGATGCCCGTCTATATATTAAGCACGATTACTAACAGCGATTTTGTACGCAGATGCTCGACAGCTGAAGAAGGGAGCCAACGAGGTTACCAAGACTCTGTCTAGAGGTATTGCTGAGATCGTGGTTCTTGCTGCGGACACTACGCCGCTCGCCATCCTTCTCCATCTTCCCTTGCTTTGCGAGGATAAGAATGTGATCTACTGCTACGTGCCCAGTAAGGTATGTTGAGGAATATCTGTCCAGGCGTATTTCGACTTGAACAGGGTGTGTGTTAACAAAGATTTGTAGATTGCACTTGGCCGTTCATGTGGTGTCAGCCGAGCTGTCATTGCAGCCTCGATTACTACGAACGAAGCAAGTGATCTTGCCAACCAGATCCGAAGTCTGAGGGACAAGATCGAGCGCTTAATGATTTAAGATACCCCAGAGTCAGGACAGGAATTCAGGGCGTTGCATAGGAAACATGTAAAGGCTATAAAAAGTCTATACGGGTAGGCGGCTTTAGGAAAGGGTATGCAGAGATAGAAAACAGATCCGCATCATCCAACCTCCAGAGCTTGGAAGCTGCAATGTCTACTTTATAATGATGCTATTTCGTCCGCCTTCTTCATTGGCTCAAAGTTGCTTCCCTGTGCCGCTTCAGCTTCAAGGTTCCAGCCTATAAGATTTGATGCTGTACATATATGGCATGCATTAATATCAAAGTACCCCAATAATACTTGAATATAGGTAGGTACTACCTACATACGATTCTATATATCAAGGTGCCTGCCTACATAGTACCTTAAGTAACGGATACAACTTTGAACTTGGAAGCTAAAGACGCATGCCCCACCGTGTGACGGCATCAGCGACCCCACCAAGTTTATTCTAAAATTTAATGTTCCCAAATTTCCCCATTCAAGACTTGGACTACCTTTCTTAGGTAGACATCATGACGGATTGTATACATTTATGACCATATCAGCTTCTAACCTTATACTCATGATACGCCATACACCATTTCAAATAACCCCTTCTTTTTACTTTCAGTTCTTACAATCCTCGATTTCCAAAGATAGTGCATTCTTCTAAGTACCAGTTTTCGCGTATCATGATAGAGAACAGTATCACTAAGGATGCCTAGTCTAGCACGAAAGCTCCTTATATGCGCCGCTGTCGATGGCCTTATAATTCAGCCTCTCGCGACCAAAGGACAACGTCCTTCACCTCCAGTAAAAGTCAAATATGGAGATGCTACCATTTCTTCGCTCGGCCGTGATCAAACTCCAGATGTTACGAAACCAGATTCATCCTTCGAGGCTTTTGGGATCGTTGGTTCGTCTTGCCTAGAATTATCTCGTTGCTATAAATGCGTAATCTATGCTATATAAGAAATACCTAACTTCTCCTATTTCTGTAGGGCTCTTTACTGTTTCCCGTTTAAGCTATCTGATCACTATTACCGGTCGACAGCATGTCGCTCAAGTTCGCGGGTTCCCTGTCTATGTTGTGACCGATGTTGCCCTCACGCCCTGCGCGGGTCAAAATGAAGCCGAATCCGCCGTCGCAAACACCGCAGCTAAGCTTCGACGCGCATCCGCTGAGAAACTTGGTGACGAAAGCGACACAGAAAGCGAAATTGATGGGCCTTCGGTATCGGGGGCTGACGATACAGAAGACCCGGGAGCCCTAAGTGATCGCGATACTTCGGGAAGTGGGGATGCTCCGGATCCAGGCGCAAGCGGTGAGAGAGGCAGCAGCATAGCAGAGGACGTAATTAAACGACGTGGAAGCTATGGACGCTTCGCGCAACGCTGGTTTAGTGGCAAAGGCTGGATGATGGACCAGAAACGTAATCTAGGCTTAAGCAGCGTCGAAACCGACCAGCCGGAAGATACAGTGGACAAAGTGCCCACCGCCAATGAGGACAAGAAGCTCAGTAATACGGTAGTTCATGAGAAAGTTGATCCGCCGCCCGCGCCAACCGCCGGGGAGAGCTTGATACCCAAATTACTGCGCTTCGCGCATATTTGGCTTGGGGCGTCTAGGAGTTTTTACTTCTCCTATGATGTAGATATTACGAGGAGCGTCGCAAGTCGGTCTACCATGGCAGCAGCAGCGACTCCTCCGCTACACCAAACAGCCGATCCTACGTTCTTTTGGAACCGGGAGTTGTTGGAACCCTTCCACAGTTCTGGGGACGAATTCCTGATGTTGCCCTTAATGCAAGGGTTTGTAGGGCAGAGAACATTCATCGTGGATAGACACCCACCACAAGCTGATTCGCAGGAAAACTCTATGGAATTAAACGACTTGACACCTCCTTTAGAGCCTAATGCTGAATTCATTCCCGCCGAGAGGGCATCTGTGGATCTTAGATCATCTGAGAAGAAGTTTTCTATTACTATTATTTCCAGGAGGTCAACCAGGCGCGCTGGGCTACGATATCTCCGACGTGGCATAGATGAAAATGGATACGCCGCAAACTTTGTTGAGACAGAACAAATTCTCTCCACTCCCACATGGAATCCGTCTTCCAGGATATACTCTTTTGTTCAAATTCGAGGCAGTATACCACTTTTCTTCACCCAGTCGCCATACTCCCTCAAGCCAATTCCAGTGCTACGGCATTCTCCAGAGGCAAACTTCCGGGCCTTCAGAAAGCATTTCGAACTAGTAGGCAATACATATGGATCCATACAACTGGTAAACCTAGTCGAGAAGCATGGTGTTGAGGCTATTATTGGTAATGAATATGAGAAGGCCACTCAGAGGTTCAATGATGAGAAATCAGAAGGTTCCAAGGCCCTAAGGTTTGAATGGTTCGACTTCCACTCCGCATGTCGTGGAATGAAATTCGAGAACGTGAGCTTGCTTTTGGATACCCTAGGCCAAAGTATCGAGGAGACCGGTAGCACCGTGGAAAGAAGTGGCCAAGTAGAACGAACGCAGAGTGGCGTGCTGAGAACTAATTGCATGGATTGTCTTGATCGTACTAACGTATGTCAAAGCTCCTTTGGCAAATTCATGCTTGATCTACAGCTAAAGGAGGAGGGCTTCGACATGTCGACCCAATTAGACCAGGAGAACTCGTGGTTCAATACCCTCTGGGCTGACAATGGAGATGCCATATCAAAGCAATGTTAGTTGAAGATATAAGCTCCTGTCTGGAATCATGTGTCATAAGATGCGGATAGAAGGCTAACTCGTCATATTTTAGATGCCTCAACTGCTGCGATGAAAGGAGATTATACCAGGACGAGAAAACGTGACTATCGCGGAATGGTCAACGATCTCGGGTTATCCTTAACACGATTTTACAATGGGTAAGGACACATATTGCACAAGTAAATTGACAATGTGCTGATCGCATCATGCTAGAATGGTGAATGACTATTTTTCTCAGGCCGCCATCGACTTTTTCTTGGGTAACGTTTCCTCCATGGTATTCGACGAGTTCGAGGCGACAATGATGAGCAAAGACCCCGGAGTTTCCATGTCCAATATGAGGGAGCAAGCTATCGAGACATCTCAGAAGATCGCTATAGAAGATGACAAGGAGGACTTTGTTGGCGGCTGGACACTATTCAGCCCCCACGCATCTAACACTATCAAGTCTTTGCCGTTTGAGGAAGTAGTTCTTCTTCTGACTGACACGGCCCTTTACCTATGCAGGTTCGACTGGAAACTCGACAAAGTATCGTCTTTCGAGAGAGTAGATCTAGCACACGTCGTGGGCATAAAAATCGGCACGTACATTACTTCAGCCATGTCCCCGGCGGAAGCCGACGAATCCAAGAATGTAGGTATGGTCATCACCTACGAGCCCGGTAAGTTTGATGTTAAGAGGACCAACACGCAGTCCCTGTCCAGCATGTCAGATCATCAATCCGATCAAGTTTCGGGCAAGAAGGACATGCTAGTAAATCCTGCAGCGGCCCCCGCCGCCGTATCCGGTATCTTCAACGCGATCACTGGGAAGCCACAGACGCAGTCTCCGCCACGTAAGATCGCGCTCAAGGCGCTGCATTCTACAAGCGCGGTCTCTGACACGAGAGGCATGAAAGGGATGACAGAGGACGAGCAGATTAACGTTATCGCGATGGAGATCGAGCGCTTAGTTCTTCTAAATCAGCCGCCGCCTCCCGAAGGCTCTGGAGAGCAGAATAAAGATAGGGAGAGTATCATCGAAAGGGGAGATATCATATCTCTCGCCGAGGCCAAGAAGAGCACAGGGCTCTTGGAACAATGGGGGCATAGTATAAAGAAGCTGGTTTGGGCATAGATGGACAATCATGTTGAAGGTTGCCTTTTTGAAAAGGGGGTGATTCTGGGTGCTTGGTGGTTGAATGTACATATGTGTGAGAGTAGGGTTAGATTTTTAGAACCTGGCACTAGCATCTTGGTTAGGCCAGGCAGATAGTATCCTCTCTTCACTAGGATGACCGGGGCACTGCACGGTAGAGGTGCATCTGGTAGCGCGAGTCCTGCAGTTCAATAGGATACCGGAGTTTCTTGTCGTCTAAGCGGAACCAGACCGAGTCGTGTGATTCTAGCTTCTCCCACTTACAACCCTCCATCTCTTCCTTCCGGTTGTCTGTCGGGATGAGAGTGTGATCTAATAGCCACTGCATGGGATACTTCTTGGCTTCCTTGCCAACGGCCGCCTCCGAGTAGCTCCCGGGGCTGTCGACGACGAGGAGCAAAGACCCGTGCGGTATCGTAGAGGTCAGTAGGCGTAGGAAAGAAGTAGTTTTGCCGACGCCGCCCGTGGTGTAGAGTTCGTTGAGCGTGAAGAGCAACGTGACGAGTAGCGGTGTCTGGCCCAGTAGCCCTGAGAGCGCCTCGCGGTCCAGGGCGAGCACGTCCTGCCGCACGAACGACGAGTGCAGACGCGTGGCTGGCTCGATCAGCGGGGCGTTCGCGGCTCGCGCGGCGACGCTGGCGTACTTGGATAGCACGGGCGTCGCCGTGAGTCCCGCTTGCAGCTTCCGTACCACCTCGCCCCACGGCCCCGTGTCCAGCAGCGTCAGGTCGCCCGCCACGGCGCCGTCCGCGCCGTGGATGTAGTTCCCGAACGCGACGATCTCGGCGGCGCCGCCTCCGATCGCGAGCATCCTTAACGTCGCGGCAGGGCTGCTGCGCCTCTGCCCCTGCCGTTCCTGGTCTAACGTGGGCGACACCTGCCCCTGCCGTTCCTGGTCTAACGTGGGCGACACCCGCCCATGCTCCACTTCATCGTCGATCTCCTCCTCCTCCTCCTCGTCCGCGATGGCGGATTCGGGGTCGGACTCGGCCTTGGTTAGACGGACCAGCGGCTCCAGATACGCCTCGGAGATCTGCTCGAGGACGCGGCTGTAGCACAGCGCGCGCGGCGGGCTCCACCGCGCCGCGTACACCTCGAGGAACTGCTCTTTCCCGAACGCGGCCCCGAAGTCCCGGTTGAAGAGCGCCTGCTTCACCTGCTGCAGGCTGGTGTTGAACCCCGGGGAGCTGAGCACGGGGTCGAAGGTCGAGGCGAAGATGTGGAGGAGGCGCTGGTGCGACCTGAGTTCCTCTGCCTCGGCGGGTGTGGTGGTGGTGGTGGTGGCGGCCTCGGGTTTGGGGTTTGCGGTGGTGGCCTTCTCTGATGAGGAGGAGGCTGTTGCTGCCGCCGAGGGTGCTGGGGGGCGAGATGTTATGGACGGTCTTCTGTTGGACCGGAAGGCTTTCTTTCCCATGGTTTTGTATTTTGTTTAAAGCGAAGAAATTCTTCGGGGTCCTACGTTAAGAGTACATACACTGGATTATTCAGGATTTGTGGTTTTCCCTTTTTTGCTTCTAAATATCTTTTTACTTCACATGAAATGTTGAAGTGGGCAAAAAAAAAAAAGAAAAAAAAAAAAAAAGATTTAAGCGGATTTTTATAGTTGGAAAAATCGTTTGTGTTGAACAAATCAAAAACCACTTGACTATTATGTATTACTTACAATTAACATTTTCACCCAGCTAAATAGTTATCTATAGGGAATTTTTGATTCTTCTCTTGTTTGTGTTTGTATATACCTCGTTATGGATTGCCTCCATCATCATGAGATTTCGTATGAACTGAGTCCTACGGTATGAAAGATTCGAGCCTTCAGGCCAACAGAATAGGCAATATAAATAAATATCCCGCACGGGGTTTACCATTTTAGGATGTATGCCACCCTGCTGTCAAGCAGATAGCTGATGCTTGTGGTCTAGACTACCTACCTACTGGGTACTATATAGGTACGTATGTCATATATGTAGCACACTGCCACCAGCATGGTTATCTATCGTGAAGAAACTAAAGTACCACCTTTCCGCCCTTCCGCCCTACTGCCTACTACCTAGGTTAGAGACGCTCGAATGATATCCCTCTGCTCGTTCACGTTGCTGCACGGTGTTACTAGGTATCAGATGCATCAAGTTTAAGCATCTGACATGGCTCACTCTTCGGGGTAAATTTATGCCACCACAGACAGCTCAGTGCCGAGTACGGGAGGTTGACAAACATCAGTTCAGAGATGTATGTACATACAGTAGGTAGCATGTGCAAGTTATGTCAAGCGGTAACACGACATTCAGCTATCCATAATCTGACACTCCTATGAGCCTTTTTCGGGTTCTTCATAGACGGAAGGGTTGTGTCGCACGACTGCAACAGCAGTGAAGCTACAGCTTTCACGTGGTGGGTAATTTGAGTAAGACGAATTTAGAAACGCCCCTGTTTCTATTGGTACTAGGCTTGCGTAGTAAGAGCTTTTCTCAATGGTTTCGAGTACTAGGTAGGTGAGGTTGGCATTGACGAGGATTTCATACCTACTATATTTCCTAGCATGAGGTAGCGTATCCAATTTTCGGTATAGCGCTACAAACGATGGATACATTTGTTTAATGTCCGAGATAAAAATGTGACGTAATGTATGGAATTTGTATTACCTCGCCTTCCTGTTCAAAGACCAACCAAGTTGAACCAACATGGTGGTGGCAATGAATTTCTAGGAATTTTTTTAAAGAGGAGAAAGGTGTGAAAGGTGTGAGTTTGGCGGGCTTTGCTGAGAAAAGGGATTCTGACAAGACAAGGTAGATACTAGGTACAATATACTCCCCTCCATGAGTCCATGTAGTATGGCATGTACTACACATGTAAACTGCAATATGTAACACCAGGTATTATAGTATGATGAAATACCAGTCAATGGCAGTAATAATATGTACATATAAGTTTAGTATGTGAAGGAACCCCCCACCTTGCTCGTCTGCGGTTGCTGTGATTGATCGTCAGTTAAGGAAGTTGCAGATAGACCTTGGAAACCCCGGGCTCATTCAACAAACCAAAGTCACTCCCACTCAGTGCCAAGACTAACAAAAAAAAGAGAGGACCCATAAAGCCGTTGCCGGTCCCTCCACTGTCCAGGAGTCCAGGACATCACCGCATTACATTCATGTACATGTATGTAATCCCGTACCTAAATACCTTGGACACTTATTAATCGTCTTGCAAATCTTCCCACTCTTCTCTCTTTCATTTTTCCTTCCCTAAAAAAATCTACCTAACCTCCCCTTTGACTTTACCTTTCCCATATTCAAGCTACTTCTACAGAATCGCCATCATGGGATATACTGAGAAAGATTGGCTTGCCATTAACACGATCCGTGTTCTCGCGGTAAGATGACGACTCTCACTCTCACTCTCACTTAAATTCAGTTAACCCCACCCCCGCTTTGCCCCTCCATCGTGAGCTCCCACTGAAGCTCAACTTTTTTCGCTTTTTCACCTTTTTGCCGCATCATAGGTCTCCTCAACAAGTTCGAATAAGTTGCTGACCAATGTTGAACTATAGGTCGATGCCACCTTCACATCCAACTCCGGCCACCCTGGTGCGCCCATGTAAGTAGCAAAGCAACTCGTTACTTTATTCGCATTAATTATGTATACTAACGTGTTTTAGGGGTATGGCACCGGTTGCCCACGTCCTATTCAACAAATTCATGAAGTTCAACCCCTCAAACCCAAAATGGTTAAACCGCGACCGATTCGTACTCTCGTAAGTTAGCTCGCTATCTACTTAATTCATCCCTCGCTCACTAATCTGAACTGCATAGCAACGGACACGGCTGCATGCTGCAATATGCTCTCCTTCACCTCTTTGGGTACAAAGTGACCATCCAAGATCTTAAGGAATTCCGAGTGAGTTGCCTCGTTTTAGTCATCAATTTGTATTATATCGTACTGATAAACTTGATAGACAGTTGACAGCATCACCCCCGGACATCCCGAGGCCCACGACACCCCCGGTGTCGAGGTTACTACCGGTCCTCTTGGACAGGGTATCTCTAATGCCGTCGGTCTTGCCATTGCCCAAGCCCAGACTGCTGCCAACTTCAACAAGGATGGCTTCCCTATCGTCGACAACTACACTTACTGCTTCCTAGGTGATGGGTGCTTGATGGAGGGTGTCTCTGGCGAGGCTTCTTCTCTGGCCGGCCACCTGCAATTAGGTAACCTGATCGCCATCTACGATGATAACCAAATTACCATCGATGGTGATACTGCCTGCGCTTTCACTGAGGACGTTGTCAAGCGTTACGAGTCTTATGGCTGGCATGTTGAGATTGTCGATGACGGTGACAACAACCTTGATGCCATTGAGCAGGCCATCCAGAAGTGCAAGGAGGTTACGAATAAGCCCTCGATAATTAAGCTCAAGACCACTATCGGCTTCGGCTCCTTGCAACAAGGTACCCACGGAGTCCACGGCTCCCCGCTAAAAGCCAACGACATCAAGCAACTCAAGCAGAAGTTTGGCTTCAACCCCGAGCAAGCTTTTGCCGTCCCCCAAGAGGTCTACGACCAATATCACAAGAGGGGAGCAGAGGGAGCAGCTCTCGAAGAGGAGTGGAACAAGTTGTTCGCCAGCTACGGCTCCAAGTACAAGGCGGAGCATGATGACCTCGTCCGTCGTCAGAAGGGAGAGCTTCCCGCAGGCTGGGAGAAGCACCTTCCAGTATATACCCCCAAGGATGCCGCCGTTGCGTCCCGAAAGCTGTCCGAGACTGTCCTCTCGAAGATTGAGGCTGCTATTCCCGAGCTCATCGGTGGATCTGCTGATTTGACGGGATCTAACTTGACTCGATGGAAGGAGGCTGTAGATTTCCAACCCCCATCGACTGGACTTGGAAACTACAGTGGACGATATATCCGATACGGTGTTCGTGAGCACGGTATGGGTGCTATCATGAACGGCATTGCCGCTTATGGTACCCTTATCCCATACGGCGGTACCTTCCTTAACTTCGTTTCATATGCTGCCGGTGCCGTTCGTTTGTCTTCGCTATCCCAGTCTCGCGTGATCTGGGTCGCAACCCACGACTCCATTGGTCTTGGTGAAGACGGTCCTACCCATCAGCCGATTGAGACCCTCGCCCACTTCCGTGCCCTACCCAACATGATGGTCTGGCGACCAGCCGACGGAAACGAGACTAGCAGCGCTTACTACGTTGCTCTAACCTCGAAGCACACCCCCAGCATCATCGCGCTATCGCGACAGAACCTACCTCAGCTTGAGGGCTCCACTATTGAGAAGGCAAACAAGGGTGGTTATGTTCTACACGAAGTCGAGGGTGCCGACATTACCCTGGTCTCGACTGGCTCAGAAGTGTGCATCTGCGTTGATGCTGCCAAGTACCTCCAAGAGAAGCACGGCCTCAAGGCACGTATCGTCTCGATGCCTTGCTTCGAGGTCTTTGACTCGCAGCCTAAGGAGTACAGACTCAGCGTCTTCCCTGACGGCATTCCGTCTCTGTCTGTCGAAGTCATGAGCACAATGGGCTGGGAGAGATATACTCATGAGCAATTTGGCTTGAACAGATTCGGTGCCTCGGGTGCCTACAAGGATGTTTACAAGGCAAGTTTTCCGGCATTACATCCTATTTTGAATATATACTAACAACTGTAATAGAAGTTCGAATTCACCCCCGAGGGCGTCTCCAAGAGGGCCGTGGCCACTATTGAGTTCTGGAAGGACGTCCCCAACATCCGTTCGCCTGTCAACCGTGCTTTCCAGCAGATCATCTAAGAATAGAATGGCGATAAAGAGACTTGAAATGATTGATTTCATTGGCATACAGAAACTTGAGGAGTGTTTCATGGATGTATAGACGTAAGCCAAAATTCTGCGAAGCCAGACAGCAAGCAATACAATAAATTTTGAACAAAGTACTCTTTTGGTATTATAATTTCGTGATGGGTTGTCGAGTTTTGTGTTGATTACTCGGTACAGTGTGACATGCTAAAGTTGGTATTTCAGTTTGCATTGCCCATCGTAGAGATATTGGTATGCGACTAATTTTACCCTTAACAAGCCCCAGCTATAGCTTCTCTAGTAAAACAGCTCAAGCTAAGAAGAAAAAGGCCTCTCTTTAGCTTTTCGCTAGAGATTTCCCTTCCTTGGGATCAAATTTGAGTGTTCTGCTCGGATAGCTTGATTCGCTACCTCTGTCCCGGGGGGGAGGGGGGGTTTGCCCCAGTAGTGCCACCACCGGGGGGCCTTCTCAATTCATAGGAGTTTGCCCCTGGATACCTCCCAACCTACTCCGTAGCTTCTCATCATTACGAAGGTGGCCCATCGTAGAATAACACCCCTTCTCTCCCACCCACCCCGCCCCGCCAGTCTCCTTGTCGCCTTTCTATTTTCCTCTAGCTTTTAAAGACCGGGATTTAACTTAATCCTCCCGGACTTTCTTGATTTCTCAAGTTCGGGGTTGTGTTTCCTGAATTTCCCCCCTTTGTTTCTGCTGTGTTCCGCTGTGTTTCTTGCCTCCCCCGCTCAGTTTCAGTCCCCCGCACCGCCGTCTACCCCTCCTCTCCCATCCTCCAACCCCTCTTCGGCTTGTTGCTGCGACTGTTGCTGCTCCTGCGCCCCAGCCCACCGTGCCTGGACCTCCCTCCCCACACGCTCGAGCCTCGCAGCCGCGCGGCGGCCATCGCGCGCGTCGTCGGCGGTGGGCGCGATCACGATGCTCACGAGCATCGGCGGGGCATTCGCGTCTTCTTCCGAGGAGGGGGAGCCGCCGCCTGTGTCGTCTATCATTGCGCTGATGCCGGTGGTCTGGAGTTGGAGGTTGTGTAGGCGTTGCTCGAGGGTGTGGGTGTGGGTTGGGCTTGTTGCGGGAGAGGGGCTGTTTTCGGGTTGAGGGGTTGATTCGTCTTCGTCGTGGTGGCTGTCGCTATTAGAGACGAAGGAGGAGGAGGAGTCGTTGCCGGATCTTGCGCCGCGAGGGGTAGGCTGCCCGTTTGTTCTGGCGGCGGCGCTGGTGGAGGGGCGGGAGGGCGGGAAGGGAGATGATGATGGGTTGGCGCGGAGGAAGGATTGGAGGAGGACGGGGCCGGTGGGGAAGAGGGAGGCGGATGAGGAGGTGGTTAGGGAGGAGGAGGTAGAGGAGGAGAGGGTGCTGGTGCTGGTGTCGTGCTCGACTATGATGCGCTGCGGTGCGCCGAGGCCGAGGCGCAATGCGGACTCGTGGGCGTTGAGGGCAGAGTGGGATAGAGAGGTTAGGGCGTCGAGCTGGGGGCGCGAGCGCGAGGAGGTTATGAGGGGGGTTAGGGCGCGGTCGGTTAGGTGGAGGGAGAGGTGTGGGTGTTGGGAGGGGAGGTTCGCCATGGTTGGCTGTGCTTCCGTCTTCGTCTTCTGGAGTTGGCCTTGTCTTTAATACTCTTATTCGATTTCCTGGGTATGTAGCCTCCTTGGTTGGTCTTCTCGAGGGAAGGGAAGGGGGGAGGGAACGGCCCGGTAGAATGTCGGGCTGTAATAGTTTGGTTCAGTTGGTTTTGAGTTTTGGGGTTGAAGAAAGCTTATTCTGTTAGGGTGAGTGAGTACATGTAACTTTGTGAGCAAGTCGATATAGATATAATTAGAAATTAGAAGTCAATATTAGGTATATGCTATGTATGTAGGTAAAGTGTAGGTATGTAGAATACCATGTCGTACATATATTGTATAGGGGAAGCTTTCTGGAGCTAAAATGGGTTCATATCGTTATGTAATTAGACTTGATGGAACATTGAACATCCCACATGCATGTACCAATGTAGGTATGTCTGGTATGTACATATGTACTACGTCGTATGTAGGTATGTATGTATCATTGATGTACTTCGAACGAGGCGGGGAGAACCCGGAAGCATTGGGGCACCCCCCTGTTTGTTTGGTTCCAATTGCTAAGTGATTTGACGATGACGCATGAATGGCGACATACCATTGGCTCGTAAGTACATCCTCCAGGTACCTACTAGCCTAGTACTAGGTACTATTCATGCAGTACATGCAGTACATGCCTTAGTACCCGTTAGTTTTTCAACCTTGAACATTTGAACATCATCAACTGACCAATATCCACATTCTTCTTAGACTCTCTTCCTTGTGACCTTTCTTTTTTCTCTTTTGGGATACATGTAATCGACTAATAGACCCGATAATTGCTTACTTGCTTCCAAGGCTGACACTATTATCACTTCTTCAACACACCACACCTCTCACCTCTCACTTCGTTGGCGATGCCGCAACTGGCCTAGGAAAACCGTGCGGGACGAAAGCGAAAGAAGAAGAAGAGGGCCATCATCGACTATAACAACGCTATGACCAGCGATAGCGTAAATAATAATTCGACAGCTGGTGGAGCTTCGAGACCGTTTCGACCCGCTAGAGTTGCCGCGAGGACCGTAAGTCGCTACAACTTGTATATTGTCTTACCTTCTTTTTTGTCTTCACTTTGACCTTACATACATATACATTTGTACCTGCTTACCTTTGTTTGCCGTGTCGCGTGTTCGTAAGGTCATCTGTGGCAACTTATACTACCTTTCCATACATTGATTGTAGTGTCTTCCTATGTATCTTGATCCTATGCGACTTTTCTCCTCCGACACATCGTCCTCGGTGAAATCGAGTTGCTATATGCTAACGCGATGAATCGACCTCGGCAGAAACTACGCAATGGCACCTGGATCATACCCGGTACTGGCGAACGCACTCGTCGCCAGTTCACCCTTCGCTTCCCTCACCTTGACGGTCCCGGAGACGATGACAACATGCGATCCCTCGCAGAAGGCGAAACGGTGAAGGAAAAGTTTCGGAATATGTGGCACAATACTCTTGTGGCCGCTGCTAGCTTGTGGGCATGGACGAACTCTCCCAAAGGACGAGGCACTATCAAGTGCTCCATCGCGTACCTGCTAGCCAGCATGGGCACCTTCTGGCCGCCTGCTGCAAATTTCCTCGGTCAGCTAGATGGGAAACATATTGTAGCTACAATATCTGTTTATTTCCATCCGGCAAGGTCGGCAGGATCGCAAATTGAGGCTGTTACTATTGCTATTATTGCCGTATGCTACGCCATGTTCATTGGCACCATGTCTATGGCTACTTCGGTGCTTTTCGGCTCCGTGTTGGAGATGGTAGAACTCTCGTATGTCTTGGTTCTAGTCATATTCATCGGCGGCGGCTTGGGATTCGTCGGATGGGTCAAGCAAAAACTTAATAATCCTTTAGTGAGTGTTGGTGCCAGTATAGCATCCATTGGCATCATCACCATTATAACAAAGGAGAATTCGGTTCACACTGGTGTTTTCACCAACCAGAAGATCATTCAATCATTGAAGATCTTGCTCATGGCTACTACGATTTCAACCTTGGTCAACTTGACCATTTGGCCCGTTTCTGCTAGACTAGCGCTCCGCAAGTCTATGCGCAATGCGTCCACTTCACTCGGCGATATGCTATCCTTGATCGCGAGTGGCTTTTTGAGCGGCGTTGAGGAGGATTTTACTTCAAACGCTTTCACTAAAGCTTCGACTGCCTATACCTCGAACCTCACTCAGATGAACAAAAACGCACGCGAGTCTAAGTATGAGTATTATTTCCTAGGACAGGAAAAAATATATAGACACGATAAAGCTGTTGTAAAGACTATGGAGAACCTAGCCCAGTCAATAGGTGGATTGAGAAGTGCGGCTAATACCCAATTTGAGCTACTCAAGGAAGTGGCTAATGGACCTCCGTCTGCCCATTCAGCTGTCTCTCCTACCAATGTATTTTCTCCCGTGTTTAGTCGATCTCTATCTGCAACACTCAAGAGCGGCAGCACCAGGTTTGGCTCCCTTGGTGCTATTGATGAGGCTCCTGACGAGCGGAGTGATCCTGACGATCCACAGTCGCATGAGGCGGACATAACATCCGCTATGCTGGCTTCTTCTGGTACGTCATTAAGAACGCCTTCTGATATATTCGAACTGTTCATCGTCCGTCTTGGGCCTTCTATGAAGTCACTAGTTCATACAATGGCCGAGATGCTCAAAGAACCCCCCTTTGGTGACCCTGGCTCTCCTATCATGATCAACGAGAATTTCAAGCATAGCTTAGGGGATGCCATCAGTTTATATAATCAGGCTAGAGGAAATGCGCTAGAAGAGATCTACAAGACCATCGAGCTAGGCAGGAATAGATCCGAGTCCGTTCAAGCGGACTTCGAGGAAGTGGCGGCGGCGTGTGGGCATTTCACTTTTAGTCTCCTTAGCTTTGCCGATGAGATGCAGGTATACTTGGATACGCTAGAAGACTTGAGGGATGCCACCGAACAAAAGAAGCGAACCTGGAAGTGGCTTATGTTTTGGAAGCACATCAAGACTTCGAAACGGAAGAAGGATGATCCAGAGCAACTCACTCTCATCGAGCCCGTCAAGCGAATGAGACAGTCTAAACTTCCCCAAGGTATTCCCGCTGCTATTAAGAACCGGCGTGGTACCGTTACTTGGGATGCGGCACCGCAGGGCGAGAGTATATGGGATCATTGTGTTCGGTTTGCCTCGCGGAATCTCTTGAAATTCTTCACGTTCCTCTCACGAGATGACAGTAAGTTACCATTTGCTTCATCTTACCATATGTTCCATAATCCCCTATTATTGCCTACTAATACCCGAAATAGTCAAGTTTGGCCTCAAGGTTGGCATTGGCGCTGCTCTTTACGCCATGTTTGCCTTCATCCCTGAAACACGACCTGTATATGCGCATTGGCGAGGCGAATGGGGACTTTTGTCCTTCATGATCGTTTGCTCGATGACCGTGGGCGCGTCCAACGCTACTGGCATGGCTCGGTTCACGGGTACCATTTTGGGTGCTGCCTTTGTTTTGGTCAACTGGTGGATATCGGATGGCAACCCTTACGCTCTCGCCTTTTTGGGATGGGTCGTCGCCTTTGGTGCCTTCTATATCATGATCAGTCGTGGTAATGCGCCGTTCGGTCGCTTCATATTACTAAGCTACAACGTGTCGTCATTATACGCATACTCACTCACTCAACAAGTCGACGACGATGACGACGACGAGGGTGGGATTCATCCTATAATCAGCTCGATTGCGTATCATAGAGTTGTCGCCGTGTCCGTAGGTATCGTTTGGGGTCTCATAATATGTCGCCTCATCTGGCCTATGCCCGCCCGGCGCAAGTTTAAGGAGGGACTGGCCGTGCTCTACCTCCAAATGGGTCTCATTTGGAAGCGAGGTCCATTGGCTATCCTTCTACGCACTACCAAAGCCACAAATAGTTACATGAAGATGGGAGAACAGGCGGCGATGCAACGGTACGCAACTCAACTACAGACGCTTCGCGCGGCCGCGAATAATGAGTACGAGCTGCGGGGCCCCTTTCCCTTTGAGGCGTATGGGCGAATTATGACATCAACACAACGGGCACTCGACGCGTTCCACGCTATGAGCCTCGTGACGCAGAAACACGGACGCCTCAGCCCCGGTGAGAAGGCGCTGCTGTATTACACAGCTGAGGAGCGGCAGCAGCTCTGCGCGCGTATCTGCCACGTATTCCAGGTTCTAGCATCCAGCGTCATGCTCGAGTACCCTCTGACCGACGCTATCCCGAGTGTTATGGTCATCCGGGATAAGCTACTTGGCAAGATTTTCCGATTCAGAAAGGAGCACAGCGGCGGTGTTGGATTTGGCGGGTCCGGTTACTTCAACGAGGGGAGTCGGTCGAACTCGGTTGTGGATGAGGCAGGTAGGGAACCGTCTACGCCTACTTCGAGCCACGGATTTGGGAACGGGAACGGCAGCGCAAGTGCAGACGCAAACGCGAGTCCTGGCGGGGATGGAAGTACTAAATTGCCGAAACTGGGCGACGTCACGGTGGAGGAGCCGGACTACGCGCTCTTGTACGCGTACGCATTGGTCACGGGCCAGCTCGCGAATGAGTTGAAGGTGGTGGAGAAGGAAATTGAAGCCTTGTACGGACGACTTGATGAAGATGCGATGTTGTTGCAGTAAGTCACGTTTTTGGCGGTGGACGTGTGCCCGGCTCGGTCGGGATATACATATACTTATATACACACCTATATATATATTATGAAGCATCCTTAGCGAAAACATAGTTAGTCTTCTGGGATCAGACTTGGATGGACGTAAGTTTAGGCTTGGTCTCTCTATATATTTTTTTAGGGGTTGGAGGTCTGTTTTTCTTTTTCGTATCCAAGCATTAAAATATCCATCTATACTGGTTTGAAGGGAGATTAGTCATATGTGGGAAAGGGGGGGAGGGAGAAAGGGGGGTGATTAACAATGGAGAGGAGAAGAGACGAAGAAAATAAAGATTGGAATGAATCGTTCTACGCTAAATACCTACGTTCCTAGTAGGTAGCCAAGAGACACAGGACTTGATGTTGGGACGGCTGGAGATGAGAGGGAGGGAGACTGGTATAAGCATACCTAGCCATCGGTGTAGTGAGTGTATCAGTTTTTCACTACGTTGCCGACACGAGTTTATGCGTAGTGCTGGCTGGGTATAGTTACATGTATGTATACCTTAGTATATGTACCCTTTAAATATATATATCACCTACCCAAACAAAGCAAAACGTCCCAAGTCTCTTCGTAGCCCCCGTGGGGAAAGGTAGGTAGACCGATGGAAGTAAGGCAACGGAAAGGGGAAGTGATAGAGAGAGTTGAATATACCCCAATTCAACGCTCATTACAAGTTTATCGTGTTTTTGTTCGTTCATTGATGGATAGGTATTTTCGAGTTCGTGCTGCTATACCTATACCGAATCACCCTCTCTACCTAACCTACTAGGTACCTACTATCCCTCCCGCCCCTTAAAACTCCGTGAGATTCTTTTTCGAAAGAAAATGCCCACCTAACCTAGATATCTAGGTACTTGGTAGACACCTACCGAGACACCTACCGAGGTAAGCAAGGAAGCAAGGAAGCAAGCAAGCAGGTGCAAAATTGGCGCAGATCCAATTCGGCCTTCTTTGTTCCTCCTTTTCTTCTTCCTTCTTCCTTCTCTTTGTCCCACTGTCTCTCTTCCCTTGGGTACCTCTACCTAATGATACAAAATTCCCAGGTCCCCGCTCTCGGAATAAAAACACATCTACTCGTCATAATCGCTCTTCGCACCGATAACACCCTCACTTTGCGTCCTCCGCCTCTTTCCAATGACCTCTCGCACCCACTCGCTGAGCGTGAAGCCCCAGTGACACGCGACCACGACACCACTGAGTATATTGATGACCTTGATGGCGAAGGTCAGGATGCCGTCGCGGCGCTCCTCGACCTGCAGCATGATGGGCTCGATGTCGTACTTGAAGAACAGGCCGGGGACCATGCGCTCGTTGATCTCCTTGCTCTGCTCCGTGACGGCGTACTGGTTGGTGAAGACGGTGCGGCTTGCGGGGGCCGGCCCGGAACCCTGGTGCACGCTGTAGACGGTGGGCACGACCGACATGAAGTACTGGAACTTGTAGAAGTGCGCTTCGGCCAGGTTAATGGTGCGATCGAGAGGGTTCACGAGAGACGGGTAGTATTGCCCAAACGAGAGCTCTGAGATGACGTGCGAGAAGTTGAAAGCTATAGGTGGTTTAGCGCATTGTTCGTCTTATAATCACTCCCCCTCCTAATCATTCTCGTCCCATGCATACAATTGGAGGCAAAAAGGGGGAGTGGGTGTGCGTAGAGACGGGGAGAATTGGACTTACCGCCATGATCCAAGTGGTGTCCAGCCTCAGCATAGCCGTGGCCTCGTGCGGTGATATGGAAGTCACCCTGGACCTTATTCAGATCGAGACTCCCATAAATGCGGCAACTATCTGGTTCTGAGCCCCAGAGCCTAGGCGTCTTTCCCCAGCGGGCCTTCTTATGTCCCATAGCTACGATGTCGTGAACGTGTTCCTCGCCAAACCCCTCCTCGTCATGCCACCCCGCGCCTGTGATAGCACGGCCTTGGCTATCGCGACCAAGCCTATGGACACCCTTTGCGTCGACCCACTGTGCCCAGGTCGTGGGGTCCTCCTTGAGACGTGAGGCGGCTAGGATGCGATCCCCGGCAGCGTCCTGTACGTTTACGTGTAGATCCTTGCACTTCATCTTGACGACGATGTCGAGGTTGATCTGCATGCTGCGCCCTACATGTTTCTCTACTGCGAATGTGTGTGTCTCCGAGCCGCGCCACCACCGCGCTAGTTCCGTCCATACCAGTATGCAAGAGACTACAGCCATGACGACAGTCCACTTTCCGCCGCCCGATGTACGCGTAACATATTGGGGTTTCGATTTTGCTAAGGAGGTCCCAAGGTTGCTGGTTAGTCAAGCGCTTATGCCCAAAGATGGGATCCAAGGTGGGCAGGACAAGGAGGGAAGGGATCGGGTGAAGGGACGAGATTTGGGGAGTGCTTACGGAAAGCATCGAAGGCGCGGACAAAGCTATTAGGCTCGGGGTCGTCATTGTAGTGGCTTTTCTCGTTATAGCCGTTATAATTGTCCATGGTGGAAGTGATTAACTTGGTCTGTCTAGTATCTGGTTAAGCTGTATACAGGTGAGCCCAGGCTCAAGACTTCTCGTAAGGCGCGGCAGGCTCCCCTTGACGTCCGGTCTGAGCTAGGTGACGCTAGCACGGCATCGGTTTTTCTGGCTTTCTTTTATCGCAAATCAATTCAAAGAATGTCGGGAGAGTATGGCGGGTTGGTGTTAATTATTGTGGTTCAACGTTGTTATACAAGAAGATAATAAGATTCAGATGTTGATTATTTAGATAATTAAAGGACAACTTGCACCAAAAAGAATTCAATCCACCACGCTAATCCTCTAGTCTGCCTCTAAAATATTAGTGGGGGCCATCCCTGTGTGGGGATCAAGACCCTGACCCTTTTCTCCTTCTCCAAGTATGTGGGGTGAAGTGTACATGTACATACTACATATGTAGGTAGGTACTAACTACTAGGTATTATTGATACATCCATACATGTATCATGATGTACCTAATCCATCATTGATATGTACGACATCTATTATGTACATACCTACCTAGCATACCTACATACATACCTAGGTCCTACATAGGTATGTAAGTGCTATTTATCCGTTTACCAGTTGCAACTGAATGTTCATTATTTTTATTTTATTTTATATTAGTTTTGGAGGAAAAAGTGAAAGAAACACGACTCAATTCAGCTACCGGAAACTACCTTATGGCTACTTTGCGAGTGCCAATCTGTGTTCCTGCAACCTGACAAATGAATGGATTGGGGAGTTGGGATAAGGGGATTGAGTTTCGTTCAGGTCACCAAAGACCTCCATACGAAAGGAAATTAAATCATCAATGAATAGACTCCCGATCCACCTAGCCTCGCAGACGAAAACCCGAAACCAAGCAGCACACTAGAATAGACCTGCTCTGTGCCAAGCATACACCTCCGTAGGCAAACTATCGTACCTGGGCACGCCATTAATCCTGGCCCCCTTAACTTGGGCACCAAGCCCCTATTTCTTGCTTGGGAATTTTTGCTGCGCTGAGAGATATTCCTCGTCCGAGGCATCCAGAATATCGTACTCCTCATCCGTCATGAAACCCTCATCGGACTCAGCCCACTCGTCATCTTCGCCACAGTCCTCAAAGTCATCATCATCCTCCTCTTGCTCATCACGGACTGATGGCACGAGTGTGTCCGCCTCAGTCTTTGCCTCCACCTCCGAACGAGCATTTCCTCCAAGCATGCTAGACGAAGGAGATTCATGTACCAACTTGGGGATGATCATTTGGCTTTCCGTCATCTCAGGGGTAGCCGCTGGAATGTCAAGTTCCTCACGCTCGCGTCGAGATTGCACCTTGACAATCTTGGGTACCGGGGTCTGCACGGTTACGTCACACCAGAGTTTGTGGCCAAATTTGACACCATCCGGAGTTGTCAGTCGCCAATACGAGATCACTTTACCATCTCGGTCAGGGGTACGCATCAGAACAGTGAATGGGAATTCCTGGCCAGGCTGGAGCTCGTTATAGCATGTGGTAGACTCGGAAGCCGAAACTAGCTCGTGAACTCCAGCGGGGTGAGTAGGATCGACGGCTCCCATGTAATCACCACCAACAAACTTTACAGAACAACCAGCCGGCCAAGGGGTATTGCCTAGATTCCGGAGGACCCAGACTTGCTCGAAGGTGTGGTTGGGAGGGAAAACAGTTCCATCGGCAACAGTATCGCGCAAAAAGACGGCAACAAGCCCTGCCGGAGTGACTTGCTTCTCAGCCGAAGCCACCACGTCAATTTCCACTTCTTCCTTTTTGACCACAACTTCCTCCTGCTTCGGCTTTGGTAGGTCTTGCTCCGTAGGCTCCACATCGACTACAGTTTGTACGGGTGTGGCAAAAATATTTTCGTGTGCCGAGGGAGTTGAGAGCGTTACCGAGCTTTGGCTAGCCCGGTCACCCATCTGGGGAAGACGCTGTCCATCTTCGTGCTCGCCGGTAGTGGTAACACTGACATGGCGTACGGGCGTCTTGAACTTGATGAGAGGGTGCGTTTTGTTATGTGTGTTTGTGGGGCAAGCCTCACAATTGGCGCAGAAGTCTGTATCATGACAGACGGCACACTTGTAACGAGTTCCGACAATGTACTTTGAACCACAACGGGATGCTGTGCACAATGGGCCATCACAGCAGATACCATGATGCGTTGAGCGAGCTGCTGATCGGACTGTTCGGTCAACTAGAGGATCGTAAATAGCCACAAACCGGTGATTTGGGTGGACAAAATCAGCATTTTTGGCGCACTCGGAACAGTAGTCCCAATCAGGGCAGTCGAGGCACTTGTGTCGAACGCCTCGGATATACTGGTCGCAACCATCACAGATGGCATTGTGTGCAGCATTTCTGCCAGGAGCCAAGCGAGAAGAAATCGAATGGTCCAAGGTTGCACCAGGAACAACAGGAACGAATCCATGGCCCGGGTGATGGCCATGCTTGTCCTTTTGGAAGCACCCTTTGCAAAGGTCGTAGTCGTCACATGTAGTGCAGTGCAAGAAATTGTAGCCGGGAAAATCCTGGACACAACAGTTGCATGTTCGCTCGTTGATGGGAGTGCCAACCGTAACAGCTCCCAGAACAATCGGAAAATCGGCAGTTCTGATAGGGAGACTCACCGAAGGAGTTTGAACCTCTTTGTTCGTTGGAGATTTGGGCGGCTTAGGAACAACTTGAGTTGTGCTGTAGTTGATCTGGCCGTCCTTAATAGTCCTCCTAATCAGCCAGTGGCCCTCGCCGTAGCATGTAATGCCTTGATCAACACAGTCTTGACAAAGGTCAAAGTCGCCGTCGTCGCACGTTGAACAGTGGAAGTGCGCGTCAGGTACAGCCCGATCACAACTGTTGCAGCAGACAGTAAATGGTCTTCGCAAGCAACTAGGGATGATAGGTGTCTCGTTCTTGTTCATCTCCTCTTCAACCTCGGGGGCAGCTATAACATCATTCGCAGATTCACTTTCCTTGGCCTTGCGGAAATATTTCTCCAGCTTAGACAGCTGGGCTAGTTTCTGCGCCTTGTTGGATGCAAAGGGGCATTGGGTCATAGTCTCCGGGTTCAGAGAGAGTCCGTCATTGAACTCAGACTTCACCAAAGGCTCGCCTGAAGTGGAGCCAATGAGGTCGACTACCTCCTCGCCCTCGGCACCTCGTCGTAGATTGATTCTGGGCATACCATATGCCCGCCATAGTTGAATGAAGTTAGGTAGATTCGAGTGGATTTCGGAGACAGGAATTGTATCCAGGATTCCGGACGCAGCCGTGCCAGTTGTTGACTCCTGCGTTGAAGACTCTGGAGCAGGCGTAGTTTCGGTGGTAGGCTCAATGGCTTCTTTTGGTTCAACTTCGGGGACATCTTCAATAGTGACGGGCTTAGGTGCCTTATCCTCGACGGGCTTGGTATCAGATTCGGGTTCAGGCGAGGGTGCGAGTGTGGATACCGGTTCTGACGTTGGCTCAGGTTCCGATTCAGGTTCTGGCTCACGATGAGTAATAACTCGCAACTTTAACTTTTGCTTAGCCTTAGCAGCCCGATAAAGTTGCTTGTAGGCAGAGGTGTTGGCCGGGTGCAGGAATACAAAGGATGCCGCAGAATCTGAATATCGCTCGAACGTAGCGGTCGTCTCAGCAGGAATCGTCAAGTAGGTTCGAAGCTGCCAAGAATCGCTGTTAGTTCCCAACCACGTGTAGCATCGATACGTAGAACAATTGATGATAAAGTAGGATTCGAAGGATGTAGATCAGATGCAACAAGAGGGGCTTACCTTAGCCTCTAGACTGTTTACGACGAGTTCCCGAAGGGGAAGCTTGAAACGTCGAGTCACGCCATCGAAGTTAACCTTGAGAGTAATCAAGGTGTCCGGAGTAGTTGATGACGAAGCCATCTTTACCGGAGAACTGATGCAGGGAAGGTATCAAGTTAGTTTTAGATGATAGTAAATCAATCAAGCTAAAGAGAAGGAGGGGGGAACAACGGTGGAGGATGTCAGCCAATAGGGTAAGATGGGGATGATGGATATGTGCGGTACTAGGAACTTAAAGATGGCTGGAGATGGTGCAAAGCGGAGGCACCTAAGGAAGAGCGAGATAGATGATGCATATATCAAGAGAGGGAGAAAAAAAGGAGAACAGGGTAAAAGTAATACTGACTGAGGCAATCAGCTTATTAAGTGTCAGGTGGACAAATTGTCGCTTATCGGAGAGTGGCTTGCTGTCGTACAGGGCCTCTCTTAATTGAGCGGTCAGCTTGGAAAGCTGGCTGACTATCGTGGCCTCAATCAAGAGCCGAAACGAAATAGTGCGAAAAGAAGAAAAAACAATAGTGGTTATAAATACAAATAAGGGTTATTTTGCCCAACGAGGTATGAGAGATGAAGATGAAAAAGGTGATGAACAATGAGCAAACGATGAAATTGTGATGAGATTGATGGTGACGGTACAGGAATGATATTTGATGGCTACGGGGGAATATGACGGAATTAGGGTGCTTGGTGAGAAAGAGGTAAAAACCTTAGGAAGAGTAGAGGTGGTCCGAGGCAGAGTGCAAGAGACCTGAACAAGAAGACACCGCCGATCTTGCTCAATGGTCAGGGCACAGGCATCAAGAGGGGAAGGTTGTTTCGATTATGCCCGTGAGAGAAACGAACGAATCAAGATTGAATCACCTACCTGTATGTTATGTATGGAACCAAACTGATGTCCTTCACTGGCCAGGTATGCACCTAACCTTAAGTACTGTGTAATTGGAAAGGTAGGCAGGTAGGTTGATTGTTGTTTGTTTTTATCCTTTTTGTAGAATTTTTTTTTTGTTGGTTGATAATAACTAAGCGTTTGGATGATCAGACTTTGGCCGAGTTTGGGTCGAAGGAGTGAGTCTCGGTGCTGGTTCAAGATCAATGTTGAAGTTGCCAAGGGCGATGTATGTAGGTTGTAGGATTGTATATGTATACACTATAACGGTGCTAATTCAAAGCGGCAATTGACTTCTGCAGGCAGATAAGTTCCTCGCAATCTAAAGTCACGCCCGCGTAATGCGTGTACATACATACGTATGGGGAAAGACGGGTTAGGTAATGAAAAAGCGGGTAGCCTGCCCAGGATTGTCAGCAAATACAGTGGGTCGAAACAGTTCAATGACGGGGGTCTCAAGGTGACCACTAGGTACAAGGTAAAAACTAAAGCGGGGGTTGGTATCCACTGAGGCTGTTATCGATTATCGATTATTCTCTTGTTATGCCTTAATTAGGTATGGCAAACAACTACCGGGGACTGCAAACAAGCTCAGAGATCGCCTGACTACCTATGTATGTATGTACTAGGTATGTATGCACGGTATGCACGGTATGCACGTTACATACATACCTACATACCCTGTCACACTAGACATGCTTATTTATCATTGGCTCTTACAGTATTGAAAGCCCTCGGAACGAATTTGACTTTTAAAGCCGGCGCCTCGGAGACTTCAAAGGTTTAAGTTCTAGATACGTCTATAGGCAGGTTAGTCCTACATCAGCTTATTAATGGAAAAGAGCACTAACTATTCATTAGGATTATTAGTATTAATCTTCAGACTTTAGTACCTAACGTTAATAGGTATGTGCCTACCTTACTCGGTGAATTACTATGTTGAACACTTCAGATGTTTGGTTGACACGCAGCTCACCGTATTTGTCGATATAGCAGTTGCTTTTCTGAGCTGAAGGATCGAGCTTCTTCTCAAAAAAGCCGAGTTCGTCTCCGAGTTCGTCTCCGAGTAAGATTCTAAATGATCCCATAGCTAGATACTAGACTTATGACGTAGTCAGATCGAGTATGCTTCATTCGTATAAGGTAAATCCGAGCTGCCCTGTTTGCATACCGGTAGGGGATCTGTAGGTAAGCAGCGCCTAGGTATGTAGCTTCAATGTTATCCAGCCTCATTATTTACCTAGGTTAGGTAGGTAGGTAGATACTATGTACCTAAGGTATGTATGTACTAGGTATGATACAACATAAGGTATTCAGAATTCACAGCAGGGGGATTTCACTTACAGGGATTAATACATATGTACAATATGTACATGTAATGTAGTCGGAGGAAAGTGGCAGATAACACCGACATACCTCAAGCTGTTGAAATGTTTGAATGTTCAAGGTTCTCTGAATCGCTTTGCAGCTTACAGATGCAAAACCTCTGTTACAAATCACATTTCTTACGTCTAAAAGACTTGTCTCTTGCATCATGCCAATCATGCCCAGAGCTCCATGACGCGGCTTCTGTCTAAAAGATACAAGACATACATACATAAGTACGTAAGTAATAGTTACACAAGTTGCAAATCATCCACCATGGTCATCCAACCTATGGCCATGCCGCCATGCCGCCATGCTAATAAAACTATCGGGATACATACTGGTAATACTGGTAATACTGGTAATACTTTTGCAATGTCAAGAGAAGTAACGCGGAAGTTGCCGAACACTCTAACATTTGAACCTCTAACATACACATGTATGTAGGTAGGTAAGTAAGTAAGTAAGTCTGGTGCTTTACAATTATAATTATATACTTCATCCTCACATTCCCTCCAATATAACTAACTAAACAAGGTACCCTGACCCTCATCTATAAGAACATCGGCACATATATCTAGATCGACTGACTGTATCTAAGATGGATGATCTTAGCCGCAATCTACTATAACAGGGGCTGTGTAGATGCTTGAGTCGTCAAAGCCATCGTCCTCACTTGAATATATTCAGATCTGCTGTTCGGCCTGCAGCATACGTCGCCAGCTTCCACATCAGCCATATCCGAAATCTTTAAACCCACGCTCCGATCTGAGTCGGCCCGGAGCTTGGTTATTTTCCTCGTCCCTATAACCGATCCAAAGCCCGCAGGGGTCATAAGCCATTATATCCAACTTCAATATACGCCCCCTTTACTACGTAATTTGCTCTTGTGGCTTATATTGTATTCGTCTTCATACCTTGATTTCGAACATTGACGTCTTCATGTCAAAATGAGCAGCTACTACGTAGTCCCTGTAAACATTGAAGTTAATAGACAATACTAAGTATGTAGGTGATCACTACATACTCCTGCACTACATAGGTAGCGTACAATACCTACATCTCTAATTCTCAACTCTTGGCTAGTACATACCTATGCGCCTAAGCACATACTTAGCAGTTCCAACATCCAGGTGGACGGTTACGGACAGTTATATAGTCGTTGTGATACGTTTCTCTTACCTGTGAGCGGGGTCACATGCGATGCAATCCTTGCCGGCATATACCTACCTTACAGATCACATACAGCTTTAGCCCCTCCCATGTCTTTCTACTCATATCAAGCCGCGGTCGGGTTCGAGACTATTCAAGGTAAGATACATACCAAAGACATACTACTTGCGTATTTCACGGAAACTCCAAAAAGAAGGGGAGTTAAGCTATATGTAGGTACCTATAGCAATACATATGTCTAGCCCCATAAAATCTGCGGCTGAAAACCAGACGTCGTCGTTGGCATATGTATATAGATACCGCTCGTAAGGTCCATCAATAATCATCTATATAATACTTACTGACCTAGCTTAATATACATACATGTATAGAATGATTAACACGGGTGTAACATTTGGTGTGACTGGGTACATACAGTATGTACCTACCATCACTTCATTTATTTATATAACTTACCTTGGTATCTACTGTTGCTTTTGACTGAAATCATTCGAATTGATCTTTTCATACATATATGTAACACCTCCTCATGTGTTGATAGGCTCTGCGCAGTTAGATTCCTGGCCAATACTATTCCTTGCCGCGATATCCACTGCTACACCGTTGTTGTGGCCCCGTTGAATGCCATCCCGTTGCCTTCGTCGTCGTCATTCGCATCCAGCCAAGCCCAACCCAGCCCAGCAATGGCCACAACTGGAGTTCGTAATTGTGTTCTGCCTAGATATGCAAATCAACCTTGCTCTAGGAGACTTCTCCCTTAAGACTAGCCATGTGTTTGGTGCTTGTCCAGTGCCTGGCTTCGACTGTAGAGGGGTTGGGAAAGCAGTACAACTTGTCCCCAACATATAGCCCCATGAAAAGCCACCACTCAGCAGTGTTGAATACACCGAAAACTAGAAAAGAGATGGACAGGGAACATCGAAGTGACTCCATAGTACCTGTGTATGGTATTATAATGCCCAGATACTTTAAGAGTCAAAAGATGCCTTGTTCATGATCAGCAGCCACGGTCGCATTATGCAGGGACACTGAGCATAATAGGATGTCTTCGGCACGTATTTTATCAATTTCATACTTACTGCTAGGTAGGGTACCTACTGGCCTCGTGAATCCTACCTACCTACCTACCTATATTTACCAACGAACCTCAAACATGTAATCGCAGCTGTAGGGTTGCGCTTACGTAGAGCTTGAACGAGCATCGTATAGGCCACATCACACATGCTTCCGGCATTAGCTCTTGTCGGATAGATGGGGCGGGATCAACGGAAGGAAAAGCAGATTGGTCCAAGAAGTTCGTGTCGCTTGACATGCATTCGCAAAGCCGCTCATTGCCTACTATTACTTGAGAGGTGAAAACTGGACGAGTCCGCAAGCGTGTGAACAGAACAAACGTGTTAGAAGAACATCCATTTCGCATACAAACCTGGGTGCCTATGTAGCAATATGTAAATAAACTTATATTGCCTCGGAGATCGGAGATCGTACGTGAAACTGGAAAATTCGGGCTACCTATCAAGTCCTGCCTAATGAAGATGAGGTATGATATTGATTTGCAATAACAATTGTTCAGTTTACTATGTAGTGTCTGACAGCAGGCTGGGCGATACCGGAGACAAGTTCAAGACGGCAGACGGGTACATATGTAGTAGGGAGGTAAATAAAGAATCTTATAGGGAACAATAAAAAGGGGTATTTCTCCAGACCTTGGGGATTTCATACGAGGGAAGCTAGGCTATGTCTCCCTGCACAGTAGACTACGAGATGGCGGCGGATATTTAAAGAACTCATGGCCGAATAAAGGACAAGGATCGTACAGGAAATGATTCATGCCGTTAATACGTGTAAAGACTGGTTGGCGGGAGTACATGTATGTAGCGAGTAGGTAAGTACTACATAGTAGCCCCGGAGGCAAGTAGGTACCTGGGTAGAGATTCGATTGTGTTGTATGTACATCAAGTTGTACTCGGATGATTTGGACGTGTGATTTTTACAAATGCGGAGGCGACTCGGCGACTGGTTGCGACTGGTTGGCTGTGTTGCTGAGTGGATGAACACCTAAGAGCTCCACGGGATGCCTATTCTATTCTATGCTGGGCACATTAGTTTAATAGCGTCTACATTAGTGGTGTACATAGTCCTCAACATTGAATGTTTGATGAATACATACCTATTACCTACCTCCCTAGGTCCTAGGTCCTATATGTATATATTTGTAGCACTCTTACTGGCGTGCAAGTGGCAGGGGCACATATGGGGGAACATGAAAACAAAGAATTACATGTATTAAAAGTTGCTCAGGTTTGCATTGTTTGTGAGTTGGACGAACTTTAGTTATAGTATTGACGGATTGATAAGCGGATTGGTATCCATGGATGTGTATATGACTGTACCTACCTTAGGGACATGTATGTACGCCGGAATTGGTAGTGACATATTATTAGGAGTCAGGAGTCAGGAGTCAGGATATTGAACATGGAAGAAGAATTAAAGATTCGAACTCGAGACAGCTGGAGATCTGTTTGCTTACCTACCCTAGGTAGGTATGTACTTACCTAATCAACAAAGTAAAGTTAGTACTATGTATTAATTAATTATCATTCGATGAGAAAACATTGGCTCGAGTTTTGAACGCCCCCGATGTTTCGATGTGTCTGATAATACTAGATAATGCATGTATCTATACTTACAAGCAAAGTCCAACCAAGAGGAAGTCAACGTCAACTAATAAAGGTCTAAACAATTGGAAGCTGAGCCTATTGGTCTCCTACACGGCACAGTGACAAGGAAATGGTGCACAGGCCACTATGACAACGAGGACCGACAAGGAATATTAAGTCACCATCAGAGGCAAGCGCCTTCGAGAACGGATCTGGACTGGGCTTGACTCCGCTCTGCTCTCCTCTGGATTGCTACGCTACTTGTGCAACCCTAGCATAAACTTTGTTGCCGTAGTGTACTGGTACATAAACTCTGGTGCATGCCTGGATACTCTTGACGTGCCAGCCGGTGCCTACCTCCGGCTTACTTAGGAACCTAGCTTTTTTAGTAGCTTAGGCTCTTACTACCTGGTAGGTGCTAGGTAGTGGTACTAGTCTATCTCAACCCACCGTGGTATCTGGTGCTTACACCAAAAGTAAAGGCAGGCATACCTGAATCCTGACCTGACCTTGAACATCTAAATATTAAACCCTTTTGGCTTGGCTTCCATCTATCCAACAAAAAAAAAAAGCCCTCCTCCGTCCGTTACTACATCACCTAGAGATAAAACTACTAAAAAATAAAATAAACACACCCCTCCGCCGCGCTTGTGATTTATTTTTTCCTCACAGGCCTGGAGGCTTTTTCTGTACAAGGTTGTTCTTTGATATTTTCTTCGTTGTCGCCTTCTCTATTCCTCGTTTCGCCGTGTCCGACTAGGCTTAAAGAGAGGCATTCTATCGTTTTTTTTATTCGGGGAAAAAAGGATCCTAGAAAAATAGGCATACTGGCTTCTTAATCTGATTGTTCGACCAATCTTCTTTTCTTTTCTGCACCGCAGGCGGTTACTTCGCCTTCAGGTTTATTATTTCTATATTTATCAAGGGAAAACCGTCGTCCGATATTCCACCCGCCAATCCGAAAGACGCATGTTATAAACATCCATCACGACGCCTACGTCGTGCACAAGCACCGTTGACAGCTCTTTCAGGACGCTTGCCATACCTTACCTACCAGCCTCGAACCATTCGGCCTCCCATCTGCTAGAAGTAGCGGATCTCGAACAATAAATCATCTTCAATATGGTAGCCGCAGTACGACGAAGAAAGTTGATCGGCCATCGCCGCCGGGTCGAGGATGAGGGAGAGGAAGATGGAGGACCTGACCAGCTCGATATTGACGATGACTCGCTGACCGATGGATCCATGGCCTCCGAGGATCCCGATCCAGCTAACGACAGCGATACTAGCAATGTTGATGAGGCTTCACCGACAACACCGGCGGCTCCGAAGATAACTGGTCAAACAGCTATTGGTAATGGCAATGGCCATGTGAAGAGAACGCATACTAGGCCTTCCGGCACCGTACCCATAAAAACCACCAGAAAGTCGGGTACAAACGCTGTGGCTGACACCGAGTTTATGCTAAGCAACTTGAATATATCGGGCGAAGCTGCTCCAGTGCAGGAATTGAACTTCGAGGATGCCATAGAAACCTCTTCGAAAACCGCGGCCCCTATAGTAGTTAGCTCGAACTCCGCCACTGCCACTGGTACGAACACAGACCATCCACCTGACGTTTCAACTGATCGGCGACGAAAGGAACATGATGAGTACAGGCGAAAGCGAGACGAGGATCCGTCTTTCGTTCCTAACCGAGGGGCCTTCTTCATGCATGACCACAGACATGCCGGTCCTTCTGCCAACGGCTTTCGCCCGTTTGGAAGAGGCTCGCGAGGTCGTGGTCGTGGTGGCATAGGGGCCCCTTTTGCTCCAATCAAGTAAGTCATTAATTCCCAAGTACCTACCCAACTACCTACCTAGGTAGTCATGCAATTGGTTGCTAATGTATTTAGTCATCAACTCCATAGTGCGGTTGACCCTACGACTAATGGCCCATGGGCTCATGATATGCATGACATGGTCTCTCAATCCATACATGCCCGGCAACCACGAGCGTCGTTTACCGATGATGGCCCGCCAAACGGTGACGGTTTTATTCCCACTTGTCCCCCGAGCAGCACGCCGATCAACCGGACGATGGCTACGGAGAAGCATGTTGGAAATGTACAGATCAGAGTTTATATCCCAGGGATCAAGGAGCATATTATTTTTCCGGGCGTACAGATCAGGCAATACACAAAATTACCGGACCATCGACCACCATTAAGACGCGACAAGCCAGTTCGCATCTCATTGCCCAACTTCTCGCCTCGGTACATTTTCCCAGCCACAGACAGGTCCTTTATTTTCATACCCCGAGCGATGCGTCCTAACCAACGATTACGGGGAAAGCCTAGATCTGGTCTTGGATCCATTGGGGGATATTCCAGAAGGACGAGCGTGTTTGGAGGAAGTGTGTACGCTGGCAGTGCGTATACACCCAGTGTCGCCCTCAGCCGTCGGTCTTCCATCGCCCCTGACTTGGGCAGGGATTTCCTTGTTTCTCCGACTGGTTCTGCCATGTCTCGACCACCGATGCCTTACGACGCTGCTCGACCCGTTGTCAGGCTTCCCCCACAAGGCCGCACAGAGCAGCAGCTTTCTGCTGTTGACGGTGCTCCAGCAGATGGATCCGCCGGGGCTGGGCAGCCTATTAATGAATTTCCTGTATCCCAACCATACCATTCCTCCCAGAAGCCGGCTTTCCAGGAAAATCGGCCAGTGCCTATCCCCATGCATCAGCCTCGCCCGCAGAAAACGGTGTCGGTAGCCGGCATCGAGTCCCCTGAATTCCAACAGAACTCCTCCCAACCGTACCAACAGGCCTTTCATCAGCAGGTCCCTGTCCAAGTGTCCACCACCCTAAGCCAGGAATCTCACGCCCGTCATTCATCGTACCAATCTCAGCACTCAACCGGCACCCCACTCTCCCAGATTCCCGAACGCGCCATCCATGCCGCCCCCTTCCAACCAACCCAGTTCTCCCAGCAGACCTACTATCAGCCGTACCAGATGATGCAACCTCAACAAGGTTATTATTACCCTTCGGCTCCCTATCCTGGCGCATTGGGACCATCCGCTACCACGCCTACGTTCGTACCCGCAGCACAGCAACCCCAACCTCAACCTCAAAGCGAGGGACCTACCAGCCAACCGAACGGACAGGGCACGCCTGGTTCCAACTTGGTTGCTCAGGAGGTCAATGGCATGGTTTATTATTACGATGCCTCTCAGCTACCACCAGTAGCTACATACACTCCTTATCCGGCGCCACAAGGTTATCCGGTGCCTGGCGGCGTGGTTGGCATGAACGGAATGGTTACCCCGAGCCCAGACGGCTATTATTATCCTCCATCGGGGCCTGGTGTTGTCTACTACCCGCAATAAGACGTCGCCGGATGGTGCCCTATATCTTTGTTGTGATGGCCTAGATAAAAAGGAGGGATGCGTGCGAGCAGACATTGCCATACCAACGAGGTTAGGTATATTCGGCATGATCGCTTGGACCATCGAACTGGCGACGCGACTTGGGGCTCTCTTACTACTTCAGTTGGTGGATTATGGTTGGCATTTTTGCAAGACTAGGTATCTATTGTCTACGTTCCTACGGTACTCTATAGCTTCGCTCCGAGACGTCTCGTCCAAATCTGACTTGGTTTTGATCCTAAAAAAGGGGGAGGGCATCTCCTATCCGACCGCACCTATTCTGACTCTTTCTATTCTTTTCTAGCTTTGGCTCTTATTGTGTTTTCCGATGACTTATTTGGGAGGGCCCCATTATCGCATAGGCGTTCGGTGGAGTTTATGTTTTATATTACTTTTTTGTTCATCTCCAGACATGTGTTTGCTTCTTCCTGCATGATAAGTGAGCCGTTGGCCGGAGAGGGGAAGATTGCGATGTATCAAACAAAAATCTTTTGTTTTGCTGCTACCGTGATTCTTCGTTTTGAGGGCGCTTGGCGAGTGTTGTCAGAAAGAGCAAGTGTCGGTATCTGGCAGTGGTTGGTTGTAGCAGTAGCCTTAGTGGTGGTGATCGTGGTGGTCGTGGAGGTCCGTTGAAGAGTGAGTGAGTGGTTGTCGAAGTAGCAAAGCTGTAGTTGAGCATGATGGGGGTTGGGGGGGAGAGATCATACGAACGAATGCACACAACATTCTTCGAAATATTGCAGCAGCGAGAAGTCAAGAAAAAGCTTCCTAGAGAGGAAGAGACAAGACAAGAAAGATAGGAGAGAGAGGAGGGAGAGAGAGAGAGAGAGAAGTGTAGTTGGCTGGTGGGGTGCGTGGCGCGGTGTCAAAGGTGTCAATCAAGGTCGCGGTCGTAGGAAACCTAAAATCTTTAACCCCCATTCCGCTGCTGTTTCTTCCCCTTTTTAATGTCTTTTGGGATGTGCTATGCTATATCATGTTGTGTTGTGATGCTGTTATGCTCTACTGTAATGATGATTTTAATTCTATTAATCCATAAATGTAGTTCGAAGACAACTTAATGATACCTGAATAGGTATATATAGGTCTATACCTACCTAGGTCCTAGGTAGGTAGGTAGGTACCTATGTATAGTAAGTCTTTAATAACATTGAAAGTAGCTGCCCCTATACACCATATCCCCACTCAGGCATATGTATGTCTCATTCGCTCTGCTCTGTGGGCTCAGCTTCTTTAAATATAAATTAATATATGGTCTGAGTTTGGCTTTTCTAAAATTAACTCTACTTGGTCAGGGACTATCAAACCATCGCAACAAACAACCCCAAAAGGGGTGTGATTGGGGGATTAGTGGTGGTCAGGAGTAAATAGGGGTGGCTAGGATCAGGCTGACAAGACGGCAACTCATGCAAGTTACAAACTTCAAGTTTTAATACCGCTGTGGAGATTGAAGAGCCACTGAGTGGTATGTTAGACACGAGGTGGCTGTAGGGAACTAAGGGTATATACGTCTATGATATTGTAATCCCATTCTGTATAGGAACATAAAACTACACCGAGACAGTCATAGTTCTAGGGTACAGCACCAGAGCTGTTAAGGAGAATGATCCTAGGCCGACGAACCCACGCCCATAAGCAACCGCCACCAGGGAGCCTATAATAAGAAGCAAAACCAGCGGAAACTTAGACCTCTAATCTACTAGTTGGCCCCGATGAAGCCACAAGTCCTACTCTATCGTCATGATCCCCTCGAAGTTTACAGATTCACACTATAAGCGACATGAAAAACGTCTAAACGTCCGGGAGGTGTTGCCTAGTTAAACCTCATCCTTTTCAATGAGGTCGATGCTGTTGACTCTCTCCTTTTCACCGCCGCCTTCGCCTTCGGAACCCTCAGGTGGTGGCTCGAGACTCTGTGTCTGCTGGATTTTCGGAACCAGGCCGAATCGCGTGTTACCTTGATCCCAGACCTGGTAGTTGGACAGTCAGGGGGGTTTCATAAGGCCATGGCCAAAAACTAGAAAGGGGGTGATTGATAGGAGGGAGAGAAACTCACAGCGTAGACGCTCTTCAGGAACGTATCGCCGAGGATATCAAAAGGCATCATGCCGCGGCTCTGGATACCTCCATACCAACTCTTCTTGTCGTCCGTGAGAGCGAAGGCCAGGTCTTCCTTCTGGATCACGTATTCCTTGTCGCCGACGGCCACCTTGATTTCCGGTAAATCGTCCCCCTTGACGGTCGCGGGGAAGATATAGCCTTGGCTAAGCCAATCGTACTTCGCCCCGGGGATCTGGCTGTACAGCTTTTCAACCACCTTGTCTCCCATGAGAGCCAGTGTAGTTCCGGTATCAGCAATAGCAGTATTGCCAGTGAGATCAATCTTCTCGCCATTGATAGAGCATGACTCAGAAGAGAATGACCAAAAGCCCTCTGAGTTGTTGATTTGAGTCCAGTGAATTTCCTCGCCAGACTTCTGGACGAGATCCTGGTCAATATAGCCAAAGGTGTAAAACGATTCAGCCCCTTTATCACGCGAGCTATAGAAGGCCGAAGTGAAGAGCTCAGATTCCTTGGGGATATCCTCCTGCTTGATCATATTTTCGACGGGCGTAGCTTGAGGGTCTTTTTCACCAGAATCTTTTACTGTGTTGATCTTACTCCAGGCAAGGCCGAGGAGACCATCGCCAGTGCTCTGGGCAAATTGTCGGGATAGCTTGCTAGCACATTCAATTGTCTGCTCTTTGATGACCAGGCCGCCCAAGATGAGCGTATCGCTGCCACAGTCTCCCGAAGCCGTGCTGCCATCGCCGTATTGGATCTTCCATGTCTTCCCCGAAAGTTTCTTGAAAGTCTCCGACTTCTTGGGGTCGAAGACATTGTGCTTCGAGTGATGGGACTTGCCTTGGAGAGTCGAACAAAGCTGGTGCACAAGTTAGAAAAAGGTATGCAATATGATTCCAAACATTTTAACAAACCCAAGTGTCAGCGGAGCCTGTGTCGAAATCGAGGAGCATTTTCTGGGGAGGAGTGCCAACGCCGACTTGGCAGAGGTACATGGAATCGTTCTGCTGGTCTTCGGCAGTGACTTCACCGTGCTCGCCATCTTTACCGGAATCAAGCTTCTTCACCAGTACTCGTTCTGTGTGAACAGTGCCCCCAAGTGCACCCTTGAGTCCTTCAGGGAGAATACCATGTTGTCTGACCTTCTCGGTATGGAAATAGGGGCCTGGCTTCGTAGGTTCGAAGCCGAAACGGCTTAATAGGTAGACATAGGACTTGGTACCATGGGATATGTAGTTTTGATTGCGTATGACTTTGACCTTGGAGAGGCCAAGCTCTTGCTTGATTTTGTTCTGGGCGGCAAACAGGGCGCTCATGATGACTCTGGACTATCTTATGTAGGTTTAGTTGTTAATAATGGAATTGCTAAGAATGTCTATAGGCCTGATATATAATTGAAGTGAGTAGGACAGCGGTGCTATGTATGTTGGATGAAGGTGGAAGAGGAGAGAGAAAGAGAGCAAAATGATTTAGGAAAATAAGAGAAAAGTTGACCTTCAGACTGTACGTGTACGTTGAATATTAGGTAGCTCTTGTATCCATCTTGCTCCTGCCTCCTACATCCAAGGGAAAGGACAGGCAAGTTACAGTTAGTTTTATTATGAAGCACTCTAGTGACTGACTACTATGCTGTATGTGAAACTGATAGCGTATGTAAAAGAGGAAACATGTCAGACGTTAATATACTTTAGTCAAGCTTCGTAGTTCCTATAGCACCTGCCTACCTAATGAGCCTCCTGTTGTACCAGGGAAGGAGGAGCATGAGGGTGAGTTGGGGATGAAAGTGTTATGTGACAGGGGTATCGATGGCAAAAAGGATTCAGTACATTTACATTTTCACTTCTCCAAATATAAAGCCTCTAAGCCCATTACTTATCCAGCATTCTTCACCATCGACCAGTGAATCAACAGGAACGGGTTGCTCGGTGACGAGACTCCTAAGTTAGGTGGTTAGCACTACGTATGTAACTTCGTAGGGTTGATCAAGTAGGTCGAGTACCTTTCTAAAGCCCACCTTCGAGTAGTCCCGTCATTTCCACCGCTCCCCTGTGAGGGATTGAAGTTTCCAGAGACGGGAGGGGTGACCCATTTCCCGTCCCTCCAAAAGTAAGGTGTACTGATAGTACCCTCCATGATATAGCCATCATCATTGATGAGAAGCACCTCTTTCTTGTCTCCTGGGGCTATCTGAGCTCGCTTTCTCGCATCATTATACACATCCCTATAAGTGGTCTTGTGATGAGTAAATTGGGATTTTGCTGTCTTGAGACTATCAAGGATAATTTCGTATATTGGCTCTTTTACTGGGAACAACTCGTTTTTAGACTGAACCGAGTTTTCTGGACCTGGTCTAGGCAAGTGTTTGGGAAAGAAGTTATTTATATGGGTTTCTGGAAGGGGGGATATTTGGTGAGCTAAAGTCCCATCCCGAGCCAAAGTAATCATCAGCCGATGGGGACCATTGCTGGCTTCACTAGTGATACTTTGCAAGAATATCCGTAGAGTCTCTAGACCCTCAGACCCGGAAATCTTGGCAATGGCAGGAGTCCAATTCCAGTGGATTGCAGCCCTTAGCATGCGGTCCCGGTGGAAATCAAGCATATAAAATGGAGAGGGTTCTTGGTTCCATCCTATATTGGTGAAGCCGAGGCTCGGTGCTTGAAGGAGTTGAGGATCGTATCGGATAGATGTAAAGAGGAGAAAGTCGTCCATTATAGAGAAGTTGAGAATGTATTGATATCTCAAGAGATATGAAGTCCAACTTTTGTGATTATATAATTATATAATCATACATGATTAATTTTATGTATTCAATGACTTGAATCATACAAATTGAACTTGATATAAGAATAACCGGTGCCGTTTGTATGCTTGTATGAGTATACACCCACTTATACAGAAGGTACATCGATGTACGTATCAGTCTACTATCAGATCGTTAAAATCCGGTGCAGCGGGAAGAGCAAATGCGGTAGACACACGTACATGTACCTAAGTACATGGGGCATGTAATAGATTGTGGGCCAACAGGGTCTGAGCTTCGACAGCACAGCACAACGTTAAAATTGGGTCACGCTAAGATAGAATTCAGTAAAAGTCAACTTTTTTTTTTTTTAATTGCGCGTGCAAAGCAAGTTGCAACATCCTGGACGTACTGGATGTGAATCTTTTGGGGGGCAATCGGTACCCGTAAAAAGTGTAAAATCGTTAAATCTGGATGATTAAAAAAAAAGCACCACCATCGTCACCACTAAAACCTATCATCACTCACTCTTCGTCGAATTGTTTACCGAACCACCCCCAAGACCACCCAAACACAAGACCACTCCAATAACCAAATCTCTCCGATTCATCCACTTCCATCTACATCCACACTGATTGATACATACTTACACTTACCTTACCTAACCTAGTACTTACTACTTACCTATCTAGTACCTGCACTGCACTCGGACTCTCAAATCCCTTCTTCTTTTATTCCTTGTTTGCTGACAATCCCCATCATTTACCTATACCTATCTACATATATATTCTCCTCCACTTCCTGACCCCCAATCTTCATACCCATCTCTATCCCGTCATAATGTCTAGGGCCTCTGCAGCTCCGCCGCCCATGCCTCCCTTAGGCAAACCGATCATCATCCCAGTCAAATCCTCCTCCCTTTGGGATCGCTTTACCAATTGGGCTTCCGACAATAAAGCACTTGTCTATACTATTACCGGCGTTGCCGTTGTTGTCACGAGCGCCGGTGTGGTTTACTATCTTAACGACTCCGTTAGTCACCGTATTTTCGTTTGTCTTATATATCTCGTACCCCGGAGCGAACTTAGGACGATAGCTTACACATTGATACCACTCGCCCTAGAAGCCCAAAGTTGCGGCGCAAACTAAGTTGAGCAAGAAGGAGAGGAGGAAACGAAAAGAGGCCGAACGTCAAGCCGAAGCTCCCAAGTCACCTGCCTCATCGGGCGAACAGACAAAAGCTGCGACAGTAGACACAGTCGACGAACTGCCAGAGATTACCGAGGAAACCGTCACTACTTTTACCGATGAGCAACGCCGCGAGTACGCCTTAAAGCTGAAGAACGCTGGCAACAAGGCCTATGGCAGCAAAGATTATCAGCGCGCTATCGACCTTTACTCCAAGGCCATTCTCTGCAAGCCAGACTCTATCTTCTACTCTAACCGGGCTGCATGCTACAATGCCCTTACCGTCTGGGATAAGGTCGTCGAAGATACCACCGCCGCCATTAGCCTCGACCCCACATACGTCAAGGCATTAAATCGCAGAGCTAATGCTTACGAGCACCTATCCCAGTTCAGCGAATCCCTCCTCGACTACACTGCGAGCTGCATCATCGATGAATTCAAGACCGAATCTAGCACCAACGCAGTCGAGCGGTTGCTCAAGAAGGTTGCTGAACAGAAGGCAGAGGACATCATCAACTCCAAGGACCCTAACAAGCTTCCCAGTCCAACTTTTGTCTCCAACTATATTCAGAGTTTCCGAGCGAAGCCGCGCCCCGAAGGACTAGAGGATGAGGACGAATTGGACGAATCCAGTGGTAAGGGACAACTGCAACTTGGTTTACAGTCTATGGAAAAGAGGACACATGAAGGCTACGAGGAGGCCGCGAACGCATTCGAAAGAGCTTTGGAATATGGCGACCTAGGGGAATACGAAGCGCTCGCGTACAACTTGCGAGGTACATTTAGAAATTTGCGTGGATCGCAAGAGGAGGCTTTGAAGGATATGGATAAGAGTATCGAACTTGACCCCACCTACACCCAAAGCTACGTCAAGCGCGCAAGCATGCATTTAGAAATGGGTAAGTCAAATTGTGCTGGTTTGGTGGTCTGTGAGAAGGTTTGAAACTGACCCACGATGACAGGTGATCGGGCCAGTGCTGCTGCGGATCTGGAACAGGCCTTGAGCCAGAACGATAGTGACCCCGATATTTACTATCACCGTGCGCAACTCCACTTCATCCACAGCGAATTCAAAGATGCCGCCAAGGATTACCAGAAGTCCATTGACCTCGACAGCTCCTTCATCTTCTCTCATATCCAGCTTGGTGTGACACAGTATAAGATGGGATCCGTGGCCTCCTCTATGGCTACATTCCGTCGTTGCGTTAAGAACTTCGACAAGGTCCCGGATGTATACAACTACTATGGAGAACTACTCCTCGACCAGAATATGTATGAAGATGCCATCCAGAAGTTTGACAAGGCCATGGAAATGGAGAAGCAGACCAAGCCTATGGCCATGAATGTATTACCTCTCATCAACAAGGCCCTGGCCCTCTTCCAACAAAAGTCCGATTTCAGTGAAGCCGAGAAGCTATGTGAAAAGGCGTTAATCAGTAAGTGCACCTTTGCCCGGCCTAGATAAATCAGATAAAAGGAGGGAGGGTGTTAACAAATGATTTAGTTGATCCCGAATGCGACATCGCTGTGGCTACGATGGCCCAACTTCTCCTCCAACAGGGAAAGATTACCGATGCGCTCAAGTATTTTGAACGTGCTGCTGAGCTTGCCAGAACACCCGGAGAGATTGTGAATGCGCTCTCATACGCAGAGGCTACGAGAACGCAGATCCAGGTACAAGAAAAGTATCCCCAACTTGCAGCTAAGCTCCATGGCATGGGCACAGGTGCGGCTGGTATGGGGGCTGGCGCATTCGCTGGCGCACGCTAGGTTGGATGTCAAGCTTTGAAGCTTTGACATCTCACAAGAAGAAAAAAAGGGGGGGGGGAGTAATGTAGAGGGAAACTCTGCTCACTCGTTTTCAAGTTATTGACTCGGCGAGAGCTTGAAAGTAGGGCACGACAACATAAGAAGAAAGGGGAGCTGAAAGAAAAAGGAGTAAAAGATTACGGAGGTTTCCGCAACGGAAATTATTTTTTGAACATACGTGCTTTTGATGAATGGATCCGCGCGCATATAACCACCTTTTTTTCTTAATCGAAAAGGCTTATTACCCGAGGATGTGAAGTCAAGAAAGTCCATAGGTTCCAAAAACGTCGGGACGGCTCGGTAGTAGTTTAATGAAATGATGGTTGTTGTCGTTGTTGTTGTTGCCCTACATAATCCTCCTCCTATTCCTCCCGGCCCTTTTTTTTTCGCTGTATAAACCTACTGGGTAGTAAAATACTGTATATAAATAATACCGCTCTCTCCAACCCTCTCCCCTCCCTCTTCCGCTTATGTATTTTTTTTATTGTTTATAATTTCATGTAAAGGGCATGTACCACACCTGTCTGTACTTCTAGGTACTTAAGTTGTAGGCGTATGTATTTGTTCGGGTTGCGCTTATGTGGGTTATGCAGGTTAAACAAAAAAAGGGGGAAGAAGGGGATAAGATACCTAGGTTAGGGGGGTTCGGGGGAAAAAAAAAACTTCACTCCATTTTAGCTTTTTTTTTCAATGTACCTAATAATAACAGTACTTAGAGACCTGTCACGAGTCACGACGACGATGACGATGATAGAGATTATATAAGTAAAGAAAGAAAGAAAGGAAGGAAGGAAGAAAGAAATGCCTGCAATCTAGCAAGGTACCACAGGCAGGTGCAAAGATGGTCTATTGAAATTTAGGTAGGTACATGATGGTATTCTTTCGAAGCAGCAACAACAGCAAACGAACTCCGATCTTGTACTGTTGAAGACCACCCCAAAAAACAAAAAAGAAGAAGGGAAGAAAAAAAGAAGAAGAAAGTAGCAGCGACCCTATGAGTACCTAAGGTAAGTTATCTAAACCATCACCGAGAGCTTCTTGACGTTGACGCCGTCCTCAGATGCGGCGCCAGTGCTAGACTGCGAATCCAGATCCGACTCGCCCATGGACCCAGCCTCGGACGCGGAAGAAGCTGACGAAGAAGAAGAAGAAGAAGCCGTGTTGGTAGCGACGTCGTACTCATCCGTGAATTGGTTGACGGGCGTCTGGACTCTGGACGGCTGCTGCTGCTGCTGCTGCTCCTTGGAAGCAAGCGCGGCGGCGGCGGTCTTCTCCTTGTTGATACGGGTGATGACGTCAGAGAGCGTGTCGCCGAGCTGCTCGACGTTGTCGGCGTCGCGGGGGACAAGGTGGCCGAGGCCGTGGTCGTACAGCTGCGCGAGGTCCGGGTCGCAGGTGTTGTAGAGGGCGATGCTCGAGTAGACGAGCGGGTCGTTGGAGCCGAACACGTGGAACGTCGGGATGTGGATCGAGGTGCCGTGCTCGTCGGCCAGCTTGGTCGTGAAGTTGGGGCAGTTGTTGTTGTTGTTAGAGGAGGAAGAGGAGGAGTCCTTCTCGGCTACGAGGGCAGGGGTGCCGGCGAAGAAGATGGCGAACTGTAAGTGGGAAGAGGTATTAGTATTAGTCAGACCTACTGAATGTAGTAGATAGGTATAGGGGTATATATATAATACCTTTATACGTCTAGGCACTCCCATCTCCTCCCACCGCCTGTTCTCCTCAGCGCAAATCGAAGCCGCCATCATCGCGCCCTCGGAGTACCCAATCAGCCCATCGATCTCGGGGTCGTCGTCGATCTGCTGCAGCAGACTGTCAAGCGAGTCTCGGAAATTCTTCCAGTCGTACTTCTGGACCGGCTCGGTGGGCTTGAACAGGCGCAGCGTGGCCTCGGGGCTTAGGCCGCGCGGGATGTGCCGCACACGCCGGATCACCTCGAACGCGTCCCCCGAACTGTTGTTGGCCGTGCCGTCGATGAACCGGTACAGCGGCCGCGACCCGAAGTAGTTCTCCCACCCCAACGGCGGCTCTACCTCGTGCGCCCCTTGCGTAAAGGCAAACGTCGCTAGCCCTCGGTCCTCCATGTGCTTGGCAAAAGGTCCGAGCTGGACGCCGAAGTTCTATTTCAGGGGTTTTACCTTTCGTTAGTGCTCGTTGTTCTTATGAAAACACCTAGTGTACCTAGGGCGCCCCTTTAAAAAAAAGGAGAACTGGAGGCAAACGTTGAGGATAAACATACCTTTGCGCTTCCATAGGCGCCGGGCAAGCAGAGGAACCTCATAGTGATCGAAGTAACTCAAGATACCAGAAAGAGAATGAATATCTTGGTATGATTATTCTCCCCACGTAAGCCAACTGACCGATCTAGCCCTATCTGGTCTTGGTAGAAGAAGTGTCTATTTTGGTAACGAAAGAGAGACACGTGGTCATCGACTGGTCTTCTATCAGGCTAGTACGTGGTCGAGCGAAGTTTCTACTTTCTTTCGTAGGTCCGGGCGCTGGATAAATCCACGATGATATATATATGTGTCGTGATTTTGGTATCGGTCCCAAGTCTTCATGAAATATCCGACCCGAATGGCCTTGAGACTGTTTCGCAACCCGTGGGGATTACCCGTAAGCTAGCTATTCACGTGGCAAGGTAGCTGGTAGCCTTAACGATGAATATCTCTAGCAACTCGTGGCGATTCGTGTCTCCTACCCTTACCTATTTGCGTCGTTGGTAAGCAAAAATACAATTAGAAGTAAAGAATGTTTGATAGAAGTATATATTGCTCCATCTTGCAGCCACACTTCTAGAATTCCTGGCTACTGGGTGTCAACGGGTTTCAGGGGTTCCCAGTCAACACACCTACAAGACCTGGTATCTGACACCAGGTTGACACGATGTAGTCAGCAGGTAGGGCTGCTAGCTAGTAATAACATTGAGCTCATGGTGGGAATGAAGTCGAGGGCGACTTGCCAGCGGACTTCCGGTTCTATCCGCACCTGTCTCAGGCTTGCTACTTATCTTGTATGAACTACTGCTGAATAGAGTGAAAAGGGACTGAGTTCACGGCGCCGCACTGTCAGAGGCTGAACTCTAAGACATAGCGTTAGAGTAGAATGATTTGTCAAGTAAAGTTCAATCACATATTTAGGGGCCTTCCCGTGATATAATGGCTAGCTTGCCAAGGTGGGGGACCAGGACACAGCGTGAACGGAAGTTGTGGAAACGAGCAAGCCTGTCAAAAGTTCCATGGGTGGCAATGAGGCTTGACCTGGTGCATATGGCAGATAACTCACTGAAATATGATTCGTATCAGTTCGAAGTCAAAAGTGACAGCATCGATGATGTCGGACCTTGACCTAGGGACTCCAAGACTACTGTTAGTGTTCAATCAGAAAGATATTTGCCATCGACTGGAGTACCGGTTTGATCGGCATCCCGTTTGTTTAGTCCTCGGTGATCTGAAGGAAGTACGTCACGTAAGCTCAACTTTATTCATACCGGTTATGAGCTTTTATCGAAACGGATGGACCATGTCTCCTTTTTTCCCAGTCGACATATACAGGGCTTCTGGCACCTTGAATCCAAGGCGATATTTTCACTTCTGAAGGATACTCTGCCACTGCTCCCTGGCATAATCCTCTTTACTTCATTTACTCTCATTTCTGAATATGGAGTCCGAGGAGCCGATGCCTATCGCCATCGTCGGCATGTCATGCCGCTTGCCTGGCGATGTGTCTTCGCCAGGGGATTTTTGGAAGTTGTTGACCAAGGGACGCAGTGCGTGGTCCAAGATACCTAAAGACCGCTTCAACCAGGAGGCATATAATCATCCCAACCCGGAGAAGAGGGGCACACTTAACTCACAAGGAGGATACTTCTTGTCTCAGAAGCTGGATATGTTTGACCCTGGCTTTTTTGACATGACACGCAAAGAAGCCGAAACTATGGGTAAACCCCCTTCCTCAAACTAGGCTCATGTCGAGAAACTTACAGTGTGCAAGATCCAACCCAGCGACTCCTCCTCGAATGTTCGTACGAGGCTCTCGAGAATGCTGGCATTCCTAAAGAGTCTATCTCTGGACGAAAAGTTGGTGTGTTCATTGGAGCCACCGATAATGAACACAGAATGGGAAATCTTAGGGATTTAGATGATGTGCCAATGTTTGATCCCACTGGTAGCCAAGGGGCATTTTTGGCTGGCCGAATATCATATTTCTTTAATTTATGCGGTCCTACCTTTACCGTCGATACCGCATGCTCATCTAGCATGCATGCTTTGCATATGGCTGTTCAGAGTATACGATCTGGGGAATCGGAACAAGCCATTGTCGGTGCCTCTCATCTCATCACACAACCAGACGTATGGGTATCCATGGCTAAGTTGAGGTAGGTTAGATGCTGTATATGGCCCTGGGAGATTGATTGACCTCGTGAAATAGATTATTCGCGGACTCAGGGAAAACGTATGCGTTTGATCACCGTGCCAAATCCGGATACGCCAGAGGCGAGGGGGCTGGATGTTTAATTCTCAAGCCACTCCATAAGGCGTTGGAAGATAAAGACTACGTTAGAGCGGTCATTTCCCACACGGGAATCAGCCATAACGGTCGAACAGTTGGTACGTTTACCCATTTTTCGTCTCTCACAGTTTGTTACCGAGACCACTCATGTCTAACTTGTCAAAGGTATCGTGGCACCTAGTTCGGAAGAACAAGAGTCACTACTGCGCAATGTGCTCTCACAAGCCGGAATTGATCCTAAAGATGTTGGCTTTTTCGAAGCCCACGGTACTGGAACCAAGGTCGGCGATCCCATAGAGGCCAAAGGAATATATAAGGCACTCAGCAAGGGCCTAGAAAGCGACCCATTAACTATCGGGTCGGTGAAGTCCAATATAGGCCACCTCGAAAACGCTAGCGGTATCATATCGGTTATGAAGGCAGCACTCATGCTAGAAAAGGGGTTTATCGTCCCGAATGCCGACTTTGAAAAGGAAAACCCAGCCATTTCTTTATCCGAATGGAATATGAAAGTCAGTTAATAGGAGAGCGTCTTCTATGCATTATGAAGAATATTCAATAGTGGCGATGCTAACCTTCTATTATCAGATTTCACAAAGACAGCTACCATTTCCTCGAAACAAGAAGTATATATGTGTGAACAACTTTGGATACAGTGGTTCGAACGGACACGCAGTACTGAAAGCGCTACCAGCGGAGAACGAACTGGAGTTTCTTGACGCCGAAAACTTTGAAGGGCACATCAAAACGAAACGTCTGTTCGTATTGAGTGCTAATGACGAGGCGGCTGCGAGGCAAAGTATGGAGAAGTTAGGTATTTTTCTTGAACAACACGCCGAGCTGTATCAAAGCACCATGCCCAGAAATCTTTCATGTGAGTTTCGATTGCTTGAGATTGACAAAAGCATGCTGACACACAGCCAGACACGTTATGCCAGCGGCGTTCACAACTACCTTGGCGTGTAGCTCTGGTGACTGATATGTGCAGTAAACTTGCCATAGCTCTCAACAGCCCTAATGTGGTGCCAAAGAGGATACCAGCCAAGTCACCAAAGCTCGCTTTCATCTTCACTGGACAAGGCGCGCAGTGGTATGGTATGGGTAGGGAGTTGTTGGAGTCGCACGCTGTATTTGCGTCAACTATAGAGCGAGCCGATTCGCATCTGCTATCTATAGGCGCGGATTTCTCAATATTGGAAGAGATGAAACGAGACGAGCAAGATACCCGTATTGGTATGGCACATATTAGCCAGCCAATATGTAGCGCTGTCCAGATCGGGCTGGTTGACCTTTTGGCATCGTGGGGTGTCAAGCCTTCTTCTGTGACTGGGCACTCTAGCGGAGAGATTGGCGCTGCATACGCGACTGGGGGCCTGTCGCTTGAAGCGGCAATGTCTGCGGCTTACTATCGTGGCCAGGCCATCATTTCCTTAAAGGCCAACTTTCCGGATGTCAAAGGCTCGATGATGGCGGTGGGTATGGGTGCAGACGAACTACAGCCGTTTCTCAAGCAACTACCATCTTCGCTTCAAGCGGTAGCGGCCTGTGAGAATTCACCCAGTTCGACGACTGTGTCTGGTGATGCTGAAGCTATCGATGAGCTTTCCAATATGATGACGAGTAAGAACATCTTCAATCGCAAGCTTTTTGTTGACGTCGCCTACCATAGTCACCACATGAAACTCATAGCCGAGACATACTACAACATGATTGCAGATGTCGAGTTGAGGGAGGCAAATGGCGACGTTGAATTCTTCTCCTCTCTCCGTTCTCGCAAGGTCAACATAGATGAACTTGGTCCACAGTACTGGGTAGAGAACCTAACAAACCCCGTACGATTCACGACAGCATTGCAACTACTTTGCAATGAGAACAAGCCGGATATTCTCATTGAGATTGGCCCACACGCCGCGCTCAAAGGTCCTATTATGCAGACTCTGAAATCATTGGGATTAGCGGCTGCTCAAGCCCCAGTATATATCCCAACATTGGTAAGGGGCCGTGACGCCACCGAGACGACTTTAGAGCTTGCCGGACAGCTCTTTGTCCGTGGTTACGAGGGCATAGATTTCTTCAACATCAATCATAATCGCTCCGAAGTCGAGAAGCCCGACATCATCCCCTTCCTCTATACGTATCCATGGTCTCGTCAGCGATACTGGTACGAAAGTCGGATCACACGACAGCATCGCCTTAAGCCGTTTGCGCGTCACGATCTGATCGGGACACTGACTGACTGGAGTAACGACTTGGAGCCGACGTGGCGCAACTTTATTAGATTGGAGGAGCTTCCATGGCTGCGTGAATACCGGATCAAAGACCGTGCTGTGTTTCCGGTGGCTGCCTTCATTTCCATGGCTGTGGAGGCGGCTGGTCAACAAGCATTACTTAGAGGCACCGAGCCAAGCAGCTTTGATCTGTACGAAGTTGTGGTCCAGGAGCAATTATTTCTAATAGACGATGAACCGGTCGAACTCCTGCTAACGTTTAGACGACATGGTGCATCTAGAGTTGGTTGGGACGAATTTCGTATCTCTAGCTTTGAACCGAAACGAGGATGGTTGGAACATTGTTATGGCTTCATCGAAGCGAGCCCTTTGAAACGCGGCAGCGCCGTACCTATCCGTTCCAAAAATCACCTCGGCCCCAAGACCGAAAGGATTGAGCATTCAATACCCGCCACAGGATTTTATTTTAATTTATGTTCTGGAGGGATCAGTTATCCGCACACATTCTGGAACTTAGTGAACGTCAAGGTGGCTAAGTACGAGTTCAATGCCCAAGGTACCTTTCAGGACACTAAACTCATTATGCCATTGGCGTACGAGTCCTCGTACACAATCCATCCGGCGATGTTGGAGCCACTCATCCAGGTCTCGCAATCCGAATTGGGGCTCGATGGCGTCGCGGAGCCGCGGCTCCCATCTTCAATTAAGCAAGTCCACATTGACGTAAGCGAAGGATGGGAGAGAGCCCCCGGATCTAAGTTCACTGTCCAGTCGGCTAAAGACTCCAAGACCGGCCTATTCACGGCCGAGATGTTTGCGCCAGCGGAGTGTGAGTGGCCTTCCGTCTCGGTGTTGGGGCTGGAGCTCAGTCCGCTGAAGCCCGAGCCCCTGAAGTCATTGAAGCCTAGAGAGCTATGCTATAAAATACAATGGGAGCAAACTGAAGAGAGGCATTCAAATGGTGTGAGCCATGAACATGTCAAATCCAACGGGGAGCGCATAACGATAGTGACGGAACGTGCCCAAGATGATACACTTGTTTCTTCGCTATGCGAGGTCATCAGGGTGCACTCTGGAATTAGTCCAGAAATTACGAGTCTGCTTCATATTCGAGATTTCAGCGGCTTCTTCATATTGATTTCGGAGCTCGACCGTGCTATCCTAGCCTCAATCAACAAAATTGAATTCGAACAAGTCCAGGCTCTATTGACGCAAGCTGGGGGCGTCTTGTGGGTAACATGCGGCGCATCGAAGGTCCCTATGAACCCGAGCATCAATATGGCTCTAGGTTTACTTCGTACAGTACGATCAGAACTCGGCAAAACTGCTGTCACTCTTGACCTTGACCCCGATAGCACTCTGGATATCGAAGGCCAGGCTGAACTGATTGAAGATGCCTTCAGGCGAACTATACTGACAGATAGTCCTGAGGCTGAGGTCGAGTTTGCTGAACAGGGCGGAGACTTGGTCGTACCACGCTTTGTTGCCGACGACGAGATGAACTTACGAGTTCACCGTGAGTTAGGGAAAGCTGAGCCATACCTACAAGACTTTCGCCAGCCTGGCCGTCGGCTTCGTGTTGCTACCCAGGTTGAGGGATTGCTTGACACGCTGTATTTTCAAGACATCATAGCTGATGAGGCGTTGGCGGCCGACCAAATAGAGATTGAAATCAAGGCTAGCATGCTGAGCCAAGACGATGTTCTAGCTCTTAGGGCTACGAGTATGACTGGTAGACCGGAACGATCGTGTAGTGGCATCGTGGTTCGTGCTGGGCACGAAGTTGTCGATGTTAGTGTGGGGGATATGGTATGCACCCTGGCCGATCACCGGTTGGGTACACATGCCTGTATAGCCTCATACGGCGTTGTCAAGTTCCCCCCGAGCATGGACTTTGAAGATGCAGCCATGATTCCCTCTGCCTTCGGTGCAGCCTTTTACGCCCTTTCACATGTCGCTCGAATCCGAAAATCGGAACGTGTACTCATCCATACAAATGATACCAAAGGACTTGCCGCGATACAGGTCGCACACCATCTTGGCGCTAATGTGTTCATTGCAGTCCACGGCAATGAAAGAAGAGACTTTGTCACGAAGTCATTCGGGATAAGACCGAGGAATATCTTTGACACGGCTAGCATCTATTTCGAACGTGAAATTCGAGATGCAACTTGCGGGGATGGTATGGATGTTGTCTTCAGCACCTCATCTAGCTTGTCGTCAGGAGCCAATGATCTAAGTAAGATCTGGTCAAGCACAGGAACTTTTGGACGTATTGTTCATATGCAAGGAGCACTCGACGCTCGTCTTGACGGCTGGAACGCTAGATCTGACTTGGCCGACAACATAAGTTTCACGTCAGTCAATATATTAAACCTGGCCATTACGCGCCAGCGGCTTATGAGAGACATTCTCAAGGAGGTGCTAGACTGCTTTTCAAAGGGCGTGTTGAAGCCATTTAAAAGAGCGCTTATTTTGCGAATGGCGGAACTAGACGATGGCTTGAAGATGATTCAACAAGGCACTTTGCACCCAATCGTCCTTTCTGCTCAAAAGGGTGATCAGGTTATGGTAAGTAATGTGTTCGCCATCAATTTCAACGGATAGCCCGCCCAGTAGTAACTGACAAATATATCCATAGGCGCTGCACTACACTTCGAAGCGATTCCTCAATTCGGACGGCACACATGTTATCATTGGTGGTACTGGCGGTCTTGGACGCAGTATGGCTAGATGGATGGTCGAACATGGCGCTCGGCATATAGTCTTGCTGTCTAGAAGCGGTGGTAAGGCTCATGAGGTGAAAAGACTCATCGAAGAGACTCGAGATAAAGCCAACATCATCGTCAAAACCAGCGACATCGCCAGCGAAGAAGATGCATATCGAGTTGTGAGAGAATGTGTTGAGACACTTCCACCAATATGCGGCGTGATTCATGCTGCCATGATGCTCCACGTAAGTCTAATCCCAACCCAATAACAATATCGGTTGAGACGATATTATAAATGAAAATCTAACACATTGTGATAGGACGGATTAATAGAAAGCATGACCCACGACTCGTACATCTCAGCTATTCGTGCTAAAGTAAAGGGTACCTGGAACATCCACAATGCGCTCGAGTCTGTCAACGTACGATTGGATTATTTCGTCCTGGTCTCCAGTGCCGCAGGCATTGTTGGGAGCCGAGGTCAGGCTGCATATGCTGCTGCTAATACATTCCTGGATGGGTTTGCTCTATGCAGAGTAGCGCAGGGTCTCCCTGGCGTCTCCCTCGATCTCACAGCTGTGACCGGCGCCGGGTACATTGCCGAAAATACAACACGCGAAGAAGAAATCATCAAGAATTTCGGCGGACAGTCTATTTCGGAAGCCGAAGTACTGGGTCTTTTGGCTGTTGCCACATCCGGGAAATGCAGTGCACAGTGCTTAACTGGCCTGAAGCTTGCCCCAACCAACACAGGTTCCCTGCCCTACTATGCAGAGGACCCACGGTTTGCACACCTCAAGGCGGCCGCAACGACTGAGATACGAGCTGCAGGCAGCGATTCTGGAAAACCCGTATCATACAGGAGTGCGTTCCGGGCTGCAGCTAGCAACGACGAGGCCCGTCAAGTTGCTGTACAGGGTGTGCTGCAGAAGCTATCCGAAGTACTGTCAGTAGCGCGTGACGATGTTGATGCTCAGCGGAGTATGGCATCGTACGGTCTAGACTCCCTGACTGCCATTGAAGTTCGCAATTGGATCACAAGAGAACTGGGGGCCACCCTCGAAATCTTGGAGTTACTAACAAGTGCAAACGTGACGGATCTGGCGGAGTTGATTGTTTCGCGGACGAAAGCGTGATTGTGATGTGATTTCTAGATCTCATCCATGGATGCTTTACTTGTATATATAAATGCCAAATCAAATATGTATGTATCTCAGATAGAATAGAAGGGGATTATTACGCATCTTGAGTGCCCCGCGAAGAACATTGAATACCATCATGTATTCATATGGCATACATATGCATTGACGTCCAATAAAGTTGTGATACAAGGAAGAAATACGAGTTGATGTGTGAACAACATATGTAGTTATGCACAAGTATCTAAGAATATGCACGTGCATGTATAACCTGCATTTTATGGATAACATCATAACACAAGCATAGCCACTACATATGGTATAAATACATGCTCGACCACCAGAGCACGAAATAGTAGGTATTCCAATTTCCAAGGTTATCAAGTGCTACATGTACTCTTTGACAATGTGTTTGCTTTCCGTAATTAATCGTGCAGACTATAAAGGTAGGTAGATAGGTACATATATGTACATGTGCTGATAAACCGTGATGCGTACCTATGTATGTGCTCAGAGCAACCAAGTAAATCAGCCTAGGTGTAACAGGTAGCCCGTCTTTTATTATGTAAACTTTCCTTAAGCTTCATGTATTATACGGTTATTCCTATTGCAACCCTTTTGTATAATCCGTCGCATCTTTGAAATCGATCAGGGTATATCTGATAACCTTCCCAGGGCTATATACTTCTAAGATTGCTAGCAACTGATTGCCTTCACTGGGTCCAGTCGTCCCACACTCCTAGGAGTCGGAGAGAAGCCTTTTCAGGTGAAAACACCTGTATTCGATAAACTCGCCAGTGAACTTGAAATGGCCTGTGGAGGATTCGTAGATAGTGAACGACCCTTTGTTAGAATCTCGGATGATGGCCAAGCATGCGTCAGGATTCTGTCTTGGACAGACCAAGTGATACGAGAACAAGGAATTCGAGGCCAATCTATTGCGTCCGAATTTTTGTTCTCGACTAGACGCACTGGGAATTTCGTGACTGGCATACGGCTCAATTCTACCTCTGGCAACTGAGTCGACAAGGGGTGGAAGCAAGGCTCCTATGCCTTCGGACTTCCAAGTGCCTTCGGACTCCCATGGCTGCGCTCGAGGCTCAGCCGGCTCATCTGACTAGCCATACTGACGCCAGTACCCTTTCTAGTTCTCAATGCCTTATCCCATCGTTTCTTGTCGACAACAGGAGCGCCGTGGCTATCAAGGCCAAGAACTTCCAATAGCTCTGGCATCTCAGCATGATCTCGTGTCGTTTTCATGCGATGGCACCAGGTGACGCGCTTCTCCTCGACTTTAGGCTCTTCGTCGTCATTGTCCGGCTTGTCATCCTCGGCCGGAAGCTCCAGCTTCTTCTCCTCCTCGCTACGTGGGGTTGTGACGGGGGTATCTAACGTCAGAGTTGCCGGTTCGAAGAGGAACTCCCCACCTACTTGTCGTTGGTCACCCATCTTCATCACCAAGCCTGATTTGACTTGCTTCAATCCTTGGACAACACCGGAAATGACCGTGTGTGCTACCGATTTTCCCTGAAGATAAGCAGGCCGGGGGCCTAATGCAAGAGTGCGGACCATTCCCAGTTCCGTGTAGAGACGGCGAGTGGGGTCAGCATAGACTGGGAATGGGCACCCAGTTTCCTGGATGTATGAGTTGATCAAATGGGGGTCACCACAACCAACGACAGCAATAAAGGTGCTGACTGGCAACTGCAGGAGAGAATCAGGGGTAACTGAGGCAGTGAGAGTACGCAAATATTCTTGGCAATTCTGTGATGTGCTCATTAGTGTCAAAGGAATAGGTACCCTAGGTACCTAGGTAGGCATTTTTGATGTGCGTGGATAGAGAGAAGAAGGCATTGACTTACACCACAGAAGAAATGTCGAATGAAAATGACAAGCACTCGACGTGCAACATTATGCCCAGCATACAGGCTCTTGAAGGTATGAGATTTTCCATCGCTGTCAAGGACCGTGTAAGCCTCTATCTTGCGTAGTGTCTCGGTCGTTGGTAAGTCATTATTCGTCTGCACTTCGCCATGGAAATCAGGTGGGTTCACAACATCATTTTCGGCTTGGACATTAGTTGATTGTGGTACCAAGTACGTATCCGTAGTAGTTGAGGTAGGTGGTTTCGCCACTGGGGATTTGGGTGTGTCTGTTTTGTTTGATGAATCCAAAGCAGGCCCTTTGACCACTGTAGGCTTATCTGTTGTCACAGTCGGCGACTGAGTTTTCTGGTCATTTGCCATGGTAACTTCTTGTTTCTGGGTGATGAGTTCCAATATTATGTATAGTGTATTGTGTATTGTGTATTGTGTTTTGTGTCAATGAAGCCGTTTGAGTTATGTTGGTGGCATATGATGGGGTAAGTTGAACTTGAAGTGGGATGAAGGCGGTGGAGCCACTTGAAGGGAAACTTGCCAATGCAAGCGTAAAGCAATTTGTGCCGATGGTCAAGGTTAGAGCTAAGCTGCTGATTTCATTTGTCTTGGAAATCAAGTATTCTGTGAAAGGGAAAGAGGAGAAGAGAATGAATGAATTTATCTGGAGGTAACTACAGTTATATAAATTGTTTCAGGAAGAAGTTGAAAATGCTGAATGCTGAAACTTGGGAAGGAAGTGGTACAGTTTAGCTGTGCATATATGCACGTTAAGCAGGTAGGTACCTGTGGTGCATGCACTATTTACGCACTGTGTTATATTATGTATGTGCATATTGTACTGTACTACTAGTAGTACTGTCACAGCCACATCGACACACACACACAGAGCACACAGAGTTGCACAGTTAGATCTCATCTGAAGTTCCAACCACGTGGTTAGAGTTTCAAGGATGGTTACGAGGTACACTACTAACATATGTACTACATACTACATACTACATACTACATACTACATTTACCCTCATACTTGTAATTCAATCTATGTATTAAAATCTCTCCCATGTGCATGTGGCTAGAGGCAAACGAATGTATATTAACTAGTAGTATCTACTTAGTCATTAATCAAGTGTAAACGAGCTACGACGACTTGTAGAAGTGATAAAGCTCGGGTAATCATGGCAGAATCCTATCTAACGAGGCAGCTCGCACGCCCAGAAGGGTAAGTTGGACCTAGCATAGTTCTTGATTGAAGGGCGGCGGGCGCGTTGTTTGCTGTTGTTTGTGATGCCTATTATCAATCCCCAGTCTCGAACCTCGCCTTGGAGTGGCCGTAGAGGTAAGAGCTGATGGGACTAGTTCACTGCACTTCTGGCCTTCTCTATTGCTGCCTCTCCATCTAGTATCAGACCAAAATTAATTGGTCGGGTGGCTTCTGTCGCAACGCTCCGTGAATGGGTCTCCGAAGAGCTTTGTCCTCTGGCAGCTGCTTGAACTCAATCACTTCCGCCGAATCGGCTACGAGTAGAGGCCCGGATAGAGTTGTGAGGTTCCAAGTTATGTGAATTGGCATGTACCAAGGCACAATTTGTCCTGTAGAACTCGGGTTGGGATGGTTGCTAGTTAAGCGTCCGGTGTTGGGATAACTTCAGGGTTTAATGCTCACTTAGCATACCTGTCCTCGTATAAGACATGGTGCTGTTTGCTTGTCGTGCGAGCATCAATCAAATCCACTGCCAATCTGGCTAGCAAAAGCGGTACTGACGGACTTCTCGTCGTCATCATATCGGCGCCGAAAGCCGTTTGGAAAGCCAGGATAGCTGGAACTATCTGCCACGTGTTGCTTCAATCGGTCGCTCTGGGCATAAGACGTAGGTCGGGAACGAAGAGCATCCGGAAGCCCAGCTCCGAGGCTGGCACCACCCTGCCCTACACCTTTACTGCCAATCACACTAGCAGTACCATCGGTGTATTCAGAGGTAGCAACGCTTTCACCAGCAACGCTCTCAGTTGCTCGCCCCCTGCCTTTACCCCCCACCCGGCCGCCTGGTGTCGCATTGAAGCCTGGAAGTCCAGGCCATTGCTCAGGATTGAAGCTAGAAAACATTTGCGGGAAAGCAGTGTTGCCTATCCCAGCACCACCAAGAGCAGAACTATGGATGCTGGACGTGTCGTCCGGAATAAAAGAAAGCATAGAGCTCGATTCAAAGTCTTGATTCGTGTTGGGGCCATTAAATCCGGAAGAGCGACCGTTGGAATAGACGCTGGGGACATACGAAGCCTGCTGAGGGCGTTGGCGGTAGGAGTTCTTGGGCCGACTGAACTGAAGCAGAGATGTTTGCAAGTTAGTCAAGGGCCCTTCAACAAGGCATTTGCGCTCCTTAAAGTGGACTAAGAGATGATGCCATAGCTCATGCTTAGATAGGACCTTAGGGTTGCCGATGATCACGAGTCCATACTTGGCGCGAGTGAGAGCGACGTTCAGCCGACGAGGATCAGACAAGAATCCAATGCCCTGGTTGTCATTGGATCGTACGCAAGAGAGGACAATGAAATCCTTTTCACGTCCTTGAAAAGCATCGACGGATGCAACTTCGACCTCTTTATAGGATTCTTTCTTGAATGTACCCGTATTCTGCATTGTCGTGACGATATAACTGCGCTGACCTTCGTATGGGGTAATAACACCAATATCAGAGGGCCGCACGCCCGCTTTGAAGAAGCGTGTCACAATCTTCTCTACATTGGAAGCTTCAGTTCGGTTGAGGTATGACGTTCCAGAAGCAGAGATCTCCTCATTGCCTAGGTTAGACCAGAACATCATGGGCATTTCGCCAACCGGCCAGGGGAAGTCAACGTCCTTGCGGATACGGTTCGGCGCGGAGACACCATTTTGAAGAGACCCTTCGTAGAACATGTTAGATGGGAATTCTGATAGGCATGGATGCATTCGGTATTGAATATTAAGCCGGATAGGAGTGAAACCGAGTTTGACCAGACGCTCAAAGAGAGATTGGTTTAGACCAGCCTTTGCAGCCTTCTTGTTCATGATTACAGGGCCTAGCTGTTTGTGGTCCCCAACAAGAACAACTTGCTTGCAGCCAAGGACAAGGGGGATCATGCATTCGGGCTCCGCAGACTGCGTGGATTCGTCAATGAGAACGTTGCGGAATTTCATCTTCGCTAAACGCGGGTCTCCAGCACCAACGCAAGTACAACAGACTACATCTGCGTTGTTCAGAATCTCGCGTTCAGCAGCGCGAGTCAACTGCTTGAACCTCTTCTCATCCTGACTCCCAAGTTCTCCAGCCTCTGTCTTCAGCTGCGACAGCTTCATCAGGTCGGGGTTGGTATCGAGCATGCGGACTTGCTCGTGGAGTGCAAGAAAGCTGACAGAGGACTCAACATCTTCACGAGACTTGGCTGTAAGGCGGACAACCTTCAAGCCCGTCAAGTTGATTCGCTCACATAGTTGGTCCACGGCAACGTTTGAAGGGGCACACACGAGAACTTGGCCATTGTTCATCTTGGCCAGGTGGTAGATGATAGTGGCAGATGTGACCGTCTTACCAGTTCCTGGCGGACCCTGGATAAGACTGAGAGGTGTAAGCAAGACATTCTTTATGGCGCTGATCTGACTGCTGTTCAACTCCGGAAGTCCTGGAACACTGAACTTCTTAGGCAGGTTGGTCTTCATGGGAGCAACAGCTACTTCATGGCCGAGGAGTTTGTGGAAGATGTATCCCGAAACACTCATCTCGTCAACGGCAAATGTCTTCATAGCCGCTTGCATGCGGTCATATGAGGTAGCTTTCCAGACGTAGTCGGCCGAGAAGTTGTGCGTGCATTCAGTCGGAACGAACTTTTCATTCCCTGTCTTTCGAAGTTCCAACGTGACCTCATCCGACTGATTGTTAGGAATCTTGACTACGTATCCTACTCCCTCCCAAGGAGGACGGAGCTCGCCCTTATATTTAATTCTCATCTCATCACCTACTGCTAGCTTGACGTCGCCAGATTCAAGCTTCGGAAACGTGAAGCTAGCTAGATGCTTGTTATTAAGGCCATAATCCCAACGGACTACCAGACCATCTTCGGACTGCGCTTCCTTCAGTTTCTTATCGTAGTCGGATTCCATCTTAACAAGAGGGCCGAAAATATTCTGGTATTGGTATGGGTCCTCGTACTTGAGAAGAACTGGAAGTGGATCATCGTCAATACTAGCTGCTTTCTCCAAGTCGGTTATGGTTGCATTGGCATTTTCTTTCCACATTTCCTCCAATTTAGCAATCATGGGGGGAGTTAAGTGCCGGGCGCGAAGCTGTTCGTTGTCGCTTGGTGGTGACACGAGCCATGGTAAGAATCCACGGTCCTCGATCAAGGGCTGCCACCTGGAGGTATCCCAACTCATGTCTTTGGAAGAGGGCGTGGCAGCACAGGGCTGGCGGCATAGGAGCACAACAACGGTATCGGACTTCGCAGGGATGAATCCAAGCAAGAAAACATTTTTCGTACCGCAGTTATAACACTCGAGGGTCGTATCGCCAAGCGTGGATTGAGGGTGAAGTTGGACTTCCTTGTGTCGAGCACGAACGAGATGGTTGACGATATGCGACGAGCTCGCATTCCCTCTGGCACTGCAGAACCACTTGTTGCAAGCAAGACACTTCACAACTGATCCTGGGGAATGGATACCACAATAGCTACGGGACACGTTAGAAGTCTAATTAACCAACAGCCTCAAAAACTTATAAACCTACGCGCATGCATGTGGGGGTAGTTTCTTGTCCTCCTCGGGGGCCTTGAGGTTCAAACCCCCCAGAAGTCCAACAGAGACACTTGCCAAGCTCTCGGTATCGTCATCGTCAAAAGTCTCGGTCTCATTATCGTCGTCGTCGTTTCGTCTCCTTGCGCCGCCCAGACCACCGCGGCCGCTATATTTACCGTAGAGGAGGCTCTCGTCAGGATCCAGGGTAGATAAATCGTCGTCGCCAGCATTAATAGCGGCGGCAGAATCAGACACCAGGTGATTTCCGACGTGAGTAAAAGCGCCTTCCATCGTAGTGCCGTCGACCGGCTAGGACAGCCGAGTTCGGAAGGGGATAGTTGCTTTCTACCTAATGTTTTTATTTCTATTTCGGTGAGGTTTCGATGAGCTAAGCCAGTTGATTAGCTGTTCTACTTCTTGTAATGTGAGCTCAGTCAAGAGTTGAATAGAAGATATTAATAGGTTAGAAGGGAGATTCATGGAATTGCTTCTAGGAGAAGGGCATAGTGAAATGCGAATATTACAGAATGTAAAATACGAAGAAAAAAGAAAAGAAAAAAAGAGCACAAGGACTATGTATACAAATAGGGTGGATATGGCGCCAGTAGTACCTTATAAATAATAGTGACACACCAGGTGTAAGTAAGCTTGAGTTAATGTCTCTTTGTCGCTGCCTCGATAGGCGCAGAGATGTTTGTTGTTAAATTATGGAGGGGGTGATAAGGAGGGAAATAAAAAAGGATGTGATCACATTGTGGAATCCTGAGGTGTAGATTTCTGAGATTGCGATAACTTTCGCGCTTGTACAATGTAGTTAAACTTTTGTAGTTAACTAACTTTTACTTCTACATAGTGTGGCGGACAGAAATCTACGTGCTAGTACATACACAGGTGCTACCCTGGTACCTAAGTTCAATAGGTACGTAGTCATGCTCACTTCAATGTTCTAGCACGCGGGATGGTGGGTCCCAAACACCTGGGCCAAACATTCCATGTACCCACCTTTTCTTTTTCTATGCACTATCGGAGCTTGATACCTAGTAGCCTCCGACTCCAAATTTTCTCTGATGCGAAAGTTCAACATTGAACATTTGAACTTCGTCGATTCGCAACTTTCTTTATCCTTCTCCAGGTCTTTAAGAGAAGAACATATATCTTTTTAATACGCACTGTCAACACTTAACATTGCTGTATAAACTACAAGATCTGTATATGCAACTGTTTAAGTTATAATCTCTTTTCAAACAGCCTACCTTACCAAGAATAACCATGATTGTAGGTTGGCCTCTAGGCTTAGTATTGTTTACCTGCTAACACAAAGTTTCTACAGCGTAAACAAGCACGTCAACGCCGTGACTATCTGTATAGGAGGGCTTTACTATTGCGCGACTCAGAAATCAGTGAAAAAAGGGCAAAACTTAGAGCATCTTTAGCCACCGGCAGGCCTTTAGATCCATCTATCGCAAATGATAAGGACTTAAGGAAAGACTTTCAATTTGATGAATCGCGACCCGAGCGAAGCACAAACGAAGAATTAGATCTCGACGATGAATATTCACAGCTTTCTGGGATAGTTGATCCTCGAGTTCTCGTTACCACCTCAAGAGACCCATCCGCTCGCTTGTCAGCATTCGCCAAGGAAATTCGACTGTTGCTCCCCACTGCCATCCGACTGAATCGCGGGAATTTAATCCTCCCAGACCTCGTCAGATCAGCACAGGCCGGTGGTCTTAGCGACTTGCTTCTTCTCCATGAGCATCGTGGTGTTCCAACAGCGTTGACGTTGTCCCACTTCCCCCATGGGCCAACAATATCGTTTTCTCTGCACAACGTCGTGTTGCGTCATGATATCCCTAACAGCATTCGAGGAACCGTTAGCGAGTCGTACCCACACTTGATATTCGACGGTAAGTTCGTGTCCCACATGCACTCGAGTTACCTTTGCTAAGCTTGAGACTTCTAGGCTTTACTTCTCGTCTTGGTGAGAGAGTCGTTAAGATTTTGAAGCATATATTCCCACCCCGTGAGCCCCTCACAACTAAGGACAAGCTCGGGAGTCGCATAGTTACATTTAAAAACATAGAAGATTCGATCGAAGTGCGACATCATGTTTTCGTAAGGACCGGATACGATAGCGTTGAGTTGTCCGAAGTTGGTCCCCGAATGACGATGAAGGTTTTCGAGATCCGAAGTGGTACGTTGGAGAACAAAGATGGCGACGTCGAGTGGCATTTGAATCAGTACACAAGGACTAGCCGCAAGAAGGACTACCTTTGAGCCCCTACAAACCTGGGTACTTTTGAAGCATGTTCTACGGCCTCAGACGAATACATGGCGCCATGGAGAATGGTGCACCTCCATTCGGATCCAGGCAAACCTCCAGATGAGTATGTAGCTGTCTTCTAGCAGCGTGTTCATATAACGGCCACTCAATAAATAGAACAGTTCATGGACGAGTAGGTTCAGTACAGATGTGGGCGACGAATCCATGTTGCGGAGGCTCGGGAAGGGGTATGTGCCAAGCGAATGATAACGGTCTCGGTCGTCGCTTTACAACCCCCAAGCCAGCGCGGTATCAACTTATAACGCACGACGACGCCATCCTGAAGTTTTTACAGTCTCATATCCTAATACATCGTCGGTCTACTACGCACAGCTCTCAAAGAGATCTGACTTCTAGCAAAGAAAATTATGTCTACGATAGTCTTGAGCGATTCATACGGCTAGCCGACATCGAGAGACAGACAGCTCGCGTGCGCTAGTAGCAGGATTAAATAGCATGATATATGGGGAGAACTAGACGTTGTCTCTGTAGCATGTTGGTATGTTAATATGATGTAGTTGGCGGCTTGAGATGAAATTCTACACCAACAAAAAGGCGTATGAACGGATGAATGATATAGTGAAACAATGACAACATAAGTTCTTCAACCATTCTTCACATGCATACTTGCATCAAGTCCGACATACATACCTAGTACAGGTAGGCAGCAGCATATGCCAGCAAGTTACTACATACGAGCGATGTATGTTAGTACTCAGGAAACTCATGTGATGGCCAAACGAGCAGCAGCTACATAGCATAACATAAGCTGTTGTCGCATAAAATGAATACTCTGACCCATGGAATCGTCTAAGAAAGAAAACAGATGCGGAAGTCTCGGACCTTATAGATATATGTACATAGTAAGGGCATTGTACTGGGGGCTATAAACATTGAATTCCAAAGATTCAATGTTCACAGCCCCTGAGGCTGACGCTACAAATTCGCCGCCATTAAGTTGCAGGCGACGCCTTACGGCTAAACCCCCATAGGGGGGGGGTGACAGCGGGGGCTGTGTTTATTTTTAGTGCCATCTCCATGTCTGTGTGGGTAATACATATGTAGGTTATTTAGGGTATTTAGGTACCTTAACCGGGTGGGCGAATGTCGCTCAGACTCGCTCTTTGTCCAAGCCACCACCCAGTCGTACATAGTTCAGCATCATCCATCCATCATCCATGCTATATACATCATGAGAAAGTCTTGAGGTATATATGAAGTATGAAAAGATTTGATTGGCTTAAGGACCAGAATCGCATGTTAAGACTTGAATAAGAAAGTTTCAAGTTCCCATGAATTTTTCATTCGCATTTTTTATTCAATCCATACCTATAGGACCTAGGTACATTACCTGGTTAGTACATTGTTTTATTGATTTATTGAATATTGCATTGCATTTTTAAAATTGTAATTCTCAATATCGATCTGTTCATCCCCGCCGATCGTCAAACAAAGACAAACTTATTGAAAGTTGATTGGAGCAGAAGACCCTGTTTTAAAAAAAAACCCTCCCCCCCAGAAAGGAACATACTACCTTGTAAGTAGTAAGGCCCTGTCACGCTAATTATTTAGGTGTTGTAGGGTATATATAAATAAAAACAGCACACTAACAGCACTAACAGCACTAACAGCACTAACAGCACTAACAGCAACTGCAAAAGATCAGACCAAAGCAGGCAAAACAAGCTTGAGGTAGCTGAAAATTAACTGATTTGTTTCCCTCTCTCCAATTCTCATTCTTTTCTTCACATCACTTTATCATCCAACTGGGCATTGTATTCGGCCTATCAAGCCGTCTCCCGCCCCGACATTTTACACCGAGACCATAAATCTATTACGATTTTGGATTTCGGCACGGTTGAGAGGGTCAAAGCTGTAAATTCATCGTCATGTCTTACGGCCAGTATCAAAACAATCCATACCAACAAGGCCCATCGGCTGAGGGTGGTTATGGTAACCATTATGACAATGGACAGGTAAGCGACATTGCAAATTATTTCATCAACATTGTATCAACGTATACCGATATAATCTAATCATCGTCGTAAATAGGATCATGAGCTACAGAACTACCCCCCACAGCCTGTTTCGGACACTCTGTCGCAACAAGATTTTCTCGGTCGCATTCAATTTCTACGAAATGAGATTGGTACATTGACGAACAATGTCCGAGCCATCGCATCTCTTCATCAGCGCGCCCTAGCTGAGGCCGACGGCGGTGCAGCATCCCAACAGCTTGAAGGTGTTGTTGCTGACACTCAAACATTGAACGCTGGTATCCGCGATCAACTCAAGTTTCTGGCAAATGATGCGAACAGAACAACCGACGCCGGCCGCAACGTGAAGGAACGTCAAGTCAACACCATCAAGTCCGAGTTTGAGCGTGAGCTACACGCTTATCAACAGGAAGAAGCTTCCTTCAGTCAGCGGTATCGCGACCAAATCGCCCGACAGTATCGTATTGTCAACCCCGAAGCTACCGAATCTGAGGTTCAACAAGCGACCGAAGCCGATTGGGGAAATGAAGGTGTTTTCCAGACTGCAGTATGTTTTTTTTGTCATTCGCTCCCATTTCCTTTTCAGAAACGTCCCTGTCGTTTCTTTCATTGCGTTCTTTTCTCTCTTCTCGTAGTTATTCTCACCGCAGAATAAATGCTGACAACCGAACGCAGCTCCGGACGAACCGCACTGGCCAAGCCTCTTCGGTTCTTGGCGCTGTTCGCGCACGACACAACGAATTGCAGCGCATCGAGCGCACACTTATAGAATTAGCAGCAATGTTCCAAGATCTTGCTATACTGGTAGAACAGCAAGAGCCTATGGTCCAGGCAGCAGAGCAAAATGCTGAGAACACGACCAAGTATATTGATGAGGGTAACACGCACGTGCAGAAAGGAATTAACCACGCTCGCAACCGCCGCAAGTGGAAGTGGTGGTGCCTTCTCATCGTCATCCTCATCATTGCCATTGCTGTCGGTGTCGGTGTTGGTGTTGCGGCTTCTAACGGAGCCTTCAACAAGAGCCAATAAATTCGGACTCGAAATATTCATGTGTGGTTATATTTTGTTTGTCAGTTGACGTCTTTACTGGCCTTATAACCGAGACGACATCCACCCTTTAAACACTCGAAACTTGGAACTCGGAACAGGAGGGGGGGTAAAAAGTTAATAGATCATGCGGAGGCGGATCTTGGTAGATGATATGAGACGTTAATTCCTGACTTGCTGGCCGATAATCTACCTAGGTATACATATGTATAGGCGGCGAAGTCTTCGGCATCCAGTACTGTATGAGGAGGGAGGGGGTGTGGGAGGTGGGTGTCCCTTAATTGCATTGTTTTTCTTTATTACCTAGGTACCTACTACTGTACCTATGCATAGGGTTCACGCAAGTATTATCTGCCGGCTTTGGGCAGCAGGTTCTTTTTTTTCTTCTTTTTTTCTACACTTGGATCTTTTCAGATCAGGGTGATGGTCTATGAGTTGACTTGACCTATGCGGGCTGGTGGTAATTTGTAAATAGGTAGATTTACGTAGGCCCGTTAACCAATTCGTATGACTATATTCTATTTTTTTTTTTTCTAAAAATAATCACTTAATTCGTTCCGTGTTTCACATGATGCTCTATAGGTATGTTGAAGCCAGGCTTCTTGACTACCTACATATGTAGGTATTGCCGTGGTCAGTTTGGCAAATACTTGCCTAGGTAGGTAGGTGGTATATCATAAAAAGGGGCTCTCTGTCTAGTAGTACCTACTATTGCTAATACTCCTAGTCAAGCGCTGTTTTCTTACCTAGGGTATATCAACTTTTTAGGCAACTACTAAATGTAATTATCCAATCTTCTTTCTCATCACGTAATTAATTACCGAAGCATGTGTCTTGGGATTATTATAATGACGTACGACATGGTTACAAGATCAATAGTATGTAGGTGGGTATCTTACGTGAAATCTGACATTGGAACTAACTAACAACATTAAGATGAGAATCTGAGTTTTTTTTTACCATTTCACTACATACTACATAGATACATGAGGAGGTATTCAAAAATGTACCTATATAAGAACTTCTTTATAACATACACCAAGTAACCATATACCAAGTTCGCAAAAAGCCTATCAGTGGTGGGTGGCTAACCAAAAAACTAGTATACCTTTTCGCTTTTGTTTCTGTTTTAGGGGGTTCTTTCTTCCTTCCGAACCTTGGAAGTAGGCTGCATGCAACAGTCTAAGCCGAAGCCTTGGACGGAGCCTTGGCCGAAGCCTTAGCTGAAGCCTTGGCCTTGAGGCTCAAGAGCTTAACGCCAGGCGCGGCCTTCTCTAGTAGTTTATCGAACAGCGGGGTGCCGAGGCCCGTAACGGGGTCCCATCCCTCGGTCGCGTTCCATCCCGCGCCGGGGACGAAAGGGGCGGGGAGGCCGCTGTAGACTAGAGAGACATATGTTAGCGTTGGTGCTGGGAGGGAACGAAAGATGAAAGCTGAGAAGACCAATGTGTAAAATGTTCATAAGAGAAGGGGGAAGACATACTATCTCGACCGGTGCATCCCGTGCTACCTCCATCCACAATATCCGTAAGCCCGCCGTCGGCTGCAACGCTATACAACCAGGGGTTCAAGAATCCCAGCGGCTTCTCGCCGGCCTTGATGCGGGCGTTGTTGAGCAGACTGACGATAGCGGCGAAGGTGGGCGCGGACGCCGAGGTGCCGCCGACCTTGATGACGCGGCCCTGGGAAACTACACTAAAGTTTCGCCCTTGGGCGGCGACGTCGGGGAAACCGCGTCCGGATGGGTTGTACAGGTTCTCGAAGGTGCTTCCTATGCCGGCGAGATACGCGGACACGGCCGGCTTCTGGTACTCCGGGGCCGGGAACACGTCCGAGAACCCGCCCGACGAGAAGGAGACGGCGGCCTCGGGCTCGACTCCGACCGTGCCGCCGACCGATGTCACGTACGGGCAGGCGGCGGGGAAGATGGGGAGGAGCCGTGTGGTGTTCTTGCCGTCATTAGTCTGGCAAGCGCTGCCAGGGCCGGTGCTGAAGGACGAGGTAAGTTAGTAAGTAAACAAGTAGGTATCTTGTGCAATTTCAGATGGGCATCCGCATGGTATAAGTATAAGTTGAGGGAAAGAAGAAGAAACAAAGAAAAAACAAAACTCACTCTCCGGAACTAAAGAGAACAGAAACGCCGCGAGCGCCTAGCTGCCCGATCATGGTGCATACTTTCTCGACGTACGCCTTGGGGACTGATTGCTCGTCCTCGCCGTAGGACGTAGTCAGAGTATGCGGGAGCTCCTCATCGGGCAGATCAAGGAGATAGGTGAAGTACTCGAGGTATGGTTCATTTTGTCCCTGGAGAAGACGCGATTAATAAGTGAGTTTCCTAAAAAAATAAAAAAAACCCCCCGGGTCATTTCATCTACTCACTTCTTCTGGGTCTGGTTGGCTTTGGGAGAATTAGTTAATTGGTAACTCGTAAAGGGGTTAAGACAAAAGGATAAAGGGGGGGCTGGCTTACTCAAGATCAGGAATTAGTGGACCACGGCCACCATTAGAATAGTATCGGACCTCCGTGTTGAAGCCCAACGAGCTCGCGTATTGGATATCTAGGTTGGCCTCGACGTCATCGTCGACGGTGTCATTCTGTTTATCCAAACCACCATTGACAGAAACGGTGGTGAAATTCTGAGCTAGGGCGTACGGCGCGAATTGCTCAAGGAACTGATCCAAGGCATCATGCTTGGCGTACTCCTCCAAGAAACCGCTGACGCCAAGAATTGTTTGGACGCTTGGATCCGCGGTCGTGTCACCCAGGTTGTACAGTGCCCTCAGGCATTCAGGAGTAATGGTGGAGTTACAGAAGGCCGTGTCGAGCTCTTGTGTAGGGATGGCTGCCGCGATTCCGATGTAATTCTCAATCTCTTCCTGGATGATAATCTCGTGGATTTCGATTGCCTGTGGCCGGATCTGGCCGAACCTTGTCGTCGGCTGGATCATGGTGATATGAGACCGCACTTCCTCGGGCACGGAATAGCTATCTGGGTTAGTGAATTGCGATGCCTTGCCCAACGGAAACGGGGTGATACATACTGAAGTGTTCGTACTCGCTCAGCTTGTGTACCGACATGATTGTATACTTGGAAGTTGGTGTTCAACATGTCTGCCGCCTTGGACACGGTGGTTCGGAAATTAATCCATTCGCCGGTATTTTGGATGTTAGACGAAGGGATTCCAGACTCTTTGAGCCAATCCAGCACGGCAGCAGTAGATTCGTCCCTCGGCTTCATCATCTCCTTGACCTGGTCACGCGACAAGTGACGGCCGTATAAGGCATGCTGGGGGGTGGATATGTCATAAAGAGTTCTCTCGAATTCGGCCAAGTTGGGTTGTTCAAGCGCGATGCGTAGCTTAACAACCTGGTTCGAGTCCGCGTTCCTGAGTTTTCTCCAGCCCGTTGGCACCGTCGGCAGCGATTCGACAACGACATCTTTGCCCTCGACTGCGGCTTGTAGCAGCGCAATGGCCGCGCAAATAAGAGTATAAGACCTCATTGTGCCCTTACCTAACTAATACCTAGGTATCTATAATGGAAATTATAAAAATCTTGGTTAGGGAGGGATTCAGAATCGCGCTCGAAGGGCTGGGAAGAGCGGCTCCAGGACTATCTGTACTCCTAGAAATACGCCCGATAGGTGTGGTTTCGGGTACGAATACCTATTGTGGTGGTATCATTTCAATGTTGTCAATTCTGGAAGGGGCAGGTCTCCCGGGGGTGATAGCTCTTGTGCATGGGAGATATTTGCTTGTTTTTTTTTTATTTGTTTTTATATACAAATACCTACAACTTATATGTATGTCATGTCATGTACACACTTCTATAAGGAAAGTACTATGTACAATGTACCTACTGTACCCCGTACTAATCAGTCCATATAAAGGAAGGTCAAGACAGGGGATAATCGTATGTATAAGTGTCGATTACCTACATAGTACCTGCCTCCAGCTATTATTATTCCAAGACCATTGTTTCGAATTTAGTTTATTCACCCGTAACCCCGTGGGCTTGATGTAGATCACCGATTCTTTCTTAAATTCTCATTCAAAAACCAGTACTCTACTTCATTATTACATACATTACAATATAATATATATTTTTTAAAAAAAAATTTACTTATTTATTTGAATAACCTTAAGTTTGTAGCTGTCTCATATGTTCTGAATTTGTTGTTGGAAGGAGTAGGTGTATTCAAGCATCAGATACCAAGGAATCTGTGATTACTCCCTGGCACTTACGGTGACTTACCTATACCCAGTACTATGTGGGTACTAAACATGCAGCTCATACCTGGTACCTTGTTCGGTAGTACCTTCCACCTACCTATCACGGAGTTAGACGGATGATCATTGGCCAGTTCTTATCATTCAAGGAGAGTTAGTGTTGCCAGATAAAATTAAGCAACGTTGATCATGACAATTAAGACCAATGATCAGCATTCCTAGCGGGGTGAACGGCACCTATGAGTCTATTACCTAGTACTATGTATTAGTATGACCTACCTACCAACTACATATGTGGGAATTAGGGACTACGCGCATACTACTAGTTAGTAGTAGTACTACCTAGCGTAGGCACGTATAAAATCGTGCATAGGAATATCATTCGATGCCTAACCAGGTCCTACCTAACTAAGCTAATGTAGCCCTATACAACTTTGAACTTGTATGTATGTCATTGATGCTATAAATGTATCACTCTACTAACTACAACTAACCCAGATCATTCAACAGGCAGCCAAATATCAATTCCTCAACTTACTAGAATGATAGGATTCTCAGCCGCATTGTGTCATCCAGCATCACACATCTTCAACTATTAATAACTTTCCTACCTGCCTAGTGCCTAGACTTCAGGCAGACAATATAAGTTGCAGTCTCAGCCACTATAGGATCAAAGTAGCATAGGTGGGTAGTTAGTTAGGTAAGTAGGCTTGTTATAGCTGACTGCAAGACTGAGGTTAGGTAACTATGTATCTGGTTCATAGACCATTCAACTCCTTAAAGACCAAAATTCTGTTGGAATTCCGAAACTTCCAATCCTAATCAACATAAAACACATCTTCCTTTTCAAAATCCTCGCTATCATCACATCGACCTTAACGATGGATTGCCGCTCCTGAAGTCATGGTCCATTATAAGCCTCCATTCTTTCCTTTGTTTAATATCTGTGTGTTGACGACGAGACGGATATTCTCATAGTCATTGGCGGTCATGCCGGTGTATTCAATACAAGCCGAGTCGCAAGGAATAGGGATAGGACCGCCATCTACCTTGCCGTCCAGAACGGTGCTCAGCACCATGCAGGTTGGCGGTAGTCCATCGACTACGATGTGGTTGTCCTTGATTGGACCATTGACTGTGATATTGGCGTTCAGAGCGTCGTTGTAACAGTCATCCCAGTTGTGCTTGGGGATGCCCGGGGGAGCCGGAGGAGGTCCGGGGATCTTGTTGTCGCGCGTGTCCAGCTGCGCCGAGATCTCTCGGGCCATCTTCATGGCATGCGTAAATGCTGCCCGGCGCCGACGGTCGCGATCTTTACAACAACCATCCCTGGAACAGGCCACAGCGGTACCTATGGAAGCACCTATGGAACCCGATACCAGTCCAGATGTGAGGCCTGATGTCATAGCCGTTGCTGTTACGGCACTGGCGCCGAGGGCCATGAATATAGCCGGTGCTGGTGCCTGGTATAAAAGCCAGGGCGGCAATGACCGAAGCGCCGATGACAGAGCAGCGCATCTTTAAGAGGATGTGAAAGAGGATTAAGGGGTAGGTCGATGGAGGTTGATGGTGGTGTTTTGAGAAGCTGTTATCGGGATAGAAGCAAACTGCGTTCTCTTGCTGCTTTCGTCGTGCTTGCTGATATCAAAGTCTCAAATCTAGAAAACGCGACGAAGATCATTTTTATATCACCTATCTACTCAATAAGTTTACTTCTCGTCATCTAGGTCTCAGGAGACTGAACTTCGCTACCCGGGTACTTAATTCGATCACACCCACTTTAGCCCCTATTCTTAGCTATCGACCCATTATTTCCACCTCGATGAACAAACTTGCCGGGGCTGCTTCCTACGACTTGGTAAGGCCATGAAAATCTCTTCCCATTGAGGCTGACATGTGCTTTAGATGAGAGACTCCTATGCGTCGATTATATTTCTATCTTATAATTTGAGGTTAGCCCCAGGAATGAGCTACTGCCTCTCTGGTTTTTGTTCGGTCATCTTCCTATCCGAGACTCCCTCTCGAGATCTGGAATCATGGTGTTTAGAAGATCAACATTCTCCAAGCACCTTCCTTTTATGCTTAATTCTCTTCCTCAAGACTTGCCCAAGCCGTACTCCAACCCACGTGAGACCCTTTGGGTTCAGTTCGCTTCAGGTCAAGAGTTGACATGGCATTTCGGCCTACTCTCATACTTCTATATGGTTCTAGAATAAGACTCTTCTGGTGAACTGATATGTTTCTAGAGCTACATGGCCCTGCTATCATACTGTGGCGTATGATGTTATAGTTGTTTAAGTATGAAAATTTATCAGCTTTCTTTCCTCTTTACTGCTAGTTAGGTATATTCAACAATCTTCAATCTAGGTACACTGTGCATTGTCCTATATTCTAAATAGTAATAATAGCTACGTACGTAAGATATACACACGGGGGTTTATAATCCTCGACGCCGCAGAGCCGCAGTTTGCTACGGAGATCGGGGCGGCATGCCAGGGTAGCTTTTCTTTCAAGGAGGAGTTGACTCGACGATTTTTCCTACATTTCTAGAACTTCTCTTGTAGGCTCAATCAAGGACACCCCTTCTTATATATACCACTACGCTCGCAGATATCGGTATTGCAAATAAGGAACGGTTTTGCCTATTTACCTTCAAAAGATCGGCCTGTTAGGAGACCAATAAACACTGTAGGTCGAACACACCTTGTAAATGAATTATCTTATTGGTCAACGTTGACGATTTCTTGCCAACACTTGAGGATCCTGTCGGCGACGATGGTAAAGGAATACCAAGCGCACAGCAGGAGTCGGAACTGAGCCGCAAAAATGAATTACCTAACGCCATTTGAGTATGGTATAGTTCATCTTGATCTACTCGTCTAGTTAATTGTATGAATCGTCTTGGTGGCTAATCAAATAATATACCTAACCTAGTAGGTTTAAACTTCTCATACAAATCATGTAGGCTACCTAGGCTTTCAAAAACTGTCTTCTGCCTCCCCCCTATTTACTGGGTACGCATAGCAAACGTTTCCAGTGTGTGAAAAGTTTTCTGTTTCATCATAACGCGACTTTTATTGATTAGGTATATGAATTATTCAAATATAACAACTAATTCTATCGAGTTACATAGAAGATATTCTAATCCTCTATTCTGAAACGAATAAGTTTAGTGCTGCAGTCGCTTTGAATGAATATCCCAAGTTTCTTAGCGACCTACTTCAGCGCCTACATAGATATACTTTCTAGACAATAAAGTTGAGACTCGTAGTTGATTGTCTAAGCAAATACAATGTCTGACCTACTCAAGCACCAGATCGCAGCAACGCCTGCCTCAACGACCAACACAGGGTCTTCGCGTACACCCACCTAGGCGTGACCCAGAAAAACCACGCAAACACCCACACGAAGCCCAACCCCCTTCCCACAATCCTTACCCTCTGATCTTTAACAACCTTCATCAGAACCTCACATCTAATAGTAGTATTCTTCCTCACCAACTCCGAAACCACCATCTCCACCCCAACCACCACAGAATTCGCACAGAAGAACACCACATCGCGCCCGCCATCCCCCTGTCCCAAAGCCCACGCCACCACTTGCGTGCGCGAGGCCCGAGAGGAGGAACACCCCGAACACAACCGCCGCCCTCCCAACCCCCAACCCCGCCCCCGCCCCCGAGCCCGAGCCCGTCTCCATCCCCAAGAGATGTAGCAATAGGAGGCGCGACCACCACGCAAACGTCGGCGTCGCGAGACGGCGCCAGAACCCCCCACCCCCCAGAACCTCCCCACCGTGTATGCCTGACCAGGGTTGCCGAAGAGGGGCGGCCAGTCCGTCCTCGGGTGCGTCGAGGCGGAGGATGGCGACGAAGGTGGTGGAGAGGGCGGCGTGGTAGGTTTCGAGGACGAGGACGTTGGCCCAGATCCAGGAGACGGTGGTGCTGGTGCGGAGGAGGAGGAGGAGGTGGTGGTGGTGTTGGGATATGGGGTCGGGGTCGGGGTCGGGGTCGTGGAGTAGTAGGGGTATGATGATGCGTCGTAGGATCGGCTCCTGGTCTGGCGTGAAGTCCAAAAAGGTGCAGTGGGAGGTGATGCGGGTGCGGATGCGCTGGACGAGTATGCGGTCGGTGAGTATGAGGGTGCGGGAGAGAGTGGATTTGAGGAGTTTGGGCCAGGGAGTTGTTGGTGACATAGGTAGCCACCGCTTTAAAGCAGTTCGGGTTACCGATGACCAACTGAATATTCGTTGTGATTAAGTCTAAATAGAGTCTTTACGTGCGGAAAGGAGTTGATATCATAGGCTACCCAGCCTGTAGGTATTCACCCTATCCTAAATATATGATAATCGGGAAGGATCCGATCTGTCATGCGGTTCATCAAAAGGTTTGCGGCTCCTGGGCTAGCCGTGTTGATACGACTTGAGACTGTACAGGGTATGTACCGCAGTTTGCTGGGTATAGGCATCCTCCATATCAGACACACAAACTTCGGGGATTCCTTGGTATATTTCCTTGGGAGACTTGACAATTAGCAATTGCTTCGAAAATTACGATCCTTTCGTCACATTCTCGGCTGATTGGACCTGGCCATTAGACTTGCCGTGGAAGGGTAGATACCTAGGTATTTTGGAAGAATAAGTGTGGTGGCTTGAAGCAGGATATATCGCATGTATAGATCTCATTCATGAAGTTGAAGCTCTCGTTTCAACCTCGTCTGGTCCTATTTAATTCCGACTCTTTCATAATACACTTTGTATTCTCTTTCTACCTTCTCTGCCCCCTATTCCATGAGCACACACCTTAGTCCATCATGACTGACCGCAAATCCTCCAACTCATCCGCTTGGATATTCCTCGGCAAAGCGGACGAAGAGAATATAACGAAGCCGACGCAACGACCAAGTTACACCCGGGCTATTATCATGGGCTTGATCTGCGGTGTTATGGTTGGTAGCGTGAATGGTATAGGAACCGCATTCGCAATTAGAAGTGCGAGGTCGTCCTAAGTTAGTCCTTGAAAAATGCAGCCACCAGGTATTTACCTCATGGAAAACCACCCCTTTAACTATCGTTTGCTAATGAATCCGGCCCAAGGAAAATACTACGTAGCGCCTAAAATATGGCTAGTAATCGCAATATACTTTCATGCTACCTTTATTCACCCACGGCCCGAACCCAAATGCCGTTACGTCCAAACTCGTAGGCCAATTGTTTCCAGGTGTCTTTCTTCACGTTAATCTCTTGTTATCAGTCGACCCTCTAGGCTTTCAACTAAAAGTACTTGAATTATAGTCGTAGTGATACCATGCTACCTGTTCACATTCAAAAAGAAGTTCTATTTGTAATGAGGTGGGGAGCTTGTAAGTTCAGGGGCTCAGATGCTCAAGAGTGTTAGCGATGAGATTTATTGACCTGCCCACCTAACTGATTACCACAAGTTCGCCTATTCTCGAATGTACTGCATGATCTTCCTCTGGCAGGTTAAGGCTTGAAAGCCTTGTATCATCAAAAGGATTAAACCCAAGTCCTGGGATACCTGACGCCTCTGACCAAACTTTGCCACCATATGCCTATGCCCCTTTCCTGTTCAGCCCCTGCCAAGCAAGCACCTTTTCCCCGATGAACAAAATTAGAATTGAATCATCCACAGCCATGTATTAATCTGAGATTAGGTCTCTACCCTATTCTCACATAGTTTCCTATGATGTAGCCGTTAGCTTAAGCTTATCCCGGTTCTTGACCGACTAGATACGTACCGGGAAATTGGCCCTGCTTTCCGTTACACTTGCCGATCCACCATTCATTATCGTTCTGTGTCCTTGTCACTATTTCTATGACGTCCCCCGCCCTGAAACTAATATCGCCTTCCGCTTGAGCCGAATAGTCGTACAATGCTGTGGCAGTCTCTACGGCGGGTGCACCGGATAACCGGAGGGGTTTCGGCTTTGGCGGTGGAGGAGGTTTTGATTTGCCAGCTACAACGGCCGCTAATGCCGGTGAAACGTGGTTACCAAACGTTGGCGATAGCGGTGATTTTGTAGCAGACGACATCGCGGAATACGGCGGCGGCGGATTCTCTACGGCATCTGATGATGGCGACTGTTGACCGAATTTTGCGGTTGACGGGCTTGGAGTGGGTGAGGCCGCGGTGAGCAACCCAGCAGGTTTGGGGCCGGCTTCGATTGCCGCTGGCTTATTTCCATACTTGGGTGGTGGCTTCTTCTGGCCACTTGTCTTGAATCGAACGATGCTTAGCTTTTCAGTTTGTTCTTGGATATCTGCGCGCTTTCTTATGAAAGCCTCCTCTACGTCGAGTGTTAGGTCGAAGTATCCGATATCGCAGTGTTGCATTTTCTCATGAAGAGTATAGAATATGTTTAACTGCATGTAATAGAAGGACTGAAATAGCGGCTTAATAAACTGGCGCTCGAGGGTGAACAACTTGGGCAGTTCGTCCTTTAGCAAGTCGTTAAAGTAGTTAAACTCCTGGGTAGACTGCTCCACGTCGGTCTCGGCCTTCCATATAGCCTTCTCGTCCTTCGCGCTCTTCTCCTTCTTGTCCTGCAGCTTCTTGAGGGTCGCATTGTGGCGGTCGTAGTCCAGTTTCTTGTGCTCGCGCTTCGTCGCGGTTTTTCGAATAATCTTGAGTACATCAAGTAGCTCATTCGCGGGGCGGATGACGCGCGAATCAATCATCTCAAGCTCAGGCTTGAGCGACTCTTGCAAGTCTTTAACGACGGATTCGTACTCTTCACAGGCACGGATGCCTTCGGGGTTCTCTTGAACCTCTATAGAATCGGGATCAGACATGCGACCCGATATGGGTTTGTAGATTTCTGTCATGACTTTGCTGAACTCAATCTGGTGATTGAGCATGCCGTTGATGGCATCAAAGTACTTTTTGCTTTCATCGTGAAGGCGCTTGGTTTCGACCTCGAGCTCGTGGAAGCGTCGCTCTGCATCGATAAATACAGGGTCCTTCGATTGCTCTCCGATGTTGAATTTGACCCTAAAATGTTGCGGCGCCTATGCGTGAAGAGGTAATGGTAAGCTGGGATATCTTATTATCCTTTTAAGCTAAGGCGCATTGCTACTTACGCGAACGACGCTCTTCTGGAAGCCTCGGAAGCTCATCGCTTAGCAAATTTAGAAGGATCTAACCTAGCCGTAATGGCTCACAATATCGGTTGGAGGAGGCCTGTACGAGGAGGCCTGTATGAGGGGTACCTATTGATTTTGGGTAGGAAATATTTCGCATACACGAGTGCAAAGACCCGACGCACTCTGATGAACAAGTATATCTAAATAAACCGTTAAGTGGATTTAAGATGTGAATCTTGTAGTCAAGAAAGATGTTGTAGTGTAAGTGGTAGTGGTAGTGGTAGTGGTAGTGGTAGTGGTAGTGGTAGTGGTAGTGGTAGTGGTAGTGGTAGTGGTAGTGGTAGTGGTAGTACAATAGGGAGAAGTAAAGCAAAGTAGGTTAGGTTAGGTGGGTAGGCAGGCAGTAAGTATGTAGTTACTGGCACTGGCACTGGAGATAATGTTTAATTGTAGGCGTCGACGTCGTTGTGGCAGTGCTGAGGTCAGCTTTGCGGAAGATCCGTCAACTTCTGTGGCTTAGTATATCTCCTGCTAGGTACTAGGTAGGGGACAGTAGAGTTGATTTGTGATTTCCAGGTTAGTAGATTGGAATATGAAGTCATTGACAGTTTATCAGAAATAAAAAGGTAAGAATCAAGTAATGCATTTGTTGGATATATGATAGATAGGTAAACCTGAATCATCAATGAATTTTTAAAAAAAAATAAAAAAAAATATGCCCTTCATACTGTACTAGGGCATGTACTGTATAGTCACTATATGTACGGTACATGTTGCTTTTTATTCCCTTTCCCCCCCTGCCTTTGGTTAGTTTAGTTACACAATTCATGTATAACAGTAGCTAGCTTGCCAGACATCCGAGTATCCGTATCACCTTTACTGTTCTGAATCCGAATTGCCGCAAGTGTGGGAAGCTTCCCTGTGTTACGTCCAATGCCAAGAAGCAGGGTAGGAGCCCACTAACGTCATCTCAGCTGACGAGGGGCAGGCGTCATATCTACACTAGGATTGAGGATTGATAGGTACTAAACTACTTCCCCGCATAATAGTTTATCCCTTCCCCAATCTCCATTTTGATATGTCCGAGCCCGAGCTTTGTTAACCGAGCTTCGGATTCTGTTTTTGCGACTTTTTTAGTAATTAAGTGATCCATTTTATCAACTTGATATTCGCCATCAAACCACCTCTCTTTCAAAAACTTTTTTTTCCTTCCAATTACTTTTTCGCCTCATACTCCCTTTAATATTTTGCCGACGCCATTATGGCGAATGCGGCAGCTTCAGCATTAAGACAGGCTTCGCGCCTTAGTCTAAAGCAATCCTTCACATCATCTTCTCGCCGAGTGATTCCCTCTACCTCGAGAGTCGCCGCTGCAACGGCCGCGCAAGTGTCTCGGAGAAGTTATGTATCAGAGACGAAGCGAGACAATGCGCAAGTGAACGTTGAGACAGCTATTAAGCTTGACAAGAATGACTTCATGAATGAGAAAGGCGAACTCGTTATGCCAGGCTCCAATACTGCAAATGCTGCTGTCAGCCCCATGACAGAAGTGCTCAAAGAGGCCACCATTATGGGAGAAGGCCAGCGTCCTATCTATCTTGATATGCAGGCTACGACACCAGTCGACCCCAGAGTTCTAGATGCCATGTTGCCATTCTTCGTTGGAATCTACGGCAACCCCCATTCGCGAACACACGCATACGGCTGGGAAAGTGAAAAGGCTGTAGAAGATGCGCGTGAACATATTGCCAAACTGATTGGTGCAGATTCGAAGGAAATCATATTCACGAGTGGCGCAACAGAGAGCAATAACATGAGCATTAAGGGCGTTGCCAGATTTTTCGGACGATCGGGCAAGAAGAAGCATATCATCACAACCCAAACGGAGCATAAATGCGTCCTCGATAGCTGCCGACACCTTTCTGACGATGGATATGAAGTTACATACCTTCCGGTCCAATCCGATGGCTTAGTGGATCTACAGCAGCTCAAGGATGCAATCAAACCAGAAACTGCACTCGTTAGTATCATGGCCGTGAACAATGAGATTGGTGTCATCCAGCCCATTGCAGAGATTGGCAAAATCTGTCGAGAGAATAAGGTTTTCTTCCACACAGACGGTGCGCAGGCGGTTGGCAAGATACCTCTCGATGTCAACGCGATGAACATTGACTTGATGTCAATTTCATCCCATAAGATCTATGGTCCTAAAGGCATCGGTGCCTGTTATGTCCGAAGACGGCCACGAGTCAGACTGGAGCCTATTATCAGTGGCGGTGGTCAGGAACGAGGCCTACGTAGCGGTACACTTGCTCCACCATTAGTTGTAGGATTTGGAGAGGCCTGCCGTATTGCAAAGGAAGAACTTGAAGTAAGCCTTGATTTTTGTTTTATCTTCCCACATTTCCCCAGCAACCTGATGAACTGCTTTTACACATGCATGGCTTGCTGAATTCCTTGACCGGAATCATTCTGTTGAGACACAGCTCACGCGTCTGATTGTTGCTTATTCCTTTCCAAAAAAAACAATTCATGTTTGTGGAAATCTTCAGGACTAATGATATCTCATAGTACGATTCAAAGCGTATCAAGTCGCTATCTGATAGACTCCTGAAAGGGCTTCTAGCCTTGGAGCATACCACTCAAAACGGCGCCCCCAACAGCTTCTACCCTGGATGTGTCAACGTTTCCTTTGCGTATGTTGAAGGAGAGTCCCTCCTCATGGCCCTCAAGGACATTGCGTTATCATCTGGTAGCGCTTGTACCTCAGCCTCCCTGGAGCCAAGCTACGTCTTGAGAGCACTAGGCAACAGTGATGAGAGCGCACACAGTAGTATCAGATTCGGTATTGGCCGATTTACTACGGAGCAGGAAATTGATTACGTTCTCAAGGCCGTTCAGGAACGTGTCACTTTCCTACGCGAATTAAGTCCCCTATGGGAACTTGTGCAGGAAGGTGTCGATTTGAATACAATCGAATGGAGCCAGCATTAAAGTTTGGCATGCTTCGAAGATCACATAATGTTTTCTTGGTGTGCTTACAACACTTGCGTTGAGCATATGTAGGACGTACAACCAAGCTGGTGGATTCATGAAACTTACAATCACTTTGCAGTGGATATGGAATGGAAGGCAATAGTGTCTTACCTGTACTTTAGGAGTTAGGTAGGTTCGGCATGTCGTTTACCTCGCCGCTCGTTGCGAGTATACATAGGTCCGGTCTCGGTTGCTTAGGTTGTGCGATTACTTTAGGGGGGATTAACGGAAAACGCGGAGACGAACATGTCTTTTTGATACCAATGAAAATGAACGATGATAAATATGAATTCATGTGTAACAGGCGTCTGTTGAGATATCGAGTGCCTAGGGAGTTCTTTTTATCGTGTGGTGTCCGGGTATGTTTGATTCAACTTCGAAGTCGTATGTTCCTACTTAGGTGCATAGGCAGGTATTTCGATGTTAACCCTACCACGTAAAACTCAAGGTTATAGATGTGTACTTCTTACGTACATCTATACCATGATAGGGCTGAAGGCATCATGAAATATATTTACCTTACTACACATAGTAGGTATCCTCGTAAATTTCTTAAGGTGGCGTACTACTAGTAGGTAGCCTGACGTACGTCATTGTGGAAGCGAACAGAAGTCTCATCAACGTTCCTCCAGAGATAGGTACGTAGGTACATAAGGTACTCAGCGGCAAAGTTGGCCGGTTTCTATGTAGTAACTAATAGGCTCAATTTTACAAACCTGTTCAATGTTAGGAGCGCAAGTGGCTTGAAAGAAGGAAAGGCCTCTAGTGCTACTACTAGTAGTACCTAGGGTAGCTTTAATGCAAACAAATGACATCAACGAAATCAATCTGCTGCCCCATTGAATGACGTCGTCATTTCCTAAAAGCGTAATATTTTCTCCACCCTTGTACGACCGAGAGCAAACGCCATAGTCACTTACATCGAGATTAAGAGATTGCCCTTTGAAATATGGATATGGATAGCATCATTGGCATCATCATTGTCACCTTTGCGGTAGCTTGTTTTATTGCGCGTTTCTAACTTTGCCTTTCACCTTCCATACGCAATTCCAACCAAATCCACCCAATCCAGCTCAGTTATAAAATGCAGTATACATCCTCTTCATTCTTCTTTTCTTCTTTACATTCACAATACAATCTCAATTATCATACTCAAAAGCATCAAAGTAATTAAACCAACCTACTTTATATCAAATCTACTACCACACCAACATATCAACATGTCTACCAACGATAACACTTCTACCCTCAAGTCTGTCATCGACTCTGCAACCGGAACTGTTCAGAATGCCTTTGGCAGTGTAACTGGAAGCACTGGTGACAAGGCACAAGGCCAGGCCAAGCAGAACAAGGCTGATGCTGAGTACGATGCATCCCAAGCCACTATCAAAGGCCCAGGCTTCACTGCTTCATCCTCTGGCGCCGTCACCAAGGATAACCCTGACCGGACCGCTGGCTCATACAACCAGACAATTGGTTCAGCTAAGGAGTTTGTAGGAGGAGTCACAGGCATTGAGGTGAGTCAACTATAGTAAAATCATTTTCAGGAAGACACGACTAATATCTTATAGTCTATAAAAGCTGCTGGTCGTCAACAAAACGAAGAAGGACGACAGCAAGAAGCTAAGGGTCAAGTCAATGACTACGTGAGCGGAATATCTGATCGTGTCACTGGTACGGTCGGTGGAGCCTTTGCCGGTATAACCGGCAACAAGGCCGCGCAATCGAGCTATCAAGATCAGCACGATGCCGGGAAAACGACACAGCGTGGAGCGGAGGTGGATATCGTGAAGGCGGCGGATGCTGAGGCCGCTGCTTCGCACAAGGCGTAAACACCTTCAATAACGCACTGCACCCAAAGCACTAGGGTGGTGGGCAGTGGAACGACATTATGATACCCCTAAGACTTAATAAAAATGATGGTTTGGTTGGTGGATGTTTGGTACATTCATTTATACCTACAATAAAACCTCTTTCAACCAAAATACCTGTATGCTTTTCACATGCTCAGTGATGAAAGATATCGGCGACGGAAAATGACGTAATATGTACGTAGAGAGAATAATACGCAGTTGCGCAAGCCGAATGATATTAGTCAACTATGAATTAACTATTTAGTGGAGACGATGTATTGCTGCATGTGAGATTTCCTCACCCCTTTTAAGCTTCGATAAAATGTAAGAAACATTCAAGTTTCGAGTATTCTGTACATAGTAGATACTTGTCGTGACTATCTAGCCTACCCTACCTAGGACATTAGGTAGAATCTGTCACGAGATGTCCCACTGAAAGGGGACCGTACATGTATGTATATGATCGAGTGACTGACGATTGCGTACTTGCCTAACTTAGGTAGACATCGATCTAGGACGTCGTCTTCTCCCACATGAGGTTCTGAACCCGGCATCACCGTCCCGATCAAGGCGATCACTTTAAATTCACCATGTGAGTCTTACCTTGATACACTTGCCTAACTTACAAACATCGAACGTACACTAGTGGAGACAGGTACTTGTCCAGTAGCAAGGTGAGATTGCGCTTATTGGCAAAATGAATGTCGGATAGACCGATTGAGGCTCTAGTATGGATGTTTCAAGTGTTTCTATTTGTTACTTAACCTGACCGAGCAAGGTACGAAGTAAGGAATAATACATAAAGATTTTCAAAGGAAATTGAAGCGTAAAATGGTAGATGACGCAGTCTTATGTATGAGTGGTGGTTAAACGATGTACTACCTATCACCTAGCCTAGTACAGAGTAGGTACTACATACTAGGTTACTGTAGTACACATCCATGGCAGTATATTGATGTACATATGTATGTAGGTGGTACAGGTAGAAGTCTGTTAAGAATTCCATACATTATAGCACATATAGCACGGGAGATGAGTAGGTGCCCCCCTCTCTTTTAGACTTTCTGGCCGCTTGTGGAGCACCCCTGAAATTCGGCCTGGGGGGGCTGGACTAAGACTAACCTAAGCCCTGTGAGCCCTGGAGATTTGGCCTTATCTTTCCAAAGTTAGTTGTGGAGCCGCCTTACCCTAAACCTGATCCGTGCGGGCCCCCATAGTAGTGCTATTCAAAATCAATTTTAGCCCCCAAACTCACTCAGAATCAACCTCAATTTAGCATAGAGCCGCAGAAAATACCAGGCTCCTAAGTCATCAGGGCTGACCACGATGTAGGAGTAGGCCCATTTCCTCATGCACGACAAGCTTCACTCCGTACCAATCACTCGCCCCCAACTTATTATTATTCTTAAATATTTCCAAAACAAAGAAGAAGAAGAAGAAGAAATCCTACCTGGGTAGGTAATAAGTAGTAGCCAACCGGAATACTACTTATTGGCTCGCGACCAATAGCCTCTATCTACCTACTTACCGACCCTACTTATGGAGGTATCTACATACGTATTAGGTACTTGACAATGCCCTTTTTATTCCTAGTTAGGTACTGGTGAGCCGACTTATGGTGTGTCCGTATTTTACTTCTCCTTTCTTCTAGATCTATTATAGGTGTCTCTCATCGTATGCCTTCAAATCCACTCCCGGAGAAATTACCCTCGGTGAGAAGTGTAGCACTTGTTTCTCGGATTGTTCTAAGTGATGTACTACCTGACCGCATACACTATCCCTTTGACCATGCAGAGTGGTATATCAGCCAGTTGATTTTATCATGATATGCGCTAGGAATAGCTAAGGGCATGTCCTCTGGCGGCCCTGCCGTACCGCTGCATAGGTCTCCCTATCCATCAACGCTACTAAGGGCATGTGGCCTTTCCCTATATGACATAGCAATGGATATAACCTCGTGCTATTTCCAAGAGATCTACCTAGGCACGTATCCATTCTTAAAATGGTTGGCTACAGTTTATTAGCTACGATTACGAGCTATTTGTGTTATCGAACCAGGTAGGAAGCTATTGGTGCGAAACATGTCCCAGGTAAGGCTCACCGAAGGCGTCTTGTGTACCTACACACCCAATTACGCAGGGCCGTTCCTGAGACCACAGAATGCAGCCCTGATTGTGGAGCATTATGCAGTAATTCTGTAATAGACTCAGGGAGCTTTTATGGTGGACTGACTACTACATACATAGGTACCTATACCTATCTACTTCCCCTGGGATGATAAAATCTATCCCAAGATGAAACAGTCATATACCTATTCTACATTATACGGGTCGATATCTTCACTCTTCTAGGCAGCACTGACCACTACCTCGATCTCGATGGGCTACAGATTCTCACTGGATTCAAAATTCAAACCTTCGTACGGCTTTGCTCAAGGGTCTTGCAGGAGGAGCTCGCAAATCCCTGCTGGGGATGCACTTCACTGTTACTATGAACTAGAGCAAAACCCGTCGGTGCCGCTGAAGCCCAATCTAAGGAATCGGCTTAGGTGACCCATATCCGCGTAACATGCCCTCATAATCCAAGTCCCATAGTCTATTCGTACCAAGGCCCACTTGTCCAGAGGTCATCATCCCACGACCTGGGTGTGTCATTTGGACGGTTACGGTGGTATGCTTCACCTCGTGAACATCATCTGTCGTTCTTTCTCCGATATTTCAGCATCCTCCATCTAAGAAACATAACCGCTTGGAAGTTCGACTTGTCCCCTCGGCTATTTATTACCACGAAGTTTCAGATATTTGAGTGACACCAGACGTCCTTCTAGCTGCCAGCCAGTTAGATCGTTACTACCAGGGGCTGCCTCACCAACATATGTCCGATATTAATATATTCGCGTACCTTTCTTGTAGCATCTACGAAGTACCAGTGTGAGGTTTTTATCCCATGATAAGGGGTTGACGAACGACCTCCAAACGAAAGCGGCACAACTTAGTCTTCGACCTAAGATTTAAGGAACCACCGACCCATTAACATTATTAACCATGGGCAGAAAATCATCGACAGCGATGATGCGGATCGCAATCGCAGGTGCTGGAGGTTTCGCCTCCCTTCTTACTCAAGAACTATCACACAGTGCTCATGCCCTACTCGTACTTTCGACAAGAGTAACTAGACCTAGGACAACCCCTCGAACTGTACCGAAGCCTGGCTGACCTGACAATAGGAGCATCCCGAATTCGAAGCCAATTTCGATTGTCAAGTAGCCGTAGTCGATTATGCCAGCCTTGAGCACCTCGAGTTTACGCTTCGGGGCGTTGACCTCGTGATATCGACCATATCTGGCGCAGAGCAGCTAAACCTCATTGACGCAGCTAGGCGCGCTAATGTACGTTGCTTCGTGCCTTCAGAGTTCGAGGGCGACTTGGATCACAGACCAGCCGCAGAGCATGATCCGTTCGACAACTGCTCTTCGGCAGCCTTGGAGCAGCTTCGACATTGGTCACAATCGAGACAGAATGCAATGAAGTACGCCGTCTTCTCATGCGGCATTTTCTACGAGCGGTTTGCCCCTGGCGGCCTCCAAGCATGCAACATGGGCATGACTTGCCGGATTCAGAACCAAGGCGACTACATGATAGACTTGGGCCGAGGGATTGCGGAGATCCCGGAAACGAACCCCCAGGGCCGTCCAGTACATGTTGTCATGACATCGGCAGTCGATGTAGCACGATTCGTTGCCGCGGCCGTCGAATTAGGCATCGATTCCTGGCCTCGAGAGCTCAGGATGCGTGGCACCCGTCTCACAACCCACAGACTTCAAGAGATTTGCAGCGAGGTGCGAGGAGGTGAGTTAAATAAGAGAAAGATTATTACAATCCTCATTGAGAATCCCCTTGGCTAACGCTTTCATAGTCCCGCTAAATGTGATCTCGAGGCCATATGAGGAAATAGAACAGTGGCTTCGCTACTACGAGCAGAATGGGGACCAAGCTAAATGGTTCACGATGCAGCACCTTCTACAGACAGCGAACGGCCGATATACCTTTGGAGATGCGAATCTTAACGATATGGTGGACGTACAACCGATGACTTTCCGCCAGTGGTTATGCGAGATCTGGGGGCCAGTGCTGTGACACTATCATGGAGGAACGAACGAACGAACAGCCACCTAACCCTAGTAGCCTGCCCGCCCTGGTTGGTTGGTTGGTAGGTAGATATCGAGGGCTGGCCCTAAACATACCTACATACCTACCTAAGTCTGGATCTTTCCACGTAAACTTCTGCTCGGAGGCTGTCGTCGACCGGTTTACTGCTTCGATTCCAACAGCCTTGCAAGGGAGGCCGAATAGCTCATCTGTTTTAACAAAAGTTTGCATACAATTACCTACCCATCTATCTATCTTACATGTATTGAGGCGCTGTGAGAGTGGGAGTGGGAGCGGGAGACCAAAAAAAAACAGGTGTTGTTCGATGTTATTTCTTTACCCCCTATTTTATTTTATTTTATCTTCTGGCTGCGCGAATCTTTATTTCTATTTACTTGTATGTATACCTGCATTAGAATATCTATATTGTTTAGGGTGCCTACCTATTCATCTACTACCTACTGTCTGCCTGTCTGCCTGTCTGCCTGTCTGCCAGCCAGACATGTAATGCAGTAGGTTGGTACCAAGACCAAATTTGACACATGTCCTCCTATACAAGATTGTTTACATGTTTAACGAGAAATTCTACATGAATAATTCCCTGTTACCTATGTAGGATATAATATCGTGATGTAATCCAAACCAATAGAAAAATACGTTGCACTCGTAGGGTTTTAATAGCGGCACAGGAGGAGGGTACCTACCTCACCAACCATCCTAGGGTATATGCATACTACGCTGCATCCACCCATATCGCCCCCCGCCCCCCCTTCTTCCTCTCTTCTTATAAATATATCACGAAACAGAAACCGTTCGTAATACCTTGACCAGATATTCGGGTTTGTATATATATATATTTAACCTACTTTATCTTAAGCTTAGAGATGCCGCCCCCACGTTTCGTACCTACCTATATGCGTACCTACCTACATGCGTATCAGCCCCCTATAAAGTGAGGCCTCTCTAAAGGTCGACATCCATTCTCTGTGCAACAACCGAAGATAGAAAATTTTGAATATGAATACCTAGGTATCCGTCGCATGGCGTAGGAGATCGGAGTGGGTACACAAAGATAATGAGTGAGTGAGTGAGACAGGGACAGAGCCTCAAAAGTCACATGGACGGGTTTCCCGGCATCTCGGGAGTTCGTTCGTTCGCTCTATCGGAACCCTACCCCTACCTACAGGCCTACCTGCCCGCCTGCCTGTCTGCCTATTTGCCTACCTATTTGCCTGACTACATCCTAGGTTGACTGACTGTCACGGGCTGGCTGATGAGTCGAGAGGGACGTACGAGCCAAGGTCTGCCTATTTCTGGGTAGGTAAGGAACAAAGGAAATAGCGTCAGACTAACTTATTCTTTCTCACATATACATATGCAATACCACAATGCACGCCTTACGGAAAAGGAGCCCGTAAGTAAGTAAGTAAGTAAGTAAGTAAGTAAGTAAGTAAGTAAGTCAGTCATCAGTCAGCCATTTCTCGTCCATTCAAAGCAGGCAAGTAAGTAAGTAAGTCGTGTTGAACACCACCCCCCTCCCCCCCTCCCTCCCCGAGCGAGCATACGATCTTCGTACAATACATCTGCAGCCCAGCTTAGCCCATTCCATTCCAGCCCGCTACTTAACTCTAGGTGCCTAGGTACCTAGGTAGTAACATTGAAATCACAGACTCGTGTTCCTGTTTTTCCTGGTCTACTTAGCCAATTAATAAAAAAATCTCTACTAGATACTACCTATCCCATCCCATCCCATCCCATCCCATTCCACCCCATTCTATTCTATTCCGTATCCCGCCTCTCCTACTCCTACCCATCCCACTCTCCTATCCCCCCAAACGCCTTACGGGGCCAGCAAATACGTAGGTATACGTGGTTTTCTTGCTTGCCTGCCCTATATGCCGCTGTAAGTACGTCACTTGTCTTGTCACCGAGTTTTACTGACTGCATGTAAGCCGCAGTAGTACCACCACCACCACCACCCCCGGCGGCGGCGAATCACACTCTCTCCCGGCCCCGAAACCACCCCTCCATTTCAGTTCCAACGCTTAACAATTATTGCAGAGCCTCAATTTGATTTTTTTTCTTCCGCTCTTTTCTCCTTTGCTTATTCATTTTCCTGGGGTGCTTTTTTTATTTTTTTTTTATTCTTTCTAATTTCTTATTTTTCGTGAAAATTTTTCATATTCTTCCATCCTATCCCCCTTACCATCTTGCTCTCTCTCATACCCCCCCTTTGAACTGAGGCTTTTTCTTGGGTAGATACATAACTAGGTATTTGAGTAAAGTAGTATATCACGATGCCTACCCCCCCTTCTGTAGAATGCATGTGGACTGCGAACCATTATAGGCAGTGGATGCCTCTCCAATGTCGTTTTCAGGCAGCATGTAGGACCCCTCACGTCTAACCCCCCTCAACCCCCCCTTTTCTGTCCTTTTTTAAAAAATAAAAAAAACTTATCATGTCCTATTTTACCCCTCTCCAAATTCATCAACGACCCATAAGCAGAATTTCTCCCACTGCACCTCCCACTCCTTCAATCTGCGTGCCTTGATCCCGCTTCCCATGCTCGCCTCCCTAATGTCCTTTGCCCACTCCTCCGGTGTCTGGTCCTCGAACGCTGCCCATCGCACGCTGTTCTCCGCTAGGCTGCCCAGCCCCGCTAACCCGAGGTTCTCCCAGCCTTGGAGCGCCTGCCAGAAGTCGTGCGTGGATCCTGCAGTGTCCTGGCCAAGCATGGCGGGATCGTCATTGCATAGCGAGCAGGGTACGCCGCGGGCCAGTAGCGCCGGCAGAGGGTGGCTCATGACAGACCCACATAGGCGGAGAACCTCGTTCGAGATAGGGCAGCTCTCAATTAAGATTTTCCTCTCCTTGACGAGGTCGATGAGCAGAGGATGCTTATACAGTGAAAATCCATGACCGATCCGGCGCGTGCCTAACAACACGGCGTCGAATAAATTATGGTCGGTAGAGTTGCCGGACCCAAGACACTCGCCGGCGTGAAAAAAGAACGGGATATTGAGGCCTTCTTCGGCGCATTGCTTGCGGAACCAGAAGAGTTCGGGTAGTAAATCACGTAGAGGCCGACCGCCGTCTTCTTGACCGACTAGATCGTAGCCTGCAATTAAGTGTGGGTGCGTGATCTTGGTATTGATACAGTACTCCATGTTTTGCACGATCTCGCGTGTAGGGAACCACCGTAACGCAGCCCAGATAATGCGCAAGCCCCAAAACCCTTTCCCCTCTTCCGACGCCTGAAAGCGCGCCACTTCCTCGTCTATGACGGTCATCATGGCACTGTAGTCGGTCTCCGGCGTCTCGCTACCCTCCCGGAAGTAGTCTAGCGGCCACGAGAATCGCAGCTCGCTCCAGTTTATGCCGTCCGCTTTCAGCGAGCTCATGAGCCGTTGTAAGAATTGGCGGAATATTGGCTCGTAGTGGATCATAGACCCGACTACGCGGAAGCATTTGTAGAATTTCATCCATATGTGATCGACGCCGTGGTGCTGCGAGACGGCGTCGGTTCGCGATATCGTGCATCGCCCGTAAAGCCATTTTAGGAAACCCGGCCTGCCACCATCGGGAAATGCATCGGCAACTTGTGTGAGTAAGATAGGCGTCTCTGGTTTATAGTCATCGCTCCAGATATTCCCCTCTGTGCACGACTCTTTGTAAAAGCGAAATGTCATCTTAGACGCCTCCCTAGTTTTGTCATCGACGAGCGACATATCTGCCGATAAATGTATACCAGGGGTACTGAGGAGCACATCGAATAGGAAATCGAAGTCGACCATGGCGTCGACATGCGCGTGCAGAAGCGCGCCTTTGGGCATACGGCGCACAATACGCCATAGTTTGGTGTTCTCCATGCGCTCCTTGGATAAGGAGAACATCATGCCCGGGTGTACAGTGATGCTGTCGGCTTCCTGGGCCAATGAATCTTCTAGCTGGGCTGTCCATACCGTGTTCTTTTCTTCGTCCCTGATGCGGGCCACTATGTCATGGGCACGCTGAGCAATAGGGGAGAGGCTCTTCTTGAACGAGGCATCTGAGGTGTTTATGAGAAAAGGGGGTCGGTGTATGGGTGGGTATAGGTAGGTAGTTACTTACCACTGCGTTCCTTATTCTCTTGTTCTATCAGGGCTTCGCGACCCTTGATGTACTTTTGCATAAATGGGTCCTCTTCCTTTGGTATTTCCTGCAAGATCTCATCCCACTCCTTTTCTGTATATTGGGCCTCATGATTCATGTTTATTTCTAGATATCTTTTCTCTCCTTTCTAGGGTTGGGGATGCCAAGGAAAGGGTTGTCGTAACTTGAGAATTTGACGACTGCTCACAAAAGGAAATGAGATAAATAGACCATAGGTGGAGCACGAGTAGGGAGGGAAGTTGGTTAGATTATATATCTGTTCATAAATATGAGAGAGAAAGATATCGGTGATCACAACTGCAGTACGTACTGGGGTTGAGAAAGATGAAAGATGGAAGATGGAAGATGAAGATGTAGTTCCGTATGGATGCCGTTATGAGCCCCGCCAATGACGTCCACGGAATACCCCGCTAAAGTGGGGATATAGCGGATTTGTTTGTCTCGAACCGTTTTATAAGCCCGCTAGCCACCGTAACAACCCGTTGACATCCATTAATTTAACCCTTCAATACCCAAGGTACCTAGGTACGTCGTATCTTATTTAATTCAACCTTGAATGTTTTTACTTTCTTTCAACTTTCTTTTTCTTTTTCTAACTACACAAATGTCGAAATCAAAGCCTATCATAACCGTGAAGCTGTAAATCACCGTTGACTCATACATCCTAATGACCAGCAATATAATATAACTAGCACTAAAGCTGTGTAAGCCAAATCGCCAGCCATCTTACCGGTCCGGCAGTTCCATCGCCGCCATCGCCGCCGGAGATCGTCGGAGATGGAACCGAACCGGCATTAAAGTGGACTAATTCCGGAACGAGCTACACGGCCGCGTCGGAATGATATATATGAAGGCCACTGCTATCTATTCCCTAGCCTATTCCTATTCTCTCATGTTCTACGCAATCTTACTTACCTAGGTAAACTCCCCATTGGGGGCCAATAAAGGGGTCTATATCATTCCCTACCTACCACCACCGGGACCTTCTTCGTAAGCGCCGACGATGATACCAGGTAGGTAATCTACCCAATTCAGCCCCCAATCTCACTTTCCTTCCTTCCTTCCTAAACCTCCCCTTAATTAAAAAGAAAAAGAAAAGGTTGTTTTTCCCGACCCCTAATCCTTCGCCTACGTAGCCCACGTAACCCAAGTACTTTTTTACTTTACCTGTCATTACATTACCTCCTAGGAGCATCCATGCCACTGCCATGCACCTGCACCTGCACCTTGCCCATATTACTTTAGCGGGTCCCAAGTCGTTGGACTGGGTTGACCAACCTATTTGCTCCAAATGACGATATATACATATATGGTAGGGGCGTGCTATAAAAATGGACGTTGAAATGCATCCATGGATGCATGCCCGGTAATTATGCCCCCTACCAGCTCAGCTACCCAGGTCGAATGGACCGTGCCAGCAAACGAATAAGCAAAAGCAAAAGCAAAAGCAATGTTTCAGGTAAAATACTGCCTAGTTAGTTCATGTTCATCGTCTTACTCTTGCATGGCTAGTAGGTCAAGTACACCTACACAAGGTACCATACCTACTGACTGCCCAGGGTAGGCAGTTATGATACATCCATATTAGCCAGTAGCGGTATCAACCGAGACCCATCTCGAGCGTCGTATTGTCTTACGAGACGACGTAATATCACGTTCTAGGTAATAAGTGCCTGACAGATGGATGGAAAGGTAGGAGTGTCGGGGATCTACATAACTGTAATTATTATATTTGCTGGATTATGATATCTACCCATAGGGTCGTAGATAGGGCTGGAGGGATTCGTCGTGCAAGTCGTCATAGGTACCATACGTGATATACAAACGCCCCCTCATCCACTCTGTCGCCTACTCAAGTATACCTAGGTACCTAGGTAGGTAGGTAGGTGCCTAGGTTAGGTAAGTATGCATACTTGGAGGAACATTGAAGAAAATTCCAAGAAACGTCACGCCCCAACCCTGCGTGCCTACATAGAAACCCTTACATTCGCGTACCTGCCTAAGTGCGTACCTACCTATGCATGTACGCAGGGTACCTAATTACGTATGTCCGTAATCTATCTAGACCTGCAAAGCCGCCTCCTCCCTCGCAGCATGACTCCCCTTCCTCCAAGCCTCGGTGTGATCCTTCCGGGGCCTCTCTGCCTTCTCAGCTCCAGGCTTGCCCCACCCTCCGCCGCCAGGCGTGCTGACGATGATGCGGTCGCCGGGCTTCATGGGCGCGCTGTTCTTGGCGCCGAGGTTGATGTGGCGGACCTCGTACTCGCCATCGCCGTTGGATAGTGGCAGGAGGTGCTGGCCCCGCGCCGCTGCGTCCTTCGTTGGATCCGCCTTCAGCACGCGACGGACCCAGATGTTGAGGCCGCACTCCGCGTCCTCGCCGCCGGCGAGCCCGTACGGGTGGTAGACGCGGCGCTCGCTGAGGATGGAGACCTGCATCGGGATGCGGAACTCGATGTCGCGGACGACGCCGTCGCCGCCGCGGTGCTGGCCATTGCCGCCCGAGCCCTGCCGGATCGAGAACTGGCGCAGGATGACGGGGTACCGGCGCTCGAACACCTCGGAGTCTGTGATGCGCGTGTTGGTCATGTGTACGTGCACGCCGCTCGCGCCCTCCCAGTCCGGACCCGCGCCGCTTCCGCCCGCGATCGTCTCGTAGTATCCGAAGCCCTTGACCTCCTTTTCGCCCGACACGTTACCGCCGAAGCCGAAGGTCAAATTATTGCAGCAACCCTGGCTGGCGGCGCAGGCTTGGAACGCCTTGAAGATGACGTCAGTGACACGCTGGCTTGTCAACACATTACCGCCTACGACCGCGGCTCCCTCCGATGGCGACAATATTGATTTGGACGGGATCCTGAGAGTGATGGGTTTCAGGCAGCCTTGGTTCAGGGGTATGTCTTCGGAAATGAGGCACCGTAGGCAATAGATGAGGGCGCTATTCGTAATGGCCTCAGGCGCGTTGGTGTTGCCATAGACCTGAGGACCCGTGCCTTCAAAGTCGACATCCGCCTCGCCCTTCTCGGGGTCTATGGTGATGCGTAGTTGAATCGGAGTCCCGTCATCCATGTAATCCACCGCAGCCAGCTCCTGCCCCCCAAACCGTTTGTAGACATCCTTCAGTAACTGCCGAACACAGAGCTCGGCGTTCTTTTGGATGCCCAGCATGTAGAACTGCACCGTGTCTTCCCCATACTCACGTATTAAGCCCTCGATCAGGGAAATCCCCTTTTGGTTTGCGGAGACCTGAGCCCGTAGATCGTTGAGGTTGTCCGCCAGGCATCGGGTACCACTGCAACCAGGGTATTGCGCTGGTTCGTTGTAGAGCAGCTCTATCATTCTATCTTCGTCGAACCTGCCTTCGCTGACGATCTTTTCGCTCTTGATCGCCGTACCCTCTTGGAATAGCTCTCGTGAGTGCGGTGGCATGCTGCCCGCCGTAATCCCGCCGATATCCGCGTGGTGCGCGCGCGACGCTACGTAGAATAGAATCTTGTCCCCCTTTTCGTTGAAAGCAGGCATGACTAGGGTTATGTCTGGCAAATGTGTGCCTCCATATGATGGGTGATTCGAAATGAGCACGTCTCCTTTCTTCAGGTTGCCTTCCCAGAGTTTAGCTTGCACCCCAACGCATGTCGACATAGATCCCAAATGAACAGGCACGTGCGGTGCGTTCGCGACTAGACCGCCGTCGGCATCGAATATACCACATGAAAAGTCCAGTCGTTCCTTGACATTGGTGCTCACACTCGTCTTCTGAAGCGCTCTGCCCATCTGCTCCGCAATGGCCATGAAACGATGGCCGAAAATACTCAGCATGATGGGGTCAGCTTCCTGGTCAGCTCCCTTTTTATGTGAACTGCATCATTTATATGTTAGCTTATATCCACAGTTTCTTCTCATAAAGATAATACTTACTCGTCCTTGGCCTTATTTTCCAGATCAATAATGACATGTGTTTTGAGTATTAGTGCTTTTGCCTTGGGAGTTACGACGATGGTCTGTGTACCATCAGCGAGCATAGCTGGCCCGTCTAGTTCATCACCAACAGACAAATCTTCCAGTTTGTAAACGGGCGTCTCCAGCCTACCACCTTCGAAATAAACCTGGGATTTCCCATGTGCTTTGTGGCCACCAACAGCCTGCCGCTTAACAACCTTCAACTGCTGATCTACAGTTTCCTCTTGATACCTGAAGCTCTTGGCAATACCGCGAACTCGAACATCATCTACGATGATATCTCTGTCATCCAGGGTGAACCCGAATTCGTAGCGGTGATGGTCCACGAAAGCTTTGCTGAACGCCCAATCCTCGCCGCCATAAGATGCTTTTGCTTCTTCGTTGGGCTTGATGATCATGAGGGCCGATTCCGTTCCGCGGTATCTCATGTTAAGGTATTCTTCGAAAATAATCTCGCTGTCGTCAAACCCTTGATCTTTTAGGGCTTGACGTGATTTACCCTTCAGCTTCTCCATCTTAGCCTTTAGCTCATCAACTACGACGCCTTTGTCTTGCCACACTGACGAGTCAGGCTCCTGTCTTTCGTCGACAACGTCTGCCAAGGCCATCCCGTATGCTGACAGAACTGAAGAATATCTGTGGATTAGAATTTGTTTGACGCCGAGAGCTTCCGCAATAGCGACGGCGTGCTGACCTCCTGCGCCACCAAACGTCGCCAACCGGTGCTTCGAGGAATCGTGACCTTTTGCTTCCGTGATAGACCGGATCGGTCTTGTCATGGCCTCATTCGCTATGGTCAAGAAGCCGTAAGCTACCTCATCTGGGCTCATATTTTTGCCTGTCTCCTTATTGACCTGAGCAGTGAGCTCTTCGATTACCTTCCGACTCGCGTCAACATCCAAGCCTTCGTCTTCGTTCTTGCCGAATATCTTTGGGAAGAACTCCGGTAGTAAACGGCCTAGGAATAAATTGGCGTCCGTCACTGCAGCCGGACCACCCTTTCGGTAGCAAGCAGGACCGGGATGGGCGCCTACTGACTCAGGTCCGACGACAAACAGACCGTTCTTGAAGAAAAGCCTACTTCCGCCTCCAGCGGCGACGGTGTTGATATCGAGCTGGGGCGATTGTATCGTAACACCAGCCGTTGTCGTCTCGAAAACATGTTCGTAACGTCCCTCTCCGTACCGTGAAACGTCAGTACTAGTGCCTCCCATATCGAATCCAATGACCGGGATCTTAGTCTCCTCGTCGTAGCTTGTGATGGCGTAGCCTACTACACCACCCGCGGGGCCAGAGAGGATAGCCTTTAATCCAGTGAACTTATCCACATCTACTAGACCACCATCGCTCTGCATGAACTCGCATCTTGCACCTTTGCTGCCTTCTTGTTCGAGCACACTCCGTGTCCCTAAGCCACCAGCGAATCCCTTCTGGAACCCGGAGATGTACTTCTTGATCGCTGGCGTCAGGTACGCATCGGCGCAGACACTCGTCGCCCGCGGCACTAGCTTAATCATGGGCATGAGCTCATGGCTAAGTGAGATATGGTCGAAGCCGATTTCCCTTGCGATCTTGCCTACCAATGCCTCATGCACGGGGAAAGTGTAACCATGCATCAAGCACACAGCTATGCTCTTGATTCCTTTATCAAATATGCTTTGTAGATGATCTCTGATCCGGGTCTCCTCCGGCCGTCGCAGAATGCGCACAGACTCTCCCGAGAGACCCATCACCAAGTCCGCCTTCCCCGCATCTGGCGTCCCGACTTTAACGTCCACTTTACTGATCCCGCGTTCCGGATCCTCGGCGTAATCTTCTAGCGTGACTCTCTCGTCAATCTCCACGACATCCTCATATAGCACATCCGGCTTCTTAATGGCAAGATCAAAAATCTTGGGACGACTCTGGTTTCCAATGACGAGACAATCCCGAAAGCCTTTCGTAACGACGAGCGCCATCCTCTCGCCTTTGCGCTCAAGCAGCGCATTGGTGGCGACCGTGGTACCCATGCGTATGCTGTCGATCTTGGAAGTGTCCAGGGCCTCACCGCGCGGAATCTCACGCCCCTCAAAGTGACCCATGATGCGCCGGATGCCCTCCAACGGCGCATCGTCGTAGTTGGCCGGGTCCTCGGACAGCAGTTTGATCACCACGTCCTTGCCACCTAGCGTGCCCACGCAGTCCGTGAAGGTCCCGCCACGGTCTATCGCAATGCGCACGCCGCGGTCCTTGTAGTCTGTAGAAGCCATCGTATATTTGCTTGCGAAGTCGGATATATGCTAGAGTAGGTAGTTGACGATGCGTCTATCTCTATGGTTTGACCACTTTGGATAGAGCTGGTTTATGCGACATCTGAACAGTATTTATACCTACCTAATACTAGACACGATCGTTGATATCATTCAATCTCCGTTGACTCATATGTTTGTTACTCGTACACCGAGGCGAGTTCGGCGTCAGTTCTTTACATGTAGTATTCTATGAATCATAGATGATCGCAAATGGTCATGAATTCAGGCGCAGCACCACTAAAGACCTTCAGATTTTCCAGCGTATATGTTTGATAATGCGATGTCGCACTGAAGAAGGGGTTCGGCCGTCGGACGCGAGAAAGAAGATGATAAATATAGTTGCTTAACACTTACATAGTGCATATCTCCAGTTACCTACATATAGGGCCCCTACCCCGCAGTGGGCTTTATTGCATGTGCTAGCGGTAATAAACCGGATAGCTTCGTTTGGTATGCCTCTAGTTACGCGGGTACATATACGACGTACAGTAATAGTTGAACGCGCATTGGTATAGGCATAATGTATGTGGTAGATGATATTAGAATAGATATTACTATGTAAAACAAACCGTTCATTGGTGGATTATATAGTTTTAGCCAACCTACTTGTACTATGTATGTGTATGGTATGTATGTATGTAGATTTCGTCTCTTCATTATTATCTTTGTAAACTTTGCGTATAGTTCATAAAACCCCTGAAAATCTTCCTTCGAATATCACCACTGCCCCTTCAAAATGTCGTGGTGGTAGTACACCAGGACATATCAATATTGATATACACCGATTCGCTATAACAACCATCATATGCGCCGACTTTCGCAATAATAGAAATGCGTCTGAAAGGGCTCATAATTTCCACTATTCGTTTCCGATACTTTTCGTTCCCTGATTTCATTATGTATGCGCTAAGCCCTTTGGAAAACTCTCGGAAGGATATAGGATCTAATACCTTGTGACCTAGTGGGTAATCACACGGGCCGCCTGCAACATGACTCCGAAGAATAGTCCCCTGGCAACTTCTTCGATCTGGAGGCAGTCGAAGATTCGACCCAGTGCTTCACTCGTGGCTGATTGTCCCATGATGCCCATCAATGCAGTAGGAACGCCGCTCTGTATGAACAATTTCCTTGCCTTCACCCTCAGCTCCTCCTTTTCTTCCGACGTCAATTCTTTTGGCCAGCCTTTACGTTCCTCCTCAGTAGGCAGAGTGTTCTCCCGGAGCTTTCGTAGGTGTGAAGCTATACCGGAATCTGACGTGTTCGCCTCGAGAACCGAATCCTGAACTAAAGACTGGATAGAAATAAGTGATGGGTTGCCCGGGCGAAGGAGGAATGTCTTTGCCGCCGTTAAAAGTGTCCTCCGGATATTCCAAGCTGAAGACAGGGTGTAGAGCTCGTTAATTACGGCAAAAAGGAGTTCGACAGCCACACGAGTCTCTTGTTCTGAGAGCGGTGCGTATTGTCTGCTTGGCCGCTTTACGGCCCCACTTGCCTGTGGTGACTTATCTCCTTGGCTTGAACGGATTGGTGGTGTACCATTCAGAGCAGATATAGCCCGTGCATTCCCGTCGACACTAAGACGAGTGCTCACTGGAGAACCATAATCGTCCGAGATCTCGTCTGGTGGCGGCGGTAGTTTGATGTTAGTGAAGCTCAATTCGGAGGGAGATCGTATAGGAGAGCGTAGGGCCGCTGTGCTCGAGGCGCGGCTGTGCACTTTACTGCTTGTTCCGCTTGCCGAAGCCCGTTCCCAACGATCAGCTCTTGCAGGGTGAAGGCTGTCCTGGTCTGCATCTACTTGTGTGCTGAAGCGCCGTTCCATAGGGGCCATTTTCCCTGGCTGTACCGAAATCACAGATGATCTCTGGCTGTCAAGACTATCCCTAGACATGCCCGATCCATTTACTGACGAGGCACTATCCATCCTTGGTAAGGCCGGCATTGACAATGGTCTAGCACTGCTGGGACTTGGATTGACATTGGCCTCTTTGGTCTGGAGGTCGTTTAAGGAAGAGTTGGTCGACTTTCTACCGAGCCCGATGTTACCGAAAACGCCAGTGACTCCGCCTACAACCACCTTGCCACCGTCAAAAGCACCTTTCGGTGCATTCTGAAGGACGCCCAACACGCCTTTACCTACGGACTCGAAAGAGAAACCTTTATTGTTATCCATTCGAGTCTCCTGGCTCTTGTCAAGGAAACGCTTGAAAACTTCAGATTCGGCTAGAGGCTTCTCGGTACAAGCTGTTCGCATATACCTTTCAATTTCACCGCGCAATGAAGATCTTGTGTGCACTTTCCAGCTTGGAAAGATAGCGAAGGCCTCCAAAAATGCCGTTGACCCCGATATAGTAGCAATTCGCCGCAAGCTCTCGTGGAGACTCTCAAATTGTGGATAAGTCTTCATTACCATCCACCCAGGATACTGAGACGTCGCAGGTTCAATTTGAAGGAGATACTCCCAAGAAGGCTTCCCACGCAGCCGGCCCTTGTCGTTTCCCACATCATCGTGAATGGTAATAGTGGCGTTGTGTAATGTAAGGGGTGGAGGGTTGCGAGACTCATCCTCCTCGGTTTCTTCTTTAGCTGGTGGGACCAGTTGATCAAAGCTTGTAAAACGGGTAGATCGTCGTTCCGATGCATTAGATGGCGATGAATTATAATTCGATGTATCTAAGGGCGATCTAGGAGATAGAGGAGACCCGAGTTGTGCTCTATCTTCGCTGTTTCGGCTTTTTGCCTCACTCGATGCCTCGGAAAGAGGGCTCAACTCCTTAGGCTTTTCCAAGGAAGCCTTGTTCGGCTTTTCGTCAATCTTCAAATCAAGTTCTTTGGCATTCTTCTCTAGAGCATTGCCAAGGAGACGGGAAGCATTTGTGCAGTTCTCATTTGGATCGGCTTTCGCTTTTTCATCGGCTTCTGCAATCATCTGATTGAGCCTCTTCATTTCTTCCATTGCCTTCTCCATTTCCTCGTCAGCCCTGGATAGTTTTTTCTTATGTACCACCTCTTTGCGCCGTGCCCGGTCCATTTCATATGAATTGCGATTGCCTCTAGAAAGGCCAATGTTCCCGACATTACCGTCGACATCGCTGAATACCTTCTGATCTTGGATAGCGTCATCAATCGCTTGAGACAGGTCTGTCTCTCCGGACTCAAGTAGATACACAATCCAACCGTTGATCCATTCTGCTTTAGAGCATGTTTGTAGGGTACCTTCGAGGATAACTGTTGCGAGAATCTCTCTCAAGAAAACTCTGGCAGGATCGCAATCGTATGTAGGTCTTTCTAAAAAGCTAAGCAAGTCTTCAGCCACCATCTTGAATTTTCCCGCCTGCTGCTTTTTGTCAAGCAGATTCGATAATGGTGCTTCCGTATTGGAGGCGAGATAATTATATATAGCATCCGCGGCAGTCGAATTAGAAGAAAGCTCGGAGTAGGCTGAAGACATCTCGGACATAAACACAATGATGATAGAGCACGTGTGAGTGAGAAAGTCGACAAATGCATCAGCTGGTCGCTTGCGACTCAATCGATTCGAGATGGTCAGTAAGAAGTTAACTAGTACCTTTCTACATGAGAGAGGGAAGGACTTGTCAGATGGCACAATAGGGCCATACCACCAATCCACATAGTCGCGAATGACCGCGTCAACAAAACCATGTAAGGCTTGCCGCGTTTCTGGTTGCAAATCATCAAAACTCTTGGCTAAAGTCTGCGAATCATTCTCGTCATTTTGTTCGGTATTAGCACTTGATTTAGGTGTGCTGTCCAAGATACGGCCCAAGAAATCATAACCTCTTTCACCATGAACTGCCCGTGACACTTCAGGATGTCGAGATTCCCATGATGCGAACAGTGTGATACCAGCAACAGCCCCGATCAACAGGAGACCGATCTGACCAAGGACAAAGTAGGTCATGGCGGAAAGCCCAATTGCAATAGCCCCAAGGGTCCTGGGAGTTGCTGTGGAGAGAAACTGGAGTACTTTGGTGACGATATCTTCTTGCTGGGTACTGGGAGATGTGGGTATAGCCCGCTTCTTCGGGCTTGTCGGGACGACTTGAAGGCTGCCATTGGGTCTATTTCTTGCTACGTTTGGGTTTGAGGTTGGCTCGTCTTGCAATGTAGTAGGGATGGCGCCGATTTGCGCATCGTCAAAGGGATTCATTAGGTTGGAAATTGCTAGGGAGAACTATTGAAAGCTATTGGGGATTTAGGAGTATTGATAGTGGCCGCATCGCATCAAGATCGAGGTGGCTAGGAGGATGGAAGTGGTGCAACTGAAACGAACATGTAAGTCAACTCGAATGTTAGCTTATGAGAATCAGAGAAAGGAGTAGAGTAGAGATATAATAGTGTACCTACCTAGTTAGGTTTGATGCCTTTAGTTTTGTAAATGAATTCATCCATGAATGTTTTTAGATTGCAAGGTCGAGGTGGTTATTCGTGGAAATGGGAAAGATAATTTTGGCAACATTGAACATTGAACAGCCCATGTGGCCAGGGGTCTTAATTCTCCTAAGCAACCTATCATGTCTGGTATTGGTATTGTACCTACATACATACGTGTAGTACATGTAGTTGCTAAGTAACAGCCATCATCCATGCGTTTATGTACTAACTATGTAGTACTGTGTAAGTACAGTACAGTACAAAGTAAAGGATACACCCTGGCACGTAATCTGGTTTTAACATAACTTCTTAAGCTATAAACGGTTTAGAGCCGGATTGGAGCCTGCACTATTATGGGTCCACACCTGTTAGTCGCTGTATTATACTGTACCTATGTACATGCACAGTAGCATTCAACGTTGAACGATCTACAGTATGAGCTAGTATGAGCATTGATCTATGTATGTAGTTATTACCTAACCTATGTAAGACATCACACATTACACCTGAGGCGCGCATCTTCTAAGCACTTAACGCGTCAAGTTACAACCCCACATTCTACATTCTGCACCGCAAACATATGCTATGTTCCAATCCATTCACTGAACGTTTCTTTCTTTCCTTACTCACATATGTACGCACAAACTTCCAGCAAGCACCTACTAATGTAGCAGGTATCTATTTATTGCATTCCACTTTGCAATTCATTCTTCCCTCCCAATTCATCCTCTTTCACCGGCAAACGACCAAGTACTCCACTCTCCTTGTCTTAACTAGAAAGTCCAATCCAATCAACCAAGATGGGCCGCACCAAGAACCTTAAGCGATCGCGTCGCGATTACGACGAGGACAACGATGTTTCAAGCGACCAGGGAGTCAAAAGTAGCAGCAAGGCTAACAAGAAGGCCAAAACCCCCAACAACGCTGACTCTGGCAGAGATGATGAAGGCAATTCTTTCTGGAGCGTAAGACACCATATCAATTGATCCCCATTCACCTTGCGCTCAATGCTAACATGCCTTCTTATAGCTGGGCGGTACCCGTAGAGCAACTGTCAGCACTTTCAAGGGTAAAACGTATATCAACATACGTGAGTACTATTCCGATGCCTCTGGCACTTTCAAGCCAGGAAAGAAGGTAAGTAAACAATCCTACTCCCCTGGGTAGTCACATATCTCCAAGGTCATTATCTAACCCTTGTCGCTTAGGGCATCATGTTGAGTCCCGAACAATACAACAAGCTCCTCGAAGCTATCCCATTCATCAACTCCGAGCTACGAGGCAAGGGTCACGAGACGCCAGACGTCGCCAGTGCGCCTGCTCCTAAGTCTCCCGAGAAGGCAAAGTCGAAGAAGACTAAGAAGACCAAGTCCAACATCGAAGCTACCAGCGACGAGGAAGATGATGAGGACGACAAGAAAGAAAAGCAGCAGGCTTCTTCATCGGAGGAGGATGAGGAGGAAGAGGACTAAGTGTTATCCTCGAGGGCTTGCAATATTGGAAACGACTGCCTTCGCGATGCATACCGAAGTTTAGTCAATGACAATTTTCAGGCGGGACAGACACTTTGAATGTCTATTACGAAATACACGCCAGGGGTTCATGGGCAGGATCTCTAGCTACTTTTAGGCTGGCTTTATTTTCCTTGCAGAATCATGGGGTGATTTTCGTCGATACCCATTGCTCCTTTGAGTTGATTTGAGGACATTACTGCCCTAGTATGTAGCTACCTAGTGTAGGGTATGCTATTAATGATTAACGTCATCCCTTCTATGTACATAAACTTCAACCCGTGTTACAGAGTACCTACCTACATAGCAGTACTTTCACAATACTGGTTCAATTTGATACCCACTAACAGTATTATAACCTTGGAAGTCATGCCGATGCTTCTTTTTTTTTTCTTTGGTTGAGGCAATTGCGATTTCTCTGACACACATGCAACTTGAAGTTTCCTCTGCAGCTTCCTCTGCAGCTTCCTTCGCAGATTCTTCGAAAAGCAAAAGCTCTATTACAATAGAAGTATTAGAAAGTGTTACTGCATTACTGGGTTTACATTAGCAGGTCCCCCCTACTGCATCAGAAATAAAATTCGAATGAAAAGAGAAAGTGGCCCCTTGGATGTCATTGAGCAGATTTTAACGTCAAGTACCACCTTGAGCAGGTAGGTACGTATAAAATAGTTAGCCATCAGTTATATGTCCAATGCTCCTTCTCCGAGTCACAAAACAGACAAAGTTTATTAACCGGTCTCATCATCCAATATGACTACCATATGGCAGGTGCCTACCCTACATAAGTAGATGATAAATAACTTGCGCAACTTCCTAAGACGATGTAGTAATCGAGCAGTTTCATATTTCATGTTTTTCATCCAGGAGTGTCTGGATTTGTTTGAACTTGACAATAGATTCCTCATTTCACAAAAAAACAATCAAGCATCTAGTGACAGTTCCACATCATATTCTAACAACTTTATGACCCAAGAACTCTTCACACGATGCGTCTCTCACTGCCTTTCCTTGTCTTGAGTGGCACCGCTATGGCGGTCTCCCATCTTTCTTCCTCCAAAGAGGACCTTTCATTGAATGAGCAAGATGTAGAGGTAGCCTCATTCGCCGTTAAGCCTTACGACGGTCCTGCTGGCACTCTTTCATTCCATTGGAATGAAACACTCCAGTACCTCAACAAGGACTTGGGAATCAACATGGCCCAACTGCAGAGCCACCAAGAACTCTTTACCGGCAATTCGAGCGAAGGTTACACCTTCCCGGGTGGCATCATTTCCTGGGATACCACTGAACAAAACGACACTTCTTTGTCGCCCGGTACACTTGAACAAGTTACCTGTAATCAGTGCGTTGACATATGCTTTGGCACTTCCGTAGTTCCCTTCGGATTTATCGCGTAAGTACAGTATTGAACCCCCCCCCCCCCCAAATACATTGATATTTGTTGCATTGTGCTTTGAGACTGACAATTCCAATATTTAGTTGCCGTATGATATTCCTTCTTCCAACTATCCCCAATCTAACGAGTCTTTCACTAACTATATTCCTCAGTCATATGCATCTTCTCGTCTTGTCCCCCCCAAAGCCGACCTCCTTAATAGGGCTTAAAGCTTCCGAATTACCTAGCTTGCAGATGGATTGACACATGAGTGGAAATAGGGCACACTAACACCTTTCATGCTGTATCAAAGGTCGGGAATTCTATGAGCTATAATTTTTGTCCAATTATCAAAAAGTGTCAAGTATTGATAGCATTTATAATAGACTTGATATCAAGTTATATTTTACCTAGTACTTGAGGCGTATTGCATACATTGACTTGTACTATGTACTTGCTAGATCTCGAAGCATGTAGTAAGTAGCACGACATTACGAATATCGACATGTATAGTCGTGGGATGCATACCTACAATGTCCTACATACCTAGGTAGGTACCAGGATACCATCGCCGGCGGCCGGGATAATAAATCAAAGCCCGGCGGCCATATCCCACACATCACGATGTCAACTAAGAAACCTAGGGTATATACCTATCCCACAACACTCAAGCATACATGGGCCAAGCAAGGCTTCTTATAGCCATTCATCATATGGTGGCTCGATATTTCGAGGCCATTTGTTCATTCACTCTTCACCATAGCCACCTGCCTACCTAAGTACCTAGTAGATACATGCAAATATCTAAAATCCTATTTTAGCTTCCAAAGAGACCCTCCTTCATCCAAGACATCATCAACCTCATCACCCTCATCACCACATCACCAGGGCCGCAGCCGCGGCCGCAACCACAGCTCCAGCTCTTAGCTACCACATGAAATTTCGTGTTGCAGCGTCACGGGTATGACAGACCCATCTCCCGTTTTTTCGTCGCCCCCAATAAGAAACCCCCCCCCCCCCCCCCCGAAAAGAAATATAGAAAAAAAACTCTCCCTCCCAAGAAAAAAAAAAAAAAAAAAAGGAAAGAAGACGAAGATAAGAAACCTCCATATCATTTTCCCGTAGACAGGCCCGCGTAAACCGCGCCGGAACGAACTTGATTGTTATGAGCCAGCCGACCTATGTGATGCCCAAAAAAGTCCGTCTTGTCTTGTCTTGGCGAGAGCCAAAACCCCCCCCCCCCCCTTTCAATTTCGACACTTTTCGAAAGGTTCCACCAAATCTTTTTTATTTTTCGATCTCTTCCCTTTCCCCTCCTCTCCCTGAACCCCCCCTCCCCCTTCCTCGTACCACGAAAGGACTCGAATAAGTGTGTGCGTGTGTGATGGTGATGGCATTGGGCTGCTGTTGATGAGGAAACTTGTCGTGTTATACGAGGGCCCTGGTGCGAGTACGAGCTTGGGGGGGTGGTCTCGTCATCTGGCCGAGGCGTCATGCACGAGAAATCGAACTGGTGACTTTGCAACCAAGACACAAAAAGATGAGAAGAAAGTGATGCGGAGTCCAGCTAACAAAACGGAACACTGGACTGGCAATTGTCCCTTGGAGATAAACAGTCACGTATATTTTATTTGCTGAATCTCTCAAGCCCAATATGTGATACGATTGGCTGGAACAGTTGTATGTAGCTTAGAATCTAAGTTCGCTGTGTATCAAGCAATAGCTTTTAATTCCATCGAGTTCATGACCATTGATACCAGTAGACATTTCCAACACACGCCCAGAGTGACCACATCCTTTTGGTGAATAGAAAAAAAATCGGGTCGTCATCATGTCGTCAATAGGAAAAATAATTGTGCCACCAGCCTGGCCTTCTCTACGAGACTGGTGGATGTGATGAACAAAGTAAAGCAAAAATCAGCCTCGGTCATGAACATTACTCGCCTAGAAGTCGTGATAGGCGGGGAATTTTGCGTTGCTCGAGTATCTCGTTGTCCTCAGCGTTAGAATAAAAAAATGGGGAAAAAGCAATCGATGATCATCTCAAAAGAATTAATGTCCACCATGCGACGCATCAATTCGTGAAGCATTTACACGGCCTTCAACGGCAGTTAATAACAATCAAGAATGAAGTCGTAATACTCGTCATCGTCTCTTTTGGTAGGAAAGCCCAAGCATGCCGATGATGAATCGTCGCAGCGAATACAAAAGATTATCAAGGGAATTAATAAGGAGCGTGTTTTCTTTTCTCGGAGTCGGCGTTGCACTCTATGGCGCGAAGGTGATTCGTTCTGATGGAATCAATATTCGCACAAGTACCACAACACCCGGATTAATGCTTAAATGGGGAATTGTCGACATAACATCGAGCAACCATCATAACAGAATTATCGTCGACGAGTTAGTGCTGCGGAGGCTGGGCGGGGGTTCATCGGGTCGAATCCGGGAGCTGGCATGGGCCCATCAATCATGGTTTTCCGACGCTTCAGATCCAATCCACCACTCGACGGTCGAGGTAGGTCGTCTTCGTCGTCACGACCCCGTTTCAAAGCGCCTGATGCACCGTTCATAACCGGCTGCGGAGCATAACCATTCTGCAATGGGCCACCCATATCGGATTGAGAGTTATAAACGTCTGATGCCGACGTACCATTAGTAGATGCCCTATCACCACTCATTACATTATAAAGGTTGCTGGACGATGGCCCGCGGGGTGGCGTACTATAACCGGTTTGTTGAGTGTAGTACGGTTGTGGCGGCGCCGCAGTTCTAGGCGTAGCACGACCCGACCCAGCCTGGTGGTTGGGAGAACCAGTCATTTCTGGAGCCATATGTTGGTGGTCGCCCGATAATGATGCAACGGGCGGCGCATTGTAGCTATATGTCCTGTGAGCATCATAAGCTCCGCTATCGTGTGTATATTCTGCCTCATGTTCCGCCTCATCCTCGCCAGGTGGGTGAGAAACATCGCCATGTTGCAGCATCCCGTTTGACGGTTTGACATCGTTTGGCTCGTTTGGCCCAGCACCGGTTGGGCGCCCGGAGGGAGGGCCCATCTCATTCTTCATGTAGGAACCTGTTTGGCCGTATATGTTCCTGTCCTGCGGGCTACTGTTTGACGGGGGATACGGAGACTGCTGTGCAGCTTGGCCGTTGTAGACACCGCGAGAACTATCGTAGGGCTGGCTGCTCTGCGAATAGGATTGCATACTTTGTAACGTGCTGCCAGGAGGTGTAGTCGCTGGCGTTGCTGGCATTGAGCGTGCAGCGTTGCTTAGTCCCGTGTCAATAGACATGGGGTTAGGACCTTGAGCGTTGCTCATCCCTTGTTGGCTCCATTGAAAATTCTCTGAGGAACCCATGCCTCCCATCACACTCGAGGCACTCGTTGGTGGTGTCGGGAATGTGTGGGCCCTGTCTAGGGATGGACGGCCAGAGTTGTGTTGGGACGGAAGTGACGTTTGAGGTCCTGGAAGTCCCATGTGGTGATGATGCTGCTGTATGGACGGTAAGACACCGCCGGGGGGTGTTGGACCCGGACCGTTCCGCATCTGATTCTGCTCTTGTTTGCGCCGTTCCGCTGCAGCCATGACTTGGTTGGTCCGGTTTTGGTTTGTGGGGTGATATAACAAGGCCCCGATGTTGTGGACGAATAACGGATATAATAACTCCGTGATCTTCTCTTTATTGGCGAAGTCCAAGGCTCTCTCAAATGGAATCCTAGCAATGTTAATGGCAATTGTCTCCTACTATGGGTCTAATTCAAAGCTTACCAAACTCCCTTGAGGTGCATTGGGCCAATCTTGACAACGTGTCGTACTTTTTCGCTTTTTAGAATTCCATCCCTCCTACCACGTGTCATTCCGGCAACATTGAGGAGCTTCGTTCCATTTATCATGTGGTTATCTGCCAATCAAACTGTTAGCCTGCTAAATTCCAATGTTTACATCGTTGGATTCCTACCCTCACGACGCGCAACACAGATACCCCTGGCCTCAACCTGGAAGCATAAGCTACCCTCATCTTCCCAAAGCGTGGCAGTGACTCGGGGTTTCATCCCCGGCGGCGCAACTTGGCCTGTCGTGTCGAAGCCTTGGTACTGGTTCTGCATGCCTCCCTGGTTGGGAACACCGGGAAGGGGCAGGACATTTTGGGCACCCATAGGGCCCGAAACGGCCGGCGGTGCAGATTGAGGAGAGGTCAATCCATTCGCGTAGCCATACTGATACGGGGCTGCAGAATACTGAGCCGGGCCTGGCTGTAACAATGTTGGCTGTTGATGGCCGTATTGAGGTAACGAATTCGACGTCACGGTTTGTGGTTGCGGTGCTGGGCCAGCGGACATGTGGGGGGCCTGATAGTACATTTCTTGTGCTTGATTCATCGCGGAGTAATGATCGTAGCCACCAATGGCCTGAGATGGATGCCCGGATATCGCCGTGGTGACAGGAAGGCTGGGAGATGGCGTCTTTGGGCCGTTCGAAGACGGTGCTGAGGTGAACGATGACTGTGAGTCTCCGTTCGAACTCGCCGAAGACGCAATGGAGCTAACCCGGGGAGACGATGTACTCGAGGAATATGCCAACGGCGCCTGGGGTAGAGGGAGTGAAGGTAACCTTTCGGTTACATACGACGGACGCTGGGCAATGGAGGCACCGTAATATGGTGGTACGTCAGACGTTCCCCGGGTTTGCGGCTGGGAGATCGGTGGGAGATCCAGTTTTACGACGGTCGATGATAAAGCCACGACGGGCTAGACGAAATGAAGCTCAGATACAAGTCGACTGAAAACGACTTATGTCCAAGCAGGGGAGACGAACACCACAATTGGAGTCTGAAAATTTATTCAGATAAGCGAGCCAATTGATTGGTTATCAACCAATTGCTGTGATTCGGGGGGCGGTATGAAGGATATTCGGGTTCCAAGCGCGCACGAGAAATGAAACGAGTCGTATGTTGCTCTGCACTTTGGGGAAAGCAGAGACGGTGAAATGGTGGTTTTGGGACAGAACGGATCTTTTCGTACAGCGTTATCGTAACAATTCGTGAAGCTCTGAAGAGTCGGTCAATTGCAATATGCCGGGGTCTAGAGAATAAGTTAGGCTCGAGAAAAATTATTTAAGGATTATGTATGCCAGATTCCTGCACTACGATCGCGGGTTTCGAAGGGCATGGGCTAATATCGACGTGGTATTGTGCATTGGAGGGGTATTGATTGAGGGCAGAAACAGGATAACGGCGGTAAGATGTCGTCGTCGTTGGTCGTTTGGACAGAGTGAAGGTCTCTCGCACGAACGCACACGCACACATCCAACAAAACGCTAGGTAGACTTTATTTCTCTTCTTTTATGTCTCCTCTTCACTTTTTTCTTATCCTCCCTCTACACGAGGCTGTCTCTCAACTTCAATGCAGGAACCTCAGGTCCTCAGATGCGCAGGGCGGAATGCAAGGCAGGAAAAGAAAGTGGAGGTGGCAGAGTTTGCGCAAGTAGGAATTGGGAAAAAGGACGAAGACATACCTACTCTCCGGACCTCAATGGCCTTCGTTGCTCGAGATTAAGGGGGGGGACTCAGATCGGCACCAAAAGAGAGAAGAAAAGGAAGATAGAGGAAAGAAAGGGAAAAAGAAGGACCCAAGATGTTTTTTTTTCCTCTCGTGGTGGTGGTGGTGAGGAGGAGGAGGCAGGAAAGGTAGTAAAGGTAGGTAGATAGATTGTGGAGGTACGAAAGTTGAGAAGAGGTCAAGGTAAGAAAAGACGGAACACAGACATGCAGACGGGACTAGACGCTAATCAGTAAGGTAGGTGGAAAGTAGCAGGGTAGCAGGGGGAGCAGGGGGAGCAGGGGAACAGGGGTAGTAGAGGGAGCAAGAACCAGGCCAGGGTTATTGCGTGTAGGCAGGACAGGGAAGAGCAGGCCAGGTAGAGCGCAAGCAGAATAGTGTAGGTGCTGGCTGCTTTTTGGGATTGAATGTGGATTTGTGAACTGTACAGAATAAAACCGTGTAGGTACTAGGTACTAGGTAGCGTGTAAACCCGTAGGGATTGAATTTAGTAGCAGCGAACCCGCTAGCACTAGATGGGGTCCGGGTGTGGTGTGCCTACTGGGGGTTTGCTGTTAAGCCGGGGGGAGGGGGGGGGAAGGATGAATAGTGGATAACGATAGTACATAGCAAAATGGGCTGGCGAGGTTGGTTGGTCGGCGGGGGTCCAGGTCAGAACATTCAAGTTACCCTTTTTTTTTTATACTACCTAGGGCTAGTTTAATGGTGTTTCTTCCCTTTTCCCTTCAATGTTTCCTTTCCCCTACAAGGCACAGTCACTTATTAAATCGGTACCTACTTACGTACCTAGGTCCTATGTATGTACTATAATAATAATACTGTGTAGACGTACCACTAACATGGGGTCTCGTCTATGGAGGCCAAGGGTTGTACAACACAAGGGAAGGGCTCTCCTCAGTGTGGCTCCTTTCGGTGGCGTGTAATCATCAAGGTTAAGGATGAGGGGGTAATCGTGTAAATTTTGCAAATTTGTGAAATCGTGAAATTGGAAAATTGGAAAATCGGAAAATGGCAGAGACCGTGTAGAGCCCGAGATTACCGGACTGTGACGGCACCTGGTCAACTTCGAAGAATTGATCCTTCAGCATCCAGTTCAAAGGTATTATGACCAATATGACCAATTAACATTTTTTTACATTGACATCAATTTACCAATTCAAGTTTGGTGAGGCCTTTTTCTGTCTTTTCCATATCATTCCCGACTTGCCGTAGCCGTTTCCTACAAGTTGGTCAAAGAAGAATTGCACAGTATGAGCTAAAACCGGCGACTGAGATGGGCGGTATCTTTTTCCCTTTTCTTCTTCTTTTTCTTCTTTTTTCTTCTGTGCCTTTTTTTTCTTCTTGCCCAACCCCCCAATCCACAAAGCCTTGTCATGTTGTCTTTATCGATGAACCAGGTAATCTATTCCCTTCTCATCATGCCCACCACCTAAGTAGGTACTCCTAGAATTAACGGGCACAATAAATGATTTTTACAAAGATCTAGCAATTGTTGGCGAGGATCATCGGCACAATAAGGCCGCGTCTAACTACATAGTGCTCTGGCTTCGAAGGTAAAAGACATCAGTTAAATAGATACCTTGTATGTAGGTACCTAGGTAGGTGGGCAGCACATACATACATGTAGTATCCTTCAAGAAAATGCTCAACACGCCGAGATGTTCCCAAGGCCTTAAGATTATGATTGCCCCAGGACACCTCAAAGGCTGATCATTCTCAAGGCGAAGTTATGGTTTAGGAAATTTCTTTGTTTGTATCATGCTCGATACCCCTGGAGGGTATTAACGAATACCTAACAACAGTATTGTGTTATACCTTCTAGATGAAGATGCTTTAATATTTGGAGATTTTTATATAAAGGCACCTTCATCCAAATATCGCATTACAACGCTGAGTACCACCCTACATGTAAGGTGCATAGCCTAGTCTATTTCGGTTATCTATAACATTGAATACTTACTTGCCAACCTCAAGTGCTACTTAATACCTATCCACCTAGGTACCCAGCCTTGTCTAGTAGGTACTAGGTATAATAGTATGGATAGTATGTGGGTGAAGTTTTTACCATCCACAGATGTGTATATTGATATCTTTTACATAAAGAGCAAACGTTACCCAGTCACATATGCAGTAACAGCTAGCCTATCTACACGTGATAAGCAGGGCACGGTATTGCTCAATTCCAGGTTGTAAAAAGAATGCGTATCTCTTATGTACCAAGGCACCTAATAAGTACCTACATATAATGGAACCTTTTACGCTCAGCTTGCTCTTGGCTTACTTGGTTGTTGAGAATCTTGAGATGTCTGGATCTCTGGATACATTCTGAAACTTATATACTTGACCTAAAATATAACCATCTATATACTCAGGATGATAGTATTGATAATATGGAACTTGGAATCGTCCTATGCTTCTTCTATCATGCTATATATATATGTATGTAGATTGAAGCTATTATGGTATGTACAGTGTAGATTGATGCTATATCTACGAGGTGTGCGGACAGACTATTTTTGGAGTAATTTTAGTGGTGATATGTTGCATCAGAAAGGGCATGGATCATCCTCCGGACTACCTAACAGCCATCTACTATTATGTATGTACAATAGTGTAGGTAGATACGTGCAGGCAGATATAACCTACTAAGTAACTACATCTATCTACCATGCAAGCCTACCAGGTAATGCTATGTATGGCATCGTAGGACAAAAGTACCTGGTTAATATAGCGTACTTCAATTCTGAGACGCTGACAGCTTGTGTGGCTATTATTCTATAGTACTCGTCGATACGAGTGTTTTGCGGGAATACAGTCTTCTCTCGTCTTATGTAATTCCGAGTAAGACGTGGAACCCCCTTTTGTCTCTTTTCTTATCAAGATGTATTATATTACTTAGTTAACTTACAATAGGTAGGGTAGGTATTGAATATTGTTGGTGGCTCGGATCTGGTCTAGCCTCCCCTCCGGGCCCTATCTACCTGGCGTTGCTGACTCTAGATGGGACCTTGAACAAGACGATTGTCTCAAGTTTCACCTCATCATATCTCCTTCTTGACCAACTTAAACATCAGCCTTCATCTTAACACGTCGGAGCTTCTGAAAGTCTCCGCCGAGGAAAAAATCTTAAAAGATGAAAAAATAAAAAAAAAAGTATTTTGCTCGGTCGTTCTCAAGGGTTCGATGGCTGGTCGGCTTGGCGTGGCCCTACTCCTTGAACCGGTGCTCCGCAGCACCACCCATCTCCGCATCGATATCGGCCTATTCTACGTAGTATGGGGGATATTTTTTCTCTTGACCACTTATATTAATTAGCCGTGCTCATCATTTACTGTCAGACATCGGACAGCTCCCTGGGAATCGAACCGACTCCATTGTCGTATAGGTAGGTAGTTCTCGGTCATCCCATTGCCCTCGTTAAGAACAAAGTCGGTGGGGAGTTGGTGGGCGGTGATGATTGCCGGGTCATTATCAGCATGTTCTGCTCTGTTCTGTTACTCTGCTCTGCTCATTACCTATGAGGCTATGACAAGCGGAAGCAATAGCGGGCGACTGGGACTTTGTTCAAGCGCCCAATAGAGTGTTAATTTGGAAAATAGACCGTTTCCTTTTCAGCCAGAGGCGTGGCTGCAACAAAGTGTGGGCGCCCATTCAAGTTGTTTGCTCTACGCACCCCTCTTAAAGCAGGCTTGTACTTAGCAGCTTTTCCCTTGGCCCTCTATTTCCCCTCTTTTTCTTCTGAGGCCATCAAGCCGTCTCTTTGCTGGCCGAGGGCCAAGACTTCTCGTTGGTAATCAAAAACCCTAGTCTCTTCGCGGTGGGCCTGTCAGGGTTGCAACGTCGACTTGGCTAGGACTGGCGGATTCAAGCCAACAAACCCCATCGTCATCCTAGTCCTGACTGCTCCTCA